AGATCCAAGAGATAGTTGAGCAAGAGGAGGTAGAAGCACAAATAATAGAGCAGATGCCGAAGCCTTCAAAGCGTGCTAGCAGGTGTAGCAAGTGTGGTACATTAGGCCATAACTCTAGAACATGTAAAGTAGAGTAGCCAGTATTGATATATAACATATCTGAGTTTCAGAGCAATTTATTAAGTATTCGTTGAGATAATCAATATTGAAGGTGGTTCATGTTGAAATTGGTGGCCACGCCCTGGGGGTGGCCACGCCCTGGTGCTTGGCGTTAGCTTTAAGTATTGTAAAGAAAGATGGGTCTAACCTTCTAGAATCTAAAATTATCTATACTATATCTAAAGAAAAAAAGGTAACTTAGGGATCCTCTTTCTCTTATTCAAAAGATATATAAGTATAAGCTATATTCCTCTTAACTATAAGTAAGGTTAAAACTATATACAAGAATAAAACTATAAGGTCAAATCTAGACTAACCCTTATTCCTAGAGTAAAAGTAGTACTTATAGAAGCCTATAGTAACTAGGGTTAATAGGTAGCTAAAGAAAGTCCTATAGCCTTATATAACGCTATATAACTTTAAACTTTAGCTTATTTCGGTTAAGACTTTAGACCTAGCTACTAGTTACTTAGATTCTTTTCTCTAGTACTACTATACTTTTTTATTAAATTAAGAGATGAATTCTATAAGGGATTTCTATCTCTTATCTTTAAATAATAAAGAAGCCTCTCGAGCTCTAAAAGTATTCTCTTAAAGTTATTCTCTTTTCTAGATAGTATAAAATTCTTTAGTTTACTATACCTCTAGGATTAGAGATTCTAGGTCTAGAACTAGATTTAGTATAGATTTAGAACGAGACTTTAGATTATAGGTATAGGTCTAATTATATAATATACTTTAAATATAACTTATAACTTTACCTATTTAGCTCAAATATAAGTTAAGTAACCTTACTAGAGTTTACTACTTAAATTCGTTAATTTAAGATATATGTATAGATATATAAAGTATCTATATATATAGAGTACTTAAATACTTATAGAGTAATATAAAGGAACTCTCTTATATAGATTTTAAGAAGCTATTAAGAATAGGCCCTAAAAAGTACTTTTAAATATAGTTAGCTAAATATCTTTAGCCCTAATTATAAGTGATTAAAAATATTTTTGATTTTATCTATAAGGCTTTTCTCTATCTTAATTATAGACCTCTCTATTACTAATAAAATAATAAAGATAAAATATTATTTAAGATAAAACTAAAAATAGCTAAAAGAATAAAGAATCTCTAGAGATCGTTTTACTTAACCTAATAATTAGAGTATAAAGTATAGTCCTTATATTATAGAAAAGATCCTAGTAACTATAGAATATTATATATCGTTCTCTAAAAAGTACTATTAGCGTTTTAGAATCTAATAAACGAGAATAATAATATAATTTAAGATAAGACCTTTAAAGTAGAAGAACTCTTATAAGAAGCTACTATTTTAATATTTAAACTAAATTCCTCTAATTAGATTACTAAACTTATCGAAATTACCTTCTTACTATATAGTACTAGAAAAACAATATAGTATATAGTCTATAGTATAAAATAATATGTTTTTATTATTAAGGAAATTATAGGAAATATTAAGAAAAGCTATTAGTAATTAGCTTTATATACTAAGACTTAGTATAAAAGTAGAGAAAGTCTTTTTTACTTTTAAGATAATTTAGTACTTATACTATTAAAACCTTAAATCCTTAGAAAAGTAGAAATACTAAGAAAATAATAGTACGAGATAATACTTATATAAAATGTTAGAATATATTAATAGAATATACTAATAATAAAAGTCTTATTTAATAAACTTAATAAAATATAGAATATTATACTCTCTATTTTAGATAGATATTACTAAATCAGAATTAATATAGATAGTAGTATAGCTACTACTAAAGAATACTAGATATAACTATATATTTTGTAATACTTATTAAAAGAAGTAAAACGCTACTCTTATTATTAATAACTATACCTATTATAACTATAACTATCTAAGTTGTATAGAAGATATTCTATAAAGTAGAGAACTTATAATTATATAAATACTTTCTTTTTAAATAAATAGTATACTTAATTAGTATCTAAATCTAATATTCTATATTCTATATATTATTTACTTATTAGTTTTTTATTAGTAAAAGAATTACTCTAATATAAATATAAGAACTACTATTTATAGTAACTTTCTTAAGTTAATTCTAGAAGATATTACTATAAAATAAGAAGTAAAACTATTTTAAATAGCTAATTTAAATAGACTAGGAAATAAACTTAGATAGTATAAAACTTAGTACAAATTTAAAAAGCTATATATAGAAGAATAGATAAGTATATCTTAAAAGTATAAATGAATTTATATATAGCTAAAGAAGAAAAGTAGTAAGTATATTCTATTAGCTAAATATAGGATATAGCTACCTAAATACCTACTTATCTTAATTAAAGCAAATAAAGAGTAAAATCTACTAGTATAGATTACTAAAGAGAATAGTAGTATATCTACTCTTATCTTATTTAAAGTTTAGGATATAGAAAAAAATACTTTACTTTATAAAGTTAGGAACTATATACTCTCTAGTCTAGACTATTTCTAGAGTATAAAGATCCATATTTAGAATAAGTACTGAAGTCGAGTAAAAAATATAGATATAATCTATAAGAAAATACTTAAAAGTGTTTTAAGAGACTTCTTGAGTTCTATACCTAAAAGTCCTAAAAGTCCTCAAATTTAGAAGCTTAAATAGTAATAGACTAGTAATAGTACTAGTCTAGGACTATACTAAGTATTAGATAATACAAGTACTATATTAGTATGAGGTAAAATATATAAGCTTTTCTTAAACTTAAATTTAGAAATTACTTTTCAGATCTAGTGTATCCTAATCTATCAATTAAGATATCTCTACCTCTATAGATGTCTAATTATTTACCTTAGAAAGGTCTAGAGAATTATTTTCTTAGAATAGGAGAATTAGAATAATTATTACTTTTAATAATACTTAGTACTAGAATATATAAATAAGTATTTCCTAGAAAACTAAAATTATAACTTCGATATCTCTATATTTAAAAAGGCCTATCTATTTACTTTAAAAAGGCCTTTATAGTCTAAAAGTTTAGAGTCTATAGAATAAAAGGGATATTAGTTACTAAATAGAATCTACTAGTATATTAGGCTAGAGCTCTAAAGTATAGCTATATTATTATATAGCTACGACGTATTATACAAAAAAGGTAATTATTCGAACGAAGTAACTACATATCTTTCGACGTAATATATAGCCTAACTCCGCTAAATATAGTAATTACGACTATCTAAGCTACCTTAATTAGTCGTAATTATAGGTAAGTATAGCTATTAGTAACGAGGTTGACCCTTTATCTATATTTAGAGGGTACTAAAATATATATACTATAAAGATTACTAGTCTAAATCTCTAAGTACTATACTATTAAAACGCTAAAAGCATAATATATAAAATACTAATTAATATTCCTATAGTTTTATTCTTTTACTAGATTTTAATTAATAACTTACTTTAAATACTTTTTCTTTAGAGCATAATTGCCTATTATTTACTACCTAAACTAATAAAATATAATATCTTTTCTTTCTACTTAGTTCTTCTAAAAGCTTAAACTAATTTTAAGTACTCTATAGGTTTTATTAAGTCTTTATAGAGTAAGTTAGATATTTCTTTAGAATTAAAGCGCTCTATTTAATTAATTATTACTTATTATTAGGATCTATACTACTTAATACTTAAAATAAATATTTTAATTAGAAAAGATTACTCTAGTAAATTAAGTAGTAAAATTATAAGTAAATAAGAAAAGCTTTATAGCTACCTAGAAAGAAATCTTAAGAATTAAGATTATAAAATATAAGAAATTAACTTTTATAGGTTCTTAATATATTTCTATAAGATATTATACTTATTATACTTTTTTATAGGTTCTTAATATCTTTCTATAAGATATTATACTTATTATACTTTTTAATCTTTTTAATTATAATTTTAAATAATTACCTTTTAGTATTTATAAATTAAAATAATCTAATATAATTATATTAAATTATAATATATAAAAAATTAAGAGAGACTTTATTTAATATTTCGCTTTTTACTAATAAGATTAGTAGATTTAGATATTTAATAGATCTTTATAATTATTATATTAGTAATAAGTAAATAGAATTTATAAAATTTATAATAAAAAAATTAATTATTAGATTTAGATTTCATATATTAAGTAGTATAATATTTAGAAATTTTATTAGTAATTAGTGAAACTTCTTAAATTTTCTATAAAATACCTTATAGAAATATTTCTAACTATATGTCTATTACTGCTTCGGTCTATAAGCCTTAATATATTACCTTTCTCGGAACTTATTAAGGACGAAATTTACTCAATGGCCCTATACATCATCAGAATCAGTAAATCGTGTCGTACGACGCTGAACAGTTGTGTTAACAGCAGAGAGCTATAAACAATCTATGCCTTCAGTATCGCGAGCAGCACGAACCGAGGGATCGACGACGTTCGTACCCGATCGATATTTCGAGGCATGGAGGGCAGGAACTATATCTGCGCCCGATGGTAACCACTTCCAAGCGTGTATTGCCTACACCTTCGGTCTTGCGCCTCAAGATGGTTACATCTACCGAGCTGCTGCTGAAGTGACTCTGTCGCAAGCACAAAGCTACCTGGAAGTAGGCGCGCAGAAGGGCTTTCACGCCTGGTATCGAGATGCTGAGCTTGAAAAGGTCTGCCGACTGCCCCGAGTGCTTCGGCCGTGTACGGAACTTGTACTAAGACCAGTGCTATAGAAATCACTGCCAACCGCGGCGGACATCGAAGCATACACGGCAATTTTCCGTCCCTCCACAAGTACGAGCCGTCTGCTTATGGGCTTCGCTTCCAACGCGAAGAAGGGCTCCGTGAGGGCGGCCGTTGCACAGCATCTCGGCGCTCTCTTCCATCCCTTTGGCCAGACCCCAGGACGATATGCCGATCTCACAATCGCAAGGAACAAAGCTCACGTGAATCCATATTTTGACTTCTGGGCCTGGTCGAATCAGGTGCTCGGGTGGTCAGGCCCCGAGCCACACACGGCGAACGTGAAGTTCAGCCATGCGATTCTCCCCGTCTTGTATCACCATTTCGGATGCGCAGTTCCGTCGTATGAGGCTTTGTCTACCATTGACCAGATCGCCTCCGACCGGAGGATCCTAGATATAGGAAGCGGCAACGGGTACTGGACTTACATGCTACGCCATATCAGACCCACAACCGCCAAGCAACAGCTGGAGGTGGTCGCCATCGACAACGGAGTCAGCGAATGGAGGACGATGTGGATCGACGACACTGTCGAGGCTGACGGTCCGCAGTGGTTGGCGACGAATGATGGCGGGAAGAATGCTGTCATGCTCTTGATATATCCTTCTGTCGGGCATGACTTCACGGCGAAAACCATCCTCGCATATAGTGAGTAGCTGTGGTTGTCGGCAGCACCTTCATTTGTGCCGTGACTGACACGTATTCAGAGGGCAGGACCGTTATTTGTGCTGGCTCACAGAACTCAAATGGCTTCACGGCGTTCGCCTCGGTGACCATTGCGGAATGGTTCGAGCAAGAGATGCCCGGCTGGGAGAAAGTGGCTCAAGTTCCATTGCCAAGGTAATCTCTACACACCCATCTACCGAGGATCAACAGATCACCGCTGACAAGCTATACAGTTTCGCTGGTAAAGACGAAGCGCTCTTCGTTTTCGAAAAAGTGGAATAGGGCATCATGGCTTGGGTCCGGGCCCCTTTTCAAGCTCCGGGGCGGTGATGGTCAGAGCTCACGATTTTCAATACGCGGCGTGTCGGCCAAGGATACAATGTGGCTGTCGCAATTCGGATGGCCCAACGAACCAAGCACTTCGGTAGCATTGATTCTGAACAAAAATTATAGAGGATAGTGGAAAGAAATGACAGCATCTAAATCTGAAAGTTTATACATCGCATTGCTATGCCTTGGGCCCAGTCTAGCCCGACAGGTGGTCTACAGCCTGTGATCTTGTCAGCATCTCTGTCCGTGACACATGAAATCAAGTTGTGCATACCTTGTTGATGTCATAATCATACTGTTCGAGTGCATCCAACGCTGCTTTCCTCGGGTAGCCCATCCCGGTCAATCTCTTCAAAATGGGATCGTCATGCTCGGTGCCAGGAGTGATGGCGGTCCCGTATTGAGGTTTTGTCTGGGACACGCCGGGCGCGGGTTTGCCTGCTGACGATCCCCCAGATGACCAGGGATCGCTTGAGAGGTCGATTGATTTGGTGTTGTCCAGCCCTGCAAAAATCGAGTCCCAGTCATGCTGCGATGCTTTCGAGCTCTGCTCATCACTGCCACCATTGCTTGCGTAGTCCAATGCACGCACCGCCGGCTTGGATGGGAGGAGCCCGCCTGTAGAGTTTTCCTGTGCTCCAGTCGATCGGGAAGAGGCGACAGGCGTAGGATACGAAGAGACGACCGTGTTCGTCGTGCTAGCGGCAGGCGAATCGAAGACTGGATTGAACTCTGCTGTCTCAGCTCTGTCAAAACCGAAGTCGATGTCGTTGCTGGCGCTCTTGTCGACCTCCTTCGCTTCTGCCAGATCTGCGAAGTCGTCGAATTCATCCAGAATGTCTGTGTTTGTGCTGGCCTGGTCCCCGTCGGTGACTGCTCTGGTCTCCGTTGCGCCACTTATGGGCCGGCTAGATGCGTCATGGAAGACATCGACAGTGTTCGTCCGCGAAGGAGCAACCAGAGAGCGTTCGACATCAGAAGCGGAAGGACCAGCATTGCTGAATTCAACGGCATCTCGGGTGGCTGAGACGGCACTCCCTGGAGGCATCTGCGTCGCGGGCGAGTCTCCCGAGGTTGGATCTTCCCTCGATGGTAGCAGACCGTCAAATTCGGGCGGAACCTGGTTCGAGTGCGCGGCGTTGCCTTTGCCGCCGTGACTGGGTTGATGGCTCTCCTCATAGGTCGGCGGTGAACGCTGCGCATCGACTGCTGGTAGCGGTGTCGCCGGTGCTTCTGGGACAGGAGCGGCGATAGTGTTCGACGTGGCCGGGGCTGTACCTGATCCAGCAACAGCGCCCTTGGCAGCAGAGGCTGAGGAGAAATCATCTTCGAAGCCCGTGTGTACCTTGTTTTCGGCGTCGTCGTCGTCATCGTCCTCATCATCGCTGCTATCGTCGTCCTCGTCGTCGTGCTCCAAAGTTTGAATAGGAGGGAACTCGGGGGCGGATCTACTGGAGCCAGACGCATTATGATTTGGGCCCAGATTCGAGCTAGAAGCCAACGCACGTGATTGCTGGTCCTCTTCAAAATCCGCAAAGGCAGCATCGAAGTCATCCTTGGCGGACTGAGGGCGACCCACAGAAGTAGGAGGTCCCGAGGCTGGGGCGGCGGGAAAGGCGCCCGGCATGACTTCGGCGCCGTTTCCGGATCCGAAAATGGTACCCGGTGTGGGGGTGAATTCGGAGGAGTTGTCTGGCTCGCCTGCCCGGCTGGCTGGAGGCATCACGTGTGTTGAACGAGTCTCACTGTCATGAGCTTTGTGCTCGAGATTGATGATGGGAAGTTGGGACGCCGTGAATTGTCTACCCTCCGGCGGAGGTGGGGGCGACGATGCGTCAATCGGATACTGTCCGTCCTTCACCCGGTCAGCCGATGGCGGTGTCGCGGGGAGGGTCGGCTCACCAGCATTCGGGTCATTCCGCTTCGAGTCCGGAAGAGTGAAATCATCGGCCGTCGATGTGGATGCGCGGCCAAAGGTCGTCACTGGGGGTGAACCGTTGCTCAGCTTCGTCCGGTCCGACTCCGCGTTCGCGGTCGATGCCGGGCCGAACAATGCATCGAAGGCGCTCGCCGCCGATGCGGAACCAGTTGACAAGGGCGTGAATGGGCTTGATGCACGCTCATTGCCGGCCTCGAGTCCGGCCTTGCGGGCGAACGGGTTGGTGGTGCTGAGCGATTCTGCGGGGCTTGCCAGCGGCACTGCTGTGGTGGCGGGAGCGCTGATATCGGGCGAGGTCACGGCGCGAGATTGTTCGGCAGCGGCTTGCGCTTGCTTCTCAAGATCCTCCCGTTCCTTCTGGAGACGATCTCGCTCGTTCTCGTTGGTGGCGATTTGCTTCTTGTTTATGCTCACGAGACCCTTCTGCTGCCTCGCATCGAGTTTCATCTTCTCGACCTCGGTCTTCAATCTGGCGACCTCGGCGTTGAGGTGCGAGATGCGTGCTTTGAGATCGGTGTTCTCGCGTTGGTCTGCCTGCAATGCCTGAGAGGTTGATTCGCGGCGGGTCTGCAGATCTTGGTAGGAACCCTCCAGCATCGCAAGCTCTTGACCTAATTGCTTTGAACTCTCGCGCGAAGCCGTCAGCTGGGTTTCCATATCCTTGACCAGGCGGACCTCATGTTCGTACTGCTGACGGAATTGCTTCAAGCGGATCTCCAGGTCACTCTTCTGCGCGTTCGCAGCTGCGAGTTCTGCTTGCGTGGTCGACTTTTTGGTCTGAGTCTGTTCCATTTGCCCGCGGAGATTGCCGATCTGATTACTCATGTTCGCCAGCTCGGTCGTGTCATTGGTGAAACTGCTACTCTCCTGGTTTTGAACGTCGCTGTCGCCCAGGAGGTCGTCTGTGGCACGGGCGACCGGCGGAGCCGCGGACCGTTGTTGCCCCCGAGGCGTACCCGTAGCCTGGCTGGACATCGCAGAGCCGCCTGTGGTCTGCTGAGCAAGGCTGGCTCCGAACGCAGAGGTGGGCGTGAAAGGTTTGAAAGCGCTAGTCGCCGACGGGCCTGTATTTTGCGATCGCTGAGGACTGCCCGGGCTTGTCAGCTGATTAGTCCTGAAAGGATCATTTGATGTCGACGTTCCCGTGTGATTGGTGGGCAACAGAGCGGGCTGCACGTCTGATCTCTCCACGGCGGGTTCGTCCAGCCCGAACAAGTCATCGGCGGCCGACTTGGGCAAGTTCGACGGCGCCGAGTCGAAGACCGGCGGAGCAGCAGGCGGCAGCTGCGTTTGTGGCAGGGTTGGCTGCTGCGACTTTCGCATACTCGGCGGCGTCAGGGCTGGCGGTAGGAATGCCGGCAGAGGGCCAGCATTGGGCGCTCTTTGTTGACGGATCAGATACATGGCTACGGCAAACTCTTCGCGGTTGAGATGACCTTCGCTGTTGATGTCGGCCAGATCCCAGATCTGGGCCAGAGTGTCCTCGGGCAGTCGAGAGTCGGAGAAGAAGGAGACCGCCTGCTCGCCCGAGATGGTACCTTGACCTGTGACGTCGATGGAAGTGAAGAATTGGTCGTATTTGGCCTTTTCTGCTGGCGTAACCAGCCATGCCGCAGCAGACGCCTGCGCGATTGGGACCGCCGCAGGGCCAGGGGAGCGGACCAGCGGGCTCTGGGTGCGAGGCAGTGTTCCCGTCGAATTCCCAGTCAATTGCCGTGGGATGGCACCCGGTGCCGCGATCGGTCGGCCTGGGGGCGGTAGGCCTCGCCGCGCAGCGGCCTCGTAGAGCCCTTGCGGCAGTGTCGCAGGCAGGGCCGGCATGGCGCGAGATTTGATGCTCGTCAGAAGGTGCATGGCTACGATGAACTCGGTGGCGTCCAGCGCGCCCTTTTGTTCGCGGTCCGATAGGTTCCATATCCGGCCCAGCACTTCGTTGGGTAACCCTGCTCTTTCGAATATGGCCTTGGCCGTGGCGCCGTCGATGAGGCCGTTCTGCGTACTCGAGCGCTCGAACAGCGAAGCGAATTGCTGGCTCTTCTGCGCATCCAACGGGGGCACCCGGATCGGTGGAGTGCCCGAGAGTTGTGGTTGGAGGACGTTAGGCGCGAATGCTGCTTGGCCAGCTGGGCTGGTGGGCGCGGGTGCTACTGTTGGCATCGGGCCTCCGAGCGGACCACCGGCGTCGAATCGAGGCATCGGGGCCGGTTTGAAGGCGAGCTCCAGGCTCGGCTCGCGACCGGCCTGATAGTGTCCGATCAGGCGCAGGACGATGCAAAAGCCTGGCTTGGTGAGCAGCCCACGGTTTTCCTGGTCGGCAATCTGCCAGATCTCGCCCAAGACGTTCGGCGACACCCTCGTACGTTCAAAGAATGTGACGGCGTTCTCGCCGGTGACGACACCCAGCTGCTCCCGATCTGCCTGCGAAAAGAGTGATCCATATACGCGCTTCTCCTCCGCAGTCAGATTGAGGACCGGGTGGTTTTGGTCGCCTGTTGATGCCGACATGTTTGCCGTGCTGCTCTTGGTGTGCAATGCTTCACCGACGGAGGCGGAGGCGGACGTTCGTGGTCGGACGAGAGACCGGATGCGAGCTGGACGGCTCGAAAGGGTCTGTTGATGTGCTGCGGTGGTGCCCAGCGCACATGCGCCGACGTGCAAGCCGACAAGGCGGGATTGTTTCTGTCAAGACGGCAGCAACGACGATGCTGAGACACAGAGTCCTCAGGAGCCTGTGGACGACGAGAACGATAGCGGGAGCTGAGTACGCGCGCGCGCAATGGTCGGCGGCTGGTGGGTGATTCGAGAGGAAAACAACACGAGCGACCCAGCCGTCCAGGTGACGATGTCTTGTTCAGTTCGTCTGGTGTTAGTGACTTTGTCGGTGCTGGTGTCGGAGCTGTGTCGGCAAACGCAACAGATTGGGTGGCACACTCCCGGGCCCCCATCTAGCGCTGTTGACACCCATGCATTCTGGACGACCGAGCATCCCTTGACATTTCCTCATCCAGTGGGAACGCGCGGAGCTGACGCACTCGGACTTCAGGGCGGAACGGGAGTGGTGAGTGTGGACTGGACATGGCAGTGACGTGATCCATCGTGCCGTTCTCCCATTCTTCCATTCTCATTATTACAGTATCTAGGTAACATTCGCTCGCGACCTGGACTGTAGTGCGGTACTCACACATGTGCGGGTAACAGTACACTCATCCTATCGCATGGTGGACGCTGTCTTCGCGCATCGAGCCGACGATGACCAGATTGCGGATCGTCTTCTCCGATGTGGACATTTCCCTACCAAACTTCATGTCGGGCGGTCGAACCGTGTCCGAAGAACGTGGCCATACTACTTTAGATTATCGTCGTGCCCTTGTCTCCCAGGCGTGTCGCCGAAGTGGAACCTCCACGCGGAAATGTCGTTCATCAATGTAACATTAATGATAGCACCCGACAGACGCTTTCTAAACCCAAAAATGTGGTATCGATCTCTCTAATGTACCTGGACGCTACCCATTGTCAAACACGACTTTCTGCACAAAGAGGGAACTGGACGCGCGAAAACCCTCCGCACGCCATCCATGACTGCCGGCTGTCTCGTCAGTCTCATTCCGTCATAGACACCATCTCTGCTCCAGCTTGTGAACGCATCGCTGACTACACTGATTGCCGCTGTTGTGGTGCTCTTCGCCATCCAAAGATGTCTATTTCCCCTTCGGCGATGCTGATGGATCCCGTAACGGACGAAGGAAAGTCCGCTTATTCATCTCCGCCGAAGTCGCCGCCATCGTCTTGGCCGGCGTCGTAGCCCTCTTCATATGCTTCTTCTTGGTGATCATCGATGGCATTCATCAACAATGCGCCACCAACAAGACCGGCACCGGCTCCGAGCATCATGCCGCCAGCGCCCATACCGCCGCCGCCTTGGCGCCCATGAGGCTGCTGTTGATAGCCACCCTGAGGAGGGTAGTAGCCTTGCTGTGGTGGATAACCTTGCTGAGGCGGGTAGCCGCCGTAGCCCTGTTGCGGCGGGTAGCTATGCTGCTGTCCATACGACTGGCCGTAGTGTTGCTGTTGCGGAGGGTATCCCTGAGAAGGGTAACCTCCTCCATATTGCTGCTGCGGTGGGCGGGAGGGCTGACCGGCTCCGCCCAGCTTGTCCGTCAGCTTGCTGAAGAAGCCTCGTTTCTGATCGCCAGACTGCGAGGTGGAGCTGGATTGGTTTTGACCGTAGGTCGAAGTGTTGTTTTGCCCCGAGCTGCCAGGGTTGGTCTGCTGTCCAAAGGATTGGTTTTGAGCGCCGCCGCCGCCTTGGTAGTAGCTGTCGGATGCGCCACGGGTGCTGGTGGTGGCGGCCGCTCCGGCTTTGGCCTCCTCCTCGGCCTGTAACTTGCGAGCCAGGGCTTCGTCGCCGCCGCCACTGACTCCGGCGTTGCTCTTCTCGGGACCCGCCGGTTTGCTGGCCGAGTGATCGTAGCCGGGCGGTGCGCCGCTCGGAGGGGCCTCACCAGGAGGGTAGACGGGCTCGGTGGGCTTGTCCCATTGCGACGTCTTGGTGTAGGTGTTGACGTAGAACCACTCCTTGTACTCGGAATTGAAGACAGCCTTCCAACCGGCAGGGACTTTGGGAGGAGGAGGACCGGTGGGAGGGGCGTAATCGGCCATGGTTGTGAGTGGTGGGTGAATCGGTCGAGGAAGGAGGAGACGAAGGAGAAGAAGGAGAAGGAGATGGATGGATGGTTGGTAGGTAGGTAGGTAGGTAGGATTCAGAGGAGCAGCAGGGAGGAGAAGTCTGATGATGATGGTGAAAAGGCGGGAACAGCTCTCAGGCTATTTGGAAGTGGATGTGAGGGAGGGAGGTAGGAAGAGGATTGGATATATATACACTGGAGATGCATGCGCCAGCTCCTACGACTCGACTATAACAGTAGTATATGGTACCATAAGAATGATCCCGATCTAGAACATATTCCAGGATGATATGTAATTGTGTATTTGATGATCATTATTGTTGTCATTATTATTGTTATTCATTTATTATAACAGTACATACGGCACATGCGGATTGCACACGGGGTGAGGGACTTTGGGAGGATTCGACCTGGATTGTTATTGAATACCTACCTACCCAGGTAACGTTCCACGTCATCGGGGGATGTGGCTGTGCTATGATTCTGATCACTAGCCCTGGAGGGACTCAACCCACGTTCCTCTCCAATTTGCCCCTCTTTTCTCCTTCCACCTACACACTCCTGCCGCACTCTTTGCGTTGTTGTATGCCCACACTGCAGACAGACTGCAGGCAAAAGTTCATTCTCGTCCCATCTCCTTTTCGACATAGGTAGGTAGGTACTAAGACCTGGGCACTACCGGTGACGGTGATTATTACTCATAATGACTACAAACCCATCATCCGCCGCCGATACACTTGGGCGCCAGGGCACTTGTCATTATCACAAGACAAGAATCCTCCCTACCTACAGACATGTACCTACCAAGATACCTACCTAGGCAGGCTCAATCATCAGTCTGAACACCTGGGCAGGCTTCATTCGGGCGGGCGTGCTTCGGCCTTTCTCCAGTCATGACCTTCCCTGGCCCTGAACTTTATACAGCGTTTACAGCATTTACAGCATCTACAGCATAGGCCTGCCTGTCAGCGCACATCGGGGGGCACATGCCCAGGTAATCAATCCACGGAATGCTACTTGAGTGGGCATACCTAGGTATATGTGCGTGAGGCCTGCTCCCCGGTGCCAAGTTGTGCGGACATGCTCCATTTGTTCGCTCGGCAGACATGGCGGGTTTCAGCACGTATCGGCGGCCTCGGGGTTCAAAAAAGCACTTGCAGTCATGTGTTTACACTGCAGATAGTATGTGATGGATGCCCACCTGGATGTGCCGTGAATGGGGAAAAACTACCGGGGAGAGGGACAAGTCCGTTGTCGGTATTGTTTCGTCGGAACTGCTGCAGGCGCGAAAACAAATGTCCATCCACCACCTGGACAGCACAGCCACCATCACCACCGGATAATCGCCATCACCTCAGCCACATGACATGACGTTAACCTTTCCCATGCCTCCCGAGGTTGAGCTCTAGCTGCTTCACCAACTAGATAATAATAAGTACCCACGTATGCGTTCTTCTTCTCATTCTTCTCCGTCATTTCACCCATGCTCCTCGCACATACGGTTCGAGAGCGACACATCTTACAATCATTGCCAGGACATGATCGAGATCGGCTGTCCACCCGTGGATCAACGATGGTCATGATCAGCAGCATCGGCGTAGACAACAGATTCGTTCATGCCGTTCATTTCTCGTAGGTACCTAGGCGAGCATCTTTTACAAAGGACTGAAGGCCAGTCCGCGGCGTCATCCTGTGGCCAAGTCGCCAACCAGCTCGTCGAACTCATCTGCTTAGACTTCGGCCGTCTCTAAGGTCGTCTGCATCGTTCGCTAAAGCTCTCTCTTTCTCTCTCTCTCTCTCTCCCGCCGGCAACTTTTCATTCGATCGGTACATGTCTTTGATCGTGCAACGCATATCAAGCTAAAGGTGAGCTTGGGAAATCGTGTCCCCAATCGGATGGCCTCGCAAGGCGATCCTCGTAGGTTAGCTTGTCAAACCCGGTCACACTCCGGTTGCGGTCAAAACACCGATCGGTCCTTCGGAATCGGCAAGAGCATGTATCCTGTCTGCTGGCAGTTTCGTCCGGTGTTCACATATGATGAGGACGTTCCCGAATCGATCGGAATTCCTCCTGCACCGCTCGCAGGATTTCCGGCTGCGTCAGGACATCGACGGCCGTTGCAGCCAGGGCCTTGGCTGCTCGCAGGGCCAGGTCATGAGCCTCCGGCGTCCTGGCAGCCTTTTCGAAATCGGGCGTGTGCGGTCCACCGAGCTGTTTACCGTCCGGAGTCTCACTCCGGATCCAGAATGACGGCTGCGACATGGCCCAAAGGGATCAACATATGACTGTCTCTTGACCTTTCCAAACGATGGCTGACTTACACTGATACTGGGCATGGCATATGATAGATTGCCCTGATCGGTCGACGCCGATGACCAATTGGTGGCGTAGTCAACCGCCTCGACCGGAATTCGACCTCCCAAGGCGAGAAACGCCTTGCGGTAGCGCGCACCCAGGACTTTGTTGGGCACATGGTCATCGTAGCCATTCCTGTGCGTGATCTTCAGCGTCGCGCCCGTGGCCGTGGCTCCTGCATCGAAACAAGCCAGCACTCGTGACATGAGTGCATCACGACGCGCGCGCGATGCGGAGCGGACGACGAATAAGCCCGAGCTGTAGCCATGAATGATGTTCGGCCTCAACCCTCCGTTGAGTATCTGTGCCTCGATGATGTCGCCCGGCGCCGTCTGCTGTCTCAAAACGGCCACGGCATTGTAAGCAGTGACGAGCGCATCGAGGGCGTTGATCCCATCCCAAGGGCGCAAGGCGGCATGAGCTTCTTTACCAAAGTACTCGGCCTTGAAACTGGAGAAGGCTGCTGTCCGGGTGAGGGCCGAATCTGCCGAAGTTCCGGGATGCGTGATGAGCGAGATGTCGACGGAGTGGTCCCGGTATGCCCCAGCTTCGAGCAACCGAATCTTGCCGCCACCTCCTTCCTCGGCTGGCGTTCCGAATAGGACCACCTTGCCGGGCAAGTTGTGTCGTTGCATCACCGTCGCAGTGCCGAGGGCGCCCGCGAGCGAAACAATCCCGATGAGATTATGTCCACACGCGTGTCCGAGACCTACGAAATTTTAGCATCGTTCCGCTAGGTACGACTCACTATTTTTCTCGCAGGCGAATGTTCAAATCAAACAGGGTCCCACTCTCGATGCCAATGAATATGTTCTCCAGGACGAGCATGGCTTGTTGGCCTCGTGTCCCCATTTGATCACTGCACAACGCAATTCCGTGTAAATGGGAGCACTCGGAAATACATTCCACGCATTCATTATCGTACCTTTCAGAGCGTCATATTCGGCATTGAAGGAGACGACAGGCCCGGCTTTGCCGCTGTCATACACCGCTACGAACGCCGTCTCAATGCCATATGCTGAAGGAGTTACCTGCCATTGCTTTTGTGTCCCGATGAACTTTGTCAGAGTCGCGTGTGCACTGTCGTTCTCCGTCAGCTATATCCACCAAACGAGCACCGGTGCGAGGAAGCGAGCGTACCGGAATTCCTTGTACTGGAGCTCAGGGTTATCTGTCGGTATGCAGGTTAGAGCTCTTTAGTCTGGGATTGCCGCCACGGCGCCCGGCAGCTCTTGGGATATCGTAAAACCTACCGTGTATTTCCAGCGAGATCCGGCGCATTTCATGACTGAGTCCATCAATGATCGTATTGATCGCGTCGAGGTAGTCCGGGTCCGACCCGCTCTCCCCGATGTGTTTCATGCGATGCGTATCATCGTCGGCGTCGGTCCGCGTCATGATCAATATTGTGTCAATGGCAAGGCCCTCTCCAAGGACATTGTAGCAAGCTGCCCAGGTGGAATATCAATTTATATGGTCGTTACAGTAAAGTGTTGGGCATGAATAAACGGTCTGTGCCAGTAAGGATACCCCAGCGCGCAACGCAATGCAGCCAGCGGATACTTCCGGATCGTCCAGGTAGGCGGTCTGGTACATTTGAGACGGGCACAAAGCCACCAATGCAGCAAGGATTGAGGATGGGGGTCAAAACACTTGGAACAAAGAAGAACGAATGGCTTTCATGGGGGGTTCTTCATATTGAATGCTCTATGCATCGGCAAGGATTGGACGGAGTGAGCTATACACACATCAGAAAATCGAACAACAGAGTCGGCAACGACATGTACAAGCGAGATCCTTTTTTCAGAAAAAACCGGTCAGCGAACGAGGGTAACAAGAAATAGAAACATATAAAACAGGGAGGACCCGTAGATCAGACAAGAGTGATATCGTCGCTGTAATACGCCAAAAACAACGCCGATGGGGATAAATGAGTGCCGAATGCAAAAGTGAGCGCCGCCGGCGGCGGCAAAGACAGACAAGGCGGAGGGCCCATGATCGAGGGCATGGATTGCTGGACGAGGTCCGGGAAATAGCTGGCAAGACTCCCGGCGAGTTGATGAGGTCGTGTATCCGCCAGAGGCCGGAGGAGCAGGTGGTGACCACGCAGGTCAAGTAAGCATTCACGTTGCCATCGTCAACGTCCAGATCGCTGTCGAGTCGGTGCGTGCACATACAGCCCGTCCTGAGGTGTGATGTGTCCGTCGACTGTCAGGTCGCGTGTGGTAGGCACTCGTGTCGAGCCTTTACCGTACAACATGATGACATTGCTGTGGTTGTGAACTTCGGGTCGTTGGCAATAATGCCAAGCCAGAGAATAGCCGTAGTGACTTGACGGTGGTCATGGTCGATCCCGAATCACCTCACATCATGACACAGCAGCAGCCTTTCTTGGGCTGAGCCTCGTCCTTTTCTGGGAGGTCCTGTATCCGCGGGACGGGATTAGGGTTCGCGTTGGTGGGAGAGCCCAACGGTCGCTCAATGACGGGCATGTTCGGGATCGAGGGCGTGATGCGGTATCCACCGCTCGTGCTGGGCCTCGCGTTGCCATCTTCGCTTCGGACGTCGCTCTTTGGAGTCAAGGGCCAAGAGTTGATATCGGCAGAGGCCGGCGATGTCGTCTGACCGTTCACTGCCGCGTTTGACCCGTGTGGCGGTTGATTCTGGTGGTCTTGGTCGGACACGGGCGCGGCGGAAGGCTTCGGGCCCGGGAGCTCCTGATCATTCAACAGGTTGAAATCGCGATCGTACACGGTGCCCGTCTTGCCCTCCTTCTCCCACATCTCCTGCATCATGCGTTTGGCGTGGGTCGGCAACATCTGTTGATCTGGCGGAAGACGTGGATCGGGTTTATACATGGAGGAGATCCACGGCGCTTCGCCTTCGGGGTACGAAGCCGACAGGCGTTGACTCGAACCGGGTCTCTTGGCCGAAACCGCACGAGCTCCGGGTTTGTGAGACGACCCTGGTCGTGTCGCTGCCGAGGTTTGCCGTCCATTGGGAGATACCTTCTTAGCCGTACGCGGTTTGGGCGGCGACTGGTCGCTCTTGGCCTTGGCGTCCAGCGGATCCAGGGGAGTCGCGCACCCGGTGTCCAGATCGTCGAGGAGGACGTGGCTGCTCGCGCTGTTGCTCCGTCCTTTTTCTTTCCGAAGCTCATCCCACTTGCCGCTCCATGCTCCTGCAGTCCGGGTGTCATTGGGAGACTCCCGGCCGGTACCGCCCGCGGTGGTAGCTGCGATAGGGATGCGAGAAGTGCTTGGGCGCATGACATGCTGGCGTTGAAAGGGCGCCTCGGTGGTGCTGTCCGGGAGTCGTGCATCTGCCGAGGGCTCCTCGTGCTGGGTAGCATAATCATCCTCCACCGCCGAGGGAATGCTCGAGATGCGACTGCGTTCGAGCTCCTCAGTTCCAGGGTACGCAGCGGCATAGTCCCCGTCGCGTCCGACTTCGTTGCCGTCATGGCTCTCCGAAGCATGCCGACCAGTGCGGCTCATCGAGCGACTGGTCCGCCGTGAACGACCTTCAGGATCAGCGCTCATCGAGCGGCGTGGACGCACCGGGATACCCGCTTCCTGCATCTCCTGGATTTCAATCTGGGCCAGCTTGTCGCGGTGGATCCACGCCGAGTCGTCGACCCGACCCTCAGGCTTCTGCGAGCGGTCTCGCTTTGCGCCATCCCTCAAGGTGCTCCGCGACGGCTTTCGCGAAGCGGTGCTCGCATGACCTCCACGCATCGAGACTCCTCTGGCTTTGCTCGTCTCTGATTCGGAATGTAGATCTGCGACGCTGCGACGTGGCTGAACACGGCCTGCGGGCGGTTGCGGCTCGTACGTGATGCCGTAGGCTCGCTGATTAGGTGAAGCGGTCCTCGAAATGTCGGCAGATTCTCTGGACTCATTCAGCGGAACAGCATATGACCATGGCCCGCCGACAGTGGTCATAGTCTCCTAGTCTCCTCGTTGCTCTGACTCTCCCTCTTTCTCTTCTCTGCTCCGGGTCCCTCCGTCCCTGGAGGCTCTGTTGCACTCCTGCTCTTCTTCCGCGGGTAATGAAACTTTCGATCAGGATTGAATGGTGGCGCGCGGAGAACGGAGGATCACGACGCCTGCGAGGTGATCACGAACGCATAGTAGATGGCAGCTGCTGGAACGAGGGCGGATGAAAAGGATGTGTGTGGCGCTGGTATTGTGTCCTGTGTTGGCTCTGATCTAGTACGAGAAAGGATGCTGTCGATCGGCACGGCACGATAGTGAAGACAGGGCCCAACAGAGAGAGCAGAGGACCGAAAGAAAGAGAGGGATGAAATCGTGCTGTACTGTCCTGTGCATGAATGAACGCTTTGCCGGGAGTGGATGGACGGAGGAGATGCTGGGTAGGTAAGTAGGTAGGTAGTAGGTACCTAGGTAGTAGGGGGGGTGCGTGCTGAGGGCACGGATTGGCGCGCGCGTCGTTCCATCCCTCTCCCACCACCATCAATTCTTCGTCTTATTGTTTTCATTACTGTGGTTTCCAGTCCGGAGACTACCTACATACACTATTGGATCCCCAGTCTACAGTCCGGACAATAGGACCCTAGACATATAGCACCAGTGGATCAAATGCAATAATGAATGGTGGATGGGAAGGCAGACACCGACTGGCCGGTGCAATTAGTTACTGGATGGCAACACTATGCGAACCCATGGCCCTACCTGCTAGGGACCTATTGTAGGTAATGATGCATGCCGTGTTGATGACCTTGATATGTATGTAATGAGAGTAATCATCATAGTGATTCATGCCCGGGTGGCAGGAATGGATCATGGTCGATGGCGGCGGGACGTGCCTCTGTGCCCAAGGTGAAACATACGGGGTCGGCGACGGACGGAGGAACAATCCACCCCACACATATAACCATAGAAAGATGGAGTTTATTACCTCCCACCGATCACGATGACAGAGATGATGATGATGCTGAACAAAGGGAGAGAAATACTCGAAAGGTCCCATGGTGAAGGAGACAACAGAAACATACAGTACATGAATCGAAGTGACCACAATTCGCATCGGAGACCAAAAAAAGACAACATACAGCGCACGGCAGGCAGGCTGGGCGGAAAGGGATGGGTACCTAGGTAGGGAGGTACACAGGTAGTAAGTAATAGGTAGGCGCACCGATCGTCTGTACAAAAATCATGAAACAGCGGCCTTTTCTTGTCTGGTCCCGTCCAAGAACGGTCTTCTCTCCCTATTAGATAGATACATACCTCCTGCCTAGGTGCTCAGCTGCCCAATGTGTGCTTGCAAATGTCGATCGAAGTCGTCACCTGCCGCACACGCGCAGTGCACTCGCCATTGGTCCGGCGTCGCCATATCTCCAGCACTCCAGGTGTCCGTGGATTCCATTCTGAAAGGTGCAAGCAAGACACCCTTGGAACCTTGGAAGCCACAGGCGTGGAGGTTCTTCGACTCCAGGGCTTGCGTGGACTTTTGTAGTCCAATGCACTACGGAGTATTAGTTGGGAACCTTGGAATGCACGAATCCTATCAGTTTCGGGCGTCGCAAACCACCACATCCCTGCTGCTGCTGCCGATCCTGCCGCTGCAGCCGCCATCATTTGTTAACATCGTGGTTCGAGGGAGTAGATGGAGATGATGCAGCATGAGTATATTATACCACCATCATCAGATCAGTAACCTTGACGGAACCCAACCAAGGGCAGATATCGAACCTATCTTTGAGGTGCACAAGGTTGGCGTTCTAGTCTGGCGCCAGATCGAAGGTCGTTTGACCGCAGACTTTCCATTAGCATCACCATACGGTACAGTCCACAGTGTCCGCTATCATCATCATCATCATCATTAAACCAGCAGGGCCCTGCATGGTGAATGACGGACGATAGACGATAGTGTGCATTGGCTGCATTGGCTAGTGGGTTGTCAGAATCGTTAGTGCCACGAATAAAGTTTGTCGAGTGGACGACAACCAGCAAGGGGCACTGTGTGTGTAAAGTACTCCCAGCATTATTACAGTCTACCTAGGTGGTAAGTAAACTGTAGTGTTGTCCTGTCTATCCTGTATCTCTGTATACTACGACTGATGAATCAACCCAACAGGTGCAGTCGTCATGAATAACGGCAACGTTCAGCCGGGGCGGAACGTGGCATCTCCGACCATCAAATAAATACATGCTTAGGTACCTACTTGATCACCTTGGTAGTAATCAATAATAAATAGATTGCGAGCGAGCGAGACGATCATGATGGTCATCGCCAACACCGGCCACATAGTCTCGTCCCCGTCATCCGCCGCACAGTCATGAGTCCCCCCAGACGATGAACTAGGGAAGTTTGATGCCGCGCGAGGGAAATTGCCTGGATGAACCAGAAAAACCTCCGAACAGTGGTTTACAGGTGTCTGAAATTCGTATGTCCTGTATCTGTGTGCACCAATAATGCCCATGATGAGAACCATCTCCGGCGGCGGCATGATGACCTCCCTCGTACCGGCGGGTCAACAGTCTTCTAGCGGGCCGTTTGAACATGCATGCCCAGGTGTCCATGCCCAGGTGCGGATGTTGACAGCCATTCACGCCATTCTCCTGCGCCTCCTACTTGGGGACCCGGGCGGGTACTGAAGCACTCCAGGACATACTGTAAAAGTTCCGCCTGGTGTGCAGGACCCAGGCGCATACCGGATGCCGCTGCTACATCACTCGTTAGTCAGAATATTTACCTAGGTAGGTACGTAAGTAAGAATGATGGTCCCTACCTCGATTTGAACACCCGGTCACGCAGCTGGTTCTCATATACAGCACATGACAGGCTGTGAATGTGTGTCTCGCCACGCGGTGGGTGCCGTGGAGCAGTCTACCTGCCCAGGTACCTAGGTGGGTAGAAATGCTCCGGCGGGCTTCTCCATCCCAATTGCGATCGACCTCGGGAATGATCGACCTGCAGGAGAGAGAGAGAGAGAGAGAGAGAGAGAGAGAGAGAGAGAGCTCATCAATTGACGTCGACAAAGGACAACACGTATCATCATCTACTGTATCATTGTCATTGCTATTGCTATTGACGTATGGAAGCATAGATCACAGTGCACCTCTGAACATGGTCTCAAGACCCATCGCAGAAGCACAACGTGTTCGTGTTCAGGCGGTGCAACCAGAGAGACGTCGAGAGAGAGATATGCAGGTGATATCGGCCGTCATCAGTCCTACCTACCTAGGTACGCTCACCAACCTTGGAAGGCTAGGTACCTAGGTACTGATCATCGTTGGGAGGCACGATCCCTCACCGAAAACAGTGGACCGCTTCTAACCGATACAGGTGCTCTTGCTTCTGTCTTCTCCGCCTGCATCTCGCGCAGCAGTACATGTGCGCTCGCAGTCCTCGTCGCACCTGGGCAGATGCCATACAGGCCAGGGCTCACAACTGTCCGTCTCGCAGGCAATGACGACCGCAGAGTAAGACAAGTCGTCGGTGTGTCACAAACGCGACGTCAAAATGTCTGTTGATCTCTCGCGGTTTGCCTTCCTCCCGCTCCTCGCCAGCTTCGCAACAACTTCGCAGGCCTCTTCCGAAGAGACTGCGACATGGCGGCAGCGAAAGTAGCAACGCTGCCACACACAATCCCTCTTGCTCGCTATCTATGGGAGAGGATCAAGCAGGTCGGCATTTCAAGCATCTTCGGCGTGCCTGGAGACTTCAACTTGACTCTTTTGGATCACATTTACCATGTCGATGGCTTGGACTGGATAGGCAATACCAATGAGCTCAATGCGGCCTACGCTGCGGATGGCTATGCTCGCGTCAAGAACGGTGCGGCTTGCGTCGTAACCACCCATGGCGTTGGGGAGTTGTCGGCGCTCAACGCCATCGCTGGAGCCATGACGGAACAGGTCAAGGTCATCCACGTCGTAGGTCAGACATCCCGCGAGATGCAAGCCCAGCGCATGATGATCCACCATTCCATTGGCACCGCTCCGGATCACCAGGTGTTCAATGATGCGAGTCGGAAATTTCGCGTTGCCGCCGCCGAGCTCCACAAGGCTTCAGATCATGCAGGAGAGATTGACCGCGTGCTTCGAGAATGTTTTGTAAAATCGGGACCCGTCTATATCTTCTTTCCGACCGACCTCGTAGATCACCCAGTCCCGTCAAGGCTTCTCGATACGCCCGTCAATCTGACACCGCCATGTGATTCGGCGCGTTTGGATCTTGCGACGGCGGCGATTTTGGATGCTCTATATGCGAGCAAGCGTCCGTCGCTGTTCGCTGACTGCTTGGTGCGGCGGCATGATGCTGTCTCGGAATGTCGTCAACTCGCAGAGGCGATGGAGATCCCTAGCCTCACCTCGAACATGGGCAAAGGCATTATCGATGAAACCCTCTCATACTATATTGGAGTCTGTAACGGAGGTCAGTAATACGCAGCAACCTTTCTGCCCGTCACCACCAGGCGTTCAGCTGACGAGTGCAGATGCTTCAACGCCCGGCGTGAAGTCAGCCATGGAGTTGAGTGATCTCCGGCTCATAATGGGCAGTCTTCCCTGTGACACTAACACCGGTGGCTTCTCTCGTCCTGCCGACCCCGTCGTAGACATATACGTCAACCCGAATGAGGTCGTGATCAGTGGCCGAGCGCCAATCATCGTTCCCATCAAGAAACTTTTACAGTCCCTGATTCGAGGTCTCGACAGCTCAAGGTTGCGGCGCCCTGAGAGAATCGAGCTTCCCCAGGACTTTGTTGACGACGAAGCTGAGTCTACTCGCATCACACACGCTTGGCTGTGGGATCACCTCTCGCAGGCCTTTCTCGAACCAAACGATGTCTTGTTCGGCGAATCAGGTACGGCGCAATACGGTATACCCGGTGCGACCTTCCCATCCAATATACATTGGATCTCCCAGAATTACTACAGCAGTATCGGATTTGCGACCCCGGCGGCTTTTGGGGCTGATCTGGCGTTGCGGGAGATGGCCACTGCTCACGACCGGCCTCGGGGTCGAACCATCCTGGTCTCCGGGGATGGCAGTTTGATGCTCACGGTCCAGGAAATCGGCAACATGATCAAGCACAAGACGGCGCCGGTGATATTTATCATCAACAACTCGGGGTAAGACAGAGCACCTCACTCTTCCGTTCTCTCACATCACTGATGCCATTTTGCTGCAGCTACACCATCGAGCGAATCATTCATGGCGCCCATCAAAGCTACAATGATGTTGTCCCCTTCAATTATGAGCACATGCTAGGATTCTTCAACATGTCTCCAGTCGATGCTGCGAAGAACTTCCACAGGGTCAGCACGCGAGCTGAGATGGAGAGCGTCCTTCGGGTGGAATGTATACGCTCGCCGCAGGCGGTGCAGGTGGTTGAGGTCATCATGGATAAGGTGGATGTTCCGTGGCGGCTGAGCGCGCAAGTCGCCATGCGAAAAGATGAGGCCGATCTCCGCGCGATGACCGAGGCCGGGTTCAAGGTGCATCAAGCGTCCAAGGGTAAAAGTATCTGGCACTGAAAGGCTGACACAGCGACGTGGCCGCCCCGGCCAGCCGGCGAATATTCAGTTCACGGGCCCCATGCACAGTTATCTGAATCATCTGCGCAATGCAAAATTTAATGAATCGTCGAAACCAGTCCGTGTGATTGCTCCATTCTCCTTTGCCCCACGTGCAATGTTCAGTTCTTGCTGTCCATGTCATTGTTCCATCCAAATCTGCAGCACCTGTATAAGTGCCGGTGGCGGCCACATGCTTGCACTGCAATGCTAAGATGACCCAACTCCCCACAGAGCATCTATCACTTCGTCGGTACTGTCTGGCGTCGTGCGTCCTAACGCGCAACTACCCTCTCTACAAATTGGGGAATGATTTCCAGTTTAGTCGTGATGGGTGGCCAACTCCTCCATCGCCGCGACTCCCTGCTCCAGCTCGCGGATGCGCTGCCCAATCCGTCGCTTGACTTCCTCGGCCAAATGCTGATCGGGGCCGTCCACGACAGCCTTATATGCCTCTTGGACCTTGGTGAGCTCTTCGCGCGCCGCCTTTCGGTCGTCCTCGGCGTACACGGTCGCTTTCTCTGTCTCCTCCATGGCGATTTCAAACTCGTCCTGTGCCGTCGCGTAGAGTTCGGTGATCTCCTCGATTTTCTCGTCCGCCGTCGACTTGGAGGACAGCCATCGGTGCAATGGCTGAGGCGTGATGTGCGAGGCTGCTCGGCAGTATGTGGGCACGTTCAACCTGGGTCGCGTGATTGTTTGGATGCTGCGTCGCGCGGGAGTCCATTGGCGCACGGCGCGGACAAGGGTCGTTCTCGCCAACATCTTGGTGATCAGATGAAAGCTCGTTTATCCGACTGGATTCGATGCTCTTGATGACTGGACCTGATGAGAATTGAAGCTGATGCGGTGGGGTGTCGATGATATCCAGGAAGGCACGCCGAGGAGCTTGACCGAAACAATTCGTACTGGTGACGTACTGCCCGTGCGGACAAGGTCACCGCGTGAATGTCAGCCCGTATATGCACATTGCAATATGTCAACGATCGCTGCGTGGTATTTGGTTACATGAAGAAAGCCAGATGCTGCGTCTCCTTAATCCGAGTTTGTCTACGATTTCGTTCTCTTCGTCTATGTGAATACATACTGCAATCGTGCGGCATCCGAACCTGGACGTTCCAGGAGGCTCATTGCCCGCAGATAGCCCCAACATCAACCCTAAAGCACGACGACGGGCGCCCGCGCGGGCGATTCATACACAGTCCGGATTACATCCGCCGGTAACATGCGACTGTGAGATCGCAGCTTCGCATTCTTGCCGGAGGTATACGTCACATACAGTCGAACCTTCCAAGGTCACTTTGGTCACTGCAACAAACAGGGTGCGATCTCATATTGAGGCGATCAATCTTCGTTTGCCACGGCTTTGATCAATCAGTCTCCGCCGCAAGTTTCTGCGATGCTTGCTAGCATATGGCCATCATGGCTTTCCAAGGAGAAGGAGGAACCTCAAACCGAAGCGGACTCAAATTCAGATGTGGCGGATGAGTCCACACCGAAAGCACATCCCGTGACCCCATCCTTGGATGTGCCATCATTCACACTGAGTGGCGACGACGCAGAGACGAATAGCTCGACTGATCCCTCACCAACGACACATGAAGTCCCGATGTTTCCTGCAGCTAACAGTGCTCAGCGTGCCGATCGCATCGCGCCAGCCAACGAACAACGTTCTAAACCGTCAGTCTCCGGACCCGCGTCGCTCATGCTTCCGCCCAGTCTCTCGACAGGCAATCCCCGAGGCCTCACGGCAACAAACGCTCCAAGAGGTCCGCTACCAAACCGCGGTCCGCCTGCAAACAGCCAACAGCGGGTTAATGGTGGCCTGTCCCCAAATGGAGTCGCTGGCGCCTCCAAGGGTCGTGGCAAAGTGCTCCTGAAGCCGGGCCATTCTCCCATGGATTGGGCGGCATTGATCCGGAGCGGGAACCTCAGTGGCGTGGACACATTCCAACGAGTCACGCCAATCCAACTCAAGGCCATGACAGGCCGAAAGGGCAAGCCGGCGTGGAGCAGCTGGCAAGGCAAAGTCTATAACATCACGCCCTATTTGCCTTTTCACCCTGGAGGCGAACCAGAGTTGATGAAGGCGGCTGGTCGAGACGGAACTAAACTTTTCATGGATGTGCATCCGTGGGTGAACTGGGAAAACATGCTGGGTCCGTGCCTGGTCGGTGTTCTGGTCCCAGAAAACTATGCCAGTTCCTCTCTTGAGGACATGGATTGATTGTATAGATGTCGCCTCACATCTGAGCGCGACCACCAAGGCTGGACGGATAAACTGCCAACTGAACGCCGAATTCGCCATGGACATGCAAATTGGATCTCCTGGGGGTTTTCTCCTGGAACAGAGGGCATTTACTTCCGAAGGACAGAGGACGAGGTCCAACGGAGTCGTGATCATTTGGTGGTTTCAAGGCGATGGCCGGCCAAACTTAATACTGGCCTTTCTCATATGCTTGAGATGCACAGGCAACACACCGGGAAAGCTCATGTGTCTCGAAAGGCAGTATTGACCTCAACTGCGAGGCACTTCAAGACCTGCGGGTTGTATCTGCCTCGCCCTTGTGACTGCTCATCGAACCTGTATCATCAGAAAAATGCCGAGATTGCCCAGCTGTCTACCTTTCATTGAAGCAATGACAGCCCGAGCTACAGAGTACAGCTGCTGAAGAGTAAATATATTGCAGCAGATGGAAGAGAAACGACCATGTGTAAATTCGTCCATCCAGATTCAAGCTAGAATGATTCGAAACATCTGGCCGAGCTCACACGCCGGTATTGGCGTAGGCAAACCGATCAAACAGACTATCCGGCTGCCGGAGTTGGCGCGTATGAAGGGACTGCTACACACCAGACTTTTCGGCTGGAAAGTCGGGTGCGAGCGATCGCGCTCGCGACATCTAGAGCCAGCATGTATGCCTGCGCCTCATTTGCATCGATACTTGCTCATTTCAAGGGTCAAGCAGGGATCTCATGAGGCTCGTAGAGAAGTGCAGAATCCATAACAACCGCCACGACGCGGTCAAGCAAACAGATGCGACGGCGCCCACGATCCGATATAGATGATCTTAAGGCGGGCCGAACAATGGCCACAAGATGTCACAATTCATTCACTTCAGCGCCCTCTCCCGCAGCCAGTTCGTTACTGTGACAATCATAAATACCATCTATAGATTATTATACAAGAGATGCCAGATCCGTGCCAACTAGAACTAGCTAGATGGAATGACTATTCTGCATTAACATCCTTCCAGTCGCTCCCGGCGACAATTGCACGCCGCCTGATGTTCTTCACGTGCCTTGTCCGATCTGCTGCCATTGATGAAAATTGACGAATTTTGTGCTTGGATGGGTCACATAACTGGGGCCGCTGCTCTCATCACCATCAACCGACAGGATTGGCATGGAATGAATGACTATCTACCTATGTAGGTATCTACCTAGTAGGGGAGTGATTCTCCATCTGGAATCACATAGGTGTTTTAGTCATCATCACCCGTTCACTTTCTTCTGATAATCAACGCCGCCTCCAGCTCCTCTCGTTCACTCCCTGTCTGCCCAGGTGGGCTGGATTTCTCTTTCACTCCGCCTCTCCCTTGTAAAACTACCTAGGTACCTAGGTGCCCAGTTATGTAGTTACTACTCTCCATGGCCGACCCATACCTACTGCGCTCATGAACAGGCGTCACATCACATCACCTGCCGGCGTGTTATGCACACCAACAATTTTGTCAATCTTGGCCGCAAATCTCGCAGTCTCTCGCCGACACTCTCGCGCTCTTTTGAGACAGACTCTCACACTCCTCAACACATGGGCCCTCAAATCCTCGAAGGCTCGAGATTGTATCCCAACCGGTCAGGATGCAGTGGGGTACGGTGGCATACATTGACCTTACGGGTGACGATGACGACGACAGAGTCGACAGCAGCAGCCGACATAGATCCAACACACTCGAAAATTCGGGTTCAAGTCAAGAAAAGGCGATCATGATTTTGGATGCTCCCGATCAGCAAGATTTGGTGCAAGTCGGCGGCGGTCCTGGCAAAGACAGCAAAGACTGCAAGAGTGCGTTGTCGGTCCAATTGAACGCGTCGCGTGAGTGCTCTACGATCGACCTTCTGAAGCAAAAGATTGTCAACAAAACCGCTCCGATCGCTTCGGTTCACGGCGTCGGGTCTCAAAGCCCTGCACGCGAAAGTCTTGGCGACACATCAAGGTCTCCTGCGACAATTGCAGCTTCTATAATTGGCCAAGAAGTCCCTGCCGCAGCCCCGACGCCGTTGTCATCCTTAGGGCATAAATATCCGCGTAGTCACGTAAATGTAAACATTGTCAATGCAGCACCTGCAGGCGCATCCGTCCCACCAACGCCGGCGGATGCTGTTGGCCACCCGATCGATAATGCAAACCACTGTGTGACACATGCGCAACACGAGCAAACTGGTTGCTCCGATGCTACGTCGAGACCGATATCTAGTCACGACAGGACTCTCAGTGTTGGGTTCGATTCGCGGAGTGCATCTCATACTACCTTCCAAGAAAACACCAGGCTGGACCACCAGCAAGGCAGCGACGGTGTTGTTGATGTCGGAGAATCAGCAATCCACGCTATACATGGGACCGTAGCAGAGGTTTCGCAGCGCCAGGATACGGCCACCCATTGTGAACCAACATTATCAACGGAGCACGTGTTGCACGCGGAACGCAAGTTGTCGGCGACCGTGATGAGCAACTCGGATCCTGCGCAGCTGCCATCTCAAAATACTGTTTCCCTTGGCGTAGCGACACCGCACAGCTTGACTCCACAGCCTTGTCTACTGCATGGTGGAGAGTCCGACCTCTCACGCGCCACGCACGTCGGGCAGGGACCCTTGCAAGACCAAAGGAGAATCCTATCTTCCGGCTGTGAACCGATAAGTGACCTTCCATCTCAAGGCGGACTAGATTGCTCTGAAATTGCCACACAAAAATCGTCACAGAGCCTTGTAAACCACAGGAAAGAAGCCCGACCTTCCCCGGAGCTGTCGAGAAGCACGGCAGGAATTCCTCGAGCTGTCGAGCTGTGCATGGAAGATTATTTACGTTCTTCCGAACCTGCCTCCAATTCTTCTGTCAACTTGGGTGTTGAGGTTGTCAAGCGCAAACGACTGAGGTCTCTCTCACCGCCACCTAGTCATTCGCTATCAGATCATTCCGCATCAGAAGAGTCTCGAAGGTCTCGAAGTAGACCAAGAAAGTCTGCATGGGAGGATGCTGGAGGTGACACTGCACATTCTGTGGCAATCAAGCACACAGCAAACGAACTGAAGCATTTACGAAAGTTGACTGGCACTCTCGTTGCATCAAAGAGACCAGCGAGCGGGCCTCGTAAAATCTCAGGGGCAAGTATGCCAGTTGAACGAGGCTCGACACGGGTTCCGAATGTGACAAATGAGCTTCGAGATCGACCATCGGATTCACGGATCCAATCACGAGCCATATCGGAATCTACCCAGTCACGTTTACAGCGCAAGGATGTTTTGCAGACCGTGGTGGTGGACAAGCCTTCTGGAAAATTTCTCCTCAAATCAAGCGATCGCGAGCGACCTCCAACAAATGAACAGTCGCAGCCGAACAAGTCTCTCGCAAACGCGCTGCAAAACGACCGGCGACACAACGATGCTGCACTGACCACTTCATCGGGGCGAGGGAGTGTTCCAATAGTCTCCATCGAGTCACGGGAGGACGAGGTGCGTGCGGACCGAAATGGCTCCGCTCGAATCGCCGAAAACGTCAAACGAGAAACCTCACGGTCAGATCGCTCCGCAAGCGGCATTATCAGTAGCATAGGAGCGAGGGATCCACGACCCGCTGCTCATGCATTGGAGGTCGAACGGATTAGTGGTGCGAATCGGCCGGAAGTGTCGTATCTTCCAGGCCCGGACGTTCCCGAAAGCAGCGACGTTGCCTGCGATCCTGCCGGAATGACCGTCTGGCCTGACAATGATGTTACACTCGATGCACGCATCAAGTCCGTCATCCAATCGCGCTTACAAGAGTGCCGAGAAGACACAGAATATTGGCATCAGATGTGGTTGAAGAAATCCCGAAACAAAGCCGCAATACAGACACAAAGCAATCTGGGAACACCGACTTCGGTATTTGCGCGAATGAGGCCATTGGCGGTGGCCCATGGCAAACAAAAAAGCGTCGACCGCCGAGCCGCCGAGTTCCAGGTCGAGCTTCTCAATGTTGGAAAACCCACCAAAGCCAGCTCATGGTCGGTGACGTGCAGCATGTTGGCGTCGGCGGGCCCGGAGACAAACGAGCCACCGAATTACTCGCACTATGTCAGTATCAAGAACAACTTTCTCGCGCACAACGAGACTGTGTTGCAGCGCTGGCCATACTTCGGCGAAGATTTCAACGATGCTTATGAAGCGCCGGGCCTGGCTGAGAATTACTTCTTCGATACCATGGAAAGACCGAGAAAGCTGGACTGCATGCTCCAAGCTGAGCGGCTCGCGGTGTATGCACAGGACATGCTGTTCGATATCGGTTGTAGTTGGGTGCACATTCTAAGGTTCCTGCTTGAGGCTCGCCCAAACGTTGGATCAGATGCAAGTGCAATCAGAGCATTGGCGGCGAGGGAAAGCTTCTGTGACGAGGACTTTGCACGCAACAGCCGTAGATGGAGCACTTTGCTGCGCAAACTTCCGGCAGCTTCAGCTGATCTCGTTGGCCGAGCAGCTGTGCTTTGCGAGATATTTCAGAAAAGCACAGGGTTGAGGCTGTGGCATGTCGCTCGGAGGAGCGACTACGTTGCAAGTCTGTTGGCTGCCACGCCCGTCGTCGAACCGGGAGCACTGACATGTCGAATATGCATGCGCCACAACTGTCCTTATCACGGAGAGATTCACGAGAGCCTTGCGGGTAGCGACGTTCGGGTGCAGGAGACCGCCGACGATGAGGCTGTCGAGACCGACATCATCGTTCCGCGTGAAGTCAACTTTCGACAGCGCGTCGAGTTCCCTTCCCGTGCGGACGGCGACGAAGTGACCAGTCCGTCTAGGGAGAGGCGCCCGTTGAAGTGGTGGCTCGAATCTGGCATCTTCTGGCGAGCGGAAGATCGCCCTCCATACTATCCCTGCTCACATCCGGGCGAGAGCTGCTCAAGTGCGCAGTGCATCTGCTTTCGGAACAACGTGCCCTGTGAGAAAATGTGCAGTTGCGATGCAAGCTGCGATCGGAAATGGCAAGGATGCTCATGTTCGACGAAGACCAGGAAGGGCCAGAAACACGTCTGTTTCGAGGATGATCGTTGTGCGTGCTACGGTCTCAACCGGGAATGTGATCCTGACTTGTGCGGGACATGTGGCGTCTGTGAGGTTCTCGACCCATTGCATCGACCTCACGACACCATTCTCTCCGGGCGCTGCAACAACGCCAACATCCAACGCGGCGTCGCCAAGCGTACACTGCTGGGCACGAGTATGGTGCATGGATTCGGCCTCTACGCAGGGCAGAAGATCGTCGAACATGATTTTGTCGGCGAGTACAAAGGCGAAATCATCACTAAAAGCGAGTCCGACCGACGTGCGGCCGTGTACGAGCATCAAAAGCTGAGTTATCTTTTCTCGCTGAACAAAACGCAAGAAATCGACAGCACGTATTTTGGCAACAAAGTTCGGTTCATCAATCATGCCGATAGCAAGAAGGCCAATCTCTATCCTCGAATAATGCTTGTCAACCTGGTCCATCGGATTGGCCTTTTCGGCTCTCGCCATGTCAAAAACGGAGAAGAGTTGTTCTTTGACTACGGACCTGAATTTCCCGATGAACAGCTTGGAGGCGTCAAAGCCTCGAAGAAGGGTTCTACGTTGAAGGCCGCCAAATCTGCGCCTCGGGTGCGCAACTCATTACTGACTCGGGAATTCTTTGATGTCGATTACCGTCAAGATGCGCTAGGTAACCGTCGTGCTGTAAAGGCCGGCTTTGGTGGTACTTGGGATCAGTCACAAGTTCTCTCCCAATCGAACGATGATGGCATGCTGCCTCCGAGCGCTAAGGCTAGTTCGAAGCGGCGGCGCAAGCTACAAAGACAGCGCGTCATAATAGATGACGACGATGACGACGAGGTGAACGATTCGCACGAGGAGAATGAGGAGGAGCGTGAGGGCCTGGTTGGGGCTGGCGCCCGGAACCGACATCGCGGGCAACAGACGGCTTTCGAAGGGTGGTATGTCAACGACGGGCTTCAGGCCATGGACATCGACATCGATGCGAGCGTAGACGGAGACTTTGAGCCAGACGATGATGACGACTCTGGTAGCGGTTCAGAGTCTAGCCAAGGAGAGGATGGTGCCAACAATGCGGACGACGACAGCGACTCGAGCGACTGAAAGCTCTGAAAAGATCCCGTCTGGCGAACTGTCCGGAACGGAGTTGAATCCGGTGATTATTGGTAGCAAGCGGGTTCTGAGGGCGCGACCGGCAGAGGCAGTACCACGTGTGTGCTTTCGTGTCGAGACTCGCGTCCACTGTGATGGGACCATCATGCCAACAAACCCATTTCAGCACTGCTCATCTGCCGCCTCATACCATTCACCAACAACTACGCAACAACGGCCGTCTCGGCTTCACAGTCATTTCGACCTTTTCCGTTTAGTCACTGTCAGGCCTCGCAGACGTGGAGCAATGCTGCCGGGTGGGCCACAGTGAGTATCGGCATGTTCCACTAACCATGCATGTATACGTTATGAGGGAAATGTTGCGATGCATGCATGTATGTCTGGCGGCGGTATGGACAGCTGGGTGTCAACCTCTTCGAATGGCTCATGCGACAGCCACGGAAGCATTTCATCCGACGTTTCACCAGCAGCACTTCCACTCTCGAGCTGTACCACCCCAGTGTCCAGCCAAAAACGGCAGATATTACGTGAAGTGACCGTCTAGCCCCAGCCGCGTAGAAGTTGTCATGAGACCACTCCTGGAGGCCCAGACCGCCGCCATGCCCGCCCGGATATCCACCGGATCGCATCATGGATGGTCGTGAAGCCGGACTGGACAAACCTTCTGTAAATGGGCGTTATCTTGGGCACCAACACGCCAAGAACGATCAGGTTGTGGGTATCAAGAAGTTGTGCGGTATCGATTTCGTAATTGATACCGCTTCGATGGCAAGCATAAAAGCCCCTGTACTCATTGCGGATGCCCGAAAAGCTTGGGCGCGATGGTCTAGTCCGCTCGAGTCATTATGCACGCAAATCGCAATGAAAATCCATCATGAAGCTTCCTCGCGATTGCCGCCGTGTTGATGCCGGAAAATTTGTAATTGACCAGAACGTCGCAATTTCACCATTCCGATTGGCACTGGAGATTTATCGGAGAGTTACCTTTCGATCAACATTTCTCGTGCAGACTACTTCCGCAAACATTCAGGGCGCGCGTCTAGACCCGAGGATCTGCATTGGGAGGAACCATTGACCGGGAGAAGGGGTCCACATCCGAACATTGATGACAATGCGCAAACGATTATAACCATAATAATAAGGTTTCAAGGGTCGGAGAGGTCTCGACCGGTCGTCTCCCCTCCTTTCAGCCCTGGAGGATGGCCAACGTCTGCACGGTAGGAAAGGAGCAGTGGACTGTTTATCCCGTGTCCAATGTGCTGGTGTGTCGCGTGTGTGTAGAATTGGCCTTGCGACGACTCTGATTCCGCAGCCGAAACATGTAGGGTCGCTGTCCCGGGCCCGTGGAGGAGATCTTCGTACCCGCTCGAATTTCCGGTCTGTTGTAAATAAATGAATGTTTGCGCTAATAACGTTTGGCGAGCTGTGCTTTTGCGAACACCACATCAGAGTCCAACCGGCACAATCCATCCGGGAAGGGGGGTGGAAGGCGCACATCGTGAGATTTAAGGGTACCGTATACATTGTTGGCTCGGAGGACGGAATCTGCTCACAGAAAGCCGTCGAGAGTGCGCACAGAGAAGAGACGCAGGGTCTGTCGTTCTCGAACGTTGTCGGCTTGCAGTCTGCGAACCAAGACTCCCACTTGTATCCAAAACCGAGGTCTTAAGACGGCTACCGGCATCCATTCGGATTTCCAGACTGACAAAAGACATGCTGATGTTGGCTGGAGAGTCAAAAAGAGAAAGCGCCGCCTGCAAGAGAAGGCGGTGGCACTGCAGACAATATACAAAGATACAGACCGCTCCCGAAAAGCCTTCTCGGTGGCATTGCTTCCCGATTGAGGTTCTGGTACTGCAGCAGTGGACCTGTTGACTAGAGTTCGAGAGAAGAGAAATGGCGCATGGAAGCAGGATTGGCATATCCCCTAATTACGTGATTGGAAATGTCGCCTTGTACATGGCCGTGACCGTTTTCTTTGTCAAATCCATCCATCACACCCTGACTGTGCATGTCAGCCGAACCCTCCGCAGCGTTCCATTCCGGCAGCACAACATGTCACTCATCATTTAACAAGTGAGGACTCAGCCTATGGACATCTCCACAATTTGAGAGACACCTCTCGATCATAATCATGATCGGCGGCGAAAGGGTTCAGATCAGACAGGACATATATTCCGAGCTTCTTATCAGCGATTGGCGTCGATCCAGAGACGCCCACAGACACATGGGCCACAGTCTAGGCTATCCTCCCTCGTGATCGAGACAACTTTTGGGAGCAATGTAGGTTTGCACCGCTTTATTCAACCATGGGCGTTGACCCACCTTCCTCTTCCAAAATAGTTGTTGCGTGAAATTAAGGAAGTTCTTGGTCATCAGAATGAGAATTGTCATGTTTATAATTCCAAACCTTTCAGCAGTCTCTTGTTCGGCTCGCCGGGACATGGGTGCATGGGTCGGCAGTCCTGAAGATGTGTAGACCTGGTGTTCCTTCCTCACTCAGGGACGTTTGCCTTGACGGAGATACAGGACCTTGGACAAGCCGGTTGAGAGATTGTTCTGGCCAAGAGGAGAGTAGGTTGGTACAGCACGGTGACAACGGTCGTCAGTGAGACCTTCACATGACGAGCAGAAAGGTAATTCACAAGGTAGAGGGCATGCACCCAACTTCAGCCCGGGATGCGCCGCGAGACAGATATCCACATCAGGCCAGACGACATCCATAGATATCGATTATTGTACTGTAAGCCCGGCCAAGCAGTATGGGTTGTATCGGTGGTGACGGTGGGAATGGTGGGAAAGTCGACCATGCGCGCGGAAGGTGAGGGAGCCCAAGCCGATGGACAGGCAGGAAATTCACCAGACATGTGTCAATTCCTACTAGTATGGGAGATCGTCGTGCAAGGATCAGCGGCCTCTGTTGGTCGGGATTCAGTCTGTCGTTGACATTGGCGCATACAAACCGTAGATGTGTTTTAATGCGGACGGGACGGGAGCAAACTGGATGGAGGGCGTCAAGTGTAAGAGAGGGAGCGGAGATATAGAGTGCGCCGAGACATGTCTCTGCTGATGGAATGAATGGCAGACAGTACAGTAACGGCAAGGCAAGCACAGCTGAATGTACACCATCACTGCGGTACACCGAGGTAGGTACCGTTCGTTTCCTGCATGGGCGGGCGCATTGCCTTGACGGCACCCGGCTAGATGTTTACAACTGTTCCAAGGTAGTTTCTGCGGGGGGCATTTTGGGCATGCAGGTCAACTTGAACCCTTTTTCCTTATTACATATTACTGTGCTAGGTATTGTGATAACTCGGGCTGTACTGTACTATACTGCGATCCACTGCTTGTACCCTTTTCCGACTTTGGAAGGTTTCTCGACCATGATTAGCTAAGCAATCAGCTGTCAGCTGTCTCTCATCAGCAACTATCTGGGGGCACCTGAGGCGTCTGGCCAGCCAGCCAGCCCTGGAGGCAGGCAATGGAGGGTTGGAAGGTTGAAAGGCAGATTCGCCCTGATCATCATCTTCGATCGCATGGAAGGCGCAAAACACGATCCCGATGCCCACACCGGCCTAAGTAGATGAAAACAACAGAATACCGGGTAAACTGCAGTCCTGTCCTCTCCTGTCGCGTCCTGTCCTGTCCGTGCCACATCACCACTACTTGCCATATATCTCCCTACCGCCGCCTCTTTCCGCCAAATGATCGCACACCATGGTAATACACACACACATTACCTAGGTGCCTAGGTAGGTATTGTATCTGAGTCACAAGAGGGGAGGAGACTGGAGGCTGCCGTCGTCTCGTACATCGACACCCGACTGGGCCTCGCGCTTTCCAGGCGGGCGGGAATGTCTGCCATGTCCTCTGGTCGGCAACACACCTTGGGCGCACACACACACACGCATATACACATATTCTCTCTCTCATCATCACCACCATCATCATCATCATCCTCATCGTCATCATCATACAACCATCCTCTTTGGTCTTCGCCCGCGGATGGGAAACAGTTGTCCCAGTCCCAAAATCATTCCATCGCCACGAACCGTTCGCAGCTCACTGCTACCGACGCAAACGTAAAGGATTTTATAAGCATGTCACTGTGTAGAAATCCAGGATCATCCAGTTCACTACAGCACCCGTACCCACCAAGGGGAGGCGCGGGAGGAGGACACACCAATACCTAGGTACCTAGTATGCACATACATGTATATGCGGCATGAGAGAACAGGCTCAGCCTTGTCGGTCGACACGGCTGTATCTACATCTGTGGATACCTAGAGAGGGAGTTGTATCACGTCCCACACCGTATATGTCGATGACCCATGAATGCTGTAGTTATGTGCTGTAGAATGACACGTCCCTCCTTGTCCTCCAGAAAGGCACTGTAGCGTACCCACGTACTGTACGTAGCATCCATGGATACCTAGGTGTAGGGCAGTCGTCGAGGACGTCTCATCACACTGGCGTAGAGTACCCATCAATGCCTAGGAGTTGATGTTTATGCGCTCTCAATGGTGCAGCAGTTGACTGCATCCGCACACTCCATCATTCGACAGGCCTACCTAGCACGCCGAGGTAGGTATTGTAGCAGAGCAGAGCAGAGTGGGAAAGATCCAACCAACAACCACCCATCCATGGTGGTGATGAGAGAATTTCCAACGCTCCCGTCGGTCGTTCGTCCAGACCTCGCCCTCGTTTGGTCTGGAAGGTATGTACCTTCCCGTAGGTTCGCCCCTTCCCCGACCGTGGCTCGATGATTCGCCAACCGGACCTAGTGAATATCCTTCCCCTTCCACGCCGGGGCGCGCCAGGAATTTTCTGAATCTTTCTAGGCCGTAGTGGCCGCCTCCGCCGCCCAAATCCCCGATCGCCTGTTCCACCAATCTCTTGGGACTCGTTCGATAGTCTAAATCGCGAACACGCGCGCAACACACCACCGCTCTCACCTGTCTCTTTTACCTTTGGCCATCACCACCTGCACCACCACCAGGGCACATCCATCTCAATCACACACACACACACATTCACACACACACACACACACACACACAGCTACTCTCTTCCCTCATGCTCCGAAACCACCCTCCCAAACGCCGTCGGGCGTGGAAAGTGCAATAATAAGCGTGTGCCTTCCAAGGTTCCTCCTCCTGCTCCTCCTCCCAGGCTGTCACTCGGCATCACGATATTTACTGCATCGCCGTCCTCCTCCCATTTCCACCCTCCATCCTCTCCTCCTGTGCCTCCCCTTCATAAACCACATAGTCCCGAAGATCTTTTGCCTCAATTGGTCACCGTCGCGTCTGCAAACATCTCTCGATCATCCTTCCGCTCCTCGATTATCGGCTGACGCCTCAACCCATCTCCGATGGACCTTGCTTGACCGTCCCGTCCACGCGAAACCACTACTACCGGCCCGCCGCCTGGTACTTATTATGCCATCGTCCTCGACTTCCTTCTCGCCCTTGTCGACATCGTCCGCTTACCACCTCGACCACCGTCGCCAACACCCCACCCACCAGGACGATTACTTTGCTTATGAGCCCATCGCCTACAACAATTCCCACTTTTCCTCCGAGACCCCTCTGACTTCGCCAGCCTTCATCGCGAGCCACGGCACAACGCTGTCCGACCCCCACAATCCTCTGCTTGCACAACGTGAGCTCCCGTCTCCGCTGTTGTCGACCTCGCCCAGGATGGCAGCCAATTTCCTTCAACTCCAGACCGGCGCCGCCTACAGCACCAAAGGTTCCAACCCGACGGCCAGCCGACCGGCTGTCCGACCCACGCAGAACCTGCTTGACCTGGACGGCTCTTCCGACGGGTCCGATTGCTCGGCCGTCGACGCCTGTCCTTCTTCGCAGGAATATGCCCGCTGCTCCCGATGTCAGAGGACGCCGAGCATCGACGTGAGGACGGGGCTGTGGAACATGATCCAGTATGGTCTGAACCTGTGGTACTGCAGCCGCTGCGCCGCGTTGGTCGGACTGCCTAAGCGTTGAGCAATGAGCGAGCTCCGTCCGCGATATGCGACCATGTCTCCAATCACAACCACTTTGGCTATGAAAACACACACGCCACACAACCCCTTCCAGAGATCTGGATCACCACACCGTACATCGACTGCCTAGCAGTAGGTCGAAGGATGCAGTACATTTCGTACCTTGCCAATACATACAATGGCCCGTCCGACGATACACCCCAGCGCACACCACAGCGCCAAGCATGCCATGATCAGGCTGTAATGGGAGAGTCCTTCACATTCCTTCCGGTCGACTTGCACAGGGAGATTGGTACTCACCTCTGCACACAAAGCCTTACACTGCAGCGTCGCGCTGGAGATCAACCGGTCGCCCGTGCTTGACAGGCGATGCAATGCATGAAAGGTCATGAGACGATTTGATAGTCCGCTGAACGAGCTATCCGCCATCGAATGGGAGTTGATTCCGCGCAGAACAGGGCATTTTGAGCGAATTTTTTTTTGAATTTAATACTCCATTGATACCCTAGCATTGCTTGAATGAAAATTGTTACATGCATTGCGGTTTTGGTGATCCATTGTCCTCAAATGACTTGACTAGTAAATTTATAGATTGAATCTTATTGCTTCCCGGATTCGCCGTGTGAGAGCACTGCTGATTTGAACTGGAGTCTACACCGGAACGGAATTGTTTCGTGACCGGTATCTCACTTCGTCGGTCGGCATCCGTTTTGGCGGGACCGAATGGAACATTCACAACACCGCACACAAGTTGCAACTTGATTTCCGTGGAATGCAGATGTCATACCGCAAATGGGCATTGATGCATAGTTCGGCGCCCGCGGCCATGGGTCCCATCACGGGATCTCGTTTGGTGGCGGATCGGGGGATCGTCCATCAGATCGTGGCTTATGTTTAGGGATCGCACACAGAATCTCTCTCACGCGCGACAATTGGAGACGGACTTCACGCCACGGTCCGTGCGTCCCGAGGGGATATGCGCTGGACAATGGCCAAAATTATGTCTGAGATCTTGCGTCTCACAGTGCCTCTTTGAGGGCATCTACGTATGTACATGTTCATGCCCTCCGCCCGAAAAGGACGCCGAGTATGGGCAGTCAGTGAAAGGACAGTGGGATGCTCGCGCGGGTTTAATTCCGCAGTCATGCGTGTGCGACGAGCTTACAACGATTCACGACCGCACAAACGCACCGACTTTCGCTCGTTCCCAGCAATACGGCCGGACGCCGGCAGCTCTGCTCGGCTACCGAGGGGAGACGCGTGAGCAAGAATCTTCCCACTCTGCGCGCGACTGCCAACTCTCGGAGGGAACGACAACAGCTACAGAGGCTCAGTGACGACGACGACGACGACGACGACGACGACGACGACGACGACGATGATGATGATGGTGGTGGAGATGGCTTCCATAGGCGTTGCGCCTCTTAGCCCCAATCTCCCTCGTGTGCCCATACGACGCGATGGGTTTGCGCCAAAACCCGGGTCATTTGGAATCCGGAAGGAGTGTGCAGGACGGGCGGCGCAAAGCTCGTGGACAGTGATCTTGAAGTGTGAACGATCCGGATCTGCGATCTGACGTTAGATCTTCGATGATTGAGGTTCGGGCTTGGCGCGGCAACCTCGGGAGCTATTTTAGCTCGGGGGTTTCCTTCCCTGTTGTTGACGCTACTGTGCTGCGGTCGACTGGCATTCCCTCCACCGATAGGCTGCACTCGGCACGGCGCCAGTGGGAAACTCTCAGTCTATGCAAGTCATCCACCACCACCTTTTTCCCTCCCGTGTGTCTCTCTCCCTCCTCTCCGCCTCAGTATACAGGACAAGACTACATGCTCGCTCGTCAACATGCCAGACCGGCCTGGTGCGGAAACGCCGTCGTCGTCGCCCGCGTCCTTCTTCCACTAGAACAACACGACCTCCGCCACTAATGCTCCGTCCACGGTACAGTAGCCCGAGTACGTCCTCTACCTGGGTACTGCAGTATTCGCCCGTACCGACCGCTCCCAAGATTGCCTCTGATTTCTCATGGCATGCAAGCCGGAGTCTTCCCGGCGATTGATATTCACGATCCCACTTACAATGCCACGATGCGCCCTGGATTCAGACGATAACCGGACTGCATTCCTGCTCCCGACGGTGACGATCCTTTCCTTGAACGTCTGTCCACATTGAGTTACCATCATTCCACGTGCGTCCCCTCGGGTCCGTCGTCGTCACCAGTTGCCCGCCCGCGCAGAGAAAAGATGAGTGTTTCCGGTGTCGCTCCTGCGGTTCAACACTACCACGACTACACATGCGCATGATGATTTGACCGTCTGTTGACCACCAGCGCATCGCCAATGATCGACACGCCCGCATCGGCGCTTGCAGACCGACACGTTTGCGCACTGCAATGTCGATGCTGGTGCCGCGGTGATTGCATCAGGACGAGAGAATCGATACTCGATGGACACCACGCGCCATTGGGTTTCCTTCGTAATGATGTTGCCTACAGCACTGCAGTCGTCATCACATTTGATTTGTGCCGGCTTTCGAGCCTCGGCCCCTGCAGTGCGCTTCTGTTCATGCTGCACGAACAATAAGATTTCGAAGTATGAATACAGTAGTGACATGATAGGTCCGTGGCCAGTGGCCTCTTGAAATCAACCCGTTACCCCTATGACGTGCTTCCCACATGTGAGATGCGTCACCCTCAATTCCACGTTTGCGCGCCAACCAGGCGTGAGATTGGCAAAAGCTCTCGTTTCGTCTTCGCGATCCCGAATCCTGCGCTATGAACACCTACTGTGGTGGACTGTACACGTTGTACACATACCGCACTGGCGAGCTGCATCGGCCAAGGAGCGCTTACCAAACAGTGGACGACCCAGACAGCCACGCGCGAGCGGAGAGGTTCGCCCAGGGCATGGCACGACGCTGCCCAGGGTGGCCGCGAGAAGAGAGGCGCAGGCGAGTGGCGCACCAAACATATGCGCTCTTTTCTAGTCTCTTACCAGCGGGGCCCTCTCCGTGCACACCTGGGCATACAGTATGATGAGGTCCTGTCATTGGTTGGTCGCTCCTCACAGAATTCCCCGTGCATTCCTTCTAGCGGTCGTCGCTTTTCATGGTCTTCTGCTGTGTCCCGAACAGCCGGGTCTCATCTACGATCTTGCCTGGCGATCACAGATGCCAATGTAACCACACCTGGAAGGCCACGTACAATTATCACTGTATATGCATCGACCTACCCTACCCAGATCTGCGAAATTTCGCCTCTCCGCTCATCGTTGGTCTGCACTGTGCAGGCGCTGTCGCCGTCGCCGCTTCCGTCCGTCGTCTTTCTCCGCAATATCATTCATTCCATCGGGCGATGTGGCCATGAGTCGGCCTCTCAGCCGAAGTCGCCACAGACCCACAACCGGCGTGAAGTTCCAGACTCATCACGATCCCTCATCTGATTATTGATAGAACCCTAGAAAGCCTCTCTGCGAGGCACTGTATTGCACATACATAAGACCCTGGAAATATCCAGGGCTTCAATCCTTTAGGGTTATGAAGGTTCCAAATGTAAGCGAACTTCAGCTCGTGCAGTGTGCACCACGAATTAATTCGACGCCAATCGCCAAATTCGGCTGACGAGAAATTTCCGGTTTGGAAACGGATGCGTGGATTAGTATCATGTACTCCCACTGCCTAGAGAAAGTAGGAAACAAATTCAAGCAGTGAAGCTTCGAAAGAGAAATTCCAAGCCACACCTCGCATCCCACAATGGTAATCAGACACGGTCAGCCTGATGACGGGTCAAGCGAGCTTGTCTGGAATGAAATTGTTCACATGTGCAGCCCAGGACATCACTCAGAGGTGTGTGACAATAAGCTTCACGTCAGATCTTCCGTAACTCCTACGTAACACAGTAAAAACATGTGACGGCAAGCTGATCAATGTCTCAGCTGGGCCTAAGTACCAAAGAGCATCTCTTGCGCGTGCGTACAACATTCGATCTGCTCAAAAGGGAACCCTATTGTAGCCCAGTCCACATATATCTGGCGACCCAATATGCTCGCTTGGGGTATCCTGATCTCGCGGCTGGGTCTGCCTACAAGGCCCTCCTCCTGAAAGATGCAATTGACGAGCCGTCCGAAGAATATCATGATCAGGCCAATGAGGCAATGCAATCTATCGTGGAGTCGCAGCCGGACGAGGAGCGGAAACGATTGCAGGACTGGCAGGCCAATTCAGAGTCGCGGGACGAGGATGGTCTTCGTGAGCAGGTCGCCGACATGAGTGAAGTTCAGCTGTGGATGTACATGCACTATGCCCCAATAATGTAAGGATGGCGTTGTTCCCTTGAAAGCTATCGGCATGGGTGGTCCAAGCTAATCTCTTGATCCAGGTATGCCATATTGACCGAGAGCCTGATACTGTGCGGCTGCCTGCGCACGGCGGATACCTACATTAAGCAAGCTCGACGGTCCTATCCAGATCGGGTCGACTTCCGCGACATACAAGAAAGATTGCTGACGACGGCGGAGCAGAGGATGTCTTTGCCGCGCGAAGAGATCCTGAACGTCACTGCAGAGTGGCCTGATCGCGGGTTTGTCCGACGGGAGCAATATCCTTGGAACGAGTATGAGCCTAGTCGACTACAGGACGTGGACACTCTGAACGTTTGGATGCAAGCAGTGTCTAGCGTCCTCGAGGTCCGTGTGGTGGAGCTGCCTGTCCTCTCTGGAGGTAAGGCCACATCAATATTCCAGCTCGGCGTGTTTGCCAAAGAGGACCTTGCACCAGGCCAAGTTGTGCTGCAGGAGAAATCTCTTCTGACTGCGAACAACAAGCTCCAAGACACGCTCTGCGATGCATGTAGCTCTGATCTGCCCGAACTTGGGAGCGAAGCCGCCGAAGCCGTGGTAGCTTGTCCGGACTGCGAAGTCATCTTCTGTAGTCAGTGGTGTTTTGACAATGCCTTGGAGCTCTATCATTCAGCTCTCTGCGACAAAGACGTCGAAGCCATCGCCAAGGACGTCCCGCCCGCAGAAGCTGCCGACTCGCTTTACTCGCTCCTGCTGCTGCGCGTTCTGGCCATGGCAGAGACACAAGAGTGCCATCCATTGAGCCTACGCGAGGTCCGATATATCTGGGGCGACTTCACGAACATCTCGATTGGACCCGACCTGCAGCAGACACTCACCAATTCCGACAGCGAAGGGAACGCAAGTGTGTCCCGCCCGAAGACGCTTCCGTTCAGCTTTGAGCACAACATCCGCCTGCCCTTCCACATGCTTGAGAAGATGGACGTGGACATCTTTCAACAGGTCACGTATGATGTGTGGACATTCAATACGCTATACGCGAAGTTCCGCGGCACCGCCTCGGCGCGGCTCTCTGGCACGGGCGGACGGGCAATCCGAGGACCAGAGGTAAGTGCAGTGCATCCCATGTGGTGCTTGGCCAATCACAGCTGCGAGCCAAATGTGACATGGGACTGGGGCGGCGAGGTCAAATTTTCAACTCGTGACGTACCCATTCGCAGCCGTCGTTCAGACGGCGAGGAGCGAATCTCGACTTTGGGCGTCAAGAAGGGGGAAGAGATTCTCAACCACTACTGCGACATTGACCTGCCGGTCCGCGAGAGAAGAGAGTGGGCATCAGGTGCTCTCGGAGGTGATTGTCAGTGCGCGAGATGTGTATGGGAGACAGCATCAGAAACGCCTTCTCGCTCGTGAGTAGATGAAGGTTGGAAGTCTTGAAACGTCAATTCATTAACCTTATATCAATCGTCTCTCCGGGTGCGCCGAACGCGGCTCAGTTGAGTGCGAACGGCGCCTCGGCCTGAAACCGCTAAAATCGCCAGACAAAGCACGCCATTGAAGATGGCCATCAGGAAGAAAGGTGCGCCGACACTCCAGGAGTCAAACAGCGCTCCTCCCAATTTGGTGAGCAAAAGGATGCCAACACCTCCCACGAGGCTGTATATACCTGCAATGCTACCTTTCAGTCGGGAACGATCCAGTGACACATTCGTGCTGTCTGCAGATTCAGTGGAAAGCAACGGAGCTGCCTCAGCACCTTCGTTCGAGACTTCATCGCCCGGTGCCGACTGTGCGCCTGTACCGAGCGAGCTGTCGAGCCCGGCTCCGTCGGCGTCAGAACGTCGATGTATTCCTCGGCCGAGCATCCCCAGGGAACAAACGATCGCACCGATCTGGCTGATGCCGACGAAAGTGACAGACAAGAGCGCCCACTCTCCGCCATGGCCATGGAATGCGTCTGGATTGCGAAGCAAACCGAAGCTCACATAGCCGACTATACCGAAAAGGGTCGCGAAGAGCAACGGCCATTCTGATCTTCCCTTGGCCGCGCGCCCAGCAAGTACACCAAACAGGGGAGCGCAAAGGAGAGCTGCAGTCTCAGCAATACCTGACAGCGCTGCAGCGAGCTTGTATGCCCGCTCACAATTTTCCTTGATGTCTTTGGAATTGTCCGGATTTGCTGTACATAGCCCGTTATGAACAAAGTATGCATTGACAAAGAGCGGGATGAATAGGCTGATGGCCACCGAGGAAGCCCGCGCTACGAACCCTCCTAAATAGCCCAGTCCGATGTCGTGATCAGTAAAACCGAGCTTGACCGATTCCTTGATCAGTGAAATGTATGTTGGTGCTGGAGAAATTGTCGTGTGGAGATTCCCCTCTGTATCGAGGCTCGTAGTTTCATCGTACGGTGTCCGGAAAGTCCCTCTCCAAGTTTTGCCTGCCTCGCCTGGCAGATTTCGAAGGCCGAAGAATGTGAATAAGGCTACGGCAAAGGCGATTGCAGCCACAATGTAGTAGCTCGTCCGGACGCTTTCCGCTTGGCTCTGGCCTTTACTTTGGAACAGAGCTGGAAGAGGAAGGAATACCGCAAGTGCAAGTAGGGCGCCCACTCCCGTGAATAATCCTACAATGCCGGCGATCTGGGCCGTGTCGGCGGACTTGGTCTCATATGTATCGCGCTCGGCGTCTTCCGGCTGTTCATTCTGATCGCTATTGCGGCCCCGCTGCGAGGAGTAGCGATTCGGCGTGATTGTCAACTCACTGTTGAGGCTTGGACTGGTCGCATGGCCGTTACTGCCATTTCTGTGTATCCGCGCTACATCTCGTGACATGGCTGAATGCCCTGCCGAAGCATTCTCCGTGTTGCCATCACTGGCTGCCTGCGCCGAATCCTGCGCGACCATGGCGGGAAGGATGGCCGTGACCATAGTCGAACACGCCGCGCCGCCCAAGCTGAAGCCGAGCCGGCTCAGCAGCATATCCGGATAAACATTCGTGCTCTGAACCAGACAGATCAAACTCACTCCGATGATGCTGTATCCCATCACGGCCACTGGGCGTGTGCCGATTCTGTCACTCAGAAGTCCCCATAGAGGGCATGCAATTATGGCGAGGATCTCATCCGCGAAACCGAGTGTGCCCACTGCATCTCCGACTCTTTCTCTCCTGCCGACCACACTCGTGACAACGAAGGAGATGGTGCTGTTCAAAAAGACAAGAAATGAAATGCTGAACAAGGCAATGCCCAGCAGGTATGTCGCTACTTGCAAGCGAGAAGCTGTGACCTTCGGAAGCAATGCCATTTTCGCGAAGGAGTTGTCACGATGGCGAAGCGAGTGAGTTCTTGGGACGAGAATACGACTATCGCTAGGCGATGGTTCCGAAGCGGTGCTAATGCGTTTTTGTTGGATAAGGACGCGCTCGGTAGCTACATTGAACGATCACTTGGATTTGTGCGCAACAGTGCCCTGGTACATTTGATACGAGACGCGCACGAATGGCCGGATCAGGCCATGACGAAAAGTGCTGGAGGCGTTAAAAAGGGATCCCGATAATGTAGATCGGCATACACGTCCTACAATGGGGAAATAAGTAGTTGTTGACAGACGTGACGCTGATGTGAGCTCAACCTTGGAAGCTGTTTCTCTAGAGCGATGACAAAGCAACATGTGCGGATCCAACGTCATGCTCACTGGCGCGCCCAAATTTGACATCGAGCCCAATGCTCATCTTTGGGTAGGTTCAATAAATACAACAACAGGTTTCATGTTATCATGGCACTCCGTGCATCAGTCAAGTCTACGTATGCGCTCATGAGATTTTACAGAGCCAAAAGGCCAGCCGATCGTGCTTGAGTACGTTCAACACTTTGGGCTCGAGATCTCGTAAGACACACCAAATTGCGGTGGCTGCCAAATTTCGCTCAGCTGGTCATCGGTGCCCATCAATCAAATCTCCAACATCGCTTCTTACTAAGTCAGAGCGTAAGAGGTCGAGCGGCGAACCGTGGCCCCGAAAATCATCTGAGATAATAATACTATCACACTTCAATACCCTTGGATTCTTCCAATTTGCGACTACTGCGTCGGATTCGCCTTGACCTTCCTAATTGCGGCGACATCGAAGGCTGTGGATTTTCGTGATTCTCCGTGATGCTTTGCGACAAATCTGTGTCTGGTGGGCGGCCCACGATGGTAGCAGCATCTATCGTACCGTTGGTGCGCGACAACTCTCGAGTCCGGAGCTCATCAGACCGAGGGAGCTTAGTGTGGGCCGCTGCTGGTGAGGAGCATACGCGGGTATTCTTCAAGCTGACGGGGGACTTCAGCGAATTGCGAGGCAGCTTGCCTGAAAAATGTTTCTCTGCACTATCCTTGGCTTCTGTTCCGTTTGGGGACTGTGCAGGGATAATTGCGGCTGATGATGATCGAGCGAGGCGCCGACCACGACCATCTGAGCCACTTTGGCGAAGCGCTGCCGCTGAAGTGCTCGCAGACTGCTGTGGTGCAGCCGCATCAGAGGAAAGTATCTCAAACGGTGTTTCATTGGTGTCGCCAGGCGTGTTGATTGAGAGCCGAGTCTGAGCAGGGATTGCAATAAAGCCACCTCTGGCCGTATGCTGCTCGTCGTGTATGACTGAGTTCTTGCTCGAACGGGATGGCGTACTCAGCGAGATGCTCGATGCCTTACTTGAACGCGTCATAGCCGCGGGAAGGAAGGGTTGTGACCCTGGCGCTACCGGAGTCTGCGTACTTTGCTTCAGGTCCGGCTTAAGACGCAGTTTAGTTGACCCGGACAGATCTTGTGATGAGCGTGGAATCAAAGTGGGAAGTTTCGCACGCAGGTCTGGTGCTCCGTCGCGTTCACTATTGGGCTTCTCCTGCGCGGCAACACTAGCTGTCAGCGGACTACCTGTTGAATTCAGCTGATTCATTAGTTGTGTATCTACCATTTGTTGCTGCTTGATCAGTTCTGATTGACTTCGAGATTGCGTGTCTTGCCATATTCCGATTCGCTTGTAATGCGCAGCTAGCTGGGCTCCATACGACATACACTGCCATTGCGTTCCGTTTCGCTGATCCTGATTGATGAGATGATCGATCTGTACGTATAGTCGGCAAAGAGCGAGAGACAGCTCCCGCGGTATCATCAAATTCATTCGCAAGCAACCGGAGTCCAACACCTCCTGAAAGGCTTGGATTGTCACTCCCTCCGGAGTAGCCGCAAGATCGCACGTGACGACGATATCATCGGCCGAGCCATGGGGTGTCGCTGGCAGTCCACAACCTGAATGCCCCACTGTGGATGCATGCTGTTGAGCTTGTATCTGATATTGACGGAATGTCTCAGAGGCGAGTCGTTGTTGTGCCCACGACCTCAAAGCGTTCTGTATGAAATATATGCCATGCACCAAGGGATCGTCGTCTGAGCCTGCTTCGGGAAGAGTAATCTCTACATCTGTAACAAGGCTGTGGCTTTGGTGGTGCGAAGAAAGCTCATGGTCAGAACGGCGTGGTGAACCTGTCGGGTTGGGGACAGGCAGGGTTGGTGGTGGGTACTGTGCAACTGTGCCTCCAATTCCAGCGAGAGATGATGAGAGCTTATTGACCTTCTTGATCATATCAGATATGCTGTCGGGTTGAGAGGGTTTGGGAGCTGGGACGATATCGATCCACTGAAGCACTGGTCGACGGTTGTTGTGAGGCACAGGGGGTCCATGGTTGGCCACCTGGCTTGACCCACGTCGCTCGCAGGGTATGGGCATCAAATCTGTATCGGCAAAGCGATCTTTAGATGTGGCCAGATCCCTGGAATAGTGGCTTTGAGCGTCAGGAGCGGACTTGGAAGGATCCGTTTGCTTGGGTGCGAGAGTTGGTTTCACCGAAGTGGAGACATCGCGACTCACTTCTTGTTGCTTCGTCCTGGACGATGCATCCTCATTCGGAAGGCTCCTCGTCTTGCGCTTCTTGGTAGCTGCTTTGTTGGGTTTCGCTTTGTTGCCAGCACTCACTTGATCTGGAGCGTCGCTGGTTGAAATGTAATATGACATAAAATCACCATAATCTTCTGGCGCAGCAGCCGCGCGTGGGACTTCGTCGTCGGTAGAATCGTGATGAATGAAACCACTTTTTGTTGATTTTGCGACGCTCGCTGCAAATGGCGCATTTCTGGGGATTATGCTTGATTCAGCCTGCTCGCTTTGCTCACTGTGCAGGTCAGAATTCCGCTTGATCCGGCTCGCTGGCAGTCCCTTTGTCCGCGAGACAGCGATGGTATCCTCTGGACTTGAGATGGGCCTAGGAGGTCTGAGCTTGAGTCTTCGCTTTTTGGCAGGAGGAGGATCCGTCGACGTCGTCAGGTCAGACGTCGTTGGGAACATGTCCCGGTCAGGAAGAGGACCGGTTGAGAGCCCGATGCGATCGCGTGTGCTAGCAGCCATGCCTGGCTGTAAGCTGAGCGTTTATCTCCTGGCCGTAACACTGAACACGCGGATGGTTGTTGTCAAAGATTGGAACGTGGGGCTTTGGTGCTGATATAAAGGTCTCGTGTCGTACAACAGCAGAATGTGTCGCCGCTGGGTGAGGACGGAGATGGCAAGGTCTGTGCAGAGCCACGAAACGGAGGGTAATGTGACACGGAATATCAGCAAAGTACACATTCACCGCCGTCACTCCTCCGCCAGCGACGTGGGAGGTGGAAGTGTTGGCGGGCCGTTTGACGATGGTCTGTTGGCTTTCAACTCCTCCGATGAGAGTGTGAGGACGATTTGACGCGGCTACCGATCGGCCAAGTCTAGCGATGTGGACCAAATTCCCGACCAGCTTTGTGCGGTGAGTGGGCGTATGTTGGAATGAGTGTCGTACAAGTTGCCAAGCATTATTCTCTCCAAGATGAGCAAGCAGGCCTTTCGTCGCGAGCGACCAGCTCTATCTTCCCCAGGACGACACGGTCGTAAGCAGCAGGGAAGGAGAGGACTGCAGGTGCTCGGGTCGGCGTTCCGTGTGCCTGAAAACGGATTCATGCAACACGCACGCCCGCGAACATTGTTGGATTAGATATTGATCGCAGTCGCTAGAATTGGAGGCATCTACAGTCATCTGTACCTCATCTGGCTGTCCTTAAAAATGAAACATCTCCTCTTTTCAATACACCTAGATATCTGCCATAGGCTGACATTTGATGTGTGCATGTTTCGGGAAGGAACGACAAGCAGCGAGGCATATCACAAAGAGCACTCTTTCCCGAACAAGTCTCATATCATTCCAATGTACCTAGGTATGTTATGGTCTATGGAAAACCTGATGGAGGGTATCATCCTATCGGGATGTGTCGCTTTGGCACGCTCCGGGTCGCAGACCTCGATCGGAGCTGCAGTGGATGATATATGAGTGCCTTGCACTTGTTCGAGGTGCAAGACACGACTTTGGCCTGCTGCGCGCGAACAGCAAATGCCTGGAATCGTCGAACACACATCATGGCTTCTCCGTCTCTTGAGCCTGCCGGGTGGATGGATGACCCGTATGACACGTCTGAGCCTGACAACCCAGAAAGATCCGCTCACGATATGCCGCGGACGAGAGTGAAGACTTTTACATACACCAAACCACTCGGATGTGCTAGAGCCAATGATATCCGTTGAAGCATTCCAATCGTGGGATTAGATATGTCATGCACCTGCATACAGTATACCCCCTAGCTTTGAAAATGATGTTGGGTTTATTTTCCCAAACCTTAGAATGTTCAGGTGAATTGCTGTACGATACTGTCGAGCTGAGTCATTCATTGTATGCCTGAGGCCAAGGAACCCTATCACCAATGGCCACCTTCGACATATCGCACGCAAGGCTGCTGAGGCGGCATTGAGATCACTTTGGAGCTTCATCGGTGCATGTTCATATTTCAGTTGCGAGCTTGCCCAACAGCACACCTATCGCAGACTGCAGAGTTTCTGTGTGGCAGACTGGAATATCAATCTAGCGACCCTGCAATTCTGTTCGCACATCATGCGCTTCTCAAACATCTTCGGTGTCGTCGTCCTGGGTCTGGCTTCGACGTCACAAGCCGCCAAATCATGGAGTTTCGAGGACGCGACAGTGGCTGTTGCCGCCAAAGGCGCTGCGGAACCTTCGAAACAAAAGTGGGTTGTGCATCACGTCCTCTGTGAAACACACTTGACTGACCTACGCACAACGCAGGCTCACTCCAGGCTTGCCGTTCACATCCTCCGCCATCACTCTGTCGCCAGCAAGCAATCTCAAAGTAGCCCTGACCACCACTGAAGGCAGCACGGGCAAGAAGGCTCATCAGGCCTTCCTGACTTTAAGAGAAGTTGATACTGGTCTCGAAGAGTCTTTCGCATTCAGCGTGAAGGAAAGCGGCAAGGGAAAGGTGGATCTGGTATGGCGAAAGCGATCAACTCTCCAGGCCACTTGTTCAGAATACACTGACAGTGTCGATGTAGGCCCACAAGGACCTACCCATTCAGTTCCTCACCAGCGCGAAGCCGCTCAGGGCATCGATCGTCATTGCCTCATTCGGCTCTTCTGTTCCATACAACGAGCTCGCCTTCACGTTGAAGGTTGAGAATGATGCAAAGACACCACCTACCGCGGCCACACCCCCGGAACGTTACACGAGCAAGCCAGAGATCCACCACAAATTCCGTGACGATCCTCGCTCGCCTCCCACCATCATCAGCGCCGTTTTTGCTCTGGCCATCCTTGCTACCATCCCAGCACTGCTGGGTGCATGGGGTCTCCTGGGCGGAAACCTCGGCCACGCGGGCAAGGCGTTTGGCGCAAGCCCCATTGCCCACAGTCTCTTCTTCGGCAGCATTCTGGCCATGGAGGGTGTCTTCTTCATGTACTATGCCAGTTGGAATCTGTTCCAAACCTTGCCGGTCGCTGGCGTTGTGGGTGTGGTCGCCTATGTCAGTGGTAGTCGGGCCTTGACGGAGGTGCAAGACAGACGCCTCGCTGGTGAGAGGTGAACGAGCAGATTCGACAAGATCGTTGTCTACACTTTATTGTACAGCTATTCGTAGAGCTCGAGCAAAGTCCTCGCTCTGTCAATAAAACTAGAAAACCACTAATGAATCCATGACATCCTCATGGGGTGCGATCCTTCCAGAGAGCAATTTCCTTGCCCTATCCTCCTCAAAAAATCATACTGTAAATCAAGCCAATTCAAACAAGAGCTATAATAGAAGAATGACACACATCGGATCCCTCCATTTCCTCATAATCTCTAGCAATCAGATCATATGCGCATCCAACGAATAAGAGCCCTGTAGGCTCAAGAACACCACAACACCGTCGTCTCTTCACAAAGCCGCGATCGCTTTGCGTAGAATGTCTAGACTGCGCATGCTCGCGCATGTATCACCATCGTCACTGTCTTTCAGAATGTAGCTGATGTCGCTGAGCAGGCCAAGCGGGAGCCAATTGTTGCCTTGTGCCTTTTCGAGGGATTCTTTGATACGTCCCGTGTGCTCCCAGCTCTGCGCGGCTTCCTCGGCCCGATCAATGATCTTGTTGGGAATGCCACACATCGCGGCGCAGTGCATGCCGTAGCTTCCCTCCGCCACGCCGGGTTCCAGACGGTAGAGGAAAGTGACTTCCCGCACATCGGGCTCCACCTGCACTGCCATGCGCTTGGCGACGACTTCCGGGTGGTGCTCGAATTCGGTTGCCAGTGAGTGATAGTGAGTAGCGAAATATCCTAAAGCACCGACATGCGTCGCAACGTGGTGGAGGACTGCCTGTGCCACGGCCACACCATCGTAGCTGCTCGTGCCGCGTCCGAGCTCGTCAAGGATGACAAGCGAACGAGGTGTAGCTTCGGCCAGTATCTTCTTGGTCTCGCTCAATTCCACCATGAATGTGCTTTGGCCGGCGAAGATGTTGTCGTGCGCGCCCAGCCGAGACATGATCCGATCAATGGGCGTCATACGCGCTCGTTCGGCGGGTACGTAGCAACCAATCTGTGCTAGAATCACTGCAATGCATGTCATGCGCAACACAGTGGATTTACCAGCAGCGTTTGCACCGGTGAGCAATGTGATGGCTGCTTCCTCTCCGCCGAGCATGATATCATTAGGAATAAAATTGGTCGAGGTCTCGATGCAAGGGTGTCGCAGAGTCTCGAACTCGAGCACACCACGTTCAGTGTCCTCAATGAATTCCGGTCTGCAAGATGGCGAACCGAGTGCGGAAGAGGCCTTTGCCAAAGATATCAAACAGTCCAGCTGGGCGACAACTTTGATGGCGGCGAGCCAGACGGCATAGTCCTGATCGAAACGAGCAAAGAAACGACTAGCTAGAGCCTTGACTACTTGGCCGTGCATTTCCTGGGCCTCTTTCAAGTCCCGCACGAGCGATTCGAGCTCAGGCGAGTAAAATCGTTTACAGGCCTTGGTCGCAGACATGACTTTCCAGTTCTTGGGAATGCTTCCCTTGACCTTGATAGGCACTTCCAGTTGATAGATCTCCTTGCCGTTATCGGTGAATTTGATGGCAGTGGAACCGAGATCCTTTCGAGCACGATCCAGCAATTTCTGCAAGAGCTTCAAAACGCCGTCAACTCGCGCCTGACTCTCGTCGAAGTCTTCTTCAACACCAGCTTCTGGTAGGAACAATCCTTCTTCCTTTGCCTTTGTGCGATCGAATGCTGTGGTCCAATGCTGCAGAGTGCCGGCGAGATCAGGCATGGATGTCAAAAGCTGGCCCAGAAGTCCCTCACCAGCACCCACAGAGCCGAGCAAAGACATTGTGTACTCGATTTGCTCGAAACCATCGAGGACTCGCACGAAGTCCTGGACCTTGCATCGCCCAGCGTGTATTCTGGAAATCAAACGCTCCAGGTCGGGCAATTTGGAAAGCGAAGCGGTGAATCGATCCATGATAATCCCGTCTGCATTGAGCGCGTCGACGGCATCCAGGCGGAGATTGATCTTCGTTGCGTCACCAAGCGGATGACAAACCCACTGTCTCAACATGCGCTTGCCGAAGGGTGTTATGCATCGGTTGAGCATCGAGAAGAGCGTGCCCTCGGCGCTCCCGTCAAATGTGTTCGCAAAGATTTCCAGGTTGATCAGGCTCTGTCCATCAAGGACAAGACTGGATGCTTTCCGGATCGGATCGTACCATGCAAAGTTGCCGCAAGTGATCAGGTCGCGCTCGATCTTGAGTAGGTTTAAATACCAAATCAAACCACCTAGGGCGGAGAACACTAGATCTTTCGATTTTGCTTCGCGAAGTACGGCTGGCCATGCTTTAATCGTATCTTCATCAGTCTTGTCGAAGTAAGATTCGGCATCAATTTTCATCCGAGTTCGGTCTGCGGTCAAAAATTCCTTTTCGGGTTTGAGATAATTCCAGATCGTTGTTGGTGTGGTATTCACCTTGAGTATCCGTAGCGCCTTCGCAGATATTCTGCCCTTTTCCAGAAGCAACTCACCGGGACGGACTTGAGCGACAAATGTCTCGAAACGCGTCATGTCAGCGTCGTCAACGAACTCTGCCAGAGAGAATTGTGCGGTGGCAGTGTCAACAAAGGCAATTCCAAAAGCTGGCCGTCCATCAACCTCTGACTCCTTGATCGCAGCGCAGTAGGTTGCCATGTCATTCTGGAGCATGCCACCATCAACAAGCGTGCCAGCTGTGAGAACGGACGCTAATTCCCGCCGGATGACCTTCTCTTCTTTTTTGCCCTTGAGATCTCTCTCGCGCATGTCTTTACCTAAAGCGGTCTCCATCTGATCCACACGAGCGATCTTAAATCCTTTGGCGACGAATTGATTCGCCCAATGGTCAAGGCTTGCCTCAGGTACACCTACCATGCGCATATTCACGCGGTCGGTAAGTTTCAGGTCGAAGAGCTGGTTGCCAATCGTGGCATCATTCTCGTACAGCTCATAGAATTTGCCCTTTTTGAAGAAGACGATTGTGTCCCAAAATTTCTGCTTGATCTCCCAGTATTGTTTCTCAAAAGGTGAGAAATTGCTCCACGCCAGTGGAGGGACGTATATAGTTCGAGGATCATAATCTGGATGGTCAGGTTTATGCCTTTCGAGATCTTGTATTTCCGCCAACCATGGATATCGTTCGGACGGCTCTGTGTGGTGCGCTTTTACCTTCTTGAAATTTTTTTCGGTAGGCGCGGATCGCTGTGGAGCTGATGTGTGCGAGTAAGGTTTCTCAGACGGTGGCGCATCTGGATCGAATTTCCATTGCTGTGCAGTGGACGACTTTGGCAGGTCTTCACTCTCCTCACGAATTGGAGATGGCGGTGCTCTCTCAATGATCTGACCCGAGCCTTTACTCGGCTGCGATTTAGAGGTGCGTTTCTTGGGCTTTTTCACTGTCTCATGGTCCGAATCATCGTCGACCACAAAATCGATCAAGTCGTCTGTCGTGAAATTAGCCTCAATAACACGTTTGATCCCCCATCTCCTCCTGTAATAGAATTCTTGGCCCGTGACACGAGGATGAACATCCTGACCAGGTACTCAAGTGATGGCATAGCAGACTTACCGTCTATCTCCTCCATTGCCGCTTGCGTGGCTTGGTCGAATCCGAAGTCGTCATCAGAGTCATCAAGGTCGATGCGACGCTGCTTTCCGGCGCGGCGATTACTGGAGAGCGGCTTGAAAACTTCATCCTCGTCCTCGTCTTCGTCCGACTCGGCGTAGTTTACTCGTTTCTTGGCCTTACGGGAAGGACTCGAGAAGTTGGTATCCTTCGTATCTGGCGCCTCTATCAGCTTCGTCAGTCTCGATCAACCACAGGGTTCCATGTCATCTCTGACCATTCTCTTTGTCGCGCGAGTGTGCAAAAGTGGAAGCCTGCCGTTTTGCCTGCGCGGCAATGATTGGACTAGAGGCGGCCGCCCTCTCGGGCAGACTTGTCACCGATTGTGTTGCCGGTGAGCTGGCAGGTGGTGCACGTTTCGAGAAGAAGCCAGCGATGGATTGCTGTTTACCACCCTTGGATGTTGTGGCCGGCTTGGCCTTGCTTGCGGATGATTTTGGAGTGGCAATCTCATTGCCCTCAATCCCACGAGCCATGATGCCAAATAGCTCTACCGAAGGACGTAATGTCTCAGGGTGAAGTATCTAGAAGCAATGAGCAAACACGATATCTGCCGTATTATTATGCTGACGGTAATCAACACGCAATCAAGACGAATCAATGCAGCAAGATCAGTGGGCCCTTGCATTGAAACGTCCAATGGGTAAGGAGTCGCGCGTCGCGTGTGTGACGCGTTCTGATTAAATTGATTGCTGGTCTCTATCACGCCAAATTTCTGTCACGTGCATCTTATCTCTCTCCGCTGGAGCGCATGACGGTCATCACTGAGAAACCTACGTCCAGACGTGGGCCGCGACGGCATTTTGTATACCGTCGCTTGAATAGCACCATGTCGACATGTCGGGTCTGCTGGAGCAAGGCACAATGGCAAGCGCGGCACTTCTCAAGTGGCCAAAGGCTTCATTCTGCAAACCGCGATTATAATGCCGCCGTGCAGGCTCTCAACGGCCTCCAAAGCAATTACGCAATCGTAGAAGCCATTCGCAAAGCCGGTCCAGGATCAAACAAGCAGGCCATTCCGGAGATGATCGCGTGGATACGAAGGGTTGGATATGAGGTGTGCGTCAAAATACTAGTGGCCATCTCACAGTTTCCCTAACGCCGCTCTTCAGCCCTCAGATTTTGATATTCTAAATCCAATTCACGTCGCTGGCACAAAGGGCAAAGGCTCAACTTCAGCATTCATCTCGTCTATATTAACACAGTATCTGCCAAGCAAGCTAAGCATCCATGCGGAACGTTTGCCTTCGCCGGTGGGTCTTTACACATCGCCCCATCTGCGATCGGTTCGTGAGAGAATCAAAATCGACGACCAGCCCATCTCCGAGGAGCTCTTTGCAAAATGCTTCTGGCACGTTTGGGACCGTTTCGAAGCTACTAGATCTGTCGATGCCGATTCACAGGCTCGAGCCGTGCGAGACAAGCCAGTCTACTTTCATTTTTTGACCATCATGGCACTACATTGTTACATGCAAGCGAAGGTTGGCACAGCAGTAATCGAATGTGGTATCGGCGGCGAGTACGACACCACTAATGTCCTGATCAGTCCTTCGGTGACAGCCGTTACAAGTTTGGGCATCGATCACATAGCTTTACTCGGCAACACCATTGAGGAAATTGCATGGCACAAAGCTGGAATCTTCAAGAAGGACGTACCGGCCTTTACTATCCAACAGCCTGAAGCCGCAATAGCAGTCTTACGAGAGCGCGCCGCCGAACGGAAAACGAAATTGCACATCGTTCCTCCTCATGCGGATTTGCCCGACATCACCTTAGGATTGCAAGGTCATTTCCAAACTCATAATGCGTCGCTTGCCATCGCAGTAGCTGCCTCACATTTGCAGCGGCTCGGCTTTACTGATGTTCCGGACCCCTTCGACGCGACGGCTAAGCTGCCAAATAAGTTTGTCACAGGCTTAGAGTCGACTCGCCTTGGTGGGCGATGCGATCTTCGCCAAGACACTATACTCGCAGGTCTTCGCTGGTATATTGATGGTGCTCACACCATGGAAAGCATTGATGTTGTCGGGCAGTGGTTCTCAAGTCAGGCTTCGCATCCCGAGCGATCAGAGTCTAAACGAGTGATCATCTTCAATCAGCAAAGTCGTGACGCCTCGGCGCTGGCGACCGCGCTTTTCCGTACATTGGCATCGGCTACCAACAACGTGCATCCCTTCTCGCATGCCATATTCTGCCGGAACATTACCTATCAAGATGCTGGCTATAAACCTGACCTGGTGTCGATGAACACCAACGCCGAAGACATTGATACTCTCCGGGTGCAAAATGAGCTTGCAGTCACCTGGCAGAAGTTAGACCCTCAATCTGAAGTCCATGTTTTAAGCACAATCGAGGAATCGATTGCGCTGGCAAGACAAGTAGCTGGGGATGGGACGACAGAGGTACTCGTTACCGGCAGTCTGCATTTGGTCGGCGGCTGTATCGAGATACTTGAAGCCGAGACAGAAACACCAAGAATATAGGCAAGTCAGAAAGTGCCCGACGAAAACCATTTCGGCCATGCTTCCGAGCAGGTCTCAAACACTAGAAAGCTGTCACGGGCTTTAATCAAATTTTGGCATGTCATCTTAGCGAATTCATGCTCAGTGTGAGTAGTCGTTCTATCGCACGTATAAGACTTGTGGTAAAGAGTGGATTTCGTCGTCGTGTAATCATTGTAGTTCATCAAGATTGCTCTGGTGTCTTTGCTGACGTGCGTCACCATTCCGTTGCGGGGCACAAGGCGAGGCTCGTCTGCATTCTCCTTTCCATCGGTATTCCCTGTCGCCTCTCGACCCATCATCGGTGCATGCACAGCTCCAAAAATGGGTATCTGTGACTTCGACTACGATCGATTGTTCCGTGACAAAGACTGGGAAGGCGACTGGATCGATCATTATTCTGATGCTGCACTTTGGGCGGAAGCCATCGTTTCTGATTCCTGCCCGATTTGCACAGTACTCTGGCAAAAACTTCAAGATGCGTCTAGACCTCCACGGGATGTCTTCACCCAAGCCAGCAGTGAGGCGCGGAAACAGCATATCGAGGACGCGCTATCAATGATTGATTTGCCCTTCTTCCGAGTTCGTTTGCGCAAAATGACTGGCGACGAATTCCTGCTCAATTTTGATCCAAGAAGCAGAGATGCTGCGCCTCAAGTCGGAGCCGTGAATTTCTCGATTTATCCACTCGATGGCAAGTTAAGTACCTCATTAGAAAACACCGATCGCATTTGTTAACTTAACGCGCAGCAAAGGATATCCACGCGCGGAAGTATATCGGAAACAACACGTTCAGTGCCCAGGCCTTTGAAGCGATCAAATCATGGATTGATAAATGCAACGAAGGTGCTGAACATTCCCATTGCGCGGTCATTCGTGACAGGATCGCGCGAGCGGCAGACTCGCGTTCGAAGAATTTCGTTCCTACTCGATTGCTTTATGTCGGCTCCACCGCAGCTCCTGTGGTGCGTCTCGTCTCTGATACTAGAGAGGCGGGAATCCAGGGTCCTTACACATCCTTAAGGTTCGGTTATTGCATCTCACACCTCGAATGTGTGCTGATAATTATCAAAGTCACTGTTGGGGAGATCGGAAAATTTTCGAGCCGTTACGGTTGCTCAAGACCAACATCGAAGCCCTGCAGGAGGCCATCAAGTGGACTGACTTACCTCTGACGTTTCAACAGGCCATTACACTCACGAGAAGACTTGGAATTGAGTATATATGGATCGATTCGCTCTGCATCATTCAAGAGAATGACGTAGATTGGCACAATGAAGCTCCAAGAATGGAGAGGGTGTACGGCAATTCATATCTTAATTTCGCCGCCATGGCCTCAACAGACGGTCGTGGTGGGCTCTTTCGGGATCGTCGTCCTACTTCTCTCAGTCCTGCGACGATCAACGCGCAGTCCGATCGGCTGAAAGGGAGGTTTGGGATAGTCAGACAAGACTTCTGGCAGGGTAACATACTTGACGAGCCGCTGTATCGAAGAGGCTGGGTATTTCAAGGTGAGCCTGAATAATATTTGTGAGATGTCAGGTGAACGCCGCTCAACACCACAATCAGAACGCATGCTTAGTCCTCGACTCCTCCACTTTGGCAAAGATCAAGTCTTTTGGCAGTGTTTAAGTCTCTCGGCGTGTGAGACCGCAACAGAAGGATTACCAAGTATCGTGCATGAAATACCAAAAATGGAGCTCCACTGGAGGCGGGCTTTCCACAAGGGCCTTCTGACGGGCCAAAAGAGTCTCACTGGCGATGAGAGAGTTGAATTGCAATTGGACGATGTCTGGAAGATGGCTGTGAAGAGCTATACCTGTACAAATTTAACTTATTCCAAGGATAGACTTATGGCACTCTCGGGTATAGCTAATGTCATGGCAGAGGCACTGAATGAGCGTTACATTGCAGGGTTATGGACGGCATCAAACGGTGATCTCCGTTCATCACGACTCCCGGAACAGCTCGGATGGAAAGTCCTCGGTAGCAAGAAAATAGATGGAACTGCATCCCAGAGGTTTGAAAAATATTGCGCTCCAACTTGGTCTTGGGCCTCGGTCGATGGTGTCATCGAGATCAAAGACCGATCGGATCAAGGTAGAGTCTACCAAGCATCAATCGAAAATGTGGATATCAAGTTGGAACGCGAGAATATTGTGACCGGTCGGGTGCTGGCTGGTTCGAGTATAGATGTCAGGGGCTTGGTCTTCACACTACAATTGGAGCGATCGCCACGCGAACGGGGACATTATGTATGGCAGCCAAACTCCGGCGTCCAAACCGCATGGTGTCATGCCTGGCTTGACGATCATGCACAATCGGCACCAAACGAGACCAACTTAGGTGCAACTATTTTGATGCTTGCGTACACCACAAACATTCCTCCAATGTTGCCAGCAGGCACATCTGGTCATGGAATCTTGATCAAAGCTGTGCCGCATGCTCCGGGAAGCTTCACGAGGATTGGCGTTCTGGAATTCCGGAGTTTGTCGTCTAGCGATTGGAGCGATTTGTCCAGAAATCAGCATATGAATCCTGACGATTCGAGTGCGGATCTCGCTGGTCAGCTTTTCCATCAGGAGGTGGTGACTCTGATCTAAGATCTGGTGAGGCGAATAGCGGCTGCGTCAATGGACACATTTCCTCGATCTTGAGGCGCAAATGTTGATCCAAAATTGCAATCATGAGATCAGCCCCGTGTATTTCACGAGCCCGTTGAATCGGAAGGCACCCGGATTCATCGTGTTCTAACACGCTCGCTCCGGCTTTCAGAAGCTTTTCCACAACAATTATGTTGTTTTCCTGGATTGCGTGTTGCAACAAAAGTTGCAAACTGACGCTCGTACTTGCCAGCACGTCGCACCGCTCAATGAACAACATTGCAACATCAATGGAACCCGAATTCATCGCCAGGTCAAGAAAATCTGTCCCAGCAATCTTTGATAAGTTGTGGTCGGATCCGTGCCTCAACAGAAGCTTCACAATATCAAGGTCCGGGCCATTGAACCCTATGCAGTGTAGTGTCAAAGGCGTATGGAGGTCGGCATTCTGACTGTTGACATCAATTCGGCCATCTTCTAGAAGAAGCCTTAATTTTCCTTCATTGTTTGTAGCTGCCGCCCAATGCAAGAGATTGTTTTGATTGTTGGGCTCAATAGCCCGTATATCCTCTCGTGAGATCAATGAAAGCTGCTGGGCATCCATGTCCACGCCGCTCCGGAATTGCGCCCAGAAAGGATATTTCTCCGACTTTTGGCATGGCATGTACTGAGCGATTTTGGACGCAATGCCAGTGGCATCATTTGGATCGTATAAGCTGACTATATCCATCGCAGTCCATCCTTTGTTATCCTTGATATCCGTGCGCGCGCCGAATTCGAGTAATTTGAATGCAGCCACCCTGTTTCGCCGACAGCAAGCCAGATGAAGTGGTGACCAGCCGATATTGTCGACTCCATCGAACGGAAGCCCTTCATCATGAAGGAGCTCAAGGCAGTGTCCGTAAAGGTCAAAAGCGGCTGCATGATGGAACATCGTGCGCCCATCTTTGTCGGCTATGATCATCTGCGCGGTACCACAATAAAGTATTTTCAGAGCTTCAAGTGCATCTCTGCCGAGGTGCTGCAGCGCCAGTTGCGCAGGCGTTTTACCCGCTGAACTCAGTCGCTGCACTGAAGCGCTGAGTAATCCATGCTGCTCGAGACAGTCGACCACAAAGCGCAGACTCTCAATATTGATCCGCGCAGCCACGTGAAGGGCCGTCTCTCCGTCCTGGTTTCGAAATGTCCAGTCGAACACGGAATTTTCCGTCAAACACCGCAGACTCGCTAGGTTGCCAGAGAGTAGACACTTTATCGGCAGCGTGCTCTGCTGAAGATCAAGTTTTCGGCCGTGGCTCTGTAAGAGTTTGCGCAAACAGTATGGGTCTTGTTGCTCCGAAGCGATGCACAATGCTTTGCGGAACGTTTCTGTATTTTCAGCTTCCCGCCCAAGATTGCTCCACCTCTGGGCCGGAAGCAAGAGGTCGAAGATTCCGTCATATCCATGCTCGATAGCTATCGAGATTGCAGAACGTCCTCGCCTGTAGACTACTGTTGTATCTGCTCCAAGTTTCAAGAGCGGTTGAATTATGGCTGCTTGACCTCGTTCACAGGCTATCATCAGTGCAGTTCTTCCCAAGGTCGCGTCGCGGGCATCAATGTTCAGAGCTTCGTTCTCTCGTCTTAATCGGTCAAGAATATCTACAAGACCGAAGAAGGCGCAAAGATGTATTGGTTGGCATCCCGGCCAGGCATTCAGCGTGGCGCCGCCATCGGTCTTTGACAGGCATAGAAGGGATGTGTAGCGAGCGATCGCACTTGTGTCATTCATCAACGACATGATCTGGTCAGAAGCCGCCTCGGTCTGATATGCCGCGAAATGATGACCCCAGTTCTGGAGCGCGTATGTCAGGAAATCGTCTTCCTCGAGAAATGCTTTGACATCGTCGTAAATCTGTTGGCTCTCATGCAGCTGGATTAAATATTTACAGATGCTGCGAAGACAAACTTCTGCCATGTCGAGCGGGTGTTGAGATTTGAGCCACTCCTCATGAAGGTACACCTCAAAGTCCCGGTGAAAAGGCACGAGTGATTGATCGAGATCTGAAACGACAATGGCACCTTGGCAAACACGTAGCAGATGCATCGGCTCCTCGATGTCATAATTTTGAAGCCTGAGTGCTCCAATAAGCTCCATGTATGTAATGCCCTCCTGCTGTGCTTCGCAAAGGGCCTTCGTGATGATTTGGAGCGACAGCAGTGCCAGCTTACGATCCGTCTCCGCTTGGTTTTCAACATGGCGTATTATCATTGCGAAGTACGAAAGTTCTGGTAGAGCGACGCGCGCAAGATTATTCAGTAGCTCATCTACTTGCTGATGCTTGATGAGATAATCCAGCCAAACACGAGCAATGACAAGAACACCATGTGCGCGCTCAGTAATGGTCTTTTCGATTGATTCCAATATATCTTTGCTCCGCAGGAGATCTTGTCCGAAAGTGGTGGAGAGGATTTCCCGTTCAATCTCTTTGTGCACATACATGGCAATGTGATCGTCTAGAGCGCACAGAGCAAAGCTCCGATCCTGGTAAGGTTCCTGAAACGAAGATCCATGCATGGGACAGACGTGTCCGCCCTGGTAACACGAGACGCAGAGGTCGAAGGGAGGATCTGATTCGCATTGATGACATCGGAAGTATAATGATATCGCATCTGAGTCGCATCCGTCAACGTCACATGATCTGACATTAGTTTCACTCATTGGCTGACCCCGGGTGATCAGAATAAGACCGTCGAGTCTGGCAAATTCGCTCAAGTACGCCGATTCTACTTCGGGCGGACAACGGTCGAGGCCGTCCACGACGAAATATAGTTTTGTCATTCCCTGCGTGGATAGGATTTGTATTTCCATACTAAGAAAATCCAACAGTCGATCAACAAAGCTCGGCATCGTGAGCTTCTTCAAGGCGATAGCAATCTCGGAATTCGAAGCAGATTTTCTGGCTTCGCGAAATTCCATCAACTGTTGCAAGATGTGCAATCGCAGCGCGGACAATGGGTCGATTTCAGGAGCCATCTGGTATATTTTCCGGCTGCATTCGTCTTTCTCGTCCAGAAATAACACGACGACAGCTGCGTCGCCTTTCGAGTGAAAGGTGGAGAGGTCATGAGCGACAGCCGCGGCGAGCGTCGATTTGCCGCAGCCAAGCTCTCCGTGACAGCATAGCGTCCACTGCCTACCGTCACGCCATGCTTGATACAACTCACCCTCGAAGAAAGGTAACCAGATGTTACAGAAATTCTTCATTAAACGCCGCTGTCGCTTTTGGAAGTCGACCACGGGAATCTCACCCTCGATCGCCGCCTCGTTTGAAGGTTGCCGTTGTCCATGCGAGGGACGCTGAGCATTAGCCCGCTGTGGAGCGGAGGTGCCTTCCGATCTTGACAGGTATTGCTTTTGTTGTAATTGCACCAGCTTGACAATCCGGAGCCATGATGAGATGGTAGGATGTTCTGTTTCGGCATGACTTTTGCTGAGCTTATTCGTGGCCAGACGGACGCGATCCTGGAACTTCTGAACGACTGTGACACTCATGGGTCCGGTTGGTAATATGTCAGCGCAGCGGCAACCAGGTTCTCCTTCCACTTGTTCGTGAAGCAGACAAATGTTCTGTGCATGAGAGAGTTGTGTAGACGGATCTGCACACTACGATAATCGACATGAGAAACATGCGCCAGGCTGCACATGTCCTTGGGTGTGTAGTGTAGACTGCTATCTCTGAGGATACTGACACTGTATAACCTGGTGTCAGCCGCAATCAGGACGGCGGGACAAGATCTACGGCTTGAAGAACATTTGTGCCAGTGAAGCTGAAAGTGTGCTGCTCGCCCTGCGGCATTTGACCCTGATTGAAAGCATCTATGCATTTGTTTGCTATAGCGTTCACGAGACAATGTCTGTAAGTTTCACAATCGAACCCCTCGCTCCTGCGGGCGGATTGTCCTGCAAGCAGCACAGTAGTTTGTCGGTCAAAGCTCCACACGAAATCCTTCGCGTGGAATAAATCGCATGTGTACCCACCTGCAGCAGTCGCATCACACGAACGTTAACCGCACAGCTACCATTCCTTGCAGCTCGGGCCGCCCGGTGTCAGCAATGGAATTCCGACAATGTGGACTTGCAGTCTCTCCGAGGATTCCCATCGCATGTTCACGATCAGGAACATAGACTTCTTCCATGGTGAAGCAAAGGATCTGACACGATCGCGCTGAATTGATGTGTCGTCGATGCCATCATCGAGCGATTCGACCAGGTCGCCTGGAAGAGTGGGTGCCTCCCGTAGTGACAACAATCGCCCAGGCACAGTATGTAAGAATCAAGGAGCAACTGATGGATTTCCCAATTGCGCCAGTGACGGCCTGTGGTGATGGGAGCCCTGAATCTCATCGGGATCGGGCCGGCGGAGAGGGAGTAATAATAAGCGGCGCAGCGTGCCCACAAGTGCCCACCTGCAGGTGTGTGATTGTGGTTGTAAAAATAGCACCGATGTCAAGAGCTAATCCATATTCCAACACGCCCGCGACGACAAATTTTCCGCCGTCGAGGCTAATAACTCACAGTCTACGTCCATATCCAGTACAGGCCCCTCCAGCCCACACCATCAATGCTGCGGCGTCGTCGTGTCATGTTCTCCAACTCCGTCCCGCCTCATAAATGTATGATGGTATTATTAGCAAGGGCGGTATGTTGAAGATACCGTGATAACAACGAGGATACCTATGTTCGCGATGTTGCACGTGGACTGAAGCCCCGAGTCTACGCCCAGCATCATGCGGAAAGCCATCTCCGATAGAAATTCCCATGTCGCCTCACCCGTGCACGGGCAGCATAGCAATTAACATTTCTTTCACAGTGGCTTGTCACGCCTGTTCATCCTCTCAGATTCACGGTGTCCACGACCAGCGATGAGAAGGTATACAATACCATCAATCATATGTATGTACAACACACGTACGTCCAGAGGGAATTCTCTCCGATGGACAGTACAAGAAGTGAAACGGCCGGGAGAAGCACTCCAGCTCTCTCCCTCGTGCGTGCCTTCCTCCTCGTCTCCGCCTGTCGCCTGTCGCCTGTCCTTCCACCACACACGCTCATGTCCGTTTCTCAAACTCTACTGTCCATGCACACCTCCATCTTCTTATTTTCTCCTTCTCTCTCAGCCCCCACAAATCCTTCGAATGTGGTTTTAATTGGACTTTGGCCTTTTCCTCCGCCGCCCACGCACACACAACACACACGCCATATGCAAGGGTAGCGATGCGCACCATGAGCGTCCCTCTTGTATCCACCGTGCGCATGCGGCGACTGCGGTGAGATTCTTTGCTTCACACACAGCTAAGGATACCTAGGTAGTTACTCAGCGGGGTAGACGTACGGAAATATATCGTGGCCATGCGCATCCACGACTGCGCACAGGACATGCTGCATTGCCTTGATAACCTGTAGGTGGAGTTTCACTTGTCACCTACACATACTTCTCGGGTGTCTTCGTTCACGGGCATTCGCATCGTCATCTCTCGTTCTCCTTCGTTTCTTGTCGGCCTTCGTTTCTTTCTCCTTCATCTTCCGCTCCTCTCTTGCATTCACCTGTCCGGACTCTCAGCTCCGGCCATAACGGGCTGTTCATCATCGGCATCATCATGCACCGCTCCTCATCCGTGCTGCGTATCCTACACGCCTCGACACTCATCGTCCCCGCCGTTATCGCCGCGACCAGTCTTGATCAAGTGATCAATGCCGCTCTTCCCTCTGTCGCCTCAGATATCTGTGGACGGATCGTGAACGCAAATTTATATTCAGGTGAGCAGAGGACTCTAATAGCGCTGCTGCTGCTACATAATATCGAGAGAGAGAGAGAGAGGCAAGCGGATGTGCTGATTACTCGTCGTGCTAGATCAATATTGGTTCTATGCTTCGGACGTCGTCGAATGCTTGACCAGCGTTCCACTGAACAAAGCTGTTGCCGATCGCTTCATCACCTACGTGAACCAGACTTGGCAGTTTCAGAGCACTATTTCCACCCTCAAATCACCGCCAGCAACCTATCAACAGCCTGCCATCGATCTCCTCGCGGGACTCAAAACTATCCGACAGCAGGTTGCGGCAGATTCTTATCGCAACCAGTATGCATTCGAAGTCGATGTTCAGAAGTTGGTGCTCAAAGCCCATGATGCCCATTTGAGCCTCTCTGCGGGAATTCTAGATGCCTTCAGCTTTGGCTCTCCCTACGACCTTGTGTCTGTGTCTAGCGATGGGAAACAGGCACCTAAAGTCTATTTTTACGGTACCACCTGTCCTTGGCCCTTCGCGTCAGATCTCATGCTGACAGAATTTAGACGACCTGACGTCCTGCTTTCAAAACGCGACCTGCGATATGAAGAAACAAGCCGCTATCCGAAACATCAATGGCATCGACGCCGTTCAATTCCTCGAAGACTTTGCAAAGGAACAGGCCTTTGGTTTCCTCGAGCCCCACGCCGACTGGAATTCCCTGTTCAGAACGCCAGCCTTGGACATCCAAGACGGCTCGAGCACCTTTTCGGGAGGAGCAAATATATATCCGGGTGACCAGTTGAATTTCACATTTGAGGATGGAACCACAGTGAGCGATTACTGGATCTCGTTATATAACTCTCCCGGGTACACAGGACCCTTAAGCACCGGTGGAGATTTGTGAGTTTGCAATATGTCACGAGCGTTTCAAGCTCATCTCACTGACCAGGTCCAGCTTCAACTTCTTTGCTCTCGGTAACATCCCTGCATCATATAATGCGACCGAGTACTACGCAGAGACCGACATTGATTATGATGATGTCGCTCCTGCGAACATTACCTCGTGGCACAACATTAGTGCCGCATATCCCCTTCGAACTCTGATTTCGCAATCTCAGCTGGGTCTCTACACGCCGGGCGTCGTCACCGGTTACCTTTTGGACGACAAAACAACGGCGGTCCTCAGCGTTCCGACCTTTGCTGTGTATGACGAAGGCATCAGCACCTTTTCGCAAGCTGTTGCCGACTTCACCAACAAATCGGCATCCGTTCACCGGGTCATTATCGACCTTCAGCAGAATTCGGGTGGATCCGTTGGGCTGGCACTGGATACTTTCAGGATGTTCTTCCCTTCTTTGGTACCATCGCCAGAGTCAAGAATGCGCGCGACGCCAGCGGTGAATGCTTTGGGTCAGACGTTCACCAGTCATTTCAGCAACATCACAGACGACGACGAGGCTCTGGACTTTATCGCCGAAGAATGGGTTTCTTCCCGTCGCATCAACGCTAGAACAGGCCGGCGCTTCGCGTCCTGGTCGCAATTCTTCGGACCTTCCGAGGGCGGCTTTACGCTTTCCCAGCGATACAATCTGACGGATAAAGATTTCGTTGCTGCAGCCTTCGGAATCGAGTTCCCTGACGAGGCCTTCGTTTCTGATCCATCTGCTGCACCTTGGTCGGGCGATGAAATCATCCTCCTCACAGATGGACAGTGTTCATCTGCTTGTTCACTATTCGTAGAGATGATGACCCGAGTCAAGGGGGTCCGGACAGTAGTCGTGGGAGGCGCGCCAAAACCCGGACCAATGCAGGCAGTCAGTGGAAATCGCGGAGCTGCTGCATATTCGGGTGATGAGCTCGATGAGGACATCACCTTCGCGAGCCAAATCAACTCATCTACCAGGGGTCTTTTGCCACAAAGGGGCAACCTGACTGACACAGGAATGAGCATCGCGTATGCCGCAATCAACCTGCGCGACCAGATTCGTGCGAATACAAGCACAGCCAATCAGTTTTTGTACCTGCCTGCCGATTGTCGACTCTACTGGAGCTTCGATAACTTTTTCGACTACAGCAGACTATGGTCTGACGCGGCGCGCCTGTTCAAGAATGACACGAGTCTTTGCGTACCCGGTTCGATCAACGCGAAGACACCCTCGAAACGGCGTTGGCAGCCTCGCTCTGTGGCATCGAAGAGCTTCAGCACGGGCGACTTCATCATGCGAGGCGTGAGTGGCGAGGAGCTTGCCCCCACTCACGATTCCGATATCGTGCACGATGATGCGGCTTTTGCACCGGTTGGAAAACCCAGAAGTTGCGGTGACAAAACGAAAAAAGATGGCAAAGACGACAACCTGTGCTCGTATGACCGATTGACACGATGCACAAAGGTCGAAACAAAATGCACAGATTGTCTGGAAATCTCGGAGGATGGATGCTCGGATGAGGATGGAGGAATTAAAACCGACGTGTCCTGGTTTTGCCTCCGTGATTGTCAATTCGGCGCGGCAATCGACAAATGTAAGCCTTACGGCCACTGCGGTGCCAAAATCAGCAAGAACTCGCAGGGAACCAGTCAGGCCTCAACCTTGCGTGGACCCTCGAAGTCCAACAAAAAGCTTGGCACTTGTACTCTGGACCCGCCGCGAGTGAACATAGCTGGGACTCTACCAACATGCAAGAAACTTCGAAGCTCAAGGCAGTGATTGTATAAGCGGGCGGGAATGAATCGCGATTGAGGCGTCTTCGCAATCCGTCCCTGGAGCAACATGGTCATGGGCGGTTCCTTCTCGATGCTGAATCTATTTACGAGCACCAATAGCAACAGCTCGCTCCGTGGAAAACTGCTTGGAGATCGCAAACAAGTCGGGAATCCCTTCTATGCTCAGCTGCACTGTAGCCTTTACCAGAAGGTCCTGAGCGGACTGACACAGAGCGGGACTATGCCCGCTCTCGCCTCCCGAACACCTCGTTCAGCTCTGAGGTGCTGCCTAGGCCCGCCGCTATGCGTATCGGGAAACTCCAGCATGCGCCTCGTCGTCCTGGGAATTGAAGAGAGCTACTCGATCGTCTTGGGAATCATGAACGTCGTCGACTCACCGCCGAAGAGCTATTTGTTGACATGTTGTATAGGAAGTCATGATGCTCGTGACGCCCCGAGTTTGGACGGGAAGTGGAAGTCCAACTGCAAGACTTAGCAGTGGAACGACGTTGACCCTTTGTACACTATCTTCCATGAACGATCGTGTGCGACGCCGCTCGTGGAGCGAGTTCGTCATTACTCAAAAGGAATGTGTTTCTTTCTTTAGCCGTGCGGAACTTTTGTCTGTCAATCAATCTGCTCGAAGTGAGGTCCCGTGGTGCACAAAAAGGGATGTCTTTGCATCACGAAGCACGCCCGGCAAAAAAACCAAAAGTGACAGCGCTGGGGGTCGAACCCAGGACCGTTTCGGTGACATCTCATGAGAGCTGTAAACGAAAAGTGATAACCACTACACCACGCCGCCAGCATAGATTAAGTCAACCGCTCTTTTTTATTATTCATAAAGGTTGATGCGATGACGTATCGCAGAGGAATGCTCATTTGTCGCCATCCGCCTCGTTAGTGGACTGCTGTGTGAAATGAATATGCATAACTCGGGTCTGAGATGTGGGCTTTTTCATGTTACCCCTGAAGCACTCCCCAGCTCCAGCAATACTAATGTTCTTTGTGCGAGGTGATCACAGTGGTCGCATGACGCTGTCGACCAGCCGGAGTGCAGCCGCCGAACTTCGCAGCCAATCTGCCGATCAACTTGAGCACCAGCTTATCTGATACAGGTCCTCCTTCAATCATTGTTCTGGTCTCGTGATCTTCGTCAAGACACTGAACTGGCGCCATGTCGAGCTCGCGGAAGGTGCGAGAGGCCAGTCATGCAGGCTCCTGGTACAGCGACTCCAAGACGGAATTGAACTCACAACTTGATGGGTGGCTTGCTTCTGTCAGAGCACCCGTGACGGCTATTGGACCACAAACTCACGGCGAGGTCATAAGCACGACACCTCAAGCTGGAGCGAGAGTGATCATTGCTCCGTATGTGACTGCGTATCTTTTCCATCAGTCCCGTCTGTGACCATTCTCATGAGATTTACGCAGGCATGCTGGCTACTCTTACTCCGGACCCGCAGCTGCATGGGCCTACAAATTATGGGATGTGTCCAAGGCGTAAGTCGAAGCTGTGAATTTTTAGAAGTAATCTAGATCAGACGCAGACTCTTGCGCCCTTTCTATTATTCAAAGACGCTGGGCTTTCGCTTTGCGGATGCAACGACCTTTTCTCAAGACTTGGGTGCTCTCGGACAATCAAACACTGACCAGAACAGCAAGAGAATTTTCTTGTTAGGCCCGTCGCATCACCACTATCTGTCAAAAGCGGCGTTATCCCGATGTTCTCATTATGCTACTCCCCTCGGCGATCTCGTGGTCGATCGATCAACCACGTCCACGCTGTACGAGACCGGTCACTTTGAATGGATGTCACAGTCCGTCGACGAAGACGAGCATAGTCTGGAGATGCATTTGCCCTATATTTACAAGATGCTAAGCAGGTATGTGGTGAGGGGTGAACTCGCAGTAAAAGTCGTAACCGAGATTGCAGGCAATTCGGTGACGACGAAAAGGCCATGCCGACTCTCGTGCCAATCATGATAGGCAATACCTCCGCCGCCGTAGAACGAGCCCTCGGAAAAGTGCTCGCACCTTATCTAGCAGATCCGAGTACGGCTTTTGTAATATCTTCCGACTTCGCTCACTGGGGAGCACGTTTCCGCTACACATACTATCGCGCAGCGTCTGGCACCGTCACAAATATCGATTCTACCGCTCGGTCGCCGAAACAGCCCGAAATCCACGAATCAATCAAAGCCGTGGATTTCGAGTGCATGGGTGCTTGCGAGAGTGGGAGCCATTCCGAGTGGCTGAACATACTCGAAGAGACGGGCAATACCGTTTGTGGTCGTCATCCGATCGGCGTGATCATGGCCGCGATCGAGGTGGTCCGTCACGATGTCGAGGACGCGAGCGTGGGCGCGTTCGAATTCGTGCGATATGAGCGTAGCAGTGAAGTCAGGCGAGTCGGCGATAGCAGCGTGAGCTACGCCAGCGCTTTTGCCGTGGTCTAGTCGCCATCGGATGCGAGATACAGGGTCATGGTGATGGCATAAATGAATTGTTGCGTGAATGTCTTGGGCCGTCGCGGTTGCAGCTTTCGATGCAGACTTGTTGTGGTGACACATCACCTGATGCTATGAGACCCACACACTTGAGTAGCAGTGATGACAGCAAGGATTTTGCGTTCGTCACCATTGATCATCCTTCGTACGGTTATGCTCGACTCACATGTAATAGATGACAGACTTGGCTTTTCACGGCCTTGCAATCTCGCCTGGATGGCACAAGGATGAACAGAGCCTGGCCGTTGCATACATCCTTGTGTCATGGTCCAAATGGAGAATTAATTGAGACACTGCGACAATGAATCGGCCACGTGCCACGTTTCACAGCGCTTCGGCAATGTTCGATAAGGAAGTTCTTGCGCAAGAAGGGACTTGTTCTGGAGCAGTAATCTTATACCCCTGGATTCACCGTATCACAGAAGTCGTCTCTCGTGAGTCACTGCCGTGAGATGATTGTCACCGGAGAATATGTCATGTAACATGTATGTCAAGTTGTTCTAGATTCAGAAACACGGCCATGGAAATAAGTAGTCCAAGATGACATTGTACATATGCGGTACTGTATTTTGCTGGTATGACAGCGTACGTGTCGCGACATAGCTCACTTGAACTCAAAACGCGTGATGGCGTGAGCGATCGTGGACGTGACCGATTCGCGTGCTCGGGCCGATTTATTATGCTTTGCACATCGGCTATTTCCTGGAGCGTTCGACCCGAGGACGACTAAGAAGACGGAGTGTACACTGCATCATCGTTTAGGAAGTATTGCAGCATGGCAAGAAGGTGCCGGGCCATGTCTCACATGAGGACAGTTTTCCTCCGATGATTCACCCGCCTTGTCCACGTGCGAACGTTTGCAAGGTTGATGTTCAGCCTCCAGCTTAAAATATGGTGTCCACGTCTCCTGAGGCAATACCCACGATGCGGACACGACGGATTCATGGGTGTAAGACTTCATCCGCTACGGACATTGTACAGTGTTAAAGCAAGCGTCCACGTGCCATTGTAAAGCGGTGTTAGGACTGTTGTGACGGCGTCACCGGCAGTGAGGCCATTCTCCGGATCCCCAACGCCTGCCGACCCTTGTCCTGCAGGAGGCGAAGCGATATGTATACCTCTTCGTTCACCAGCTATACCAAACGGTTGCAATCTGTCATGAGGCCCTTGCAAAATCGGTCAATGGTGGCACAGACTCGAATCTGCTGTCCAGCGTGATCCCATGGTCATGTCATGCTAATCTTGGGCGAAGCATGGGATCTTTTACAAATATTCGGCAATGGCTGGAGACTCGGACACGGAAATGTCAACCGTGGACTATAACGAACGCCTCGTTGATCGCATACGCTTGCATGACGATGATCGTCGCCCTGTCATGTACATGCGATACTATCTATCGAGAACTTTTACGCCGTCTGACCGTGATGTCACATTGTGCCTATGATCATACAAAATGGTCCAACAAGTCAATATCCTTGAGCCAGGTTATCGGGCTTTCTCGGCCCTGACTTAATAATTATGATCCGTGCACAACAAGCAAGGGCAATTTCGAGATCAGTGCTATGGTGACACAACATCGAGGAGAAGCACTTCATCTCCTCTTTTCATCTCAATTTTCTCTCAACATCATGTCGCATTTAATGCAGGGTCGAGCTTCGGCCGTGAGAATCGAGACGCGATTGCAGCGGATCTCATGACATTCATCCGACCAATTGCTGCTCGGCCTCGCGTTGCGGGAAAGAAACAAGACGTATCCGGCGGATTCATTGGTGGCGACCGTCTTTCCTAGCTCGACGGGTGGTCACGCATCACAATGATGTACAGCTGTGAGAGCGTCGAAGTACTATAACAATCTTGCATCGTACATAGCTGCAATACATGTTAACGGGATCATCCAACGAATGCTCGCAAAAGGTCAGGCCAAGTGTCGGGCGTGGCCAAAAAAGTCGTCGCGAACGTTGTACGGCGGGCAAGGCCACTACTAGCCACAGCCAAGGAGCTTCAGTGCCGTTTTGCTATACGACGCTCTTGCCAGCGGCAATACTCGATGCATTCTGCAGGCCTCAGATCTGCTGAAATCTTGGTTGCAGCGTGAGAACTCTACTGCGTGGGCACCATGGGGCCGGCGGGAGAGATGTCCGAAGCGCCGTCTGGCCCTAGAATGATCGGCGTACAAAGGCGACCCATTCGAACTCAAACGCACGCTATTCGCGTAAGGATGAAGTCAGTGCAGTATGATCCTATTCAGATCCATATTCGGTCAGAACATGCATAGGAAACAGGATGGTGGGACTCCCGGATCTTCAATATCCCTATCAGTTCCAGTGAACACTACCGCTCGACCTTACATTTCTTGGTTCGTGCTAATATTGTGGATGCTGCCGTACGGAACGCACGGCCGATACGCGCCATGGCCGTTCGATGGGACTGTGCATTGCAGAGGGAGGCGAAGAGCATTTGCTCTACGTACATAGAAGTAGCCTTCTGGGCCCTTCCAATGCTCATCTCACCATCCTCATCACGAATATAATATACAGGAGCACTTGTGGTGTTGCTCATCTTCTTACAGTTTTCATATCCTTTCCAGCTTCTTCAGGTTTCATCACATTCTTTTAACGATGACTTTATTATTCAGTCTGCTTGCTTTGAGTTACGTTGCAACAGTCCAAGCTGGACCTCAAGTCGGCCCACAGAGAGGTGGCTCTTCCGCTGTGAATGGACTCGCTCGACCTTCAGGCTTCATCGGCGCAGGTAGATCAGCAGGTAGTCCAGCTTACACTTGGATATTTGAACGACCTTTGCCCATTCCTCCTATTGCTCAGCCGAAGTTTACGAAGACCTTGAATGGAATCCCGGTCCAATTTTATGAGAGCGAAATCAAGAGCTTCACTCATCAAGTGTATCCAAATCTAGGGCCAGCGAACTTGGTCGGTTATGGTATGACCTGAAGGCACAACATGTTAACAAAATGGACGACATGCTGACCATACAGCATAGATGGCACTTCACCTGGATACACATACATCATCCCTCGTGGCACTGAAACAGTGATTCGATACCTCAACAGTGGAACGGAAAATGCTACCGTCCACTTGCACGGCTCATATACACATTCCGTATGGGATGGATGGGCCAGCGATGAGGTCGCTGTCGGTTCCTACAAGGACTACTACTATCCCAACTCTGAGAGCGGGCGGTCCATGTGGTACCATGACCATGTCCATGGCTCAACATCAAAGCACGCATACTACGGCCAATCCGGTGTCTATATTGTCAAGGATGCTGCCGAAGATGCTCTTAGACTCCCGGCAGGCAAATACGACGTGCCTTTGGCACTCACTGATAAGGTCTATCAGTCGAATGGCGACCTGGCCTCACCCAACGCGACTCCGATCAATTTCTTCGGCGATATCATCCAAGTCAATGAACAGCCATGGCCTTACCTCCAGGTTGAGCCTCGCAAGTATCGCTTCCGGATTTTTGATATGTCGCTCAGCCGAGCTTACAACCTCTATTTCGTCGCGGGGAACAACAACCCAATCCCATTTCAGGTCATCGCCTCGGACTCGGGTCTGTTTGCTTCTCCCGTAACCACTAAGGACGTTCTCATCTCCATGGGCGAGCGCTACGAGGTGGTCTTCGATTTCTCCGCCTATGCCGGCCAGAACATCACACTCATGAACAACCTCTCCGACAGCCTTGCCCGGCAATTCGACAACACCGACAAAGTCATGCGATTCATCGTCGGTAAGACAGTCAGCGACAGTTCCAACAACGGTGCCGTTCCTTCGAGACTCAATGGAAACATCAATTGGCCGGCCCAGAGAACCAAGGTTGATCACACATTCAACTTCCAGTTCGGCGGCCAGGATACTTGGACTATCAACGGAGTGACCTTTGATGATGTCAACAACCGAGTCCTCGCCCGACCACCACAGGGAACGGTAGAGCTTTGGGAATTGCGACACAGCGGTGGCCCGGCTGTTCATCCAGTTCACATTCATCTCGTCAATATGCAAGTCATCAGTCGTACTGGAGGCTCTCGCGGCCTGCTCCCGTACGAGGCTGCCGGACTAAAAGACATCGTTCTCCTCGAACCCTTCGAAACGGTTCGCGTGCTTGCGATGTACGGTCCATGGAACGGCATGTACATGTTCCACTGCCACAACTTGATCCACGAAGACCATGCCATGATCGATGTGTTCAACGTGACCAAGCTTGAGGCTCTTGGCTACGCATTCAACAGCACACAAGTATATGCCAATCCGATGGACGCCAAATTCGCCGCTCTTCCATACAAGAAGCAGGACTATTCTCTCGATGCCGAGATGAGCGCCGTCTCGTCTCTGGCGAGCTTGAACGCTTATGCTCCAGCCACGTCACTAATGGCTGCTCAGTCTGCATACTGGGCCACCGCCACTGTCAGTGCGACCTCATCAAAAGGAGGTCTCTTCGACGGGCTCACTGGTCTTTTTGGCAGACGCGTCGCAGCTCCCACCGCACCGCCGGGAATCATCGCTACGAGGCCGACGGTCATTCCTGAAGCCGCTCCCACTGTTACCCCTGCACCAGTGAGGTCATGAGTATTCCCAATCGCACAGTCTTCATTCTTCTTTGCCTGTTACAATTTCACGTCAATGGATGATTCCGCAATTTCTTTTTACATAGAGGGTATCTGTACACAAAATGGTTAAGATGTTTAGATGAGATACTAACACATGTTCGACGGTGGCTGGCTTGTAACAACATCACGAACGGAAACGCTATTAATGACTGAATCTCAAAAAAATTACAATCGTGACATTCCATCATAAATGCCCATGGGCTCCACAAGTGATACATTCGAATGCTCGCGTGTTTTTCCCAATAATGGATTCGACAATGCCCATTCATGTTACCCATCAAAGCTACGGGCGTCTAGAGCTCATGGCCTTCAACTCCCGCGACGACGTCTTGAAATCGTCTAAAGGCGAAATGAGATCAAACCTCGACTTCGACAGATCTACCACCATCGGTATCGGGCATCCACCCTTTCGGTCGTTCTGCGCCTCGAACGACCAGGCCGTACAGCGCTCGTTCAACCTAACAATAGATGCATTAGCTGACAGTGAGTCGAATGAGACATAAAAATAACACGGACCTTCTCAACACTGTGCCGCATCACATCCATTTTTTTGTCGACCTCCTTTGCAAAGGGTCCAAATCCGACATTTAATGACTCGAGTCCCGCACGCAGAGCACGCATGTCCGTGAGGATGTTTCGCTTATTAGCTGCCGCAATGGCATGTTCTTCTGCGGTAGACTCCTTCGACTGCGCAATTGTGGGCAACGAGCCGCTGGTTGCCATCGTCGTGATGGCAAATCGCATCAATTCGCCAGTCATGTCGTATAGCCCGAGAACATAGTCTTCCAAGCTGAGCTCTACTCCCGGGCCATTTGGGTCCTGCCTGCGTAGGCCTTCGACGGCTTGCTCGTATGTCAACAGGGAGGCGGTCGTCAGATAGTGCTCAAAGGATGCTGCTTCGATATATTCTTGACAGCCTCCACTAATCTGTCGTGCATACCTCCAGGCGTTGATCTCCTGTAAGTCGCGAGATACGGTGGAGATCTGTGTGGATATTGTCTCGTAGTATTGTTTGTTGCTTTTCAGTACATGCTGTGGCAGTGGCTCGTTTAGTTTTCGGATTCTGTAGCGCTTGCATTAGATGGGCGAGCTCCATCAAGAAGACCAGGGCATGACCGACTGCCGCACCTTTGCAGTGTGAATATTCTACACCTCATCAGCAAGAGTGAGTAGTTCAAGACCCGCTATAGACCAACATTTTTTTCGATGCCGCTGTGACGTCCCTTGAAGCTTTAATTATTCGCTCTCTACGGTCGTGATGCTCGTCCAGCTCAGCCCGGAAACCCTCGAACATCGGCATGAATGGCGAAGCCGCAGAATCAACAGCCTGACTCTCCATCTCGGCTCGTGTTCGCTTGGCCGTCATGAATACAAAAGTTGGACAAGAGTATGAGCTCGTTAGTCTGATGGTCAAATTCACTTCATGCGGTCATATTTCGTTCGATCATTGATGGAGATCCTAGCTCGAGCGGAGGGTCCAAAGTGCGCACCGGACAAAAGTCTTGTGCACAAGAGGTTTGTGCCTGAGCGAGGCACTCTCATCCAGCCTTACAATTATAACCCTCGGAAGATGCCTGTAACATTTCAGATCCGGCTGCTCAAGACCTACATAGAAGCCAGAGGAAGACATGTTCAATTGTGTGATTTGAATCTATCTATCGCATGTCATCGGGGTATCATTAGATTTCGTTGCAAAATAGAACCCAAACGCCTCATGAAATCATGCCATGCAAATGCTACTATGAAGATGCCTCATCATTGTCAATGGCCACGCCACCGTCGCCATCCTCCGCATCGTCTTCGTCCTCGTCATCTTCGGCCTCATCATCAAACCCTTCGAAATTGTCGTCTTCAGCCTCGTCCTCACTCTCGGCAGCGTCGCTTCCTCCTCCTCCTTGACCCTCACTTTCGAAATCTCGCTTTCGTTTCTTATGCGTGAAACCTAACTTCTCATCCCGTCCTTCGTCTTTGTTTTCTGCCTCTGCAGAGGGCGGTGGTGGCGAGAACCAAGGGATTCTACCTCTCAAGAAATCATTAAGCACCATTTTCGCCACACCATCACAATCTGCTTCGCCTCCCTTCAGAAGTCGACCACCTTTGCGGGCAAGAGCTTCCAGAAAGTTGACAGCCTCTTCCGTTTTTTGCTTTTCGGTCTTCTCAGTCCCCTCCTCAACGTTAGTACTCCAGCCTTTGATATCGTATGTCCTTTCCAGATGGTGTGTGCGACACTTCGATAGAACAGCGGGAATGTATTGCGCCGGGTATTCCACGTTTTCAACTCTGACTACTCCTCGCAAGAGAATGTCTTCCGGTGAGTCTGTCATGGAGGGTGGCACAATGCCAGGACAATCGATGAGGTAGATTCTCTTCATCAATGTGATATACTGCCATACTTTGGTTTCTCCAGGTATAGGCGCCGTGGTGCAGACCTCTTTATTGCGCAGAGTGTTGATGATTGAAGATTTGCCTGTGTTGGGATATCCGATGAACCCAACTGAAATTTGTTTGCGAGAGGCATGTAGAGACGAAAATTGCCGCAACAGCGAAATAAGCGTTCCCTTGCCGAAACTGTGCGTCATGCTAGCATGGAATGCGAGTGTTGGGTAGTCGCGAGAGAGGAGCTTTACCCATCTGGCCTGCGTCAAGATCGTTAGCTTACGTCTCCCGCGTCAAAACAAACTATCAAGTTGTGGAGATTTGTGCGTCTCATAACTAAGCGGTCCATCAAAGAAGTAAATCCGGATTGCTACTCAGACAAGACGCGAGCCACCAGGGCGACCATACCAAGACGGCAGAGAGTCTATCGGGGCTCGTTTGATCTGCCAGCGCTGTAACAGGTCTGTTCCACAGGAGGGCCTGGATAGGCGGGAGAAAACCTTGACTAAAGCAGTGGCATAAACACGGCCGACGAGGCCGTGAGGATTGGTGCAGGAGGTCAAATGAAGGGGAGCGAACAAAAGATAATTGGAATGCGATACATACCGCTACACTGGTCGGGACCAGATCGCATTTGTTCAGGAGGAACAATAAATGTTTGTGCGGAGCCTCGTCCCGTATGTATTTCTCCACACTGCGACATCTTGTTCCGAGTGGATCACGGGCATCAAGAACGTGAACGATGACATCTGAGCTGTCAATTACCTTGTAGAGCTCGTTCCAGATCCGTTTGCTCTGACCCTTGGAAAAGACAGGTTCGCGTGCAGTCGCTGATTGTCCATCTGCGTTTCGAGGATCTGTTGAGGCTTCATGCTCCGCTTCACCCATGCCAGATAGTAGACGAGCTTCTTCCTGCTTTTCCTCAAATGCCGAAAAGTCCTGACTGGTGGCTGAAGCGAAATCTTCCAAGCTGGACACTGCCAGCCTGGGTCTCTTTCTCTGCGCCTTGGGTCCGAACGTGTCGCCGAATTTCTCCGTCTCAATCTTGATCTTGGCCTGGTGTTGGATGAGTCCGTCTTTCCGTTCTTTGTCCTTGTTGTCGTGGATCAAGCTCATCGGCAATTTGTTTTGCTTCAGTAAAAAGCTGTACGGGTCTTTACTCTGCGCCTCGACCGCTCCTCGGAAGGCGTTCAATGCGTCTTGTGAGATGACACGTGTATTCGTAAACCACTTTCGATGGGGCTCAATACGAGCACTGGGTTTGTCGCGACTTTGAAAGGATGCAGCCTTGACGACGTCTCCTTGGGCGTTTCGAATCGCTTTGCCCTCTTTGAACATATTGAGCGTCTTGACCTTTTTGGCACTGCGATAGAAGTTTTCGCCCTTGGTCCGTACATTGGCCATGCCATCGCCAGTCTTACCCTGCCGCACGCGGCGGGTAGCCTCTTTCTTTCCCGTGCCCATGGTGATTTACTGAGAGCAGTATGAAGAATAGTTCAGAAGTCGAAGAGTGAAAGTTTCCTCGGGCGCAATAAATTTCGAACTGAACCCTACCTAGTTACATGCAGGACCAAAATCTTGGCGGCGGCGGCGTCGCACGGCTCGAGCACTCCCGCGGCCACCGCGATTGCAGACGGAATGAATCCGTCGAGTCTCCTTCACAGCGGCCTTTGTCTGTACCAGAGACAATACTCAGTTGCCATCACCAATGGCGCCGCGCACATCCCTATTATCAACGGCTTCCCGCTGGAAATGCCCACAATGCACATCTCGCACATTCACGACCTCGGCATCGCGTCAGAAGGTCGGGCCCGAACATCCCAGATACATTGAGGTCCCCGAACCGCCGCAGCAAACCGCGCCATATTTACCACGCATCAAGGGTACATTACCCGTGCCTCGCAACATCTTCACCGGAGGCAAAGATCATTCTACAGAAGAAGCCATTGCACAGTCAACGCCAGAACCAAGTCGAGCGACTCAACCAGGTCGAGGCAGTCGTGAAGAGTGGAAGCAGAAGATCAGCGAGAACCGGCGACGCAACTTACGGGAGGGTATCATAAGTCTGAAGCAGCGACAAAACATCCAACGCGACCGAAGCCGTAACAAGGCGGAAATCAGCCAACGGGCGCGAGAAAAGGCACTAAATCAGCCTGAACGGGAAGATGAGAGATTGACGGCTCCCAGCATCAATTTTGACATCGATGCTCTGATGCATAAGGGCGGTCTCGCCGATCCAAGCCGGGAGGAAAGGTTGCGGGTGAAAAAGGCCAACGTCGAAAGAATAGCAGCGGAAAAGCGTGAACGACGCCTTGATGACTTACACACTCTTTACATGAACGCCCGTACATTCATTGTCACACCAGAGCAGCTTGACAAGCATGTCGACGATGTCTTTGGCAAGGACGTGCCAGTCGGATTCGGCTTCGAAGGCCAATCAAGTAACAGCATCTGGGCGACTGGAAATCCTGTGACTGTGCAGGAGATGCTCCGCAGGAAGATGGAAGCCGGAGCACGCAGTGCAACCACCACAGTCTCTGCAGCGGATGCGAGATTGCACCAACTCGCCGAAACTTTGACCGGCGGAAAGATGGATTTGGATTAGGGACTCACATGGACAAGTCTGGAGATTATTCTATCACAGCAAGGGCACCTTTCCTATTGCGACAGGCGAACTACGGGCAATATCTTTGAACATTGAGATTGTCGTGAGAACCCCTGGGAAAGATTAGCGACCGGTGCGATGTTGCCTTTCAGTTGACAAGGATTTTACGCGTTCGGTTCGTGACTGTACAACGCTTGTACTATACCAAATTCCAATTTCAAGTCACTTTTACCTCGTGTCTTTGTGAAAGCATCTGTTGGAATGTGTAAGGTATGTCCTCGTATACCAAATGTATCGGGACCACAAAAGAGTTTGGTGGCTCATGAGATAAGATGGCCGGTCACGCCGCCGTGGTGTATCCACGAAGAAAAACAGGCAGACCCGATAGAGACTACGGAGAGGCCCTTGCATCTTGTCGATGTCGCTAGACATGTCATGATTGTATCGTACTAGTCAAGTATTTGTGCCGTCCCGTTGGGATTACAGGAAGGCTTCATGACTGCTGACATTGATTTCACGCAGGCGGATGTACATGGGCAAACGGTAATGCAGAATCAGACAATAAGTTTTTACTAGTCCGACAGACATTTCTCTTCTCCATTTCCCAGCCGATGAAGGCGTGAGCAGTGATGAAAAGGTAGTTTTGCGTCAGCCAGCGATAGTGCGAAACTGGCGACACGGTGCCTTCTGACATGAGCAAGCTCAGCGGTCAGGAGACGAGTCTCAAAAAGTAATTTAATCTAGAATGCCTCAAATAGAGGCGTTTCAGAGATTAAACTGAAAAGAACAGATACTACACTTGATCTAAGCTAAAAAGCGAAGAGAGCTGGAGAAGAAAGAAAAGAAAATGGAAAGCTGTGAGGTTGAGGAAGAATATATACAGCCGTGGGTGGCCCGAGCGTCAGGTCGAGGAGTGAGTCACTACAAGGAAGGTGCCGTGCTGCTGCCTGAGCTGTGACTGAAACGCTACAGGCCCGGGGTGGTGAATGTTGTGAGTCACGCCCGGCCCTGGAGCTGCCTCTGTGCCGCTTGTGTGCGTATACTGTAGGCAACAGCGCCAACTTGGAACTCACCTACCCAGGTGCCCAGGTGTGTAGCAATGACTGTGTCATGCCTCAGGCTTCCATAACTTTCCTTCAATCTCCAGGCTTCACGTTCAGCGCAACATTGTCGCATCGAAGATACAGCAAGCTTGTGAGGCTTGTTCCGGATCACTGGAGATGGCTTACTCGTGTTGAGAAGATAGGTCTCACCCTCGATAGATGTCATTTCGTCCGCTGTGAAATCGCATGTAAGAATTGTTGGAGAATATCCAGTATTTGGCTCTTACACCGTGCCTGTAGCCATAGACATTGTTCAGCATCAACGTCTCAGTGCCAACCTACTCCAACACTTGCTAGATGCTCGAATCGATGGATCCCGGCCCATTTGAATGACTTGCCTGCGATGGAGATATATCATCCCTACGCCCGGTACTCATGCCCCTGCAGCGAGGAGTCCGCCATCTCTGCCGTAACGGCCTCTGGCAAGAGAAATTCACGACAGGAGCAAGAGGCCGATGCCAACACGGAACGGACATTCGACCCTCACGATCCACGAGCCGCATTCGCCCTTCACCCACTCGACGACCTCCTCTTCTGTGACGAGTGTAATCATACACGCTGCCCAAAATGTTGGACGGAAGAGATGATCTATTGGTACTGCCCGAATTGCTTGTTCGAGGTCCCAAGCAGTGGAGTGAAGAGCGATGGTAACAGGTAATGTGAGAGGGGATACACCAGCAAGGTTTGCCAGGTCCAATGCTGACAGCCTCCGCTAGATGCACGAGACACTGCTACGATTGTCCAATTTGCACTGCAACACTTGCCGTCACCGCTTTCGGTCGTCAGTCAGAGACCCACCTGCGACCTGCTGACAGCACCGCCTCTCACGAGTCGTTCATCCTCCACTGCCAGCATTGCGACTGGAGTTCTCTCGATATCGGAGTCCAATTCAACAAGCCCACGAAGATCACCGAACAGCTCAACAAACTATGGAAGGCGAGGCATACACCGCCCGAGGAGAATTCGCTCGAGAGCTCGCCCGAAGCCGAACCTGTGAAATTGGATCATGACACCGCTTTCAAAAATTTGACGACATTCTATAAGGAGCAGTTGCAGGAAGCTGGTGATCAGCAGAATCCATACGGGAACAGTCCTTACAATTCACCGGCGAATCTACAGCGGATCATGAATCTCTACGGAGGCTTATCATACAATGCTCTGAAGAAGACTCGAGAGAAGCCGCAGCCCATGCGGGAAGCCAAAGATCGGAATGAGGGCCTGGTAACGTATACCGCGGCTGAGGGCATCTCCGACGAGGCGGCTCTACAGAAATTACAGAAGCTCGGTCTCAACGCCACGGCTACGGCATCACAGCGTCTAGCGACACCCGCCAACTTCGACGCACATTTCATAGACGAGCTATGGCCGGTCGCGACACCACTGCGGGTACGGAGAGGGAAACGGTGTCGGAGCTGTCGCCAGTTCTTAGCCCGACCAGAGCCCAAAGTGGGAAGCATGAGATACAAGATCCGGCTGATCGCCGTCAACTTCATCCAGCGCCTCTCCGTTCGGCCACTGCAGGCAGCTCCGCCGATGCACAACAGCGCGTTCCATGTACGCGCCGAGCCACTTCCTGCGATCCGATTACAGCCACATCAAGCCAAGCAGTACATTCTAACCGTACGCAATCCGATATTCGAATCCGTCAAAATCACACTTGGTACACCTGCAGTCACTCCCGGACGCGTGGCTTCCCGAGTCACGATCCTATGTCCATCATTCACCGTCGGGCCTGCCGGTGACATGTGGGATGAAGCATTGTCAGCATCCACCACAAGCGCCAGCGACGGCGGCAGACAAGCAGCCATGGCCTCGCTGACGGGTTCAGCAGAAGCTGATCGGCAGCCCGAGGCGGGAAAGGTCTGGGAGCGTTCACGGAATTCGACGTCGGTGATCCTGGAGGTGGTACCAGGCTCTCTACAGCAACGACCTAGCATAGTGCCCAAGGATGGTGCCGATGCCAAGGAGGATCCGATTCGTGAAGATGACGACTTGCTCGAGGTGCCGATCTATGTCCGCGCGGAATGGGAGGCCGATGCGCATGAAGACGAAGGCCTCTCCTCTGGTGGCAAGAGGAAGGAGCGGGAGAGTAAGGAGTTGGGTTACTGGTGTGTCATTGGCCTTGGGCGGATTGTGGAGGGATGACTGGAACATCGTCCCTAGGTTTCATGTCACATTAAGAGTACCAGTGCGGCAATTTGCCCACCACTGTAGTTTCTAGAGTTGAAAATCGCATGCCACCCCATGATGGCTCAGTATAGCGTCCCTACACACGATCTGCGCCATTGCTTCAGGCAGAACCACCTCTGAAAGGCCGCAACATGAACAGCGTCGTCATTGTCACGCAAGTCAAGTCCGTGTCAGAGCATCTCGCTGTCGTTTTTTGAGATTTGTCACATTAGGGTTGGCATAGGGTTTGGGTTACGCTGTCACTGTGGAAGGTGAAGGAGATGTGAGGTCCGCCCTTCACACACTCCACAGATGTCGAAAGATTTCACTGACTGTGCACTCACTGCCTATGCTCTGGAAGTTTCGTATTTGCACGTTAGGTATGCAAAAATAAAAACCCACAATATCTAGAGCAATCCACTGCGATCGCCAGGCCGCCTGCTTGGCAATCGTACTCTACAAACTACCACCACGTACATCAGCACACGATTGGGAGACACATATATGTGGAGCGGAAGATTGAGAACAACACTTTTATTTTCCAGACATCGCCTAGGAGCGATGCCATTCAAGATGCGGGATGCCGGTCGCGTTGGATTTGCAAGCTCATCACCAGGACAGCAATGCTTTTCCAGACAAACAGATCACCGAGCATTCCTCGCCTCTCATAATAACATGAATAAATAACAGTTCGCAATCGCGGTAGAACGATGCGCGCGCAAATAATCGACAAGAAAATGGAAAAAGAACAACTCGGACGCCGCCACATGACTCCTCATCCATTGTCCTGCTGGGCTCCAAACACGCCGTGGCCTCAGAATACCACCTAGTAATTGATATAGTAGGCCAGCGTCGCGCCAAAGTTGTTGCGATGCGATGAGTCGAGGATGGCACGGTTGGGGAAGGCCGTGTCAGAGATCATGTTTACAGCTGCCTTGGTGGTGACGCCGTACATGGCGACCTGGCTGTTCTCGAGGCTGATCATGTTCTGTTGGCAGTTGTTGTTCTTCACGCAGTCTTGGTTGTAGCCGTTGAAGAAGTTGTACATGCCGACGGCGTAGAGGAGGACGCTCTTGCTGTTGACCACGCGGAGACCCCAGGCTTCCTCGCAGGGAGCTGACGATGAGCCGGATTTGCAATTGGCGAAGCTGGGGTCGTCGTAGGCCGAGTTGGTCGGAAGCCAGCTCAGACCCAAGCTGGTTGGGTTGGGCTGGAAGTAGGGTGTCTCGGTCTGCATGAAGCCTCCGAAGATACCATTGGCTGCGCTGATTCCAGAGAATTGGTAGTTGTAGAACATGGAGTGCTCGGAAGCAGTGCCCCACAACCAGGTTGGGCCATTGGTGGAGCGGAAGAGGGCTCCACGGGCGCTGTAGATGGATGTCTGAGTTTGAGCTTGGATCTCCATGTCGTGATCAGCGACCCAGAACCAGGTGTTCTCGAGGTAGACGCCACCCGACGATGGCGCAGCATCGAACATGAGGAAGACACCCGCGCACTGCTTTTGAGGGGTGCCATACTTAGGGCAGTTGCCTGTCTGAAGGTTGGAACCGTAAGAGCCACCGATCCGAACATGAGCATCCCACATGCCAGAGGCACCCTGGGAAGACTTCAGGTTCCATTGGATCATGACAGCACCTGGCGCAGGACCGTTGGTGGAGAAGAGCATATCGGTGATCTCGACGGACCCGGATTCACCAGGCTGACCGACCTGGAAGACCGGCTTGGGGTTGCTAGCGTCACTGAAGCTCGAACCTTTGGCGACGATCAACGGCCAGATCTCACCAGTGATCTTGATGTTCGCAGGGACGCGAATGGTGTCGTCAACGAGATATGCACCGTGATCAAAATAGGCGACAGCTCCGGAAGTGCTGGCGACCTTATTGAGAAAGGCTTGAATAGCGGCAGTGTCGATGGTGTTTCCATCACCCTTGCAACCGTTGGCTTTGGCCGAGAGGATGGACGAAGCCGAAACCCCCTCGTACTGAGGCTTGGAGCGGCTGAAGATCTTGCCATTGCTGTCAAGCAGAGCTGCATTCTTCGAGGGTGCTGAGCTGATCTGACCTTGGGAAGGAGAGCCGGTAGCGGTCTTGGAATATCCATCACCGGAAGCCCAGTAGTTGATCTTTCCGCGGTTGCTCAAGAACGGCGTGTTGTTGGGACCCATGACTGGTGTGCCAACAGAAGACATATCCACGTTGTCGATGATCAAGGTGCCTCCAGTGGCAGGGTTGTTGCCGCTGGTCTTGTATGCAGAGCTGACTCCGATGTTTGAATTGCCGAAGTTGCTGTCAGAGATAATGACGGAGCCAACAGATTGCGAGTTGGACATGTCGACAGCAATGTTGGCGTTGCGGACGGTGAGACCAGACAAGACCCATCCCCAATTCCAGTTCATGTAGACAGCGGTGCTGCATCCATCGAAGGTCAGGTTCCGGGAAGTGAATTGTTGGCTTCCAAGGAAGGCACCGAATTTCCCACCGGTGAACAGCAGGTCGGAAAACCAACCGCCGCTGCCGTTGTCCATGAAGATACCGAGCTGCTGGCTACCAGGAGTCATCTTGAAGTGCATGTTCTGAAGGGAAGTAGCCTGCGCGACCTGCCAGTGGATACCTGCAGCAGCGTTCGGTGCACCCGTAAGATCAATGACAAAGTTGCGAACCTGTCGGAAGAAGTTGTTCTGGTTGACGAACCAGTTCACACCACCCTCACCGTACGGGTCAGAATCCATGACGGCCATGCCGGAGAAGGAGCTGGAGGCGCGGATGACGGGAAGGTTGGTAGCATCACCAACCATTTGCGTGTAGTAGTACATTTGAATTGGTTTGCTGACGAGATAGGTTCCGGCAGGGAAGTAAACCAAGGCTGGCGTGGTAGTGGAGGATTGGCATCCCTGACCACATCGATTGCCGTCTGAGATAGCGCGGTTGATGGCATCGGTATCGTCGGTGACACCATCACCCTTGGCGCCATACTTGGGATCCATGACGTTGCGGAAGACTTGGTAATTGGAGTCGGAGTTACCCCAGACGCTACCTTGACGTTTGACATTGGCAACCCAGTAGCTGGAGCTGGGGGCTCGTGACTCAATCGACTGTTGCAATGGGAGAGCGACAGCCTGAGCGAGTGGAGCAAGTAGAGAGGCGCACAGCGCCGAAGCGAGGAGCGAAATACTGCGAACCGAGACCATATTTGCTATATGTCTGGTTGATTGATGGGTATCTTGAGATGAAGCTGTTTGTGGTTTTGTTCGTCAGTGACCCGCACTGCGAATGAAACGGTATGGTCGAAGAAGGGAATCGAATGAATGCGGCTCGTCGAATTTGAGCGGAGTGAAGAATGTAAGAAGAAGGAAGAAGCGGGACACTCGACGAGAATGTATTCTCGACGTGATTGCGTGAGTGAATGAACGGAATGATTGAATGAATGAATGTGCGTCGGATGTGTTGGCGACAATACGTCAAAGTAAGCGGACAATGAAATGTCGACACCTGATCGATGACGGTCTGTACAACAATCGTGATGACAGTGAATGAAGTTGCAAGGACAAAGAAAGGCCAAGAGACAACGATGTCGGCAGGTGTATGCACGCAAACACGAGACCACAAGCGTGTCGAAATATGGTCGAACAAGAATAGAGGACAACGACTGAACGAAGGGAGAGAGAGAAGAGGGAGAGGGAACGATGGTGGTTTTGAGGCAAGATGGTGCGGAAGAGAAGGGTAGCCGTGAAAGAAAGAGAGTGAGAGTGAGTGAGTGAGTGAGTGAGGTATCGTGATATGCCCAGTTGTGTGTGTGTGTATTGGTGCCGCTGTGTGTGTATAGGTAGGTAGTGGGGAGTTGTTTGATAATGCACTACTCACCTCAAACCAAATTGTAGCGTGGGCGCCCGGCAGCCAATCCCGATGGCGTTCCTCCCACAAGAAGGCCTCGTCCAGTCCCACTAAGCGCGTTTCACAATTTCTCTCTCTGCTCACTTTGCACTACACTCTCGTAGCAACTCCCCGAATTGGCAGATGCAAAGGAAAATATCAGTGCAGAGGTGAAAAAAAAAACGGGTCTGATCGCTCGTCCTGGTCTGTCTTGAACAAACAAAGTTCAATGTCGGTCGTGGTTTGCGTGTGAGGATTTGCTGCTGTCTGGTTGTTCATACACAAGAGTATTCGTCTTTTCGAGAGCAGGGCTGAAGGTAGTCAATGGTAGTCTGCAGGGGTTTGCATCCCAGGCAGAGTATGGAACGATGACCTATGGATAGGCTGGTGAAGAGGTTGGTCGAGAGCATCATCGTCGACAACGGTGGAACTTTGACCGGTTTATATCTGTCAACCGTCGACCGCTGAGAGATCCCTCCCGCCATGAACCTACACCGGCTTTCATGTGAGTGGCAATATCACATTGTCGAAACCATCATCGTGCAATCCACTGCGCGGTGTTGTGATGGGGTTGTCGAAGTCGTCACGTAGAGATCGACAGTATCATGTTGCACAACCCCATGACCGAACTGTAGCTTTGGCGTCTTCACCTCGCAGGCTACACATCGTGAGAGCTACCTGACCAACAGCAGAGCGGTCACCGACCCACACGAGGAAAGAAAGCCACAATCGAGGGATCGGCGCGGAGTGTATTTTGACCAAGCCGAACGCTGGTCGGCAGGCGCCACCATCTTGATGACAGCCATCAACGCGGAGGAGGAGCAGGTATCGGGAGATGAGCGATGGAGACGTGGGTCAAGCGCACCACCCTCTCCGATCCCGTTCTCACGAAGGGACTGCACGGTAGGTAGTATCGGACGGACGGACGGACGGATGAGGGAGAGGTGAATGCACGAGGCAAGTGGTGAGACAGGGTAGAGGGTAGCAACGTTTGCGAAAAGGCAGGGCGCATAACAACAAAGGGGATCAGTAACGTATTGCTCGCCCGGGGCGCCACGATCTGTCAAGCCGGAGGTGGACAACGGGTCTTTGGTCGGCCACGAAGGTGTCGGATTTGAGGCGATGCACCGAACGCGCGTGCGCAAGACCGGAGTCGTCGCGGGCACTGACTGTATCAGTCGTGGAGTCCGATATTATAGTGTAGAGCAACCATAATCTACTTTTCTGACGAGTCGATGGTCACGAACCCACAACAAATCATCAAAAGCCAACTTCACAAATTGACCAGGAAGAAAGAGGTGCAGTCCCGATTATGGTTCGGCGCCAACGCCTCTGCTGCAACAGTTCCCAGGCCTGTAGACCCGCCGCCGCTTTTCCCCTCCAAGGAGACGCGCGCACGGAAGGGAATTGCACGTGCGGCACCCCGATTCTCCGACGCCGGCCGGTCGAACAATGAAACAGGGCGGCAAAGGATTGGCTGGCGAGGGCTGGCGCCCAGCAGATCACTATAAATCGTGAATGCCCATATAAGACTACATGATCATGGAGTGATGTACGCCCGTTACGTACCGCCGAAACCAAGGATGAAACCACTCTACTACTCTCTTCTGGACATATATCCGACGCGTCCAACCATCCAGATCATCTTCGTAGATGCAAGCGTGGAACTTTGCTCTGGTGCATGCCACAGAGCTTTGCTGCATATCCCAATTCTCCGCCTGTCATTGGCTGTCTGGCTTTCCGCGCTAGAGAACGCTATGACATTTGGCGATGGACCATGTCAAGCCAGTACAAGCCTTTGGGGAGGAGGGAGATGTTGAAATGTGAGCTGAATTGTCATCAACTTCTTGTGCATGCATACCGCACTGAATACTCCGCACTATCCCTACTGTAAAACATAGGGGGTTTTGTTTGCCGCCTCCGCATTTTCCACCGCCGCCGCCTCCTCCTTGTTGGACCTGCTGGAAGGATGGCCGCTCGCCCTCCCAGGCGATGACACATTTTTGCCAACGGTTTCCTTCTCGACTTGTTCTCCCGAAGAATCCTTCCCGTCGCTCTTCTACGGTATCCACCTGAGCATGTTTCCAGGGGCTACCCTGAACTCTGCACGTGCCCACCTGAGACACCCCCGTAGTTCATGATACTGCAGATCTGCACTTCTACTGTGCTTTATTGCTGATCAGCAGCAGCAGCAGCAGCAGCACCATGCGAGCTCTGCCGATCAGCGCGAGCCTCGGTTGTTCGAAGACAGGGACTACACTCACTTCGGACGTCAGTCACAGACATTCATGCACGCGAACACATAGCAACGGGGCAGGCATGCTCGCCGTTGCAAGGCATGAGCCCCTCTGACGTTTGTCATGTCTCACGCGTTGCTAGCCGCACAATTCACATCTGTCCGCGTCGGCATGACTGAGTCACACATGCGAGATGCCACAGTAATGTATGGACTAAACATTCGCCAGGTCCTACCAGATGTGAGCCTACTGAGAAAGTTCGTACAGCGTGATCGTGACTATCCATCATGTCCTGCGCTCCATATGCGCCTGAGCGGAGCTTGCTCCTCGCATCAAAGTGGTACTGTACTGATCATCATGCATGCAAGCTTAAGTGGCGAAAAAGCCACCACAGTGGATCAATAGGACGGGATGCGCAGCTGTGTGAGCTCCACCACTTCTCACAGTACAGCTCTATTCTGCAAGTAATGTCCAAAGCATAGCTGTACATCTCGAGGTACTGGTCACTTTGGGAGACCGCGTGAGCAGCCTCTACGCCATGTTCATTACGTTATTCTCCGAATTCCGGGTCACGGTGTCAATGTTGATCCTCTGATGCACCCCAGATGTTCACCACGAGACCTGTCGATCGGAGTCCCAAGTAAGATCCTCGGTTGGACAGTCTACATTGAATGGGTTTCTTTGCATGGGAAGAATTCTTCAAGTTTTCTCGCTTCCTGACTCGTAGCAACATGATTGATGCTGAAATGGGTGGCGCACGCCCAATCAGCGAAGACCTTTGCTGCAGCATATCTGAATAGCGTAGATATGCATATGTTGACGTGGCTCTGGATCCACATCCTGTGTCTCTCCAAAGACGCCACAGGAAGTACCCCATCTGCCAATCAGGATCTAGAGAGTTCATGACAGACGCGGGCAATTTCGTTCGATTTTTGAGCCTCACGGCAGAGCTTGGTGACTTTGTCGGTGAAGCTTATTCATGTCGATGGTGAACTTTCGCTCAGAGCCGATCACGTCGCCGAAGCTGTTTTCTGCTCAAGTCTTGGTCCAACGCAGATGTGACGACCTGTTGCGAACGGTGATCCTGGTTGTGATTGAAGACATTCCTCGGAAACCGCGCTGCCCTGAACGCAGCCCGAGCTTTTTCTTCAGAGGCGGGATGGTGCGTGAGCTCCAGAGTTTCCCACCTCGGCATCTGAATGATCGTTGTTTCCGCTAATGTTCAGCATGGGAGGTTATTCGAGCGGAGTCTGAGCGTGCGATATGCATTCAGGTTTCCCATGACTGCCGCCTCAAAGAACCATCTTGGCTTGCTGGCGATTGATTCTCGCCTTTCGAAGTCACGGTAAGCAACAAAGAGAACTTCTCCAAATGAGGTATACGATCTTGCGAACGATTATGTAACAAGATGCGAACTCCTGTTCACGATTTCCAGTGTGGAATCAATTTACGACGGTGGCGTCGGTCAACTTGTGCAAGTTTAGACCGGGTGGCCTGTGGGCGTGTGCGCCGTCGACGTATGAGCTGCTGTACAAGCTTCACGATGCAGCCGATGAAGGCTTGCTAGATGTCTGGTCGTCTCGGCGGTGGCTTGGAAAGGTAGTATATGCAAGGTCATAAAGAGGGTTGCAGACGAGATCACTGTCTGTAGTCCGGCCGGGCCAGCGGCTCGGAACATTGCTCCCTTCTGTTGTTCTCGCAGTCTACATACAGTTGAGAGCAGCCGCTTCTTAATTGGACTTTCTAATTTCCTTTAATACCTCACCCCGTGTGTGTCAGAACTTCGTCGTGTTCGTTTGGAGAACCATGAGTTCATGCAGCAAAGGTTGTGCATCGCTGTCGACACGAAGGATGAATATGATAGCGACGGACTGCTCCCGTTGGAGAAAGTGCTCCGGACTGTCGGTCTTTACAATTTTAGAGCATCAATGGAGGGAGTGCTGGCTACATTGACCCCGAACGTAGAAAAAGTCGCCGAGAACGTGCATGCTTTCCCCACATTACCCTGCAGCTTCAATCGATCAGCACAATAGCCTGTAGATAAACCATCATGTGGTTTGATCTAGTACGCTAGTCAAATATGCATCATCAGTGATGTGACCAGTAATGAAACAGAACCAGGTGCACTCTTCATTACTCCGGCGCGCCATGATAGTTGTACTGACAAACGCTGCATGTTCTCCTGGGCAGCAATGAGTCCGACGGGGTCACGCACGCGAGTGTGGGAGAGTGAAGACCTACGCCTACGCCTACGCCTATGCCTCGCGGCTTGCAGTCTCGCCGCATGACCTTTCCGTCGATGCTTTGCCGTGGTTTGCAGAGGAATGACGTGTTGAAAGATCAAGTTCAGAGCGTAGCACGAGTCAGCGAGCACAGCACATGAGCGACATCATTGGCTGGAGCACCAAACGTTCGATCAATGAGGCGAACAGAATGGCTGAACTGAAGGTACGGTGAGACGTCATGATCACGGCGCAAAGCACGAGCCGAGGCTGTCAAAGAAGAACACACCCGTGGGAAACTGTGAATACCGTTATCACACCTGTCGGCTTTGGGTCCTGTCGCAGCCGTCATTTACGACTGCTCGCGTATTATGTGATGCAACGACAGCGGCATCTCATGGAATCTCGTCACGGCCACTTCAGGCGAAGCTTAGCATCTCATTTGAAGCCGTCAAGGGAAATCTCTTGTTGAGCTTTGGAATCCTGGCTGTTACTGCCGCCATGCCCACGTCGCTCGAGTAATGCGACCGAGACGTGGGAGATTCTGCGGACGCCCTCGATCAATCTCGAGACGTCTTCGAAGGCGAAACATAAACGGATATGGTTGTTGAATTGCCGGTGTGAGTCACCAGGAACCTGAAAGACCTTGCCTGATGCGACAATGGTATTTGCCCGTCGAAGGCACTCACCGACCAGATCAAGTGCGTGGAGAGAAGTCGGGAGCACCAGCCAAATGAAATATCCACCGAAGAAGTCTTTCGGACGATGCATTTGAAAGCCGAGTGGAGCGAGATGTTCTTCAACTGCAGTTACCATGGCACGATGGCGATGCGCGTAGGCTGGAATAAGTGTTGTATCGATGTGACGTTGAAGCTCTCCACTTCTTATGATGTGATTCATGTAGGTTGAGGTGAGTTGACTGGGAGCTCCACCTGACTTTGTCGACCCACTGGGCGTCGTTCCAAAGTTAGTCCAATCGTCGAAAATCGTAGGAACCAGCGACACAGGATTGCACGAATTGTCGTTGGTCTGGACTTACGTTTCTGCAATGCCGTGTGCGAATCTTTTAGTGCCTTCGACCCATCCTACCCGGATACCAGGTCCAACAATTTTGGAGAAAGAACCATTCGAGCACACATTACCGAATCCATCTGTGCCAGATCTTTCAGCACCGCCATCAAGGGACCTGTCGATGTCGATTAATCGTGGCAGTCGTACTCTTGTCGGCTGTGTCCGCGGTGCTTGAGCATCTGTATTGCCAGGATTATGGATTGACCAATGTAGAAAATCATAGACATCATCGGGGATGACAAGGGCGTCAAACTCCCTTGCCAATCGTACAAGTCCCTCTCGTGCATCCAAGGACATGGTCGTCCCAGATGGGTTACTGAATGACGGAACGCAGTAAATCACATGCTTGTAAATCTTGGCCCAAGGCCGGCCAGGCTTGAGAAGAGGCTTGTCTATAGACTTTGTTGCAGCTTCGGCTTCACTCTCAATCAGCTTTTGCCGCAAGTATTCTAGATCAATACCACCATGATCAGGTATCGCTCGCAACTTTGTGCCGAAGCCAGCATCCTCGAAGATGCGGAAGGCCAGCATGTAAGCCGGCTCTACGATCCAAACATTGCGAGTGTACGTAGGATCCGTATAGACTGCGAGCATGCATGCCAGATTTTGAGAGGCTCCTCCAGTGATACAGATGCGTTCCGGTCCAATGGTGAAATCCTCACCATCGCTGTCTCTCGCAGCGAGGCAGTGATGGCTAGCCGTCAACCAATCGGCTATGGCTTCTCGACAAGGCTCGTAGCCGGGATCGGGTCCATATTCCAGGCCAGCGAAAGCCACTGCAGGATCTGACAATGCGGCGTGGGCAGCGCTTTTTATGATGGCGGCAGGGAGCAGTGCAGGCGCCGGCCACCCGCGTAAAAGATTGATGACGGGCAGGGCTTGATTTGATGCAGCCGCATCCGAAGCTGCATCAGTACCATCCTCTGGTGCGACTGGCATATCACCGGCCATCATCTCAAGATGGAGAATGCCCAGGTGTGCAAGCAGCTGGCGAAAGTGGTATTAAGATGATGGCCGATCTGGAGATAAGCCACGGGGCTTTGTATCGCGGGCGACGAACATAAAATCCGGCGCTTGCCTCGCGGCAGCCAGGCGGTGCAACCATTGGAGGACCTTTTCGAGGAAGCCTTCATGTCATGTGGTGGGGGATCACATCGCACAGCCCGCAATGAATCAACAATTATTATCGTTCTTGGGTTATTTTGTCACGATTGTACAAGAAGCAGACGAGCAGGACATGTGCGTACCTAGGTAGGCGCACGTTTCATGCGCCCGGGAGGATGCTGAAACATGACAGCTGCACGAAATCCTGAATTCATCGCGCGGTGGACTGCCCAGGTGCTGGTTTGGAACTTCACAATACGTCGCAATGGTTTCTCTCAGGTCCTGAATCACGCACATGCCCGAGCAACGAGACGGCTTCAATGTTGGCCAGGATTCAGTGATCTACGGGAGGAAATGAGAAGTGGAGCGATCAATAACGAGATATGAATCATGCAGTACCCAGGTACGGATGGATAATGGACGATGTGTGTGCGGTATCCATGTCCCATCTACGTAGGTACAGACTGTACGTGGAGGACGAGGCTGTGTGGCTTGGCGGATCCAGCAATACCTACCTAGTAGGTAACTCCCTAGGTAACCTTGGAATCTATGAATAAACCTTTCGGGACGACGATGCAATGGGCGGGCGGCTGTTTCCAAACCCGGGCGGCGGGACTGAACGACGACAGTGGAACGTGGACCACCCATTTTCGCTCAGGCGCCCAGTCGTGCCAGTCAATTTCGTTCAGAATCACGAAGGGTTACCCCCAAATGACCCAGTATGATGATGACTGACGCGTAGCTGAGACGGGCCACCTCCGCCCCAAATGGGTGGGACTTTGACATCATCGGCTGCCCAAGCCCTGACTTGACTTGGAAAAGCCAGCGTCGGACCCTGACGAAACGCTCCAGGGCTCTCTCCCAATTCCTTTTTTCACTCCAGGGCTCCTGTGTGTGTCGTCATTTTCAACGTGGACAGTGAGAGTCCTCGTCACCACCACACGCACGCGTTTTGTCCGAGCGCGATCAGAAATTGACCATCATCGTTGAGTTGCCCAGCAGAAACACCCGGGCACACTTGCAACGATGTTCACAGTAGACTGTCCATGCAAAGATCGATGGCACCGACGCAGCTTCGGTATGTTGTTGCGGCGCCAAAACCCATGTTCTTGGGCCAGCGTCAAAATGTCCCGATCGTGAACGCCGCCCTTTACCTACGGAGAGAACCATGATGTGAGACAGCACCTGGGCAGTCTTCATGCACCCTGGAGGACTAGTACAGCAACGTACCCAGGTAGTGTTCATACTCCTTATTAAACCCCGTTTACGTGTGATCTGGATGCTAAATTGAGCCGACTCGTGGCTGCTCACGCCCTCTAACCTTTTGTAGTACCTGTAGCCTCCCAAGGTTGCTTCGCTTGACTTCCAAGCTTGCTGCAATAAAGCCTTTCCTGAATTCCATTCATTACCTAGCTATTCCTCCGACGTTACCGAGTAGCGTACCCACATCCTTCCTTCTAGTCCTTTGATCTTTGGGCTGCTGTCGTTATAACATCGAAACTATCCCACCCTGCTCCTCCTGTCTTCGAATCCCAACACGGCAGCTTGCACAGATCGAATACCTGCTTGTACCTCGACGTCTCCTAGACCACCTCGGAGATACCAGCCAGCTTCACATGTGAAGCACTTCCCTACACAGTACCTCCTAGGACATCTCCCCCAATCATGGCCAAACGTTTATCCACCATGTTCAATCCGAACTCCTTCTCCGAAGACAAACGCAAGCCCGACTCAGCGACCAGTCAAGTCCCTCGTCGAGAACCTACTCTACCAATGATGCAGCCACCAACAACATCGAACGACATCCCTAGGAAGCCTTTACCTTCATCCAATACTCTTCTGCCACCATTGCCCTTTGAATCATCACGATCGGGTTCCGCCGTGTGGGAGGATACTTCAGACCACCGGACAAACTCCGATCGCCGTGATGCACGTCTGTCCAAGGTGCCAACCTCACGACCGGTATCTCACGCTTCGGAGAACAAGGATCAGATCAAACTTAAGAAGAAACATTGGTGGAACCGAGAAGATGGTAACGCGAATGACGCACCACAACCGAGAGCATGGACAGCAGGACACCACAAGACTATGGCATACGACGTTGACGGTCTCGTTAACGCCCAGCCTGTGAAAGAGTTGTGGAATGAAAGGACCGGAAATTGTTTTGTCTACCTCTTTCCACGTACCTCTGGTCTCGGTCCTTCGTTCAGGATCGACACGTCCCTTTTGGCAGCGTCACCAATTTTGACTAAGTTTGCGGTCAGCGAGAACCATGGCAAGCAGGCTTCGACCAGTCGGGACTATAACCACCCACAAATGGAGTTCCCACGTCGAGTTCCTACGCACGGTCATCCGTCAACACCACCCAGAACTCCCAATCGTTATGGAGATTTTCAACAGTCCACACCTCCGTTTGGACAGAACCAGCGTACATCTACCTCTTCTGATGATTCGATAATGCATTTGTACATGCCGCTACAGCTGTCCACCGACGCATCTCTCACGTCGACTCCACCTCGCAACGACGGAAATGCCGCTTTGGAGGATTTGCAGACGTTGGTCGACTGTCGAAATCTGTTCGCGTTCCTGCACGGGCAATCCCTTATTGCAACTGAACGGAGACAGACATTCTTCAGTATATTCACGTCGATTTCACGTCAATTGAAGCATTTTGAGTTTTCCAATATTGACGGCTCGACATTTGGAGACGCAGCCGACAGCTCTTTCAGCTGTTATATCAATGAGCTGTCTCTCGATGACGTTCGAACGAATCGTCAGAAACTTATCGATGGCATCGTTCTGGGTGAACAGATGAAGAGTGTTCGCCTGTACAACGAGGCATTCACTCATGGTGTGGGTTTGCACCAGGAGCTTGTCGCGCTGGAAAACTCTCGATTGTCCCACATATCTCCCGCGACCCGGACTCGTCTCACTCGAGCATACATGGATTTGGAGAAGCGTACCGCATCGGTACGTCGGATCTTGACCGACTTTGAGTTTCCCTTTTTGTTCTCGGGCATCATGAACAGCAAAACTTCGGAAGAACGAAAGTCTGGAGTCCGCTTCGATGCATGGAAAGATAGTTTCCTTGGTATGCGCAAGTTCATCATCGGGACATATAAGCAGCGTTATGGAGATTGGCCACCGCGAGCTTCAAGCAAGAAGAACAATCTGGAGACTTCAGGGTTGAACCGCCTTGTATTGCGAGACGTATACCATGACCTGTCGTCGCTGTATGATCTTCTGGTCGACCGTAACAGTCTCACCACTAGAACAATTGATGGATTCAGCTTGAGCGGAAATACTGCCTCGCCCAAGGTCCGCGGCCTTCGTGCTGTACTGTCAGAATATGATCGCTCATCACCTCCGGTCAAGCCTCCCATGCCATTCGATCTACCTCGACTTCCCAATTTGAAGAGCACTCGGAATGATTTCGGTGCGGCCGATGACAAAAAGCTCGCCAAAGAGGCAGCGAAGAAGATCAAAGACGACGAAATGATCAAAATTCTCCATGCCAGTCGGAATGGCGATGTGGCACCCAATCCATTCTTGGATGCCTTTTGCGAAATGGAACGACGAGCTGCACATGGTTGCAGCCTTAACGAAATGGAAGACCTTCGCATGGGCCAATGGATCTTCATGTACGTCGTCCTCCAGGCCTTGCCTATGCTCGCCTGCGATGCGCCAGGTTTGAGATGGACCGAGGGCGTCGAATACTTCCTGTGCGAGTCTTCACGAGGCGGTGTCCCGTGGGCGGATGTCACACTTGCAAACTCCGCGCGCCGGACTTGGTTCTCGGTCGGTGGCGAAGGCGGCAGCGTCGTCAGTCTCCCATCTGACGTCCTCGAACATGGCGTCGAGGGAATCTACCACCGAAGCCACTGCTGGCAGATGGCGGAGAAATGGTCGGCCAACAATCCCATCTTGAACGAAGCACTGCACGAACAGCAATCTACGGCAGGTTCCAACATGGCAGGTCACCGAGGTCTTGCCCCGCCGCCGAACAACTTCCCGGGAAGCCTCAGACCGGATAGTCGAGCGAGTAGCCTCAGCGCTTCGAGCAAACGTCTTTCTTCGCTTACCCTTGGCCTGGAAGCTTTGCCCATGACGAGCGGAGGTGCACCACCACCTCATATTGAGCGTGCAAAGACGCCGCAGCATTCAGTGGATCAGTCCAAGACGTTTGATGCGATCTTGGGCAACGTTGGAGCGGATACGGGAAAAGCGTCGAAAAAGAGGAAGTGATGATAATGATTCGTTCTGTCTTTCGAGACGACTGTGTGTACGACTTACTTTCTTCCAAAATGTAATAATGACGATTGATGGAGATGCACCGACCCTGATTAAGGCGCTGAAGACTATCACAGTGAGGTCAATTCCAGAATGCAGGCACGTGACCCATCTTTCAATATGTCATGTAGTGGTATGCAACACCGTGAGATGTAAGGCCGGTAATGTCTATTTGGTCACTTCTTGAGAAGAAGCACGTGACTCACCTTCCAATATGTCCGATGTTCGTGCACCTGTGGTGGTGACAGTGACGTGAGGATACTTACCCAAGACACAAGCACGTGCTTGAAATCACGTTCCAGGGCATGGCTTTGTCTCCTTGCCCACGAGTCGCATGTACCAATATGTGATGATCCCCGATGATCAATTGACCCGGTATATGCTGTACTCAGGGCCTTGTTCCCGTTGTAGACCACCTGCACGCCCGCTGCAGGGCTGACGCCTTCGGAAAGCGAAACGAGAGAACCCTCATGTTGGCGAAATGCAGACATGTATGCCTCTTTGAGCCTTTTGCCCGTGATGAAAGGTGCACACATAAATCGAGCAGAGTGATCATGCTTGGTGTTCCATCGTTCTGAGGCCCTTATCGCGATTGACTCGCTTTCGGATAGATTCTCTGGCCTGTCAAGATAGCTACGAGAGCGGTCGCATGGAGGGCATTGCCATTTCGGACCACTGCCCGCTGACGATTTGAGCGCGCGATTTATCATGCGATGATGCGAAGGATATAATCCTTGCACATTCCTTTGATGAGTGCTATCGCAGCGTGCGCGCTCGTGAAGTCGGCATGCAGGAACATGTTCGTATTCAAGAGTTCTCGCCGGTGTAGCTGTCCGGATGTGCAGTAGCACCGAAGTGTAATCAACGACGTGTGTGTTTGTGGGGCACAGAGCGCGCGCGAGTTGGGCAGCCAATATCGGAATCTTTCGTAAAGATTAGAGAGACCGGTATTTGTGATAACGGAGAGAAGACACACGATGCTTAATCTAGAAGGTAGCATCAGACTAGAGCAATCACGAGTTCTCATCCCAGTTGATCAATTCCGCTGGAGCGTGCTGAAGCGAATCCGAGACAGAAATGGTGGCAGATCTGTTCCATCGTGTATGTTGACCTGGCACGAGCAAGCCTCGAGTGTGGAGGTGACAGCACCATCTGACGCCACACGGGTGGAGGAGTGATCGGGATGGTGGACAAGCATTACCATAGTGGTTGTTGGTGATATGGGATCGCGACATATGTCGCTATTGTACAGTGATCCTCGGAGCAGACCAGAAAATGGAGAGGCGGGCGGGAAACGTTCGGCTTTGCCGCACAGACTTGGAAACGGCCGCCGAGCGAGGGCGTCTGCAGATGAATTGCTTGATGCATCGAAACAAGCTCTGCCACCCACGTAGGTGTCGTCTTGCAAATCCGCAAGGATGCGATACAGTATCTGAGTATCTCTTTGACCTGCACCGGCTCACCACGGCCTAATTTTCGGCTCAGTCATCCACTACGATGTCGAGAGCATGCAGCGGTCGGGCAAAGCTTCAGACGATGAGCCGCAACCTTAACAATTCCACTTCAACTATGCGTCGATTGGTCCATTTGTTTGTGAAATGATGTGTTCGCTGAGCGTAGTCCAATGCATGGGAGACGTCCTGTAGCAGAAAATATCGATCTGCACTGAACGTAGCATGTCCTCTAATAAGCCAAATCTCCGCGATGGAGACGTGGATTGTAGCGGAGTCGCTATTTAAGCGAGAGAATTGTGAACTACACTCTGGACGATCATCAGCACGAGTTCAAGTCTCATCATTGCAGTGACTCCGGTGAACCTTGGAATGAGTAGATGAGGAATGAAGATGCCTTATCGCAGGAATCAGCGGTCGAAACCGGTTTGAGAAGGTGCAATTGCTAGCTCGTAGGTCAAACAAGCGAGACTACAGGATAAGCTCAGTGTAGTGCGTGCCACTGCTGTGCTGTGGTGAACCCATGCTGTCACGGCTGTGGAGACAACCTGAGGCTGCCGATTTGCAACACTCTATGCGGACATGCATATGTTCCAGCGCCACTAGGTTGAAAAGGGCAGCTGAAATCGTTTCACGATGCACCTGACCGCCAATCGCGTCAAGGACTACCTGTAATAACAACACCCCTCGCCGCTTTACTTGGCGACAAGTGTTTGAGAGGGAGTCGAATAACTCCCTATGGCCACTGAGTAGTACGTGTCGGTCGTGTGGATTTCGAGAAAGGAGGCGTCACATATCCATTCATGCGACGTCCGTTGATGACGAGTACTTTGCTAGATGGAATTTAGTCCTTGAGTGGAGCAAGTCGCCAGCATCAAAGGCTGAGAGGTCAACCTTCAGATTGCGTTCACGAGACGTGGGTTGCGCTAACGAGGACCGAACCAAAGCTTGGTGAAGTCTTCTGTGCTTCTCTATCTCATGACTTTCAAGCGCTCTGGTCCCACGTCGGCATTGACGCCCAGAGTCATGACCTATCATCCCCCCGGGTTCTGCGATAAAGAATTAAGCCACATGAGGCGTGGAGGGAGGCCTTTCCTTGCATCAAGGTGCTTAGGGCGCGCCTCATCTCTGCAATTTCAATGCTATGAGATCCGCGCGCAATGGAACCTCACGACGCCTCCTCGCCGGTCAATGTCCTCGCCAAGAGAGCGAAGCATTCTAGTGTGCTCAATAGATAATGAGCTTGGCGTGTAGGCTGGAAGTGGAGTGAACCTGACGCGACCAGAGCGGATCTTCTACTGTTAAGCCAGCCTCGAGCAAACAGGCAACACCAGGCACATGTTGTGTTGACTGTGATTAGTAATTTTCCTCAGCGTGACCTCCCATCGCAAGCCGGGCTAAAGGCTCCGTTGCGGCGGCGTGTCATCACAGCGCGTGCGCGGGTTCCTGAGACACGTCCCGTTACATTCGCTATTCATCACGAACGACTCGTTCACGCACGGCGCTCCCACATCTTCTTGCGCACGCCATAGCGCTACGACGACACAATCAAGACTTGGTCAAGTCGTGATCGGCGTACGGCGAATGCACCGTGAAGAGGATATGCTCCGTGTCGCGTTGAAGGCGCTAATCAGGCGGAATGGAAGTGGGATCGCTGATAAGCCCGCCGGCGCTACCCTGCTACCCTGCAATTTAGGTCCAATCCCATCGCCAATAAGCTTCCGATCCCGCTTCCCGTCGCCCGTCAGGCGTTGCAGATCTCCCGTGGGGAAGGTCGAAGAAGCCTGTGGGAAACCTTCGACTGCATCTCCCTCTCCACCACCCAACTCCTCCATCATCAGGCGCGAATCAATCTATCCGGCCGTCCACAGTATCATCGATTCCGACCACACCCATTGCATGCACTGTACAGTATGTGTATGCACGCAGGTCGATCTTATCTCCTTGGTATTGCTTGCGCGCTGTTGGTCGTCGCTGCTAGGTCCGCCTTTAATTCAACCTGATTGTCCAGCAGCGCAGCATCTCATTGGCCCGCTTGTAATGATCTCGAGGACATGAAACGCTGCTGATCTATATCGCGCTCTTAAGCGGACCAACCACCTCGACTGTACGCGGACATTCACTTATCTACAGAGCGCATTGGTGGCGTGCCCGCGCATCACGTACTTCCTTAACAATATCACAAACATGTCTCTCCGCATCACTCTGTTGATCCCTACTCGCATTGCACCCTCCCATCTCTAATCCCAACTGCAGCATCCCTCGGAGCACGCTTACCTCAATTGCTCGTCTTGCAGAACATAGCTCGTTCGTCGATCAATTCAGGTGCATCCCCGTCTGTGCCACCATGCGACCTCATGATAACTGATGGTTGCATGTGATTGCTGTGCCACCGATCGTCTTCTGGAAGAACAATCACGTAACGTACTATTGTATCTATCATCGGTCTGAATGTCGTTCATGGAGTTGCGTAAGAAAGACATATAAGGCTCGAAGTTCGTCTCCCTTTTTTTTCTCTTCCTGGATCATCATCTTCGGCATTCCTTTCGATCGTACAACATCCAACATTTTCGGACAATTCTCTTCCATCTCCAAGATGCGTTACTCTCTTACCACCGCTCTTCTTGCGGTCGCTGCCTATGCAGCTCCCGCAGAGGAGATCCTCTCCAAGCGGGCGACCTTCAAGATTTCCGCGCACCCGAAGAACGTGACCACTAATGGAGCGCTCTCCATGATGAGAACTCATGCGAAGTTTGCACGCCACTATGGTTCCGTGGCACCTGCTGATGTCAAGGCTGCGGCTCTCACTGCGGTCCAGAGTGGATCTGTGACGTGAGTTGGAATATCTGCGCGAACTAGCTAGAATCGTGGTGCTAATGAAACAAAAGTGCCAACTCAAATGAGGGCGATGTCAGCTACCTAAGCCCGGTGAACGTCGGAGGCAGGGTACGAATGTCACAAATCCGATGATTGTCGAATCGAACTAATCATTCGCGCCAGACTCTCAATCTTGACTTTGACACTGGTTCATCCGATCTGTACGTGTTCCTGAAAGCTGGGTCAAAAGCGAATTTTCTAATATTTTCGTAGCTGGGTTTTCTCCACCTACCTTCCTCAATCGTACCAATCAGGCCATGACGTCTACAGCCCGTCTTCATCCGCGCAGCGATTGAGCGGCTCCACCTGGAGAATCTCCTACGGAGACGGTTCCGGTGCTTCTGGAATCGTTTTCGCCGACAAGGTCGTTGTTGGTCCGGTCACGTAAGTCTTTTCTGATGATCCCCCATCGACTAGACCCTTCTGACAGCCCCGTTGTGCTACTGTCCAAGCCGTCGAAGCCGCCACATCCATCTCCGCGCAATTCGCGCAGGACGCCAACAATGATGGCCTGCTCGGCTTGGCGTTCAGCAGCATCAACACGGTCCAGCCCACCAAACAGAAGACCTTCTTCGACACTGTGAAGAGCAGCCTCGCTCAGCCTCTTTTCGCTGCCGACTTGAAGCCCGGTCAGACCGGTTACTACGACTTTGGCTACATCGAATCTTCAGCCTACACCGGCAGTATCACCTACACCAGCGTTGACAGCTCGCAAGGCTTCTGGGGCTTTACTGCTGGCGCCTACTCCACTGGAAGCTCTGCCAGCCCTGGTACCGTTGGTGCTTCCATCATGGACACTGGTACTACTCTTCTTTACATCCCTGCCGCTGCCGTCCGCGACTACTATGCTCAAGTCCCCGGTGGCAAATACGACAGCAACCAGGGAGGCTACGTCGGCTCATGCAGCGGCACTTGGCCAGCCTGGAATGTCAAAATCGGAGGCACTACCTTCGCCGTCAGTGGCAGCATCATCAGGTTCCAGCCGCTTGGAGATGGAAGCAACAACTGCTTCGGAGGCATCCAATCAAGCGCCAGCGTCGGGTAAGTACCTCAATCCTCGATTGTCTCTCTGCAGCCAGCTAACACCCTTCGAAGCATAAATATCTTCGGAGACATCTTCATGAAGACCAAGTATGTTATCTTCGACCAGACCTACTCTACCCCGAGGCTCGGAATCGCCAACAAGTAGGTCTCGACTTCCTTGATGGCCAGGGGTGACGGGAGGCGTGTGTGAAGTTGATCTGGCCCGGTATCGATCAAAATGGGGAATTTATCAATATTCGGCGGCTCTCACGTGGCGAGCTGTGCTATTATGATTATGACGCTACAGGACGGCATTCTCCTCGCTTGGCTGAACCTACACAGTATCTATGCTGGAACAGTTGATGGTTAGAACACATTGAGACGAATGTATTCCATTTTATCCTACGATTTGGTGACAGGAAAATGGTGATTCATGCCTCAGGCTCCTAAATTCGGCCCTGACGTCCGAACAACACTGCACTACCTTGCACCACTCGGTGCAGCGCCACGAAAGCGAAACGCGCGCTGAGCCCGTGCCTGTCATAATATTGCGCGTTGAGGAAAGGAGGGTCCTCAAACAAAGGCAGCCCATCAGGAGGACCAGTTTTGGTTCGAAATGGATCGCTGTCGAGATCCTCTTCATTGAACAGCGTCCTGGAAGTTTCTTGAGAAAAGGCTCGAAATTGTGCCAACGTTCCGATGCATCCAGTCAACGACACGCTGATATATTGGAGTATGGTCTCTGCTGCCTGTTGAGTATCAGTGCTGTTCTCCAGGCCGTGGCTAAGTTGTGCGAATTTCGGAAAAGCTTTCAGCTTTGCAACTTTCCTCAAATCAAATCGATCAGGGAACGTCACAAGGTCGAAACGCGAAAAGGTTAACTCGGAGCTGCCAGCGATGTCAATGCATCCTTTCTCTTGCCAGATTTTGTCGTTACTCTGTAATCATTTCCAAGTGTGCGGGAATGCTTGCCACCTCTTTGTCCACTCAAGTGCCTGACAATGTCATCTATCTCCTCGAAATTGAAATGTTCATTCCACATGTGACATGCCGTGATCTCTGCAAAACGATTCACTTCATAAGGATAAAACTTATCTTTTGAGAACTCGGCTTCCCACTGTGCGTCATCCATTTCTATCGGGATACGGTTCAGGATGTCACACATCTGGTTGCAGACTTCGAGTACATCCTCTAGACTTCGACATGATTTTTCGCTGAGGTAGAATGTCGGCCCAAATTCCCGCTCGCCGATCGCAAATTTCTTCTTGAGGACTTTATCATCTATTGTTCTCCTCGGGCCTCTAGCCGCCATGTAGAACGGAATGAAGCTCCGAGAGTCAGGGTCGTCCAGAGCCACCGATAGTGTAGTTTCCCTTTTCTCCTCGCTGCCATATTTTTCATCAGAAACTTCAGCGGTGGAAAGCTCGTCGACTTCGCTGTCATCTTCGGGAAGAAATTCATCTTCTCCGCTGCCGTTTCCCTCGTCATCATGTCCTTCACCAGAATCATCCTGTGAATCTTCGATAGTTTCTTAGGAACGTTTGCGTTTGCTGTCGGTCTCGGACCGCTCACTGCTCTCCTGGAAATCTTCGGGTTCTTCGATCTTGTCTGCTTGCTCGGCCGCTTCAATCTCTGCAAACTCTGGCGGAAGCTCCAAATAGTCGCCCTCGAAAGTCTTTCTCTTTGACCTCCTTGGCGCAGACATCGTGAGGATGTCGAGATGATTTGCAATATCTCGAGATAGATTTGCTGTGAGATGATTTTGTTTGCATCAAGATTTGTGATCAATATTGTGGTGTCGAACCTCCACAAGTGGGCATCGGTCACCATGGGGGTGACTAGTGAAATGTAACAAACAAAGCCACATGCAAGCAAGAAGCACCATCTGCATGTTTTGGAGATTGCATCACCAGGCAAATGCGGCTTGCTCAAAACGCCAAGATCGCGTTTCACTTTTGTTGAAGTTACTTGCATTGCGACATTCCTCAGAGGAGACGGTTGCCTGGTCAGGTACATCATCCCTACGAGAAAGTGAGCCATACAGAAAAGTCAGGTATTTCGCTGACGCCACCATAGATTCTTGCCTTCCCTCTTTCCTACATTCTGGCTCTTCTGGCATGTACGCAAGTATCGAAAACAAATCGCCTGTAATGACTGGACCAGCAAAGGAAAAGAGAGTCGGTACCAAGGGCGGGTACAGCTCTCGCCCGGATCGAGACTCGCCGAGAGCAGATCCCGATTATTCGGCAAAAATCATGGTGAGATCGATATGTCGCACACGGTGCGTGCTGAATTGACAATTGGATTTTCCAGAAATCCTGGAATGACGGCTATGATGCCGCACATCAGCTGTACCTCAACGATCAGTTTGAAGAAACATTGAAGCTTATCGACAAAGATCTGGAGGACACGTCGTGCCCCCCAATCAGCCGCGCGCACCTTCTTCTGCTGGCTTCGCTATGTCACAAGGAATTTGACGCTCAGATGGATCGTGTGAGTCGCCCTACTAATCGTCCTGTAAATCATCTCTGACCATGTTGATAGCTCGTGGCCGCGAGAAAGGTTTACGAGACGATGATGAAGAATTATGCCTTCGGCAGCAACAAATCAAAAGACAAGCTCCTCGAAAATCTTCGCAAGGACCTCGAAGATGCCGAGAAGAGATTGGATGAAGCGCGCCCTGGACGATCCCTGTTCCGTAGGGACATCGACAAAGTGACAGATCGATTGGCAGACATGCAAGCGGACAACGCCACAAACTTTACGGAAATTAAGGATGGAGTCGTCCGTCTCGCCGACATTGTGGGCCCAGAATTTCAACGACTACCCGGACAAATCCTAGGAATGAAGGAGGATCTGGAAGGTAGGTTGCTAGCCCTGGATGACATTTTGGCGAGCTTCGTCGAAATCAAAACGGTCGAGGACGAGAAAAGGATGTCAACGGCCGCGGTCAAGAAACATTATCAAGATGAGATCACCGATCTCAAGAAGGAGAACAGCGATCTCAAGGAGGAGATCAATGGTCTCAAGGAGATGATCAACTCCCAAAGCGCTCAGATCAGCTCTCAGAACGCTCGAATCAACTCGTTGGAGAAGCAGGCGGAAGAACGTATCCGCGCCACAATGAGAGCGCTGACTCAATCTCTATCTTCTTCGCCAATCAAAAAGACCGAGAGCTATGCCACAGGGGCGTCGAAAGACCCGACCATCAATCATTCGCCTGAGGAGTTTGCCGAGCAACGGCTAAAGATCGATTCTTTGAAAGCCAAGTTGAGCTCTGTGGAGGCGAAGCTTGAGGCTCATAAGCAGAAGAACTCACTCATCATCAAAAACCTTATGACTGCCCAGGAATTTGAACCACCGACGCCGGCCAAACCCAACACAGCGGCAACATCTGGAGAGATCGAAGAGGCAGCCACGGCGGGCGCCGAGGCTGAAGCTCCTTTCACGCCGACCAGGCAGATCAAGAGAGATCAGAAAGCCGCCGCTCCAGCCGTGTCATCCGACGCCCAAGAGAGCGCAAAGGCCGCCGTTCTCAGCACTATCCCGGAAGCGCCAGCGCTGCCTGCAGAAATCACTGCCAACGAGCCTGTCGACGTTTTTAGCTCAAAGTCAGGTGCTGGACCGGAGCGAGGTGTAAGTTAATTCGAGCTCCAAGATATAAATTTCATGCTGACAATCGAACGCATCGCAGGAGAGCTCAGGCAAGAAGAGGAAGACCGGCGGCATCGCTAGGAAATTGATGAGAAGCGTGAGGAGTGCCTTCCATATTCCCAATAGTACTTCACAGACTAAGCTTGCCAAGTTCGACGACGGAGAGGCCGAGGGACCTGCCTCGAGCGTGGCACCTCTCAATTAGTCACGCGATTTTGTCGGGAATATCGTTCTCGCTGAATTTAGGTGACTGATCCGCGAGCCTTGACCCTTTGAGAATGATTGGGGTGGTTCATCCCCGGGTCCCTGACGCTCACATCACTGCTTTCTTGAGTCGTCAATCGTATCCATAGTGTTTTATTTTCTCAATGACAATGTCCTTGATGGTAGACGGCCTCTCTTGTCATGTTTCCCTCGGCCGGGAATTCACTCAAGTTGCGTGTGCATCGACACAAATTCCGACGACGTGATCCGCCCGAACTGAAGTACACCTGCAAGAACAACTTTATGATCTCGAGGAACAAGAGAATATCGTTTTCCAAGTACAGCCATAGAAGTGGCTACGCAGCCCACTCATACTTGCGTCGTAGGCGCACGCCACGGATCAGCCTGCGGTCTCAGACGAGGTCGTCGCGAGCAAATGAGCATTGCCTTACCTCTTTAACATCGAAAATCGGCGTGCATCCCCCAGGAATGATGGCACATCCATCCCCGAGGGTGATTTGAGATGCAGCTGCTGCTCTGAATGGCTACTTGTTCGAGGCGGTTGGCAGTCAACCGGCGCTGTAACCACGACGGGCGTGCATAGTGAAGCAAACGAAAGCGGCCAGTGTGAGTAGTTGCGGAGATAGTACGAGCGATTTACAGTCAGGCGTTTCGTGACGTGCGAGATCATGACTTTGGATTGTTCCCTTTGTGTCTTACAGGTATAAGACAGTGTGCTCGACACTCAATAGCGACCAACTTTGTATGCTGAGCTGGCGATAGTGTCCTCACAATCATCATCATCACTAATTGGATCGTGGGGCAGAGTGCAATTTCTTGGCCAGATGAAAGGCAATTGTGGGCGTCAGGACCATTCATCGCCCCTTCTCACCTACACTGTACAGCCATCGTCCTAGAGATTGGCGACGAGCTTCGGATTAGTCATCGAAGTGCATCGGGTGGCCCCTGTATCACCGGATACCTATCTATTTTCCTCAATTTCTCACCTATTGCGGGGCTCTCATTTTGGTAACACCCTGATAGGGGCCGGTCTGGAGTGTGTTCAAGATTCGGGCGCGACGCGACGACGGGGGGGCGTGCTGCGGCCAAAATTGTGCACGGGCGGCCGTTAAGGGCCGCCCGCGATTCTAGCGTGCCCATTGAATCTCAACCAGATCCACAATTTGATGAAGTTGCGAGCTGCGACTGCCCTTCTTGAGATGCAGACGTAACGGGTGTGTAGTGACTGCGCAATTGGATCTACATATGTTCAGTGTCGCCATATCATATTTTCCTACAACGCTGCGGTATATGGTTATTTATCACACATAAGAGACAAGATATCAAAATTGACACAAAGACCGACATGGCATCACTTCATCCGAGACCGCCCTATAGCGACGAAGAATTCGCCAACTACTATCCTTCAAATCTCGAACTCAAGCAAGTACAGATTCTTCTTCGGCATGGAGAACGAACACCGGTGGGACCACGTTTTCAAAATGCAGGCTTACACCCGTATTGGCCATATTGCAAAGCTGCAAATGCGATGAGGTCCATCATCCTTGGTGCTGACGGGAGTCTCGATACACTCGTATGGCAAAGAACCCTCGAGACCATAGGTAGTCAAGGTCGCCCAGCTCTACAATCAGGACCCAAAGGCGAACTCGATTCCATGTGTCAGCCCGGCGAATTGACTGATCGAGGTCGTGAAACGACTCTGGCATTGGGTCAGCGTTTCCGTCAACTTTACGTCAACCGACTCAAATTTCTACCTGAATTTCTTGACGAGGACTCAAGATCGAATGTTCGCCTGCAGGCGACTGTCGTACCTCGCGCACTCGAAAGTGTTCAACAAAGCTTTACCGGGCTCTATCCGCCTGCTTCGCGCTCGCCTGGACTCGCTCCACCAGAAGTAATTCAGCGACTTTACCCGGACGACACTTTACTACCCAACCAAGGAACCTGTAAGCGGCTTAAGCAGCTTTCTACAGCTTTCGCAGAGCGTACCGCGAAGTTATGGAACGATTCTCCCGAGATCGGATACCTCAACAAGAGGCTTGGCAAGTGGATGCCCAAGGAAAGTCCCACAATTGCAGTAGACTCATCACCCCGGCTTAGTGGTATCATGGATACTATCAACGCGACTCGTGCTCATGGTCCGGCGACCAAATTGCCCGAAGAGTTTTATGATCCTCAAGTTCTGTCCAACATCAACCGCATCGTCACTGAGGAGTGGTTCATCGGTTACCGAGAATCCAACGAATACCGCCGACTCGGCATTGGAGCCTTGATCGGCGACCTCACTCAACGCATGATCGAGAACGTTCGTGGGCTTCCTGTCGAAAATTCAGACAAACCTTTTAAGCTGGGAATGGCGGGGTGTCATGATACTACCATCGCTGCGACCTTGACTGCGCTGGGTGCCTTCCGCGTTGATCAGGACTTGTGGCCCAACTTCACGTCGTCTATCGCTTTCGAACTCTTTCAAACGCAGAACGGCATTGATTCGAAAGCAAAGCCAACTCCGTCCTGGTCGAGTTCCATATTCTCGATGATAAAGCCCTCGGCCTCATCTGCTTTGTCCACGCGTGAGCCGCTATCTTCACTGTCAAGCTCGGAGCGTCAGCAGCTAGACAACCACTACGTTCGCGTTCGATATAACGATACACCTGTGACAATACCTCACTGCGAACGCCCTGGTAATCACCTCCCCGGCGATACTACGTTTTGCACACTCGCCGCATTCAAGCAGGTTGCGGACCAAATGACGCCTTTGGACTGGCGAGCCGAATGCTCGAGCAATTTGAAGGAGAGCGCTTTCCCGAGCAAGGTCGAGCCGGTGATGGGAATAGAGTAGATCGCGATCCGATCCGGATGTGTTGCAGAGATAGATCAATAAAGTAAAACGGTACCGGTGTCCATAGATCGAAGACAGCATTCATTCCGTCTGCATGGGCTCGTACACAGTAGGAATCGGCCAAAGCGCAGGTGTGAGCCTATAGGCTCCGATCGAGAATCGAATACTCGCCGGAGGTGAGTTCCTCGGATCAATCACCCGGGTTCGGGATGTCTGGGGTTCAATCTCTATTCGCAATCGAAGCATGTCATCCTTGGTGACCGGCATTTGGACGCTATACATGGGCCGGATGGAACGTTTGTTCCAGATGGTGATGTCGATATCTTTCACGCATCGGTGGGAGGTATGGCACAGCCTGGGCGCAGCTCGCACACAGCGTGTACATTCCCAGATGTGTCAAGGGAGTTCCCACCTGCAGGTTTCTGGTCGAGATTTATTAGGGGAGGCACCCCCAGCTGCAGTCACTAGTGCTGACATGACGCAATGCTTGTCATGTGAAAATCTGCCGTGGAAGATTGAGGTTTTCTATAGGATCCTGCGAGGATATTCGTTGCGAGTGTGGAGTTTGTTGATGATATCAAAGATCGTCGACTACGCTCCATGAAAATGTGCAATATACAATAGACTTATCGGAACAGGTTCGCGAGATGGTCAGACGGATACGATACAATCCAATAAACAGAGTCGTAGCACATAGGCCGCCCGCAGTATTGACAAGACCTGCAGCCAAGCCACGCGGGCCCGTCTCAGGGCGTGTAGCGAGTTGCACCTGAGGCTTAGATGCGATCGACACGGTTTCGGACGGCATGCAACCGCGACACTGTGTCATGACATGAGAGCGTTGTGAGCGTATACTTCAAGCTGAGTACTTTTCAGCCAAAAATGGGATATCGTCTCTCCTCTCGCAGCTTGTCCCTGCCCCGGGTTCACGATAATCCCCATGGCGCAACCAGCCTTTGCTTCTCTGACACTTGACCCATTCGAGGCTTTGGGTGTTGAGCGTGACGATTCATATGAAACCATTCGGGCAAAATATCGGCAACTGGTGCGAAAGTACCATCCGAATAGACATCGAGGGGACAATCCTAGTGCTTCGGATTTGTCTCACCATTTTCATCGTGTTCGTGAAGCATGGGAACAGCTGGAGCACGCGGCTAATCGCAGACGATGTGTCGAACTTCTCAAGCTGCTGGATCTTCAAAGTGCCCTCGAATCGTACGCCTTAGAGGCCAGGAATCCGTCATCCCCACAACAGCAGCAAACGTCTGGTATTGACAGTCACAACTCGAGTGACGCTGACGAAGACCTGCCAAGCACCAGTCTTCGGCGTAGACAGACGGTACTCAACCGACATAGGAGCGGAGATCATGGCGATGTGCCAGCCTTGGAGTCTGCGACCCGCAGTGGCCGTCGACCACAAGGCTCCCTATCCCGGAAGTTTTTCAGCATTCGAGATGTCGCCAAGTCAATCACACCTGGGGCGCGGCAGGATGAATCTTCCAAGACTTCGGAAGAGCGCCGGCAAAAGATATTGAAATTACGCAGGAAAGAGTACGAGGCCTTCATAGAATATCGGGATGCAAAGCTTGTTCTACTAGAAGCGGAGAAGAAAACAGAAGAGTTAGAGGAGCGGTTTCAAGATGCCAGGTTCAAGCGGGAATACTTCGAGCGGATACCAAAAGAGACAAGCGAAATGATGCGGTCGTTCGCTACCAAAATGGGTGCTATCAGGGCTTTCAACTCGCATGCGCCGAGACGACAGAGTGTACCGGATGCGAGCCACAACATCTTGTCCCCGGTAGCGACATCACCTCCCAGCAATCAGTTCCTGATCCCAGACAACTTGCTATCGCGAAAGAAGTCGATACATCGCAGAGGATGGAGCAGTGACATGAGCGGTGACCAGACAAGCAGTGATGAAGATTTGCCCGGCCCATCAAGATTACGATACTCACCCTGGTCCGGTCAGTGGGCATCAATATCGAACCTTGTTCAGCCGCGAGGCCGTTCTCCTGCCTCGCTACCATCCGATCCGCCGGATGCACAGGATGGGCGCTCTGATTCTGGAAGAGTATCCCGAGCGTCGAATGGGCGTGGTCCAGTAGAAGAGTTCAAACTCCTCATACGCCCGCCCACTGCATACGTCACAGTCGGAGACGGCCACGAGTCCAGCGGTGATAGTCAATCTCGGTCACTTTCTCCGCAGATGCCTGTCTTCGAATATCCCGAGTCGCGTTTCCTGGTCTGCAAACCACCAGGCCTCGTAGAGATGTTTGGTATTCAACAAGATGGTCGCGCTCGATCACCGAGTCCAGCTGCACCTCGGCGCCCCTCGCCGGCAGAGCCTAATAGTGCTGCAGCGACAGCTGTCCTTGAAGAATTTCAGTTCGGCTTCAAGGACTCGGTGCCTCCGCAGCATAAACGCGTGCCACGGCAAAATGTACATCATGTGTCGCAAATCGTCGAGCACCAGCTGTTGAGCTTTGAGCCCGATGCTGAGGCAGACCCCGCTCTGTTACTCGAAAGGCTGTCGCGCCTCGACAAGAACATCGCTCAAAAATTTGTAGTGAAGCGCGATACGCGTAAACAGTTCAATTTCAGACTCGTGTATGGACGACCGCAAACGGCTCACGACAGCCAGACTTCCTTCATCGCGTTGAGTTATCGGCGAAGACTCATAGTGGAGAAGCGGGCTGATCACTACACTTTGCCCCTCGACCCTGAAATCTTCCAAGCAGTCTGGGACGAGCGCATGTCAGAAAGCGAAGGAATCTGGATCGACCAAATTTGCATCGATCAGGATTCGGAGGCCGAGCGAACCATCTCCATGTCCGCAATGGACCTGGTTTATCGGAATGCCAGGCTTATCGTCGTTGCTCTTGATGACATTGTGCTCGAGAGCCATGAAGGTGAGCTCCTCCAGGCTCACATGAAAGAGTACATGAGCCTGCAACACGTGGCTGCAAGGCAGCGCTTTCGTCACAAACAGCCGCCTTATCTCGAATCCCGTGAGGACTTGTTTCTCGTGGTCAGAAAGCTTCTTACTTCATCCTGGTTTGTGCGAGCTTGGTGCAGGCACGAGATGAGACTTGCCAAGAACCACGTTTTCTTGGTCCCCTGCAAGCGAGCAGGTTTTTTCCAATCGAGGGATGTGCTGCGCTTCAACGGAAAATGCATTGCACATTTGTTAGCCCTTGCTACCGAGGTTCCATTCGAGCCCGCCATCGAATCGATCAAGCCAGCTTTGTATGCTTTCTTCAGTGATCGCAGCAAAGTCGCTAGTAGTCCGCCGATAGCACAAGCGCATCATGGCAACTTTTCAACGGTGATTGCGGAGGTCTTTGGCATGGAGGCTGGTGGTGATCCTCGGGTTCCAGCCGAACAAAGGCAGTCTGACGCTCGCAAAGACAAGATTGCAATCATCCTCAATACCATGGAATGCGGGCTGGCGCTTCACCCGGGTGTTCGGATGCCAAAAATAATCGTCACGGACAATGAATGTTTCCACTACCTACTCCTCCTCGCGCTCGCAGCACACGATCCTGGTGCTTTGTGTTCCGTAGGTCCGCCATTACCGATCTACAATACCATGAACACTTGGCTACATGCGCCTACTGTCGCTGACTCTGGACTCAACAATTACAAGACACTCACTCGTCTCTGCTCAGACTCTCACTTCAAAACTTACAACGATGGGTCTGGGCCTTTTCTCGAGCTCGATTTGATATTTCTAAAGCCCGATGATGTTGTCATGCCCGATTCCACGATTCACCAGGCAGATGCAAAGTCTCGCATGTATGTGCCACAACAAGACCCGGAACGAATGGCTCTCGCCGAACGAATGGTTTCTCTCTGCTTAAAGGAGAAGCTCGGACGGAACAGAAAGCGCTATTTACTACACGAGCGTAAATCCGAGGCGCTTTTCGGCTCGATGCGTGATCTCTATGTCGAGACTATGGCAGCAGTCATCTATTGCGGCCCGACCTGGCTGGGTGAAATTTGCCGACGCTACCGGGTCGGACGCTGGAAAGTTGAGCTTCTGCAGGGATGGCAATTACTTGTCGCACTGCAGAACACGTGCGGCAAATGGCCAGAAGAAATGTGGGCTGCCAACAATGCTGTTGGATTCCTCATGGACTTTGTCAACTTTCTCATCATCCGAGGTCTGCCTCAGCGCCAGATTTCGAAGCGTGAATTGTGGCGACCAATCTGCGTGTGCAGCGCAGCAGGGGGGAACGTACTGACCTTCATACCGTCTGAGCGTAGCCATGTTCGTACGGCTGTGCCAAAGATATTGGTCAACGACGATTACGCGCAACTCGCGCGACTTTGGGTTCTCGAACCCCGCGAGCCTCGGCATCAACGTAGTGATCTACGGTTGAATGAGTGCGATGAATGGTCCCTTTTGGGCAAGACAGTTGTCTTCAGCGATGATGTTTCGATCGAACAGATGAACTCATTTCATGGCGACTACCGAGATCGACAAAAGGTGTACGGGCGTGGCTCGCTGTGAGAAAGGGGAGAGAAGTTTTTAAAGTCTTACCCATGTTCGAAATAGATATGCTTCATCATTTGCACATGCAATTCAACGTGGCTTCAGTAGTCGTTTCGAGTACCGTACATGCAACGCTCGTCATCTGTGTTGCCGATGCTGCATCGTTACACTATTTCATCGTTGATTGTCCATCGCACGTGTTGCACCCCGTACATTATCCATTGTTGACTGTAACCGCACACACGCAGTCTTGCAAGGTTGCGACAGTCATGTTGATCAACGGTGTATATCATACGCTACAGGTTGGCAATGATGGAAACAACAACCAAAATAGGAGCTCTTTCGTAGTAGAAAGTGCACCCTTTTTGACGGTTGGATGCTTCCCATGTGTAAACTTCACGAAACATGACTACGTCTGCCTTCCCGGCGGCCTCATGAGGTCGAGAACTTCCCAACCCAAACCCTAAGATACATATCAGCACAACCCTATGGTAGTCGTTCGTGTCTGGCGACGCGCTGCAGTGGTCTGAGGGCGGCCGAAGGATGCAGACGAATAAACGTCACAACTGGAGCGCGTTCATTATTTGGGACGCAATCTGTGGCCAGGTTCTGGCTCGGCTTTGGCGACGTCAATGGCGCGTAGGAGGTCCGGAAAGGAGAGGGAAATCCCGCCATTATTTTTCTCCGAACCAAAGGACGGTCCAGCTGTAATCCCAGATGACTACGTGAACACCCGAAATGTCACTAAATCTGGAAAGAAGACGAGAGTGACCATCGAAAACTCCAAGTCGAAAAGCACCCAGCCGCGCAGCGACTCGTTTCGCCAATGGATTCAAAGTCATGATCTCGACCAACCGAGCCAGGATACTCGATCACAGCGATACCCCGAGTCTTTGCATTCGCTTTACCCGGCCAGCGCATTAGATGGGAGGGCGTCAGCTTCGAAAAGCCACTTGCGTCGATGGGCGCGATCGGAGCCCGATGAACTCACGTCGAACTTACTGGGACCTGATGTATTAGAAAGTGCGGGACGATTTCCGATCGCCAGTTTACGTGAAGGCGCAAGACAACCGATAGAGGCTGTACGGCACCGTGCTACTGGTATCCCATACAACGATACAGCATATGAAGCATACCCTCGCCACAGGCGCAGGCAGAGTGCTAGTGATCAAGTCATCGCTAATTGGAACTTCGCGCTCGATGAGTTTGAACGCCGAACCTACGATTTGGCTCAGCAGCAGGCGCGACATGATGTTGATCTCGAGATTCCAACTCCAGGTCGTGTATCCCACAGGGTTCCAGTTGATGACGAATGGTACGGAAACGAGGTATTGGGGATACCTACGAAGTCAAGACGGAAACGAACGAAAGGCAGTCGTTTCACATTGCCTCCTGATGAAGTACGAGCTGAAGATCCGGCGCGTGGCAAGAAACCTCATGAAAAGGTGAAGCGGGGCTCGGATGTATCCAGCAAGAGCTCATCATCCGAGAAGCCTGAACCGCCAGATGAAGACGGTGGTGCAGGCTCAGGGCGTGAGTCTGGCAGCACCGATACATCTGATAGTGACGGTTCATCATTGGGAACAACCACTAAATCGGGAACATCAGAACAGGTCGTCGAAATATCGGAGGGCTCGTCAGACTCCTCTTCGAAAAGCTCAGTTCGATCCGCTCGGAGAGGAGTACGTTGGAATCTACCCGGAGAAGAAACAGATGTGAACGAATTCGATGATCCGCTCGCATCACTCGACGTGTCGCGACTCATTGGACAGCGATCTATCAGTGACAACAACATCCTGTCGACCATTGGTGACGAGCACATGCATGAGAAGCAAAAACTCACGTTGAGGGGTTTGACTCAATTCGATATCGGAAGGTCATTATGGACCGGGGACCATCTCCGGGACTGGGATCTTGGAGTGGAACTAACTACACTGGCAGAGTCAACACCTGATTGTCTGCACACCAGGATCCAATGGTATCACCTGGAAAGGGACCTCATGGTTTTTGACGAGTTCATGACAATGGTTCAAAAGTGTCCGCATCTCACAGATAAGATCAAGCAGCAGGTTACTGATATGCTAAGAACCGTAAAGTATGACAAGCAGAAGCAACGCCAGTTTGGGTACGATATGGACGCCGCTGTCCAAAGTGAATTTGACTACGAGGACGGTTTCGCAGACAAACAGCAGCCGACAAGTTCGGCGACCTTCCTGAATTTGCCATATCTTTCTTTGGAAAAATACGCGGGCGCTGATCTACAGTCCCTATCATCTGCATCTGCTGTGCATCCGGCTAGAGGAATCGTCCAAGCATCTACTCGAACAGTCAATGACAAACGCGAGTTGGCGCAAGTCGTTACGACAAGGGCGGACGTGCCAAACGGAACCTGTTTGCATACATCCAATTTCTGGTGCTTGATCGTGAATGACAATCTGATTTTGACCTGCAGTCGTTTGAACGTCGAGGAACTCCGCAGCACCGTGGTGAACGTCATTCAGCCACCATACGATGTCACATCGCAGGACATCAGGATTACATCTGGTGCTGCTTTTGGCTGGCAATTTCCCTCAAAGGACGTGTCCTCATGGCCCAACGTCCTGGGATTGTTTGGTGACAGTTTGATGGATGTTGTCAATGGGCAAAAATTTCGCCACAATGGTCAAACACTGGACGCAGAGACGTGGTCCGACCTTATCAGCAAAGGTGTCTCGCATCACATTGAAGTGCTGCCTTCATTATCACCAGATACCGCTCTCGGCACTTACTTGAAAGTACATGACCTTATTGTGGGCAATGATGCAAAACGTGTACTGCCTACGAATAGAGCTAGTCGTGAAGACCATCCACTTGACTCGACGAAGCAAACATCACCTCACGCGCCAACGAAAAACTTGCCTCACACGCCAAAGCTAGATCCACGCCCTTCTCCTGCTCAAGCTCATACTCACCTCTCCGTCTTCCAGCACAGTCGCACATCGAAGGCGAGCTCCGTAGCCGATTGGGCTGAGATACTACATTCCGCCATGATGTCCCAGAACACAGCCTACTCGGAATGTCCGACCGCACGGATTGGTGATATACGTGAATGGATTGAAGCTGCCGACCCAGCTGGCTCAACGAAAAGTGCTGGAATGGTGAAGGGCGCTGACAATGACCGAGTAAGAAAGAGAAAGGCAGCTGTGACTGTGATTTATGTGGCAGGATTCTTTTGGCCATATGATCTTGAGCACGAGGTTCTTGGCAAGCTATTTGGTGCTCTTGTGAGGATTCTTAACAACAAATTAGGCAGCGGTAGTGCATTTTTGGTAGAGCTTGAGGAAGACGTCCTTCCTCTCCTGTTTACCATGACAACAATCTTTGCTGGGAATGAGCATCACCTCCAACAGCTGCCTGATCATTTTGTCAGAGCCTGGTTACGTTTTGTGACTGCTATTCTCTTAGCAGCTGAGGCGCCCGAGCCAGTCCGGACAGGTAAAGCGCAACGGCTGCCAGAATTGAAGCTGGCTATTAGACAATTGAAGCTTATGAGGCTGGATTTGCTAAATGGTGAGCAAGCACTAACCCTCGTCACGCGGAGACATGACCTGAGCAAATTCGAGATCTGCTCAACACGAGGCATTGCGACTCTACTGGTTGATAGGCTTTGCAAAGGCGTCATGCGTGGCGTCCCTGATGTCGGCCAGATCTATGAGGATTACTATCATCAAATGGTACGTCTCGAGCCGAGTGTCCCCACCGCGCTGGGTTCTGACTTTGTCTTACGCCTGGCTCCCTTCGCACATTTGATTGACATTGAATCCAGCTTGATGCCGTGACAGGAGATCCCTTTCAGCGCTCACATCGCGATGTCCTGAGGGACTACCAGCAAGAATTGGAAGCCGTGCTACGCATTCTGAATGGTCAATGTGAGGTCCTCGATCTCCTGGATCGGAGCAACGATCAAGCCGAAGTAAGCAACAGCACAGCGCCCGACTTGCCACCATTCCGTGAGTTTCCATCGCTGAAACGAAAAATGCGCCGTTGTCTGGGTGAAGTCACGTTTCGTATCGACACCTTCGAAGCATTGCACGGCCGCAGCGACGATCTAGGTACCTGGTTGTTGAGTCGCATCGAAATGAACAGAGACAAGCAGGAGTCTGCCGTCATTGTTTTCACCATGGTCACCATAATATTCCTCCCGCTTTCCTTCGTCGCTTCCGTTCTAGGGATGAACACATCTGATGTGCGGAATATGGATGGCACTCAATGGGTGTTCTGGGTCGTCGCCATTCCGCTGACCATTGTCATAATGTTCGCCAGTCTGTGGTTTGCAGGCCTCCTGGACGGGTTGCGGCGTTGGCTGGCCTCCTTACTTCGTGTTCACCCCGCCAGGACCACGAAATCGAGGACGAGTGACTTCGCCGAAACAATGTCAGAGAAGATATCGCGAGGAGCGACGTCAGATCCCGAGAGGCACCGGTATGGCTCCTCCTCCGGGCTGGAGAGGCGTGCAACGACATACCCCTCATCACTACAGCGGCGAACGTCGACCGGCCTCACGCGTGGATGACAAATCTCACGGAGCTCCAAAGGCGAACGTGTTCACCAGCAAGAGCCAAAGACATCATCGAAGTCAATATCGTTTCAATCTTCCATTGCCGTGTCGTGGTCCTTGTTCTGCGTTGTGGTGCTGCCAACACCTCTGGCCACAGCTTCGATGCCCTCCAGCTCTGTCTGAGCGAGTTTACGTCCAGTGGTCAATGAAGCACTTCCCGAGGATTCCGCTTCGATGCCTCTTCCTTTGAGCGCACGCCATGTCTGTGATTCGAGATATCGCCTCCTTCGAGCTTCGGCATTGTCCTCATCGTCATGTCGAGCAGCCCATTCGCGCGGAAGCGTTTGCATCGTAGTACTGAGCTGTGCAAGAAGCTGTCGAAGAGCTGGAAGCTGATTCAGGGCGTATTGCGTAGCTTGTGTCAAACTTTGCTCGCCGTTTGTGGATGCTGGAGTATTCAAGAATGCCAAAGGCGCTGCAGTGGACGCCTCAGAGTGGCCCGGCTCAGCGCTGAGGAGAGCAGTCAATTGAGACAGGATCGCGGCGTTCTTAGCCTCTTCTGCTTTGAGCATGACATTGAATTTGGCCGTCTCATGGAGCCTAGATCTTTGCGCCTCAATCTCCTCAGGGGAGGGTGCTGGCCCTGTCGTGGACACATCGACACCCTTGTAATGATCTAGTCGCACCCAGTCCGCGAGATCCTCCTCTTCGTGACCCACAGCTAAGATGTTCCGTAATGTGTAGATCTCAAATTTGTCAAAATCTTTGTCCACCGTCGCATTCAAGAGGCTCTCCAACTTGACGATGCCGTTATCGATCTCATTCTGTTTCAGCTCCTCTAGCGCATCTCGACGGGCTTCGTCCGTTTTCAATGCTGCATGTGTGGCCTTATCAAGTTTGAATCCCAAGTTTGCCGCCGACGCCGCACCGAGACCTTCCTCTATAGCGTTGATGGCACGAAAGACAAGCTCATTTGCTGTATTGATGACATCGTCAAGCAGTGTCTGTCCAAGTCAGCTACACTTCTCTTCACCCGAGCGCGACCGAACGACAATGATCCTTACTAACCAACGGAGTGTATCGTAAATGCTCTGTGAGCAATGCGGTGGTCTCTTGCTTCGAAGATGTCATATCGTACTGTTGCGATATTGCATTCGATGCACGTCACGCATAGATGTGTGGTGATGGAAGACGCGTTGGGCACGCGGGAAATTTAGCCGCACGCGTCTTACCAATTTACGGCGGGACGAGCGGAATGAGAATAATCAATGTTCTAGTACTCGGAATTCTCACATACTCATGTTGAATTATATCCAGGGTATAATAGAACCAAGTGCACGCACATGAAATCTGTGAGCTACGAGAGGCAAGTCTTCGACACGATTGTTTCTATCATGAGAGAATTACCAAGCCGTGTTCTCTATCCTGGCGAACGTTGGCGGTTCTCTGCAATCTCTTGGGTAGTCTCGGAAGGTGACTACGTTGATGAAGAAACAATCGCGTCAAGGAAGACCGTGGTCAGCTCAGGGCCAGACCAGTCATTTCTCGACAGAAAACCTTCTCCAAAGCCAAGCCCATAGGCTCGACGTTATGATGAAAGTGATTGTGTACCATCAAAAATTGCGCCACTGAGGCCCCCGAAGGAGACTCATAGCAGATGCTCGCCACGCTGTGCAATGTAGGAGCTTCTGTTAGGTGACAGGCATTCATGAGCGCCCGCACCGCAACAAGGTAAGTATGAAGGAGAGAAGAAAGAGAAGTACGGAGAGGAAGCGAGTGTCGGTAGGTTTATATGCTTTCCCAGCCAGGAGCTAGTGAGCGGGCCGCCCAGTTGCCAGGACAGCGAGCCTCAAACATGCCCAGGTGTGATGCCACGCTTGTGCCGGGCGGCTTGTGAACAAGTGCGGCCTCATCAATCTCGTCGTGGGCAGCTTGTTTGAACGATTTGTAGACAGACAACTGATACGCTATATTTCAGCCGCCAGTTTAAGCAGTGATGTCTGTCATTTGGCCAGAAGCTCACAGACGTAGTATTCATATTTTGTATGATACAAAGGCATGACCCATGGATGTTCATGTGACATCCAAACTTGATCATTTCGTGCCTCTGTCCAGATCTGTCGCATTTGGGTCGTGCGGATATAGGGATATCCCGTACATTGCAGACGATTACTATATGAAAATGGCGACATCTGTCAGAAACACGTGTGATGTCAGGAAGAGGTATGTCTGCAATGATTGCTAAGCTCAAGAATATTCATAGATTGTACAGAAGTGGAAGACGTGAAGTCTGATAATGGGTATCTTCGATCATGCTGTCGTAGTAATTAATCCACGGACGCGTTCCAGCATCTCGGTCGTGATCTCGGCCGACCATGGAGAAGCCACGCCTACTTCCGTGAGACATCCGAGCCGAGATGCATGCCAAGATGAATCTTTTCACTTTGCGCTTCACTTTCGGCGTGACTGCTCGCTGTAAATTTCAGATCAAACAGGATTTGTCAGATTACGCGATACCTTCCAAGCTTGACTTCCACGATGGCATACCTAGGTAGGTATATGGACTTCACGAAGCTGTACATCCGCGATTACAAACTTGACGATACACGCCCAGGGGGTTAAGATCTATCTCCGACATGTTGAATATGGCTGCCAGCTGCTCCCATGAATCTATCGAAGAGTCTATCTACATGGCATCGCACAAAAGTAACGAAATGTGCTCTCGGATTCTGGATGTTGTCCATCATCACCAACAAGTTCATAGAATCACCCTCTCGACTGCTTCAACATCATCAACTTCCACACTCCGACCATTTGGTTGAACTCACAGAGCCCCTTTCAACCTTGCAACTTCAAAGATTAGAATGTCACCAAACTCAGCAGCGTGGCTACTCGAGGCAAAGGCAACCGCCTTCGAAATCAAACCCGTGCCTCTTTGGACACCAGCGGAAGGCGAGATCTTGGTAAAGAATCGTGCCGTCGCTATCAATCCTGTGGACGGCAGCCTTCAGAATTTGGCATGGTTGCCAATGCACTACCCAACGATTCTCGGTCAAGACGTTGCTGGAGAAGTTGTCGCGGTCGGCGCTGGAGTCACACGTTTCAAAATTGGCGATCGTGTGCTTGGTCAGGCTCTCGGATTAACCACTCAACGTGATTCAGACCATGCCTTTCAACAGTACACCATCGTCAATTCAAAGGTGGCTACCGAGATTCCAGCGAGTATGTCTTACCAGTTTGCGGCGGTCATTCCCCTTGGCTGCTCGACTGCCGCTTGCGGTCTCTTCCAGGAAGAGCCATTTCTTGGACTGAACCCTCCTACTGAGCCTTGAAGAGGATCTGATAACCCGAAAGACACCCTCCTCGTATGGGGAGGCTCGTCGAGTGTCGGTACAAATGCTATCCAGCTAGCGGCTGCTGCTGGATACGAAGTCATCGCTACTGCATCGCCAAAGAACTTCGACTACGTCAAAAGCCTCCGTGCCAGCGAAGTGTTCGACTACAATGAATCCACTGTCGAGGGAGATTTGATTCTTAGTCTGTCCGGACGAACCCTCGTCGGTGTGCTCGACGCGATTGGTGGAAATGCCACCATTGTCAGCTGCAACGTGCTTCACAAGGTTGCTGGTAAGGGACGTGTCGCAACAGCCAAGCGATTCGGTGATTACACTCCTCCAAAAGGCGTTGTACTAACGACCATCTTTGCCACAACTTTGGCTGAGAGTCCCGTGGGGAAGGCCATTTACGAGAGCTTTCTGCCAGGAGCTTTGGCGAAGGGTTTATACGTTGCATCGCCCGCGGCCGAAGTCGCCGGACATGGATTGGAGGCTATTCAAGGAGCGGTCAATCAGGTCACGAGGGGTGTTTCGGCAAAGAAGCTTATTGTGACGCTATAAAGGACGATTCGGGACAGGGATATCGATGATCACCTGCATCTGAAAGAAAGACGAGCATCAGACTGTCCCTGCGAAACTGTGACAACAGTGTGTCGGTAGCTCGATACTTCCCCTGCGTGCCTGCTTCGAATGTAAGGACCTTGGAGGTCTCGGTATGACTTTGATATTAGATAGACCTGAGTACATGTAGAGTGTCGTGTATGGATATCGCGTTCCGTCATGAGCTGCATTGGAATCTTGGAAGTTACAGCTCATAAGATCAAGAAAATTGTTCAAGCACGGGTGAGCTCTGGACATCTCCTTTGTGCTTGCCGATCTACAGCCCCGAAGGAGAACACTTGCTTTTTGAATGTCACACGCCCGCCCGTATACATACGTTCAATCTTGCCCTCGGGCTTGCACCCTTGAAAGTGTTGAAATATTTCCATCTTCTCGTTCTTCTTGACTGTCCAGGTGCTTCATCAATCACTCATCAATTGGCAGACTTGGCCGTCACACTCCTTTGTGGGTTGTCCAGGTGCACATTGGAAGTAGAAAGCCCACATGCCTGCAGGCGACAACGATCATTATTATTGCCAAAGCCAGACAACCAACAACATGTCAGTCCCAGAGACTGCCGCGTTCCAACATAATTCTGTCGCTGAGGACAGATCCGCTCTGGACAAGAACATGGCATCCATCCCGAGGACGAGCACCAAGCATCGGGATCATTACATCCAGATCATGTCTCAGGCAAGTTAGCAAAAGTCAACTTGATGTCTGCAGCAAGAATCGGTCAGAAATTCGCCGGCATTGAACAGATTCCAACAAGTTTCGAGAGTTTGCCGCGTCTTTGTCTAACACATGATAGACGCCGCCGCCAACACCCGCAGCCTCACCAGCCAGGCCAACAATAGTGTCCACCAATCGTCGCAATGCAATTTGCAGTCATTCAGCAATGATTCGAATCTATACAGACGCTGTGTGCCCGATCTGTCGACGCCGGCCTTCCTTGGGCTGGCTTTATACCTGCATCGATGAGAACGACACCGAGGCTGAACGCCTGCCAAATCCAAGCATACTGTCAGCGATTGATACAAGCGCTTTCAACGACGATCTCGAGGCATGGGCAATCTTGGCGGAATTCTTGTTGCTCCGGCCTGGTATAGTAGCATCTATACGAGCGGGCGAATACACACACGAGCAGATCTGCTGCATCGTAGAGAGCAAAAAGGCTGTTATTCGAGCAGCTTATGCTCTGGAGCAGCCAGTGAATCCGATATTTCTCGATACACCGGCACAAGAACAGGGCACAACAACACCAACGAAGGCGTCCAGAACAGATGCCACACACTCGGCAAGTGGCACACCTCCCAGCACTCCGATTAGACCGAACGCTTCTCACACCGCTGGCCAAATTCATTCACCGACTGTGCAGACTTATGCAACTTTGAGTCGGAGAGCCGCCCTGCCTCCAGGACTGAAAATTGATCTATCGGGAAAGCCGCAAACCTGTACATTTCAATGCTGTCATCGCTGCAAACCATTCCTTGTCGAGCGAGCCACGCAAAGCTTGGATTACATTGTCAATCAAAGCCAAATCTTGATTGGTCAAGTTACAGGACGGTCGGGCGATGAAGATGGGCCCGCGACCGCAGTGCATTTCGATGGCATGTGTCATCCAAGATCATCCACAAATCATCATGACGGGAAGGCTCTGTCCGTTTCGGTCGATAGCTCGTTCCACTCCCAGAGCGACGAAGAGGACAGCTCGGGAAATTCGTCCTTAGAGACAGAGTCAGAGTTTGAGATCATGGTGGCTGAGGCCCGCCGGCAGGTTGTCATGCACAACGACAGTGCTGTAAGTATTGGATGAGCAACGCACCGCACTGCAGTTGCACGTTGTTCACCGGTCTGCTTCCGCAAAATGGATGCATCTCGCAGAACAGGCTTCTTGAGGGTAAATGATCTATCAGGATCGATTCATTGGTGTAGCAGACGCATGGTATATAGACCCAGCACGATTGATCCGGGTGAAAGCTTGTACGCAAAACTCCGGTCTTTACACTACATGTCCCGGCGTTGCGTGAGCCGGTTAACATCCCCGTCAAATTTGTCTACGGCTGTATGCCCAATAAGCTTTGAAGGGCAGCTTCCAATTCGTCCGTCGGAGCTTGTCATTGAACACATCGAAATCGCACTTTTGCAGTTGGTCCAACCACATCTGTGTCGAAAGCGCCGGCATGAACACACCAAACGCCCTCTCAATTTCTTGCGCGGGCGTCTCTGTAGCAGCTGCTTTTTGCATCGATCGTTGAACGTGCTCCTCCTCGTCGGCATGCTCGAAGTCATGCCCGGCCTCAGCACCTGCACGAATATTTGCCAGCATCTGCCGGGCTGTGATGAGATGATCGTTGGCGCGCGTTGCCACGGCAAATACAGCATCACGCAGTCCAGCGGCGCTCGCGCCTTGACGAAGCACATCCTCCTCCCGTACCCCAGCCTCTACCATGATATCGACTGGTAACATCACTGCGCCCCGCCGCGTTGTGCCTACGTCACCGCCGAAACTGCCTTGATTGCTGTGCGCGGGAGATGGGCCGAGAAATGCTATGAGAGGTAAACCGCGGAGCATTGCGGCGATTCCTGCTGCTTTACCGATATGTGAAGCTAGGTGGTCGGCTGTCAGGCTGGACATGGGCAATGCCTGCAACGTGAGGTATAGCAGGGTGGAATAGGTGTTCTCCGAATAACTCTCCAGACTTGCCATGGTCGGGAATGGTGCATTTGAAAGGTGCTTTTGTCGCGTATCGATGATTCGTTGGAGCCAGCCTCGACTGAATGTTGCTTTGCCACCACTGCGGTATTGTAGGTCTTGCGCTGCAGCTGCTAATAGCAATGCGATGGGCTGCTTCGGCGGCGTTCCGGCCAGGGCTTTGCGCATAGCATCGCGTTGGAATTCGAGTCGCATTGCACCGATGGTGGGCGTAGAGGTTGTGTCCGCTGTGCGTGCTACATCAATGTTGAAGGCTCGCAGGGCGACGTACGCATCTCGGGCGACGCTGGGTATGTATGGCAGGAGTAGAGATGAGGGAGTGTCGGACCGTCGAAGCAGATCTAGACAGTATGTCCGCGCTCTGTTGATCTCTTCAGAAGTGATCGATGAGCTATCTGTGGCGGGTGCAAGGTTGACTTCGGATGGACTTGATGCGAGCCATCGTTTCTGTCCGAAGGTTGAGACATTTTTGCAAATCTCTGGTGTTCTCGTCAGGTCTGGGAATCTTGCTGCGCATCTTCTTGATGTGTTCATGTTGACAAATTATGATTACGGATAATAATTGATCGAACGTGATTGGATATGTGAAATGGTAGATCTTGATTGTAGTCCTGTGATGTCAAAGACAATTTTGCTCCCAGGCCGAAGGTCCCTTTCTGACCAACTGTATGGCTTAGGCAATCGCGGATCACGGAAAGAAGAATCGTAAGCTCTCTAGGCTTTCCACCCGCTCAATATCAGTCGCTCCGAGTAATGAACTCTTCGGAGACGATGTTCATATGGAAGAATCGATTGTCGCATTGACGAGGCGACCCTGCGGACTCGCCAAAAACAGAAATTCGTTGACGATTACGTCATCCGTAGATTCGCCGCGGACGCGTCTAGGCGCGTGTTCCCTCCAGGACCAAGTGGGCTGCGTACGAATTTGGTGATTCTGTGATTCAAATGGATAACATCCCAATTCACCTGCTCAATCGCACTTCACATGGACATCGATCACCGACCTGCCAAGAAGCGTCGTTTCTTCACCGACGAGTCGCCTGTCCGTCAACTTGCTTCACTCTCGGATACAGTTTCGCCACCACATGATCACAATGCCCATGGCCCTCCGACAGCGACCTCCGTGGTCGAATCTACACCCAGCGACAAACCAAACGATGCCTTCGATCCCGTAGACTTCAAAAGCGTGGTTGGTACGGACGTACCTCAAGACGCGATCACGATCCTTCAGAAAACCCATGGCTCAAATCTGGAGCAAGCAATCAATGCATACTTTGATGGATCGTGGAAAAACACAACTGCCCTGCCTGTGAGACGACCCAGTTCGCCGTCTACTCTCAAATCGAAGCAGCAGAAGCTTGTTCTCGGTACTCACGACTCAGCTGCTCAAGCCTATGGTGAACAGATCGACCCGAAACGCAGCAAGGTTCTGCTAGAGTCGATGCCAAAGACTCGATATATCGGCTCACTGGGTGTGTCTGGGTGGGCCACGTGTAGTGGATTGGGACTTCTCAAGCCTGAAGATCCGGTCACGATCGAAAGATGTCGTCAGCAGATCGTGCAAAAGTCTGGGAGGGGCGGGAAAATGGTGCAGCAAACGAGGAGGACACAGGATGTGATTGTGCGCTTTACAAATGCCGCTGGAAAGGAGATTGGGCGACTGGAGAAGGAGACAGCTATCTGGATGAGTGCGCTCATTGACCAGGGAGTTTGCCAATTTGAGGGACGATGCATATATGCGCCAGATCGAATAAGGACGAATGATACGATCTATATTCAGCTCCGTTGTTTCCTGCTCCGACCTGTTTTCTCCTCCAGTAATTTCATAAGACCCCTGGACAACAATCGAGAGACGGGCCTGTTCGAGGTCAAGGAAACAAACGAAGAACGAGATCTCAGGCTTCGCCAAATAGGATTGGTCAAATTGTTTTCGGAGATCAATCTTCATCCCTCAAAGTCTAACGAAACCACAGCGAAGCACAAACGCGAAGGCATCCTGCAAGCTGCTGAACATGCTGAACAAGCTAGTGAGGCTAAAGAGTCCCGACCTGCAGCTGAAAAGGATGAGTTGGAATCTTCTTCTCCAAGCAATGAAGAGGGCGAGGAGCTAGAGCAGGATCAGTTGGATTCTCTTTATAAGAAGGCTCAGTCGTTTGATTTCAACACGCCCGAAGCGCAGCCGGCCAAGTCATTTTCCATGGATCTCCGGAAATATCAAAAGCAGGCTTTGCATTGGATGCTCAACAAGGAAACCAGAGAAAATGATGAAGATCGAGAGCAAGGACAAAGCATGCATCCGCTGTGGGAAGAATATTCATGGCCGATTAAGGATGCCGATGATAAAGATCTCCCGTTGGTGACCGGCCAGGAATGCTTCTACGTCGATCCCTACAGCGGCGAATTGAGTTTGGATTTCCCTGTACAGGAACAGACATGCTTGGGTGGTGTCTTGGCAGATGAAATGGGTCTAGGAAAAACAATTCAAATGCTCTCACTCGTGCATTCAAATCGATCTCCTGAGCATTTAGCAGCTCTGGACGCGGCGGAGAGCAGTGAAAAAGACATGGTCAACAGTCTTACAAGACAACCACCAAACACGTCAAATCTCAAAAAGGCATTGGCAACTACTCTCGTTGTTGCTCCCATGTCTCTACTCGCTCAATGGGCTTCAGAAGCGGAAAAAGCATCAAAACCAGGTACTATTCGCGTGCTTATTTACTACGGCAGCGAAAAAGGAGTCAACCTCCAAACGCTCTGTTGTGGCTCGAATTTGCTGGCTGCTCCAAACGTGATTATCACTAGCTATGGCGTTGTGCTTTCCGAATTTAACTCGTTGGCTACATCCTTCGGTGGGAATCGAACAACATCAGGTGGACTGTTTGGAGTTGAATATTGGCGAATCATCCTCGATGAAGCTCACATGATCAAGAACCGTCAGTCAAAGACTGCCAAAGCATGTTACGAACTTGCCGCGATACACAGATGGGTGCTCACAGGTACACCTATTGTCAACCGTCTGGAAGACCTCTTCAGTTTGGTACGCTTCCTTCGCGTCGAGCCTTGGAGCAACTTCAGCTTCTGGAAGACCTTTATTACCGTACCTTTTGAGAAAGGAGAATTTGTGCGCGCCTTGGATGTTGTGCAGACGGTGCTGGAGCCGCTGGTTATGCGTCGGACGAAAGACATGAAAACGCCCGATGGCGAGGCGCTGGTCGCACTTCCTCCACGCACGATTGCCATCGAGAAGATAAAGCTTTCGACTCCAGAGCAAGATGTCTACGACCATATTTTTCTCCGCGCGAAAAAGGCGTTCACAGCCAACGTGGAAGCTGGCACGCTCATGAAAAGCTATACTACCATCTTTGCGCAGATTCTACGACTAAGGCAGAGTTGTTGTCATCCGATCTTAACTCGTAACAAGAACATCGTAGCAGATGAAGAAGATGCCGCAGCTGCTGCAGACATTGCCAACGGTCTGGCTGATGACATGGATCTCGGTGCACTTATTGAGCGCTTTGCTGCAGACGAAGGCGATCAGGACGCGAGTAAATTCGGCGCGCATGTCCTCAAGCAGATACAAGATGAAGCAGATATGGAGTGTCCCATCTGTGCTGAGGAGCCAATGGAAGAGCACGCTGTCACTGGCTGTTGGCACTCAGCTTGCAAGAAGTGTCTTCTTGATTACATCGAGCACGAGACTGCCAAGGGCGAACTCCCACGCTGCTTCAATTGCCGAGAGCCGATCACCGCCCGTGATGTGTTCGAAGTTATCCGACATGACGACGAAGCTGTGGTGATGGATGAATTGGATCAAGAGCTTCACCAGAGCACTCACTCCGGCGATCAAACCAAGGATAAGCCACGCATAACTCTGCGCCGAGTGAACCAGCTCTCATCTGCCAAGATCGCTACGCTTCTCACTCATCTGAAAAAGGTTCGCAAGACCAACCCGACCTCAAAATCAGTAGTCTTCAGTCAGTTCACATCCTTTCTTGATCTTCTGGCGCCCGCACTCAAGGCTGCGAACATCACAACACTGCGTTTCGACGGCAGCATGTCACAAAAAGACCGTGCCCGCGTTCTCAACGACTTCGCCAATCGCCCAACCTTCACCATTCTCCTGCTCTCACTCCGAGCGGGTGGTGTCGGACTCAATCTCACGTGCGCCAATCGTGTCTACATGATGGATCCTTGGTGGTCATTTGCCGTTGAAGCTCAAGCGATTGATCGCGTGCATCGCATGGGGCAGACCGAGGAAGTGCACGTGATACGATTTATTGTGGAAGGCAGTATCGAGGAGAAAATGTTAAAGGTGCAAGACCGAAAGAAGTTCATGTAAGTCTGGCGTCTCTCTTTTGGACATATCTCGAGGTTTTGCTGACCGACATACTACAGAGCGAGCTCGCTTGGCATGATGAGTGACGAAGAGAAGAAGCTGCAACGCATTGAGGATATCCGTGAATTATTGAGCTGAGTGATGCGTGCCTGAGTAAAGACAAAATGTCGCGGGATGTTGGCCGTATGGCTCTATGATATGATGATAGTTTGGGCAGGGATGTTGCTTACCACGACATAAATATCCCGATAGTATCCCTGACAGGCCGTCTGAGAATGAGCGCACATGCGATGAGTCGAAACGCCTTGCTTTGCTCAAGGATTAATGCGTGCAGTGCTTCGGTGCAGCGGGTGTACCACATTCTGTATTGTTTTCATACAGAATCGAGTATGTTTGAACATCCTTCACGAGAGTGCTTTTTCAAGTTCTGCCTTCCTCTTAATACAAGTTCGTCAATCTTCGTCATCATCTTCGTCACTCGACCATCCGTCTGCGTATTCTTCAGCCATCACCGCGAGTCCCTCACAGAGGGCTTCGCGTTCGTCCAGCCCGATCAATCGCCGAGCATCCGCCTCGATAGCTCGTATGCGTTCCGCAATACGTGTGGATGTAATAACAGAAACATCGATGTCGACATTACGAGGAGACCGTGTAGATTGAAATATGCCTGGAAATGATGATAGCAGAGGGAAAGCAAGCGAAGACAAATGAGAAGAGTCTCGAAAATCTCCAATTCGTCTTCGGTACGCTTCATGGCTCTCTTCGTCGTCGTCTGCGAGCTGATCACGATCTCCGCGCAGAATTTTGACTTGACTGAATATATGAGCTCTTGAGGTGGACTCGTTTCGAGTGCCGAACAATTGCGATGAACTTGGGAACAGATCAACGTCGAATGTTTCGGGATCTTGCTCGGAAAAGTCGTGTGCATGACCATTCACGGGTGGAGCGCGTCCTCGATCGTCGACTCCGCTGTGAAGCGCTTCTTGATGGATAGTCATTGTGCACGCTGCCACACGTCGCTTGCCGTCTCCGTTGAGGACTGCTTCAAGGGCATCGAGCTTCGCCCTTGCGCTTTCCGTGCTCCTCAAGCGAGCGGGTAAAGTCATCGTCTCAATCGCTGCACTTTGTAAAGCTGACGTTTCCCATCTACTTTGTGAGCCAAGTTGGATATGAGGGGGCAGAGCTCTTGGAACGTTTCCCAGGGGTATCTGAACGCTCGCTACAGAATCCAATACAAAGGTTGATTGAGCAGTATTGGCACGCTGAAGTAGCTTACGCTCTCGGGTCATGCGCTGTTCGTCTTGAAAGCCGAATACCCATCTGCAGCCTTTCCCGAGATCATCAGCGACCCGTTCAAGGTATTTCGCAGCAAATCCTCCCCAGGCATCATCGGTACTGGTCAGTATCTGTATACCCTGGAGATGATCGCACTCCTCGAGAAAAGGTCGGAGGTCGCGATCTAGTAGATCATATTCTCGATCTAGTCCGGTGAATAACTCCTCACCTGTCTGCCATCGTTCGAATGGCATCAGTGAGCTGTTCACCTCATACTCGTTGAGTTGAACGATACTCTTGGGATGGTAAAAGACGCGATTGTAATCAGACCAAAAGCGCACAGTGTCGGAGCTCAGTGAAGGCGGCTCAGCACCAGAATCTAATGCTTGCTGATATGCGCTTTGCGTGATAGATGGTAGCACTAGGGGTATTGCCCCACCCGCCCAAGAACCTAGCTGTGTCGGATCTTGTGGATTTTGAAGCTCGTAGAGTGCGTTTTCTCGTCGAAGTGTGCCAAATGCGCCTTTAAGGTCATATATGACCGTTCGGGGAGTGTATGTGTCGGAACCATCTGCAGCGATGCCTGCGCGAAATGATATATCGTGGTCGATCGGTGATTGTTCTTCATCGCCGTATGTGAAGTACGACTCCTGGTCGTTACTCAGTATGATGACAAGAAGGACTAATTGATCTGCGAATCAAGAGCGTAGAGCATGTATCTGTGTCAAACTTATGCATCGTACCTGTGTGTTCCAGAAATGCGTTCCAACATAGTTGGCCTGCTGCCCAAATTGTAGCGTTAAGATTTCGTGCATTGCAACTCAAGCAACAAGGTCCACGGGTGCCCGTCGATTTGCCTCGCGAGGAAGTCGTTGCTGTAAGTCTCTTGTCAAGCAAGTTGAATCAATTGTTGCGATTTACCGAGGTATCCATGGTATTAACGATACGTTCTTCGTCTGAACTCTTGATGGTTACGATTATGTATCGCCAAACGTCAGAACTGTCATTTCACCATTCTCTCAGGTACAGTAGTTCAGCCAGCCCTCAACTTCGAGTGGCGAGGTATACGACTACGATCTTTAGTTCTATTTGAAACATCAGATCCTGCACACAGAAGACCATTTGCTATCATAGAATCAAAGAGGATAATTCTGTTTTCACATACGCTGCTTCATAATGGTGCTGGAAGTCATCTATATTGTGCGTCATGGGGTAAGTGAGGGCAATTCCGATTTTGTGCATCTATAAAGAGGACTGACGATGTGTACAGTTCCGATCCAATTGGGTCGTTGACCCTGCAACCGGCACATATCGAGCAAACATTCCATCTCCCACAGGAATCCCATCGGACCCAGCGCTCGCTGGCTATGGCGTACTTCAAGCTCAACAGCTTGGTGACCATCTCATGAAAGTGGATCCGCCCGTCGACCTTATCTACAGCTCTCCGTTCTATCGTTGTCTCCAGACGCTTCTCCCCTTCGTCAAGGCTCGCGTCGCTCGAGATGGCAAAGACAAGATTCGAGTGCACGTCGAGCGCGGAGTGGGAGAATTCTATGGCTTAGCACGATTCGACCACCCGTCGCCTGCACCGATCGGGGAGCTGCGGCGACATTTTGAGCACCTCGAAACAGACGCTGAGCCGATCATCACTCCTTCTACAAAGGGCGAGAGTATCCCTCAATTGCACGAACGATTGGCTTACTGTCTGCAACATCTCATTCACCGAGCAGACACGGACCCCAACGGCCCCAAGGCCCTACTGATCTGCTGTCACGCTGCAACAATGATCGCATTGGGTCGGGTCTTGACCGGTCGCATGCCCGAAGATATCTCAGCGGATGACTTTCAATGCTACACGTGCAGCTTCAGCAAGTTTGATAGACGTACAAAGGAGAAAAATGCATCGATCCCTGATTCATCATGGAGCCCAGATACGCCAGAGCAGATTCCAAACATAGGTTGGAAGAATGGTGCTGGAATAGCGGGTGGCTGGGACTGCTCAGTCAACGCCGATTGTTCCTTTCTGGCAGGCGGTGCGGAGCGAGGCTGGTGAGTATTCCAACCACGAAGTTTTCACAGTACAGCATAGACTCATTCACGTTTGCAGGCGATTTTCGGGCGACGAAGATTTTCTTCACAACCCTAACGCGTTCAACGATGCCGCAAATGCAGCAAAAGATGCCGTTCAAGGAAGTGCAGTGGTTGAGTCGGGTAAAGACGATTGGAAATTGTGATTGATGAATTTTGATGCCATTATAATCATTGATCTGTACAGCAAATACCCGTCAGGAAACAGGCGGCTGGATCGTAAGAACATGATTTGGTATCGTTATCGCGAATCCGCCGATGATGTGAATGCGACCACATGCGCCAACCGTCCAATGAACCAACTCCCGTGTCAAAAGTTCAACTCAATCCTCTACGCAGAGGTGATAGCCTTGCGCAGACGCTGGGCGCGTTGCCTTGAGTTCAAGTGCTGACCGTCGGCACGCTCAACGGCCTGGGCAGCCTTCTGGACGACCTCCTCGCCCTCGGTCAGGATCAACTCGATGTGGCATGGGTTGGACATGTAAGGGTTGATCTGATATAAAGTTAACAGAGGTGCACAAAGAAGTTTGACGTTTCAGAACGTACTCTACCGTGGGCACGGTATGTGCGGCGGCGCTGCTTAGGGGCCTGGTTGACCTGAATGTGCTTGATGATCAAGTTGCTGGTGTCCAGTCCCTTGGTGTCGGCGTTGGCCTCGGCGTTCTTCAAAAGGCCGAGCAAGAACTCAGCCGACTTGACGGGCCATCGGGCCTTGGAAACACCGAATTGCTTTCCTGTGGTTTCCCATCAATATTTTATTCCTCAAATGCATCCTCGCACATGGCTGCCTCATCAACGATGGGCTTCGTACATACCTTGGGCAGTACGGCCAGTGCTCCCGGCATATCTCCGCATTGGCACAGCCTCGCTCTTTTGCTGAACATTGTCGAGGTAGGTTTTGGCGCGCTCGAGTTTCCAGCCGTTGATGGCCTGGGCGGTCTCGCGAGTGTTCTTGAAAGAGACCTGTTCGCGAAATTTTAGTTACACGTCCGCAATCGTGGAAATTTGTCGATGGCAATTGTCACGTACGCGAAGGTAAGAACCCCGCGAGCGGGCGCTCTTTCCATTCTCAATGGCGGTGGCAGCGTATCGGACCATCTTATCGTTTGTGGTTGGTGATGCGAAATCGTGTTTCGACAATCTTCAATATTGAAAGTGATGCGCTGTGGCAGCCGCGAAAAGCTAGTGGGTGCCAAGACTTCCGATGTGCTCGGCTTACCTGCCTTGCTCACAAGCTCTCGCGTCTCAAAGCTCATTTTTTGAAAATCTTCAGCAAGCTAGTCTTCAGATTTGCGCCATACAATAATTTCGCTATCTGAAGCAGCTCATCACAATACAATGGCTTTTACTCCACGCGGACGTGGCGGCGGTGACCGAGGAGGTCGAGGTGGTGGACGTGGTGGTCGCGGTGGTGGCTTCGGCGACCGAGGTGGTCGTGGTGGTGGATTCGGCGGAGCACGAGGCGGTGGTCGAGGTAGGCATCCGACAGCCATTGATAATCTGTGCGACGGCAGACTGACATTTCTCAGGCGGTTTCGGTGATCGAGGTGGACGTGGAGGAGGTCGCGGCGCACCTCGTGGCAGAGGTGCTCCTCGCGGCGGCCGAGGAGGAGGTGCAGGTGCAAAGGGAGGACAAAAGGTTTGTCAAGGCGATCAATTCTACGAGACCGGAACACAAAACTGATTGTGGTGCGCTCAGGTCATCATCGAGCCTCACCGACATGCTGGTGTCTTTGTTGCCCGTGGCAAGGAAGATTTGCTTGTCACCAAGAACTTGACACCCGGCGAGGCCGTCTACGGAGAGAAGCGCATTGTCCTTGACACCCCAGGCACAGGCACTGGTGCCAATGGCGACGCTCCTGCAGTCATCAAAACCGAGTACCGCGTTTGGAACCCTTTCCGTTCGAAGCTGGCTGCTGGTATCCTTGGTGGTCTGGAGAACATTCACATGAAGCCTGGCAGCAAGGTTCTGTACCTTGGCGCTGCGTCCGGAACATCAGTATCGCACGTCGCCGACATTGTCGGGCCTACTGGCACTGTCTTCGCCGTTGAATTTTCTCACCGATCCGGTCGCGATCTCATCAACATGGCCACCCACCGCACCAACGTCATTCCTATCATCGAGGACGCCCGTCACCCGCTAAAGTACCGTATGCTGGTCAGCATGGTTGACTGCATTTTTGCCGACGTTGCTCAGCCCGATCAAGCACGTATTGTCGGACTGAATGCCCACCAGTTCCTCAAGGTTGGCGGCGGTGTCGTAGTGTCAATCAAGGCCAATTGTATCGACAGCACTGCTGCGCCAGAGGCAGTCTTCGCACGTGAAGTTGTCAAGCTCCGAGAAGAGAGGATCAAGCCCAAAGAACAACTGACGCTTGAGCCGTTCGAGCGTGATCACGCCATGGTTGTCGGTATCTACGAACGGTCAGCATAAATCTGTTCTTCGGCCACTGTTTGTGATATGATTCGGGCTTAAGGGACTTGGCGTTCAGGCGAAATATGGCGCTCTCATACTAGTGTGGGAGGACTTGCAGATATGTATCCAATCAAGGATGCACGATTGCCGTGTTCAACGCGAGACCAACCATGTGTTGAGCCTCACGATTATTTGTACAATGTCGCAGAATCGAAGATGTGTATTTTTCAGTCCATGTATTTCTTGTTTGCTACGGACTCGCGCATAAAATGGGAGGCTTGAGGACAGGACAGCCAGTCATGACTCTCCAACGTGCAGAAAAACAATCCCGATATATGCCTTGTGTCTATTGTACGCTCCAGCATCATCACCATGGTCAAGCTACTAAGCACGCCTGAGCCCACGTAACAAAATCTACATGAATGATTTCTACGATACAATGCCGTTGTACATGGATGAATGCGCACGCCGTATCATGTCGAGTTCTTGATGATCCATTCGTCCTCTGCTAGTTCGCGAGCCGTGCTGCGTTTCTCCGGTTCCCACTGAAGCATTCTCCGCATGAAACGCAAGAAGTATGCTCTATCCTCAGCATCACCTTCTGCTAACAAGGATGTCTCGCGCTGCTCGAGCGGCTCTGATGCAGGGAGACGAATGCCGGCAGAAAATTCGCCTGTGTACCATTGAGTTGTCAGAGAAAGACCAAGTGACATAACGAGTAAACCGAGGATTACATACCGTGTTCTGAGAAGAATTTTCTTCTCAAGTCGGCGCGAGCGAGCAGATCCTCTGGAGGTGGTCCAAGAAGGGCAATTATCTCAGCGATATGGGCACGACCCCGGTACTTTCCAGTCTCTGGGTCTATACCGGTGAACAAATGCTCGCCTTGGAGAGCATCCCATACCTGCGGATGGTACTCAGCACTGAAATCAATATGACATCGTTTACATACTCACCACACAGCCCACGTTCCAAATGTCGACACTGTATGTCCAGGGTACATCGAGTATGACTTCTGGAGCACGATAGATATCAGGTTGGATGTCTTCGCGATGCTCGATGCCGTCATCGAGCGGCACGCATGAGCCGAAATCGCACAGAACAGGTATGCCGGCATCCTTGGGCATGCCCATCTCACGAGATAGATAGACGACTCTGCCGTCGACTTCCTTTCTTGCACTGGGCTGCCTTAATTCCGCATCTTCAAATTCCTTCAACATGGACGCATCGGCTCCGATGAGGATGTTGTCTTCCTTGAGATCGGTATGAGCTACACGACATTCCTCACGAAGAAGTGTCAGCGCCTGGAACACTCGCCTCAGCATGGTAGCAACGATAATAGTGGGCAGCTTTGCCACAGGATTACGATATCTCAATCCCCTCATACTGTCCCAAAGGGCCTCGTGCACAAGACATTGATGTTGTCCATCAGGCCCATCTAGGGTAAATTCATCAAGAAGCGCGCGAACGGCTTGCCGCCCTGGATGCGATCTCGATGACTTTTCGATGCATTTATAAACGCCCAGTTCTGGGCTGGACTTGTTCTGAAGGGATGCGGAACGGATATAGATCTTGAGCGCGACATGGCGGCATTGACTAGAATCGATCAGCGATAGATTAGAGGATGCATGGATTGACAACTTACTCGAGATCACGAGCGAGCCAAATAGTCGATGTGGTCCCGAATCCTAATTTGCCGACGATCTGGTAGCGGTCTTTGAGAGTGTCTCCAATCTGTACGGGAAAGTAGCGTATTGCCATGTAATCAGGATTTGTTTCTTCTTCAACCTTCTGCCCGCGTGGAATCCATTGTATGCCATCTTTCGGGAATGCCAAAGGTTTCCATGAGCGGCGAAGCAGTGGCAGCCATGCTTGGCGAAGCAATGAGCTCGCCATTGTCGGGTAGCTTCATGAGCAGTTTGCCCGTCAGCTGATTTGCGGACTATGGAAACGACGCAGCACAATCCATATTTGGCGTTATCATCTGCGGCCGATCCGTTGCGCAATGAGTTCAAAGAGGTCAATTACAAATTTCCAGAAACCAAAAACCTCAAAGGTTTGGAGAATCTTTCGTCCCTTTCCTAGAACTAAATATAAAACCTTCGAAGTAATGATAATATGCTTCAATCTCCATTCTTCGAGAAGGACATGGCCGACGAGACGACCCGATAGGAGATGCCTGATTGCGTTAGCTCCGCAGACGACATGCCGTGCAACAGAGCTCTACATGTCGCCTACCCTCTCTGCTCTAGACTTCTTCGATGTCGGTAAGGAGTTCTGCTCATATTTGCAGATTTCTATCGCGTAGAGGGATTTTGCGCAGGACATCGACTACACGACGAAGGTCTGACGTTCATTACCAACGCCGCGCCTATTCCTCGTTATGTCGCTGGCGGAGCAGGTCTTTGGCGTGCCAGAGCTCGCGGAGCTCATCTTGCTATGCGCAAGCACGGCGGACATCGTCAGGTTACAACAAGTCAATAAAACGATATACAACACAATCAGAACGTCCAGGGCCCTTCGAAGGAAGCTGTACCTCGAACCAGACAGCTCATGCGAACAAACTGCGAACCCTTTGGCGCCAGACTTCTTCCAGCGCTTGCCCGGCATGCGTAAAGGGACGATTACGGTGCGCGTTGACGTTGAAAAGCTATGGGCCAGCACTTTGAATGGGGTCGCTCAATCCTGGCAGGACATGTTCGTGTCTCAGCCACCGGCAACAATTTCTCTTATCGCTACTGGCGATGCTTCGACATCATACTGCAGACGTATCTATCCTGATGGCATGAAATACGGAGATGTTGCTACAGCGATTATCGCTGCTCATCAACTTCGGAAAGGTTCACAATCGCGTCCCGAGAGGTTATCGCATTTGACCAAACACAATAACCCCGTGCTGATTTACTGGCGCTGAGAGGCACATCTGCTAAGGTGATTGGTATCAAGCATACCCTTCGTCGCTTAGTGGCATTTTCACTGTTGTTCGAAGTGCTGCGAAGTGCTGCAATCTACCGTGCGAGAGCCGTGTGATATATGATATCAACCGAGCGAGGTATTGTTGATAATGTCAACTTCTCAGTGGTATGTGAAGCACGCTATCGAATGTCACAATCATTCCAATGAATGGCATGGCTGGTGACTTGGGAGCCTGGTGCCGATCTAAGCCTTTCCGATCAAGGCAGAAACTCCTTCCGCTTTCCCATTGTTGTGATGCAAATACGCCAGAATGGAAAAGTGGGAGAGCTCCATCACCGGTTCACTAGCAGTGAAAGAAGCATCTCGAAGAAAGGAACTGTGCTTTAACCACGGAATTTCGAACGCCTGCAAAGAGCAGCCGAAAAGACCAAGTTTGAACAAGAGCTCGCTGCCGAAAAGGCCAAATTCGAGCAATAGCCCGCCGCTGGAAAGATCAAGTCTGAGCAAGAGCTCGAAGCTGAAGATTTCGAGGTAACCGCAAATTTCCACGCAATGATGCTGAGCGCGTTAGATACCGTTGCTGAACGCGCGAGCGCAACAACCGTACGGCCACAGACCGCTACACCGATCGAAGGGACTGAAGGCGAGCAGGCTGCATCCAGGCCAGGGTAGGAGGTCAAGTGAGACGCGGCGCCGGCCGCACCGATTGAAGCGACCATCAAGGATGGAGCTTCTACCGCACTGAACACTGAGACCGATAAGCGTGAATAGAGGGCCGCTATGGCAGACGTGCCGATCGAGATGGCAAGCATATCAATTGAAGCTCCGAAGACGGTGCAGCAAGCAGTCAAAGCTCACAACGCTTCGGTCTCGAGCCAAGCAGCTCTGGTCATAGGTAGTAGCGTAGAAGCAGCCAGAGTTGCTCTTCAGTCATAACATCATCCCGTCGTTCCAGCACCTTCTCATTGTTCACATACTAGTATTGTGAACGTGTCGCAGACAAGTGGAGGCGAGACTATGCGATCCAAGCTCGAAAACCACCGTCCGAGTAACAGTTCGCTAGGAGGCAGATGGGGTAAGATCCGAGTGAAACGGCATCATGTAGCACAAATATGATGACTGCACTCCCTTCACGAATACATTCCTTCGATCAATAGAATATGTCGCGACCGCCACTAGTCTGGCTCCCGGACGTGCACTTCGATGACTAATCTGAAGCTCGGCTTGCTGATGACTAATACAACATTCGTTCGCACCAGCTTCTACTTATGCTGCTTTGTAATACTGGGACCTTGGGACTTTGTGAGGGAGAGTGTGACACCAGGTCATTTTGACAAGGCCGTCGGAGTGCCTCAACCGATCCCTCTCTATACGGGCTGAGCTCCGTCTTAGCGTGCTACCGCAAGGGGGCAAATCCGAAGTCGGCTGCACTCAGCCTACCTACAGTAGGTAGGACGCCATGGTCCTCGCCTCCAGATGCAGATTGCACCCTTTCACTGTAGGTGCCCCACGGATTTCACGCGGCAATCCAGAACCCCACCATTTCACGCCTGTCCGACGCCTGTTGAACGCCAAGCTCACACCACCGCCAAAAACAACACCTACCCTTTTCGATCTCGCACACTATGTACATTGCAACAGAATCAGCAGCAAAACAACCGGGGAGGTTGGCGCAATGGTAGCGCGTTGGTTTTCGGTTCAGAATGCACCAAAGGTTGAGGGTTCGAGGTGAGTTTCACTCATTCTCCTTTGACATATCTCAGATATGTTCTGACATTCTGCAATCAGCCCCTTGCTTCTCGCAACTATTTTTGCTCTTTTGACAAGCTCACCACAAGGCCTTGCTTGCCGTTCTCTTTTGGAAGAAATGGTCGGACGAAAACCAACGCGTACCATTGCGCCAACCTCCCCGGTTGTTTTGCTGCTGATTCTGTTGCAATCTACATAGTGTGCGAGATCGAAAAGGGTAGGTGTTGTTGCACAGTGAATTCCCTTGCCTGGACCTGCGGCCCAGGCTTGGGCAGCCACTGTACGACTTTGTGCCAATTGATTGCAGCAAACGTTGAAAGAATCGAGTATGTTTTGGTTTGAAAGCGCGTGGTTAGTCTGACAGTTGCCATAGCGGACGACGAGGATGATCATCAGGCTCGTCCTAGACCGCAGCGGAGTTATTAGCGAATGTTGACAATGTGTGATCATAGCTGCAAAGCCGTCCAATGTAGTCGAAGGTGAGATCGAGCGTGCCCAGGTGAGCGCTGAATCTCCGTGCGAAGTGAGTTCAATAACGTGCAACCTCTTCCCCTACTGTACTCCAGAAGTCTCAATCGAGGTAGAACAGACTCAGGGCTTCTTTTTATGACAGTAATAATTTGTAGACCTAGGTAGGTAAACACGTATGATTAGCACAAATTGACTCACGAGCACTCCAAACTTGCTCGTGAGTAGACGCTCCATTGTTGTCCTGAAAGATGACTGCTGACATTGCTGCATGGGACAAAACCAATGGTCGATGGCGACCCTGTTATCGACCCAAAGGATGCATCTGTCCTAAGTGTCTGGGAGCGTGCTCAATTGTCTGCGATCGACGCTCCTCATCCCTTGAATGTGCTTGCCATTGATCACGGGTACAATGAGTGGCTACATTCAGCTGTACTAGGCACCTTGACTTCTGTACGCCGCCTTATGTTGATCTGCCATTGACTTTCCTCAGCTGCTTTGTCATCGAGTGTAGTGCTGAGTGCTGAGTCACTAACGAGTCTTGGAGGCGCTAGGTATGCCTCTTTTCGGTATCAAGAATAGGTGATGCAATTTCCCATATCATGTAATGCCTGGTAGTGAAGTCTGAGTGCTAAGAAGGTGAAGCTGGATAACTTGTTGCAACCCAGCCAGGTTCTTGAGCCCACATATGCTCGCAAATGTGTGTTTCAATTTCACCAAGAGCATCGCGATGATACGTGAAACATTTCACACAACGCGATTGCTGATCACAGAGGAGGTTCTAAATGCTTGTATTGCAGCTCTCAGCTGTTGCTTCTATTGCGACCAACGTTATCTACACTACCGCCGGATCCGACGAATCGCCTCATCCCAGCTGATTGTGCAGCCTTGCCGCCGCCTCGTCGTGTCTTCTTGGAGCCCTCTAGCGGATGTTCCCTCTCCCATCTCTCGTCATCTCGATACGCGTCAATTGCAGCATCCAAATGCCATTCCTCCTGGTTGAGGTAGAGCAGAGCAACGTCGTATCTGAGTGATGGTGGGACACTGCAAGTCAGCACAAATTGATCAGCTTGGTACGTTGAACGCCGTCAAGCACAGCAATAGCAGACGGCGCCAATGATCGCATGTAGTTTTGATAAGGTGCAAGACTGAGCGGGAACTTACTCTGCCACTTTGCATGCCACCATCCAACGTCGAACTTTATTACGCCTGATCTCTTCTTCCTCACCCTCGATTGGTTGAGGTGACAAGGACACGCCACCCTTGTAGTACTCGCCAGGAATGATGACTGTCTTCCTTCCTTGGACAAGATGATCAGCGAAAACGTTGTTTGCCTTTCTCAGTGCCGCAATCGGAACACCATAGGCAAGCGACAACGAAAGCATAGTATCATTCGGAGCTAAGAAGTGGAGGACGTCTGGCATTGATCCTGCCATTGTCTTTTGGTCGGTCACAATTGAATTTGAAGAACCATGGTCGTTGTACGCCGGTGGTTCATCATGTTCGCCGTGATCGATTCCTGCGGGCGGGGCCTGAGAGGATATTGAATATGGAGGTGGATCGCGCAAGCCTTGTGGTAAGGGTGATGGCGCTGTTGTGATTTGACAATACGGGCAATAGGTTTCGTAACGTTTATTCTGGTTGAGGCACTTGGAACAAATTGCACGGCCACAACATAATAAATCTCTTCCTGGTAGAAGAGTCTTTTCTTGTATTGGATCAGATGGACGACCAAAGGCCGCGGCGCAAGTAGCACAGGCGTTGCTATTAGTCGCCATCAGAGTAGTTTTCCGGCGGTGGCGAGGTCGAAGATGATAGTTATAATAAGCGTAATCGATCTGCCGCAACGTGAAGAAAACCAAGTATTCGAGATGGACTAGCTTGAAGGTGAAGACTGATGTCGCCAGAAACTACCTACTGTAACTGTACATACGGCATTGCGCTGCACTGTGCTGTATACAGTACAACCCTGGTGCAACATGACGAATATCCTGACGTCCACGACCGCCGCACGAGACACACAGCACGGCAGCCCTGAAGGCGTTGGCAGACATGTGACAATCGATAACGGGCAATCCACCGAGTTCGCCACCCGGCCAGCCGGCGAGACGTGACGAGACGCTATCGCTTCTGGCGTGTTATATCGACCCTGGGCGACGCCAGGCTGGAACGGGCAAACTCTCAGCATTTGCTCCGTTGTTGTCGCTGGCCGGCCTCGCTTCTCCTCTTCTTCACACCAACAACCGACTTCTGTGCCTGTCCACGCTCTCTTACCTATTTCACAATTCTAATAATATTCAGCAACAAGCATCTGACCTCTATCCACTCCTTCTTCAACAATACGCAATCATAGCCGACTGCCGTCACCATCATCATATCGCCTGCCATCGAACATCGCCCTCCGAACCTCCCTACTTGTGCAGAATAAACGACTCTTCGTCATCAATCATTGTTCCGCATCACACATACTGCCAGGACTCTCACGTCTCGCATCGCCGCTTCAACACGCCTTCATTGTTGGTGCATGAAAACATCATTTTGACTTCACGCCGTGCGACGAGAGCCAGAAATGGCATCCAACGCGACTTATTCCGAATTACCTCCTCTTCCAGCATACACTCTAAAGCCCCTCCCACCACTTATTCCCGGCTTACCAGATGAATACTTGACGCTTGCTCTTCCGATTATCGCCTATTGGGTTGTGTCGGGAATCTTTCACGTGATCGACGAACTTGACCTCTTCCCACAATATCGACTCCATACACCCACGGAGGTGTCAAGTCGAAATCGGGTCAGCCGATGGGATGTTTTCCGCGACGTAGTCGTGCAGCAGATTGTGCAGACTATATTTGGAATCGCGCTGGCATATATTGATGGAACGCCGATGTATGGCAAACAAGAGTATGATATCGCGTGGTGGGCGCAGAAGATAAGGCTAGCGCAAAAGGCCGTCCCGATGGTGCTGGCCACTGTCGGAGTGGACGCCAAATCTCTGGCCGGTAATCTGGGATCATCGAACCCTGCACTGGCCGGTGTGCTCGCCGGAGGTCTTTACCCGGATCTTGTTCAAGTCGTATGGTCATCGGGCGAAGGACATGCAGCACCGGCATTTGCTCCATGGGAACTCGTCGCAGCAAAGATTGTACACCATGCTTTGGTTCCTGCATTCCAGTTTTTCGTGGCAATAGCCGTTGTCGATACCTGGCAATACTTCTTGCATCGGGCAATGCACATGAACAAATGGCTCTACACGACATTTCACAGCCGCCATCATCGTCTCTATGTGCCATACGCATATGGTGCACTCTATAACCACCCGGTCGAGGGCTTTCTTTTGGATACGCTGGGCACTGGTGTGGCTTATTTGATATCCGGAATGACAGTCCGCCAATCCATGATCTTCTTCACGGCTTCAACGATCAAGACAGTCGATGACCACTGCGGATACTCGTTCCCATGGGATCCTCTGCAGCATATTACAAGCAACAATGCAGGGTATGAGGAGCATGGTTTCCGCGTAACAGGAAACACGATCGCTGACATCACTTCCAGATACCATGACATTCATCATCAGCTAGCTGGTATCAAGAATAATTTCTCGCAGCCATTCTTCACCTTCTGGGATACTTTGCTGGGTACCAAATGGACCGGCGGCAGCCTGAAGAGCAAGCGCGCACAAGCTACCTCAGCGCCAGTCGGCGGGGCCAGCAACGCCAATGTGACCAAGTCACCAACCACGACGGTCGTTACCTCAAAAGCTTTGTCGAGTGAAGTGATTAATACCACCAAGCGCGTGCCTACAACAAAGGTGAAGAGCGGGTCCGCTCGCAAGAGGTCAACGGGATCGGGTCTGAAAGGGTTTGCAGACCGCGTGGGCGACTCTCTGCATGGAAAGGGTACAGGTGTATTAGGTGTGGAGAACCGAAGCAGGTGATCGTCCGGAACGTATACGCTGGTTCTATGGTCTATTTCGCTGCAGCAGTCTTTGTCTTTATGCCACCGATGTGATATGCGTACATTTCTCTTCATTCAATTTTAAAATCTTCACGAGGCACGCTCACCGTTGAGCTCACGAATGCAGGTAAACACGTATACTGACGGGCGATGCGTGGCCTTTACGGCCCGTGTGTGCACGACTACAATAGAACAGAGCCGTCGTGAGACATCATGATACCCTGGAAAGCACACCCAACGTAGTGAGGTCCAATGGATAGCCGATCTATGCAAGCCCAACGAAAATTGAATAAAGCGGACGATGACGTTTCCAATGCATATATGCCGCATAATCCTTGCAGTGGTCACATTTTTGAACATGAATCTAACATGCACTGTACGTGAAGAATACCTAGGTAGGTACGGAAAAGGCGATACTGGTATGTGGCGAGGTAGGGTTGTTCCCAAGCACACGCTGCCGCCACGTGCCGACTCGACGTGTTTCCGCAGAAGCCCGTCTGGTTCATCGGAGTTCTGGATGCAAGCGAGATGTTCAGATCGCGATCTATTTCATCATTGGGCTGCTGATTACATAGCAGTCTGCGGAGCCAACATCCCACGTTGAAGAAGAAAGGTGCCTGCATGCGCTCAACGACAATCGTGGGTTGCGTGCGGCCAACCACGTCGCGTTAGGCGGTGCACGTGGGTTATCACGGCTGTATACTTCCTCGTGAAACAACCTTGGAATACTTATACTCCCACACGGACATACAAGCTGAAGCTCCCGAGCAAGGCTGATTGATGTAACTGCCGTGTATCATATTTCATTGATCCCAACAGCCCACAAATACTATGCACCGGCTCAAGACTGTTACTCGCTTCGTATAAGGTCCTCGGCGTCTTGTCAAATTGCAGGCCAAGTTGAGGTCGCCATGAGACAAACCGTCAGAGCGGGCAGATATTCAGCGCAAAAGATGAATCAAGCCGAGGCGCAAAATCCGATCCATCTGCCGTCATCAGCGTCAGCAGCCCACAGCGAAGAATGCAAGCCTGTCGTGGATGTCCCGGCCTTCGGAGAGCTCACCTTCCATATACAGCACAGCCGCGTTTTCCTCGTTAAGCTTTGTTGAGCATGCAAAATGGCTTCTTCCTGATTCGCTAGGAGCGCTTCGAGAAAAGCTTCTCACTGCCATGTATGTCATTGCCATTGATCTCCAGTCTCGGAGCTATGCCAACAGCGAAGTTGGACACCCATGTGGCTTCGCTGAAGCACATATAGTAGTATATATGTAGTCCTCTGTGCCGTACGATTCATCTCCGACCGCTCCTCCGAAATTGTTTGGTTTCGCCTGTCGCGACAATGAAGGTCTTCGCCGCGCAGCTTGCTTTGGCCACATTGGCAGTAGCCAGCTGGACCCAGAACATCAACTACCGTTCTCCATCCGAGCACCATCCAGGACTCGGCATCTCGTTGCACAAGGTCAACAAGCGTAACACACCTGATCGCAAATTCAATGCGTCTCAGCTGTCCTTCACACATGGCGTAGCCAGTGGTGATCCCTACCCGAATTCCGTCATCCTGTGGACACGAGCAGCCCCGGTCGAATACACCAACCACAGCGTCGACTCCAACACCACTGTCTCTGGCTATGTTCCGTTGTACTGGCATGGGCCTACGCAGGTCTCCACGGCACCTGTCTGCGTTGAGTTCAAGGTCTCGAGAACAAAGGACTTCAAGCGCGTCGAGAGCAAGGGCACTGCGTACACCTCTAGCGACATTGACTTCACCGTCAAGGTCGAAGCTAAGAACCTGACTGCCTTCACTCGCTACTATTATCAGTTCAACATCTGTGGAAGCAACAACACAAGTCCCCTCGGACGCACCAAGACCACACCTTACCCCACCGACTACGCCGCCAAGGTCGGCTTGGCAATTTACAGCTGCAGCAACTTCCCGTTCGGCTACTTCAATGCCTACGGTAACCCGGTCCGCAAAGACAGTGTCGACTACGTTATCCACCTCGGAGACTACATCTACGAGTATGCTGGCAATGGTGACTATGGCTATGGAAATGGCATCAACCGCGTTCCGCAACCTGCGCATATCATCTACACCCTCTACGATTACCGCCAACGTCTAGCCAACTACCGTACTGACCAGGATCTACTTTATTCGCATGCTACTTACCCATGGATCCCCGTGTGGGATGACCACGAAGTGGCCGACAACACCTACCGTGATGGCGCCTCAGAGCTCAACAACACCGAGGCCTCCTTCGTTGCCGACGGCGGTGTATCTGTTGACCAACGCAAGATGAACGCGGTTCGTGCGTACTTCGAATGGATGCCGATCCGTCAAGTTGAGATGGACGACAACCTCCGGATCTGGCGAAGCTTCCAGATCGGCTCGCTCTTCGATCTGATCATGCTCGACACTCGCCAGTACGACCGCTCTATCACCGACCTCTACTGGAACACCGAGTACATTGATGGCATTGCCAACGATGCTGGTCGAAGCATGATGGGTTCTCGCCAGGAGAACTGGTTCTACAACCAACTTAGTGCATCTGCGAACCGTGGTGCACGCTGGCGAGTGATTGGGTCTCAGACTGTGTTCTCACGCGTGAACGAGTCTGTTGCGTATGGCAATGTCTCCCCGTTCGACGTGGACGCTTGGGATGGCTACCTCTCGAACCGCAACCGTACCCTCAGCCACCTCACCAACAACAACATCGGCAACAACATCGTGATTTCCGGTGACAGCCACGCGTCATGGGTTTCGGATCTCGTCTGGCTGGGCAACTCCAACTACAGCAGCAGCGCTGGTAACGGTGCTCTGGGTGTAGAGTTTGCTGGATCAGCCGTTACGTCGCCGTGCCCCTACGGACAGAACATCACCATTGCCGCAGCGAACAACTTTTCCCGAGCACTCACCAACGCCAACGAGGAGCTCCAATGGCAAGATCTGTACTACCGTGGGTACTTTGAGCTACAGATCGGCTACGACGAGGTCAATGCATCCTTCTTCGGTATCCCAAACATCAAGAACGCCAATGCGGATGAGATCTCGCTCGCCAACTTTACTGTCAAGAGCGGCGAGAACAGGCTGCAGAGGCCGGTGGGTGGCGGCATTGTCGAGAGTGGTAGCTTGAAGGGCGGTCTGGTCACCCAAACCAACATCACCAACAACACTGCAACCGGACAGTACCGTGTCACCGGCGCCAAGCTGTAAGCCGTTCACGCTCCCTGTAGATGAAAACACGTTATAGATCTAAAGGAATGAAATATGATGATGAATAAGTAACCATTGGTGGTTTCAATTGCTGTCGATACAAATGTTCTATTCCTTGCGCAAAACCGCATTCGATATCCGCCCTCTATGTTCCGGGATATAGTTATACACCACCGTACTGTACATGGTTCACAGTACTTCAGTCGACTTTTTCCTGCTTACTGAGGCTGTTCTCCTTGATGACGCCTGTCTTCGCTTTGGGTCATGTTGAAACGCAATGCCAATCGATGAAGTTTGGGAAGTCATGCAGCCGAGGAGAGACGATCTGTTGTTTGCTCTAAAGCATGAATTCCCGCAAGGCGTTGAGCTGCAAACTCGGTCGAAGTTGTCTCTGCATTTTCGCCGTGTCTTGTCGCGGCTCTTGCCACGGAGTGGATGGTCGGTCCATGCTCCGACCGACGTACTTCCGTTGTAAACCCGGCATCTCGACGTACCGTTATGGTCGCGACGCTCTTGCAGCGATGGGAGACAAATTCGGAGTGGAGATCTTCAAAGAAGTGTTCTCAAAATCCAAATCCTCCTAATCATGCTCGTCTTGCTTCGGCTTGCCCCAGTTCCACACCTCCCATATTTGATCCATAATCATATCTCCAAATCCTTTGCCCTCCTCAAGCTCTTCTTGGATTTCATTCTGCCGTTCGGCCTTCCACTCTTCCCGTTTTCTGGCCAAAGTGCCAACCGGTGCTTCAACATTCTGAGCACCCCGAGCTTGAGTTTGAAGCTGACCCACGAGGCTGCCCGGCACAGCTTGCCCAGGCGATTCGCGCTGCTGTCGCGTAGCGTGTTGCCATAGCGAACGTCCGGTGTAGTCCCGGGTCAGATGATTTGCACCATACACCGTTGTCCCTATTAATCCAACTGTGTAGAAGTCGAGTTTGCGAGGAGGTAAAAGGGCGACGACGGGACAGGCTACCACCGCCAGAACAGCGGCGGCGCGCATCGCCTGGGCATATTTTTCGGCATCTGAGGTGGTAGGCGACTGCTTCGGCAGCTGCTGTGTCGACATGATGTGAGTGAATGCCGCCGATAGCAATGTCGGACTTGATGGAGATGGTGTGAGAGATGTGGATGACGATGATCAGGGCGATGTCGTTTTGCGATATTGCTGACTGAATATATTACACATTGAATGCAAATCTTCCCAGACTTTCCTTGTTGCTCCTGGTGAAGTCTTTGGCGTTGTAGCAAAGTGGTTACTGCGATTGACTCGAATGCTTCCATCCGTCATCAATTCCCTTCGGGGGCGTAGGTTCGAATCCTGCCAACGTCGAACTTTTTGCATTTCACGTCCCATCTGTGAAGTTTGAACCAATCACCAGAATTGATAATTAGAGTTTCGTTTTGCTTGGTTGCGACCCTGAATTTGAAGATTTATTATTGGAGATGGATCAACCGAGGGGTGCATGTTTACAATGTGTCGCAACGTTGTAGCCATTGGCATGCTCCAAGCTTGAAAGATTGATAGAGATCACGTAGAAGCAACTTTATCCTCACAATGATGCATCAATTCACATTGTAAAACTGTCATCGGTATGCTCGCTTGATGCATCAGATCTCATAAGAAACATTGGATCTCCGGCGACATCGGAAGAAGATCATGCCGTAGTAACACACGACCGTTACCCCACTGACACCAATCTCCCCTTCGGCCGTGGATTGAAGATGTTGAAAAGAATATCATAGTACCATCCTAGACAATTTTGTAGATCCTCACTGGACCTAGACACCTCATACGAGGCGGCCCTCGTCATCGCAGCATTACCACACTGAGCTATCGTCTTTACAATGGCAGCCAATGGCAGCGTTGTCCCGACCGCAGAGGAATTATGGAGACACCCTTCGCCGCGGGAGACCAAGATGTGGGAATTCCTGCAAAAGGTGAATTCGAAACACAACAAGAGTTTTGAGACTTACGATGATTTCTACCAATGGAGTGTGGAACAGATTGCAGAGTTCTGGGCCGAGGTATGGCAGTTCTGTGGTATTCGCACTTCCCAAGATTATGCGCAAGTAGTCTCGGACGAGAAGACAATGTTCCCTAGGCCGACATGGTTTCAAGGCGCGAAATTGAACTTCGCCGAGAACTTGCTCTTCCCGACTGTGAAAGTCGACGAGAATTCGCCTGCGGTCATAGCGGTTACGGAGACGGAGCGCGAGACAGTGTCATGGAAAGAGCTAAGGGAACAAGTTCGAGCGTGTCAGGGAGGCATGCAAGCGGCGGGCGTGAAACCTGGTGATCGAGTAGCTGGATACGTTGCAAACCACACAAATGCGCTCGTCGCCATGCTTGCGGCCTCTTCATTAGGTGCGATTTGGACCGCCGTGAGCCCAGACACTGGAGTCACAGCCGTGCTCGACCGCATGATCCAGATTGAGCCGGTCTTGCTTTTCAGCGACAATGCGGTCGTGTATAATGGAAAGACTCATCCGGTTCTGCCCAAAGTGAAGGAGATTGTTGAGTCATTGCCCAGCTTGAAGGCCGCGATCATATTCGAAACATCGAAACAGATGACAACCGAAGTCGAAGGGTCGGATGCTCTCGCCAACACTAGATTCATCACATATAGCAAGTTTACAGTTGCATCAGCGCAATCCGAGCAGCTCTTTTTTGAGCAACTCGAACCTGACCATCCCGTCTACATTCTCTACTCTTCCGGCACGACAGGCGCACCGAAATGCATTGTTCACGGCGCAATCGGCACTCTAATACAACACAAGAAAGAGCACATCATCCAAAGCGACATCAGACCGGGAGATCGACTTTTCTATTTCACGACTTGTACATGGATGATGTGGCATTGGCTTGTTTCGGGTCTTGCGGCTGGTGCTACACTTATTCTCTACGATGGATCTCCCTTTCAATATGTCGACAACGGAGTGTCGGTCAAAGATGACTATGCCATGCCCAAGCTGATTGACGAACTCGGCATCACCCAGTTCGGTACCAGTGCAAAATACTTATCAGTGCTCGAGCAAAAGACTATTATGCCCAAGGAAGCCGGCTTGGTGCTGAAAACACTCAAAGCAATTTACTCCACGGGTTCACCGCTAGCGCCATCGACTTTCCAGTACGTCTACAGAGCATTCGGACAAATCAACCTTGGATCGATCACCGGAGGTACTGATATCATCTCATTGTTCGGAGCGCCTAGTCCGCTTCATCCAGTCTACACCGGTGAAATTCAGGTGCTTGGTCTTGGAATGGCGTGTCAAGCTTGGGACTTCCAGGGCAAAGATGTGAGCAAATCCGGCGAACCAGCGGATCTGGTATGCGTGAAACCATTTCCTTGCCAGCCAGTCATGTTCTGGGGCAAAGAAGGGGCCAAGAAGTACAAGTCTTCGTACTTTGAGGAGTTCCCCGGCATTTGGCATCATGGCGATTTTGTCCGATTCAATCCACAGACCGGCGGTCTCGTCATGCTTGGACGATCTGATGGCATCCTGAAGCCCTCAGGCGTCCGATTCGGATCAGCAGAGATCTACAACACGCTCCTCAAGCACTTCCCAGACCAAGTGGAGGATGGTTTATGCATTGGTCGGAGGCGAGAGACGGACTCGGACGAGACTGTCGTTCTCTTCCTGAAGATGAAAGAAGGTATGCCTTTCAACGAGGACTTAGTACAAGCTATCAAGACCACCGTGCGCAAGGAGCTGTCGGCTCGTCATGTCCCTGGCATCATCGACGAGACTCCTGAGATTCCCGTCACGACCAATGGCAAGAAAATCGAGGGCGCCGTCAAGCAGATTCTTTGCGGCATGAACGTCAAGACTTCTGCGAGTGTCGCGAATGCGAGCAGCTTGGAATTTTACCGGCAATGGGCTGTAGACCATGCATGAGGCCACAATATTCACCCACAAACGATCCGGCGCTTCTGAAAACACCGGACTTTTAGAGCATGTTCAATTCGGCACAATTTCTTCGCTCGTGCTTTTTTGGTCTCGCGACGTTGGAAAGACAGCACACGACGTTGTCTGTATCTGATCATGGCTTTTCCGTGTACGGCAGCGGCGCGTTGAGCAATAATGCTTCGACGTGAAATGCATTTATTTCTTACGCTTCTGTGACCTCGGCTAGTAGTTCAGGGGGAAGTAAACTTATCGCTGTTACACTATGTATTTCATTTACTGCTTAGCGTTGATAATGTCGACAAATGCAGGCTTCAAGCTGGCACCGCCAACCAAGAAGCCGTCGATGTCCTTCTCCTTGGCCAGGTCGCGGCAGTTCTTCTCGCTGACACTGCCACCGTAGATGATTCTCGTCTTGTCTGCAACGTCCTGGCCGAGCTCTTTGCCGAGCCACTCACGAATCGCGGCGTGAACCTCCTGCGCTTGTTCCGTCGTCGCGACCTTGCCGGTACCAATGGCCCAGATGGGCTCGTAGGCAATGACAATCTTGCTCCAGTCCTTGACCTCCTTGGCTACGGCCGCAAGCTGCGAAAGAACGACCTCGTTGGTCTTGCCAACCTCACGCTGCTCGAGTGACTCTCCGATGCACAGAATTACGCTGATGCCACCCTCCAATGCGACCTTGGTCTTGGAGGCAACGAAGTCATCCTTCTCTTGAAGGATTGTGCGGCGCTCGCTGTGGCCGAGGATGGTCCAGGTGATACCGCTGTCCTTGAGCTGGCTGACGGAAATCTCACCAGTGAAGGCACCGTTCGGCTTGTCGAAGACGTTCTGTGCTGCAACCTCAATGCCGGATCGGAGGTTCTCGCGGGTGAGGAGAAGGTAGAGCGACGGAGGGGAGATGACGACTTCGGTGTTGGGGTCGACTTTGGCTTCGCTGAGGTGCTTCACGATGTCTTTAATGCCACCGATCGTGCCATTCCTATCACATGAATTAACACCGGATTCGACTCTGCCCTCATCTCAAATAACTTACATCTTGAAGTTACCACCGACAAAGAATTGACGTGCCATGTTTGCGGGTTTGCCCTGAATTTGCTGCGAAATGGATTGCAGGCGTGCTGCCGAAGTTTGATCCAGTGTGAATATGCGTTGCCGTTGGAGTTGTTATCTCCAATCGTGATGGTGTAGTGACGTTGTTTGTTTTTGGAAACAAGAGCTTGGAAAAGTATCGACGAGATCGGCTTATCGGATAATGATGGAGGGGTGGTGGGGCTGGCATTGAGTCCCTCCAGGGCTGTCTCGTGCTGTTGATCACAAAGGAGCATAGTCAATGTGCAGGGAATCGTCGATTGCTCGATAGATGAATACGGCGTGTCATTTTGCAACACACCTCTGTTATTTCTGACCACATGTGTATGTCAAGTTGCAACCTTCATTATACCGACAACAATCGATATCGCTAAAACACACAAAAGACTCCTACTACCAAATTTGCCTTGAGCGAGATCCTGACAATAGAAACCATCATCATTATCATAGCTGCCAAGGTGTCATGGAAATTCTCCAAGTATCGCAACACGCTACCAAAAACCATGAAAAGCCATAGAATAAACTCGAACTCGCCGAAAATGCTTGCTGGTCATGCTGACGCGGCAACAGTGTCAGCCAGACGCTCGTCCTCCGCCTTCTCTTTCTCCTTTGCAGCCTCGGGATTGAGAGGGTGAGTTGGATCGTAGCCGACCTGCTTCACAATCCCAAGACCTTTTGTTCGTCCCTCGCGGAACAATATCCGGTCTCCCACAGCCAAAAACTCGGGTCGTTGTACAAAGCGGAATGCCACAGTCGCGCGATCACCAGTTCGAATGTACGCGCGGTCGATGTCGATGATCGCACAGGTCTGGGAGATCGGGCCGACATGGAGCATCGCCTGATACTTGGTCCGGATAGTGGTTGCGTGCGACAGAATCAAAACCTCGGCGACGAACTCGCGAAAGACCTTGGGCTGAGCGACGACGATGTTGGGATTGACCTCAGATTTCGCGAGCAGGACCACCATCCCCTTCCGAACATCCTTTCGCCGTATTCGACGTAAAGCGAATGACGCACTCTGTCCAGCTGAGCACCCAGGGACCGATATTCGCTTCCGCTCTATTGATCGAATAGTAGTCGTTGTGAATTGTCCCAGACTGTCGGGTCCTACTAGGACTGTGTCGCCTGCATGAACAACCCCTGACTTGACCACACCAGATACTACCGTGCCGACGAACGGGACCGAGAAAGTGTCGTTAACATGAAACTCGAACGGGGCGTCGATGTCGTATTTCCCGTGATGTGGTAGGATGTTGAGAAACTCGCGGACGAGGTCGAGGCACTCTCCGGTAACGTTGGACACCTGGAAGATGGGACATATTCGCTGGCTCACGAATTGTGTAGCTGTGTTGACGCACTCCTCGCGATTCTTGATGAAAATCGGTATCTTTCGTGCGCCAGGGGATTTGAGGATCTTGGTCAGCTGAGTGATGGTCTGCTGCAAGATTTGTGGCGGACAAATGTCGATTTTGGTGATGATGACCATGACCGGGACATTCAATGCAAGCGCGATACCGAGATGCTCCTTGGACATTCCAATGAGACCGTTATTTGCCGCAACCATGAGGAGACAGTAATTGGGCTCGCTCGATAGCAGCCCGAATACCGTAGTCCGTAAATAGCGCTCGTGCCCGGCAAGATCAGTGAACGAGATGACTTTTGCGCTGCGCTTTCCGATCTCCTCCCAGCTGAGCTTCCGGCCTGGAACACCTGAGACGACAACTTCGCCCTTGGTGTCGAAACCCATGATCTCCATGCCCACGGAAGATGTTCGGCCTGACTCGATCTCGTGCTTGTGTCGGAAGAGGTTGACTCGTGCCTTGCCGCGCCCGTCATCAAGGCCACCCTTCACCAACACCCCCAACAATGTGCTCTTCCCAGCGTCGACATTGCCAACAACAGCGATGCGGGTCTCGATGGTGTCGTCAACGTGCTCTGGCCGCCGCCGAATCATGAGTTTTCCAACACATCCGCGCTCTTTCTTGAGGTCATTGCCAACATCGACCTCACTGCCCTGGACATTCTTTGTGATCAGAATCTTCCAATCAGCCCTTAATCGCTCGAAGACGACTTGTAACCGCGCAACAGAGGCCTCCCACTCTTGCTCGGTGAGAGCCTGGCTGTCGCCATTATCCTCAAGTCCGACGTCGAAAAGACACTCGCCGTGACCCTCGTCTAACCGCGTCGATAGGAGCTTCTGTAATTGCTCAATGCTCTGCTCCTTGGTCTCGGCATCGTCCAGTAATAGATCCTTTACTCGGACTTTCGGTGTATCGTCGCCGAGGTCGAGTGTGTCCAAAATGTCTAACTCCGCATGCTCATTTGCGCTTGGTATTGCAGCTACCGCCCCAGTGATGGGAGGTCTCCGTAATGCCTGTTGCTGCTGAACGTAATCTGCGAAGTCACTGAGAGCCTGTTCCGTGCTGTGTTAGTGATTTGGTTGAGCGGAGTGGCGACAGTGCGAATGCGATACCGATTCACCAGCTCGCCGCTCGGACGCCGTTTGCGGCGCCTGTTTATACCGCTCAGCTCGGGTTGCCATTGTGATGTGATTTCGAGATATTATGCGCGTATTCGTGTGATCATTCCTGGAGTAAGATCAAGAAGAATTGACGAATAATGGCAAATGTCACGAAAAGTATGAGCTGCACATGATAAGGCGTACAACCGCAGAGCAGGGCACTTGACTCTTTAACTCGAGCGCAACCGACAAGTGTGTCATACATTTCAGAGTCACGGACGGTTCCCACGTCAGGGTCCTTGTTCGGCGCGTGGCGGGGTTCATCATGGCTGCTGCTGCGCGTCTACACGCGTCGAGTTATTCACGACTTCTAGTCAGAGGGAACACAGCCGCATTTTTTGACTCACATTGCGGCGAGGTAACCCATTTCCACCTAGTCATGCGAACATCGAGTGTGGAACTAGATGGCAAGGGAAACACCGCACCACGAGTTAGGCGTGGAACGTGTCGTGATATCGCCCAGGATCATACTTGCGCAATACGATCGAATGACTCTTGCTCGACTCTTGCTTCCTTGCGCTGAAAATGCGAAATCACGTTGTGCGCCAGCAACTGACGGACTACGGCCTAAAAGGACTCGTGATTGAACTTCTTTCGGAGACGAAGCCATAGCCCGAATTAAACTCAGCTACTGTCGCAGTACTTATGGAGGATTGCCGGTGGATGAATGCAAAGCGAAAAGATTTAATCCGTACGCTTCGGGGGGCGCAACGCCAGCGCCTGGGAGGCCTGTGCAACAATACGACTGTGCACACGGGCAAGAGCAGTTCAACCAGGATCAAGATGCGTGAGGTTCCTACACTGTTTGCCGCCCGTGAGCCACGGCACCTCAAATACTTACGAAGTTTGCAAATTCCGAGGAAAATCCCAATTCGATCTCCGTGTAAGTCGCGTCGTTTGATCTCTGTTGTGCAAGGACTGAGCGACATCATTCCGGATCGTAACTCAAGCAAACGGCTTAGAATTGCACCCATCGTTGCTGCTTACTGCAGATTGACGGAGTCTTGACGTCGGCGACTCGTCTCAACTGGGGCCAATCCTCAAGCGCTGGAATCAGGTGATTCCAGGACCATAGCGAAGTCATAATCGCACCCCGTTTTTGTGTTGTTATAGTCCACGCCCGGGTGCAGTATATTCGTTGGCGTGACTTTCGAGCCAGTTGGAACGATGCACTGGTGTGAGGATACCTCTTTCTGGTGAATGGTTCCAGAGGCTGCCCTCGCATGTTTTTGATTCTACTTCGGACTGCTGCCGCACAACAAATATTCCGGTCGAAGAGGCTGCCTATTTCACACAATGATACTTTTCAATAATGAAATGCTTGCCAACAACAACTCCACTCGAGGGTGTGTGCAGTTGCTTTTGCTCCGATCGACGACATGAAAGGTACAGTAGTCTAGTCATTTAAGGTACTTTCTCCCGCGCAGGACACAGCTGGCTTGGCCCGTGTGTTGGTCTGAGACATGCGCAACAAATTCCGAGAGCCACGCCTTCGGCGGAGGCGGTCGACTCTCCGTTAGTCTAGGATACAAAACTCCAGCATCATGTCGGTGTCAGTATGACGACCGCGGATCGAGATGAACGCACAAAGCCTGATGAAGTGTGCCACCCCTTAGTCCTAGCCCGCCCGTTGGCTGCAATCCGCGGGTTCTCCTTCTTTCTCACCTTTCCACGCATCATCCGTTTCGCAACCTTCCCACTCATGTTTCCCTCCCCAGATGCATCGTACAGCCAACTCTCCCCTATCATTATTTGTCCTTCATCAAAACAAAATTCAGAATTTTTTCCTATGATTAGCGAGTTGGTTATATGGACGTCTTGAAGACCGGCACACAGTTTTACGAATGGTGCGCGACGGTGGTCGTTGCTGTCGTTGACGTCGGGCGAGGAATCGCGACAAGACGGCGTTGAATTGGAGGCAGCGACGAGGAACAACAGCAACGCGGATGACACTTTCAACCCTACACATGCATCAAGACCGGAATATCTGCATCACACTCATCGTCAAGAAAGGACATTTTCCATTGTGTAATAGGGAATCGTCGCCAAACCTCGATGGAAAGACTCGATGTCCTCAACGACCATCGCTGAAAGATTCAACTTTGACACATCAGTACCTAACCATAGCCAAGTCACACTGACCTCAAGATTCTAAGGACCATGCGACATCATTATCGGCTGTGACGTGGTTCAATCCTGCTGCCATGACAAATCGGCCCAGCATCTGGACAAAGAGAGAAAGTTCATCAAGCTGCAACGATCACTTGATCGCTGTTGTTCGGCCGTCATATTTCGTTATCATCATCATCATGAAAAAAACGCCAACACGCTGCTCGAGTTTGAGATACTTGTAGAGGCATCGGTCCGTCCAAGCACGCTCACTGAAAATATTCCCACTGCTCGCCAAACTGCATGTTGTTGTTGGTGTACATCTCTCCGGTCGGTCCAGTCATCGCGAACTCGTTCGCGCCGTCGAACTCGGACCAATCCATGGGACTCATCGTGGAGCCGTTCGCCGAATGCATGTCGTCGTTGGTAGCATATTGCGGCTGAAAGCTGTGGAAAGGTTGCACATAACTTGGCTTGCGTGCCAAGTCACTGCTGGAAACGGCCATTGCCATGTCACCTGCCACATTTATCGCGGCCATCTCGTCAGACAGCGATCCATACATGCGTCGATCATCGATCGGCGTTTGCATTGTTGACTGGCTGACACCACTCATCGTTGAGATTGTCCGCGAACCAGATCGCTGCATCACAGAAGACTGTTGGCCCATTGGCATACTCGATACGCGATACGAATGCGAGTTTTGCAACATTCGCGCCGCTTGTGCCATACTATACTCATGCAGCCGCGTGCAATTGCAATCTTGAGGACTATGCTTCAGGATCTGATCCTTCAGCATCAACACGACATTGCGAAGGTCCATCAGTTCAGTCTTAAGCGCCTTGTTTCGACTCTCCAACTCCGAAGCTTGCAAATCGATTTTGTCGTTGTATTTGCGCTTCTTGTTGCGACATTTGGCTGCCGCGATCTTGTTCTTCTCACGATACTGCTCTTTCCGTTCTTCACTCTCGAGCTCCTCTGCAACACTCTCAGCACCTTGAGTTGCGGCAAGGGACAACTTCCTGGACTTCTCCTTGGCGTGTCTCTTGTTGGCTGCCTTCCGAGCATTCTCCGACTTATCATGGGACTTAGCAAATTTCTTGCCCTTTTGATCTACGGAGTCACACATTGGACTATCGTCTTGGCAACCGTCTGGAGGGGTGATCATTCCAAACTTCTCGACGACTGTTTCAGAACGTCGTTGAGGAATAACATTTTGAGTGGAAGAAGGTAAGTGGTGCGACGAATCTTCACTTGCGACTGACGACACGCTTGGCGATTCTCTTTTCACGAAATCGGAGCTGTCGGTATGTTGGTTTGACAGGTGTGAGGCCAGTCTTTGATGAGGAGCAGCATACAAATTCCTTTTGCTAAAACGTCAACAATTCTGTATAGCATGAACTGCGTGGGATCATGAACGCAAAACTTACTGGAATTCTCGCGCCATCTGGAAGCCGGGCTGGGCTGGATGCCAATTTTGGTTCGACGAGCCGAATTCCGTCGTCGGCGCGATTGGGAGCGGGTCGTCGAACAAGCCTATCTCCTGGTCGCGATGCTCTTCATCCATGGGCAAATGGTTTTCGGCAACTGCGTAGGGCGTAGGCGGTACGACACGTGTGATACGAGTGCTCATGTTTGGGACTGCAAACTAGATCGAGAGACTTTGGGAGGGTCTCGAGGAAAGTGGGCACGTTTGCGAGAATCGCTCAACTACCGATGGCCACTTGATGGGAGACCTAAAAGCCTCGTGTGGCACGACGGTGTTGAAGCTCAAATGTGATCCGAAGTCGCCTGTTGACGGCGCGGTGTTGCGAGGAAGCTCAACCTAATGCGCGCTTTGTCGACGTTCCAAGGTTGAGACAAATGTCACAAGATGGGGGATAGGACAGGTGCTGTAGGTTGCAAATGCGATCGAGGTGAGTGGTTTCCGGATTATGTGTATTACTCGCGGAAGTGGCCACAGGAAGAGCTGTCTGGCTGCGCTTCCGGGACGGTAAGTAAGTAAGTGTCGGCGGGGATTTGTCTCGAGTGGAGGATGGCGCTTCAGCGTTGTGCGATGCGCAGAAGACAACAGCTGATAATGTGTTGATTATTGGGAGGAAATGGGCTTTGGTATGAGGGCATTGAAGGTGAGGATGATAATATTGGTGTCTAGAATATGTGACGCGTGTGGTGATGTAGGCCGGGGGTGCATTCGGCGGAAGTCAGTGACGCTCAGAGCACTATGGCAGCTCGGTACACAGGTACAATTCAGTACGACTGGGACAGCACTGTAGCGCATACAGCGAAGGCCCCATCTCCGATGTGTAGATGGGTGGGCGGTGGGTGGGCGTATGTCTGTGAGAGAGCGGGCTTTCAGCACAGCGTCGACCTCGGAAAGGGAACGGGAGGGATAGTGGTGAAAGTGGCAAATCGAGCCGTGCTACTGCGGATCGGGGCAAGACGAGGCGACTTTGTGTACATGGTGGGGGAGGTACCATGTTCGTGCAAAAGACTTTCCCAGGCGCGTGAAAACTTCTCTCGATACACTGTGGTCGATCGGTGCCATCGACACAAATTCGATCATGCGGAAACTATGGTGAAGAGTGGCCCGGTGTGATTGGTGCCTGTGCGACAGTCATCGTCGATTGTCCGCGGAGCTGCGTCCGCCTGTCCCAAAACCGCGACCCATCTCAGCAAAGTGCCGAAGTATAACCATCACTTGGCCTGTATGTGGTTAGGTGAGGAGAGGATGCCATTCCGCTGTGAAAACCTCAGGAACACAGGTGGTCAAAGGTGTGGTTCTTGCAGGTGCATGCCTAATTCTCTATTCGTACCGTGTCTCTCGTGTGGACTAAGACACCGACTCTGCACACACACTACTATGACCGACCATCGATTGATGTCCGTTCCTTCTCCGCCACTGCCCTGTCACCCTTTCACATTACACTGGTCGGGTCCAAAGCGGGTGCGCGGATGCGAGAGCCGCCCTAGGCCATCGATATTCCCACTGAACAAAGCCTTGTGCGAATTCAGTTCAGTGTAGAGCAAATGACGAACCCTGGACGGACACGCCACTGTCGCCGCAGGAACCTTCGGAGCCACAGATGGTCGTACTCTGCATATCGCAAACATCGCAATGGCAGCCTCGAAGGAGTAACAATCGGCGATCGAGGCTGCGGCTGTGGCGAGTGACACTGCATCAAACGAATTGCCCTCTTTGAGTAAAAGATATGTCTTCGTGCTGGGTGCTTCCTATTGCCGGTTGCACAGAAGCTATCTCAAATCCACCAATGCCTTCGCCCGTGCATAGCATGCGCAGCCTGTGCGAAGCAAATGTCTGGGAGTGTGGACATACGCACTTCTCGTAAACCTCGCCTCGGTTCGTTTACGTGGAATTTGGGGCAGACGTTGCCTGCTGATATCGAACGCAATTAAATCGAACACTATCGGAGCGATTTCTGTAGCTCTTCTGCTAGCCTACCGACAAATTTCATTTCCAGGGCTCCATTTGCCACGCTCCTGAGAATGCGACCGGCACAACTTGCCAGTCCCCAGTGAAGGAATGGTATTTGACCTTGACTGGCGCGTTCAAGCCTGCATTCGATATCGTCTATAGCTGCTGGAGGGATACGCACGGGGTTAGCACCAACAAGCTACCAAATACAAGTCTCCAATGACCTGATCTCGTGGATCAGTAAATTGTTGTCATTCCGGATTAAGCCGCTCGCTGATGAGACAACTCCCTGGCTCCTGCGCAGAAGACGTCGTGCAATCACGATCTGTAATGATTAACACATTTCCAGCTCCGCGTCATGCGTCATCGCCCCTGCGTGATTGCTTCAGAGCTCCACTCTTTTGAAAGGCCCAATTAAGGTAAATAGCGATTCAAGCACGATAGGCGTTGCGTTTGCGCCTTGATAATACTTTGATAATTCAAGCGATCTTTTTCTCTCGCGGCCGGCTTGCTCGTGGGTCTGCGTGCAGAACGAACACTACGGATCTTCTGTGCTGAAATGCAGCGCCATCACAAATTACGTCGTGCTCTACAATCATGTCATGGGCAACGTCATGGTCTGCCCGTTCGTTCCAAATGACACGTTCGGAAAATGAAATATGGTGAAAGTCGCGTCTCCGTCTCTCTTGTCTATTAGTCCAACGAACATGCTTGGTTCGGTACCTGTTCGAGTAACGAGGAACACGTTCCTCGATATGTAAAGGCCACACATATGGTATTCTTCAAATGTAGAAATGACTAAGTTCAAAACAGCATCACTATGTGTTTCGCTTGGTCGGATTGATATTTCGGACATCGCAAGCTCAAATCATGCCGCACGATCGATTCATCGCTATACGACCTGATGTTGTTCCGCCTTGAAGAATCAGCGAGCGATATCAACCATATGCGCATGAGTTTTCGATACAATTTGACCGGCATCGGTTCAAGCGCTCGTCAATATAACATGATTGCCGTGTCCCTTCCTTCCTAGCAGGTCAAGGAGTGAAGTACACCCGTCAGCGAACAGTACTCCGAATGTTCCTGAGACGACCCGCTGGTACAGTTGACGCCATCTCTCACGTGGGCGTTAGCTTGCCGATCTCTGTCTGTGTGCCAACCTCGTTGTATTCACGTCTCGGCCCGGAAGCCCGCCTCCGGTTCCAGCCTGTCAGGGTCGCCTGGGTTGTGTGAGTGGTCCACACAATGAATACGCGCTGCCTCTTCTTCCTCTTTCAATAACGGTACACGAATAGACGATCTAATGCGACCCGGGCTGGATACCACCATCGGCCTTCGCGGTACCTCACCCGACTTGTCATGGCGTCTAGCGGCAGCATCAGCAGCGACCTCGAAACTGCACGCGGACATGCAGCGCACGACTCCGCACTGGGCAGCGACATGTCCAAGGATCATGCTTCGAAGCTGAAAGATCTCGAAGAGCAAAATGATATCCTCGCAGAGAAAGCGGCCTCCGCCTGTGGGTTGCATGTCTGAATTTGCGCGTGTGCCTGCGCGTTCGGAAGAAAGCTGACGTCCTTGTAGCACAACGTTTCGCAGATTACGAGAATGAGATCCGTGTCCTCCAGGCCAAGTTGCGACAGCAGGAGCGGCGTAACACGGATCCTATTCAGACTCGCGCCCTTGACCATCTTCCCCCTCCGCCGCCCGAGAAGGACAAACCAGGCGCAGGCCTGTCGCGCTTCGGCAGCTTCATCACCGGGAGGCCCATGAACTCGCCAACCACGCCTACATCACCGCCTTTGTCTGCGCGCGAGGAAGAGCTAAAAGCCGCCTTGATTCGCGAGCAGACTGCTCGGCTCGCTGCTGAGTCAAAGACAAAAGAGGTGAATTCAGAAATTGAGGAGTTGAGCGCCACTTTGTTTCAGCAGGCCAACGAAATGGTAGCATCAGAGCGCAAGGAGAATGCGGCGCTCAAGCAGACCATCGATCAGCTCGAGCACAAGCGAACAAAGTCAGATGAAGCTGTCAGGTTGGAAAACGCAGCTTTGAGGGACCGCATGCGACTCCTTGAGAAGAAAGGCGGAAGTGTCGATGAAAGCATGAGAATGGAGAATGAAAGACTCAAGCAGAAAATTCAGATGATGGAACAACGCGAGAGTGAGCGCAAAGGACGGCTAGAGCGACTGGAAGCAGCGCAGAAGCGAATCGATCGCGTAAGGGCTATGCTCGTGCCACGCTGAAAAGAAAGCGTACACGCGCTCCTCGGGTCAAGGCGCTAAAGCTGATATTTGTTCACGATACCTTGAGCGGAGCTACAAGCTCGGTGCTGTGCGCAGATGCAATTCGACGGTCTCGGACTTGTACCGCAGACGCCAAGTGAAGAGCACAGTCTCATGGCCAACTGCTTGCCCGGGAGAGTCACGGGCGCAATCGCGAAGAGTCAGCAACACCGTTTTGCGCGGAAAGCATGCATTCGGCCAAAGCCATCGACATACGCTCGCAACAAGATCACCCCTACTAAGACCCATATCAAGTCTGAACCATGTACTCGCGCACAAATTCGCCAATTCCGACACCACTCGTCCCAATCTGTCCGCCCAGAGAGCCAAAGACATCAGCAGCAAAGCCAGCATTGCCACTCAAGGCCCGACGTTCCGCAGGCGAGAGCATCAATCCGCTGGCGCCCACATCAAATACTCGTTTGGCGGCGACGTCAACCGCGAAGCCTTGCAATTCGCGCCGCTGTGCAGGGCTACCTTGCATTGCATCGTACGCGCGGCGTGCCCAAACGATGGTGGCTGAATATTCCGGATCGTGTGAACGATGCGCGAGCGCCTCGTCCCGCTCGAGCAGCATCGCGACCAGCGTGAGGACATCATTCATGAAGGTGGCAGACCCAAGCGCCGCACCTAGGCGCCAGGCTTCAATCATGCCGACTCGGTAAAGCTCTTCTTTATCGCGCTGAGTAAAGCACGCGATCCGATTAGGTTTTTGGCCGTTCTTAGTAATTCGCGACTGTGACTTCGGCTGCGCTTGAAGTGCGCATTCGGTCGAAAATCTTGGTAGACGACGATTCACCAGCCAGAAGAGAAAGATTATGGCCGTGCTGGTCTCAAAAGCGGTAAGGTCCAGCACCGCCGGCACATCACTCGACGATGCTTCTGGCGGAAAGCTGAGAATGCCTGCGATCGCATGCTGCTTGCTGGAAACATGCGAGAGGATCGATGCTTGAATCTTGAAGTGTCGGGTCTCGCAATGCTTCACGTGGACTTGGACGAAGGTGTCGTTTTCGATGCACCTGTTTATCTTCCCGCTTCAGCAAACAGTCCCGCCACTTGGGCAAAGGAGTATGGGATATAAGTCCTGACTGCGACCATGGTGCCAATTGACCGAACGTCTCTACATAAAGATGATCTTCCGTTGATTGTTTGATATCGCCAAGCCGACGCGCTGGGTGAGACGAGGAGGTTGACGATGTCTGGCGGGTAATTGTCGATGTGTTCGTGAAGCGAGGTGTGAGGCGAGGAGTAGGGGTCTGCAATGCCCGGGCGCAAACAGGTCGAATTAGGCGACGAGGAATCATCATAGGAGATGGAGAAATATTTCCTAGGTATCAATCGGTCTGCCTAGGTTTGCGACTCTACTTGACGAGATCATGAGATTTCATGTAGCTACACGACGAGAGGTTGACTTCGGGAAAGCGCTTGGAAGTATCAAGCTGGAAAAGGATCATGATCCTCAGGGAAGTCGTTAAATTTACTGTGGCAGTCGCGATCCTGTACACATACATATCTATCTGGCACGAATAATGCAGCAGAAGTTGAGTGGTCGCTCCAAGCAGTCGTAGACTAGAACAATTAAGACAATCAAAACAACAAAAATCATGTGGTATCATTCTCCTCCTCCCTCCTCCATCTCCCCGGCAGCTGAAACACAGGACAGACTCGCTCCGAAATAGATGCTGCGACCGAGTTTTACCGTAGTTAATTTATTAGAACAGTCCCCAGCTTCGTTTCCGCCTTCCAGCATCGTCGACTTGACCCGAGCCGCGTGGAGCGCTTCGCTTCTCTCGGGCTTCCAGCTGCCGAAGACTGTCCATCTCCTTGAGGACGTGTTCAAGCAGGTTCTTGCGCTTGACGACGTCCAAATGGCGGCGGATCTTAGGGTCCTCGCGAGCGAAGCGCTCGACAGTGCTCTCGTCGAGCTCGCGTCCCCACTTCTCGAGCACACGAGGGAATTGGTAGTAGAACTTGCTCAGCAGCTCAGCGTCAAGGAAGAGGTCTGCCGTAGAGGTGAGCTTCTCGGCGACTGCATCCAGGAACACCTCAGGACAGTAGTATTTGTTCTTGGGGGAGGAACACTGTTTGCTCTTCACGGCCATCAACCTCATTCGGAGAATATCGCGCCTGTCCCGGAGAAAGACGGCTTCTCTGCCCTTGTTGAGAAGCTCAGTACTGAATCCGCCTGCGCCGCCGGTTGCGTTTCCTTCCAGGACAGTCTCACCCTTCCGCACGCGATCGATAAAAGCCATAACGTCTCGGGTTCTTCGCCGCCCTCCGATGCTGTCTTCTACAGACTTGGCGAACTTGTCGCAGTTCTCCAATTCTTGTTTGAGACTCTCGGTGATGTTGTCGCGTCCGACCTTCCATTCTGCGTCCGACACGTTCACTCGATATTTGTACGGCTTGACGCAGATTTCGAGCTCGTCACTGGTCTCATAGCTGAGGTCCTTGAGGATGTTTTCACAAGCTTGCGAAATAGCCTGAACAGCGAAGGGGTGCGACGCAAATGTTGTGTCCTGAAGCAAGCCTTGTACCGCGTTCTGAAGTGCTTGAGCGGTGACAGATGTTGCCAGCCTGCCGATACCAGTCTTTACTAACGAGTTACTGCACGCGTCAAGTTTGAGGTGCCATAACGGATTTTCCGGATCTGCTTTCGGAAGGCTGTCCAAAGGCTCCTCAACGAATTCGGAAGCAGGGTCAATGGGCTTCAGATACTCAATTGGTCGGTTCCAATATTTGGCGGCGAGCAAATCCAGCACTTTTTGATCCAGTTCTCGCTTGACGATGTTTCTGACCTCTTCTCGACCGAAGGTCTCTGTGAATCTTTTAAACCCGTGTTTGAAGGAGTCTAACGATTCGGCTAGGTAGCTGTCCGCGGAAAGTGGCCGTTCATTATACTGGACTTTGAACTCATAAGACGCCTCGGCTAACTCGTGATGAATCGCTTCGCTCGTGTTTGCCAGGGCGGCTGACATCGTGGACTCTAGCACGTGCATGAGCTTCTTCCTCAGTGCGGGAGTTCCAACAGTCACAGGGGTGTTCGATTCAGGACTGTAAGCTTCCGGGTGGGACTTGAAGTAGGCTGCTTCATGCTTAGTTATAGCACGCGAGATGTTGGCAGAGCCTCTTGAGAACATTGATCGCGTCTCCTGGGGGATTTTGCACACAACTCCGACATAGCCTAGTCGTAGTGGGTAGTTTTTGTCAGTGAGTATTTGTGCTCCTCGGACAGGATCCACGAGGTCCATTTTCGTGACAACACCAATAGTTCGCTCCCCTCGCGGATCGACTCTTCGAGATGCTCGCAGAGCCGTTGAGTTCGCCAAGTCGACATCTGCAGCGGAAATGGCGAGTATTACGTTGGGCGCCTGGATGTACTTTTCGCACAGATCCTGGATCTTGCCTTTGAGCTCCGTCGGCTGATCGAAAGCCTCGACTTGAATGTAGCCAGGAAGATCTATCAAGGATAAATCTGGCACATTTGGCGAGTATATCCTCAATTGGATAGGATCATCCGAAACACAATCAGCTTCCGGCACGGCGAGGTTGAGATCGGTCAAAGTCTTCTGAATCTGCGTGAAGTCTGTGATCTTGCCTAAGCCTAGAGCTGGGAATTCACCGTATTCCGCGTGGGAACCAGCGGTGTTGACCAGAGTAAGTTCGATCGGTCGACGTGTGACCATGTTTGAACCCTTCGGCAGGAATTCGTGACCAACAATTGCCTCCAACACGGAACTCTTGCCAGATGATTGTGAGCCGACCACAACAATTGATGGAAGTGTCAGAGAATCTGACTGCCCAATTGTTTGCAAAAGTGAACGGATCTCGATCATTTTGCGAGTGAGCATCATCATCTGATCGTCCCTCGCTGCCATCTCATCTGTTCGTTCGTCTCCGTCGCCATCTCCTCCCATTGCAAATACTCCGGCAGTGGCTGCACCGGCTGCCGCGGCTCCCATGTTGCTCTGCTTCGGTTCATTGGGCTCTGGTCCTCCGCCGCCGGCACCTTCCTCTTGGCCATTCCTTCCTTCGAATATGTCTTTCATCCATTGCGGCATCTGTACGCTCTTCACATCATCCTTCGTTTTGTCGAATCCTCGGGACAATTGTGCAAAGATATCTCCCGCGCCATCCACAACTCCTGTGGCTGCATTGCCAGCAGTTGCCGTGGTCCTGCCGAGAATGTCCATAAAGTAGGTGCCTGCTTTGCCCGCCTGATACTGTATGTATGCCGCTCCTGCAACCATACTGATGCCCAGCATGGCCGGGAGTCGCAGCAACTTCATGGCAAGACTGGGTATGATCCGGGCGAAGGAGGCATGACGAACGGCAGGGAGGTTGTGGATAGCATTTGAGCCAAACGGCCAGACTCTGCGTTGCAGCCATCGCGCCCCAGCCCGATAGCTCAGCAAGGCGTTTGATGTTGCTGCGTGCGAAGCGAATCTCCTTGTGATGGGCGCTCCGCTCGTGTGTATGGCCACTTTCTTGAGCTGAGTTCGCGACAATGCCGTAGCCGTGCGCGGGACCTTGGCCTCGGCCCTCGAGGTCAGCAGCCTCGAAATCATCTTACTTGCATCAAGACTGAATCTGACTAAACAAAAGATAAATTCAAATACTTGCCAGGCGATCAACCTCGAGGGCGGAAACGGACTTCTGTAGTTGGACGCTGCGTAGCGTTGCGGAAACTTGGAAGCCCTGGCAATGCACGTCACACTCGCGAAGCTGACGACGGAACGGACCGAGACACTTTGCGACGCGGATACACCTGTACTGGTTTTGTGTCTGCGATCATCCTTTTTGAGTTGCTGTCGCCAGCCTGTCACTCTTTTATTCCCATTTCATTGGCATCGTGCTAGAAACTGCACTCTCACCATCAGACTCAATTCAAGCCCAGGCCACCTCGGTGAAGGTGTTGTTGTAGCGCTACCTCAAATTTTGGAGCGCTTGATACGCGAGCCACAGGATCTCACGTGCCGTGTTTCGAAAAACACAACAGCGGCCACTCTCAGTGGGCTAAGATCATCAACATTTGATAAACTTTAGCATCGTGCATACCCATCATCGCCTCTCATCAACATGACGGACAAACTACCTCCGAATCTTCTCGCGCTCTTCCAGCCACGACCGGCCCTCAGATATCTACCACCTGCTGATCACGCACCCGGTGATAGGAGGACGAAAGCGATCGATGGTAGTGCGGCGTTCGTCGAAGCTCTGAAAGAGAAACAGGAGCAAGAGAAAGATGACGCAGGTACTGAGTCATGGCTTCAGAGGAAAGATCGGGAAGCGTTGGAGAAGCGGGAAAGACATGCCAAATTGATCGATGAGGATTACAAAAACAATTACAAGCCACACGAAGACAGCAATATTCGAGGAGACGCGTACAAGACGCTTTTCATTTCACGGCTGTCCTACGACGCTACGACGAAGGATCTTGAACGAGAATTCTCGCGCTTCGGTGCAATCGAACGCGTACGGATAGTAACGGATAGGGGAAAGGGCAAGAAATCCGGAAAACCACGAGGTTATGCATTCGTTCTGTTCGAGAACGAACTTGATATGAAAGGTAATGACACTTCTCACGAACTGACAAACGTATATTAACCCTCGCAGCTGCATACAAGGAGTCGGAAAACTTGGTCATCAATAACCGCAAGGTCATCGTTGATGTTGAGCGCGGTCGAACGGTTAAAGACTGGCGCCCACGTCGCTTCGGTGGTGGTCAAGGCGGCCGTCACTACACCAAAGCGCCTGCGAAATCCATGGGCTACGGACCTCCAAGCGGTCCTGGCTTCCGCGGTGGTGGGTTCAGGGGAGGTTTCGATCGCGGTGCGCCATTCCGCGGCGGACGTGGAGGAGGATTCCGTAACGGAAGCGGCGGCTTCGGAGGTGGCCGTGGCGGAGGATTCCAAAACGGACCGCCTGACGGTGCTCCTGCTGGACCTCGATCTGGCGGTGCAGGTGGCAGTGGACGGAGTGGTTACGGCGGAGGTTCAGACGAACGCCCAAGGAACAATGCCAACTTCGAGCCATTGCCACCCAGAGGCGGCGGCGGAGGAGGAGGAGGCTACCGAGACCGGGATCGCGACCAGAATGAGCGCTATGAGCGGAGAGATCGTGACCGTGACGGCTACAGCAGCGGGCAGAAACGGCCGTACGAAGGTAGCGGCGGCTATGACGACTCGCGGTCTCGACGACGATATTGAAAGCTACACAGCATTACGAGCATCTTGGTAAGACTTTTAATTCATTGACCCCCCGACGATGGTAAGTATACTGACCGCCGCAGCCGGCCACATTGACGAAACAGTATGAGCCTGACTGTGAGACGATTTGCCGCATTATGGGAGACGATAACAACGGTGAGTCGGACTACCTCTTCAAAGGGTAAGCACCGGCTTGCACGCAACTCTCTCCGATTATCGCCAACGTCGTTATCAAACGAGAGGCTCCGATTTTCTTTCTGCTTGCTTTTGGTTGTTGCATTTCCGGTTGAGGTGGCTTCTGCAAAGCGTTCTTCTAGAAAAGTGGTTGTACCCAGGACCGTATCAGACTGCTAAGGTGGGTACTGTACTATTCCAGCAGCCAGATACTGTGTTGAAATGTATTCTATTTTGCGACTCGAGTGCGAACATCTCGCGATGGAAGGCACATTTTCAATGTTCAGAAAATCGATCTGAACGGGCACATGTCCGTCTGGTCTCTGAGCCAATTTCCTAAACACAATCTTCCAAACGTGCATTCATGTGAAATCTTGACGGCTATTGGGTCTTGTCTTGTTAGCCACCCTGTCAAGTTAAGGTCCTCGCTGTTGTAAATTGACACGGCATAATGCACATGTCCTCAGTCGACCCAAACTCAAAAGATTTCAAATTTGAAGCGCTTCCGTGAGGTTGCAACACTGTCATGGAAGATTTCATGATGTTGGTGAAGATCTCGTATACAATAGTAATATGGTCTGATACTATATATTAAAGTTAAGGTCTTAGCTCTCGCGAGAGTCTCAGTCATTTTCTTTGTGTGTGTGTCCAATCCGTGCTCATTCCGACCTCCCCAAAACTCTATGCAATTGGAAAACCTGGCAACAAGCCACAAAAACTCCTTTCCTGAACCGTGAAGCGTGGATAATCAACAAATAGGGGTAATAATAGTGGTGAACAAATTCTCATCGCTTGAACGCAGCAATTTCGGAAGTCCATGAAAACAAAGACGAGAAATCCACAGAACGTGGACGGGATGGTTATGTGCAGCTCCAATGCAGCTATGAGCAGGGTGACAAGACTATCGTCGCTGCTGCTGGCCGAGTGACAGGGTGCTCCATCGGCGATTGTGGTCCTCCAGAGTGGCACCTTGATGTGACAGGGTGGGAAGAGGTCCATATGTTTCGCCGAAAAGCATGGATGAGTCGGCGGTCGAGAAGGCAAAGCTACTTCCGGCGATGCTGTTGCGCTTCTGCGACCTCTTTAGACTCGATGCACGACGGAGCTGTGCCACGGCAGCAATGGCTGCGCGAGACGGTGCGACGCGGTTTGAGGCGGAGGAGGAGGATCGAGAGGGGATAGTCGATGCGGCATCATCATCATCGACTACGGACGAAGAGCGATCGTACGGACCAGCCTTGGACTGATGACCGGCAGACGCGTGAGGTCGGGACTGTGGGTGGAATGACGCATTGCGTGCAGCAATTGACGCAGACGATGCGTCGCTGGCGGCATCATTAGCTTCATCGTCCGAGTCCTCTGAATCGCTGTCGAAGAGGCCGGGATACTTGGCACGAGCTGACTGTGTTGGGCTGTCTACCTTCCCACTAGCGGAGAGTGGGCGAGATTCTGTGCGAGCCCTTCCAGACTCATCGATCATAAGCATGACTGAAGTCCTTTGGCGGGGCTTCTTTGCTGCTGCCGATGTTTCGGTGATAGAAGTAAGAGGAAGTCCACCGCGCTTGAGTGGGGATCCGGTCCGGGCAGGGATATGTTGATGTTGCTGTTGGAGCACAGACATGGTGCCGGTGGTATTGCTTCGTCGAAGCCCAGGTCGGTTCGCACTTGGTAGTCTGGCCGCTGCCGATGACACATCAAAGTGGGTGTGCACGGTGGATGAATTGGCATCCTCGGTAGCTGATGCTCGGCGAGCAGTATCTGCTGCTGTGAGAGCGCCTGCATTGGACTGGCTCATCTGACTAAGATCCCGTTGCTGGGAGATCGACTTTCGGGACGAGTCAAAGAGCAGAGCGGGGTCCACAGCGCCAGACATAGTGCTCGGCCGCGAGCTCGGTACGACAGAGGTTGCTGACATTGGAATCTGGTGAGGCGCCATTGTGGGAAACTCAACCATTGCGGGCGTGTCGAATGCAACGCCTTGCACGCCCGCTGTAGCGTTCATGCTGGGCCACATCATGGACTCGCAGTGTGCAGGTGCGAACGGATCAGCTAGTAAATTCTGTTGCGGATACATCCCAGTGGGAGATGATTGAGCCCACAAAACGTTTCCTTGGGTCATTGCCGGAGCTGTGACGGGTCCGAGATTGGCGAAGGGATATTCTTCGGGAGAGAAAGGTAGGTAGGGGAAGTGTACAGGGGTCTGCTGCTGCTGTACTCCCTGTTGTGGGTAGTAAGACTGTTGAGGCGTCACATTCCTTCTTGAGGCAATCGTTGATGGTGTATCAAAGGCGACGTGTGGACCTGGTGGCAGACGCTTTGCCGAAGAATCACCAGTTGGAGGCGGCGTCTGCATCTGCGACGAATCGAACGACATGGCAAACGAGTTCTGGTCAAAAGCTGAATGGAAGTCGTTCCCCGAAACCATGATGTTGTCCTGCTGCGCAGCATATGCCTGTGACATTTGCGGCATGTTTGCATTGCTCTGTCCATTCACGAGCCCCATATCCATCGCACCGGTATCATCAGCACGTCCCACCATCGGTTGTCCATTGGCATAGGCATTCGAGCGAAGAGTCTCCACAGGCATGAACTGCTGCTGCTGTTGTGGTGTCAGGATAGGGTACTCGGGCTGCTGCGGGGTATTGTAGCTTTGCAGATGTGGTGTGTTGAAGGCGTCTTGAAAGTGTGAGGGATATGCCATTGATTTTGGCGTCTGGAAGATGCTGGTGTCAAAGGATGTCGAGGTAGGCGTCTGGCCCGGGCTTTGGAAGGTCCAGGCAGGTCTGTATGGTAGTATCAGCGGCATGTTGGGCGAAGTGTTGATAGTCGGGTGGATGCTATTGCTGACGAGGCAGGGTGATGGAGGAAGAAAATGATAGTGTTCATGCATACCCATTGTTATATGTCTGATCACCTTCCATGACTGGCAAAGTCAACCGCAGCGTTGAGTCTTCGGTAGGCTTCTTGCTGGGAGGGAGCCAAAGATCGTGATCGTCAAATTGGAAGTGGAATGTGGATGGTGTGTAGCAAGTCAATGCATGTCCCATCGGTTGACACGCAAGCTTCCCGCATGTATGGCAGCACCGAACAGTGACGATGACGAGAGAGCGGATGAGGACAGGAGAGGTCGGAGGTGGGACTGGTTACGTATAGCACATTTGACACAGAGGGAAGAGTGATGAGGAAGCGTTGTCAGGCCGCAGGTGGTGGAGTACAGCCTTCTCCCGGCGTGAAGAAAAGATCGTTTAGCCTAAGCCTTACGGTGAGGTCGGAGGAAAGGCGGTGGTGACGGTAGTCATATCCGTTACGTGGTGTGGTAAACCGACAGGATGTAAATTGTGATGATGATGCTGAGGCAGGGTGGGGAGAACGGTCAGGACAGGAAATGTCGACAACTGCCATCCATCGTCAAATTGCCGGTACTGCAGCGGCCAGTCGTGATGATGATGGTGTCGAAGGAATGCAGAATATAGAGGAGAGAAGTAGCCGGCGGACTGTGCGTGTGTAGAGGTTCGCAAGAGGAAGAGTTGCGCGGGTGTTCAATCTCGGACTGTGCTGTACCTGCGCACAAGCAAGTAACCACTCGTGGAGTCTGTACAATACCGGTGCCGTAACTACAGTATGTAGGTAATGTGAGGTGTGGAGGAGGACCACCACCCACCGCCTACTCCGCCGCCAGCGTGCGATAACATCCATACTCTACAACGGTACTAGGTACGGTATCTCACTGCAACATCCTTTGCGGGCTGTCATTCATGGCTGTCATTCATGTCGACTGGTCGCTCGGTCGGTCTTCTGCCTGGAGCGATGAGCCAATCGGCGTGGCTTTGGGCCTGCCAAGCGGCTCATGCTGATCTTCACTAGCGATCGAATCGAGTACTTCTGGCCATGGGATTGATGATGGGCGAACATGCAGTGGGAAAAAGTCAAAAAGTGGATCCCTTGGAACGTTTACTCCTGCATGTGGTAGTGCAAATATCCTCATACACACCGATCCCTTTGCCCGCACACTGCATCTCGTCATCAAATGGTGGCGCCGAGGAGATGGGACGACAACAGCCAATGTCCAAACAATCTCACAGGGCATTTATGACCTCCATCGCGGCCTGGGCACATGATCGTGGTTTCGTGATGCTTTTCCCAATTCAATGCTAATGTGCGATCCAAGGGCCTACGTCGTGGCCAAATCGTTCAATGTCTGGTTTGATGGCGGGGCTAGCAACGGCAGGCGACCTGTCAGAAAGGCCGAATCCATGATACGCCCAGGTGTGGAAAGGTGGTCCCGAACTTTGTCACATTGCGGACAAAAGACTATCGTTCGGCTTCTCGGGAAGAAGATTCATGCCAACGCCACGACTGCGAGATCTGCCATTGCCAACAGGATTTATTCGATCATGATGATATCCTATGTAATAAATTGATTGCTGCGCCTGCCCTGAGCTTGAGCTTGAACTGCCGATTAAGCGCTCTCCAAGCTTGAGCCGTGCCTCGCTACATGCTGGACTTCATCGGCGATAGAGATCATGTCTCCACTTCGATATCCGCATAGGCCACATAGACATAGTCACGGCAAACCTACCGAACCATCTGTGGCCTGCTTCATTTGCATGGGGAGGGTTGAGCGTCAAGGGGCAAAAGGTATACATATGAACCTTCACACGTGCGAGGGGCTCCTGTTCCTAGGGCTGAAGTTCGGCTCGGCACTTTTTATGAGAGCCATGGGACGAGGCAGATGACGGTCCAGACGAAACGACGGTGATGGCTGGAGGTTTTCATGCCATCATCGCGCAGCATTCTTCAGACGGGACCTGGTCCGGACCGGTTCCTGTCGTCCGTAGAATAGGAGATGAGCAAGAAAGTTGAGCCATGCTCTTGTGACTATTTGTCGAGGCAAGACCGTTACATGCAAAAGTTGTCCACATGGAACCCCTGCTGCACCAGAGAGACGAAGCTCCACGAATCGAAATAGCAGCATGTCTGTGATGACAGGCAGGTGTTTATGATATGTAGTATGCGGGTGTGGTGTTAATAATTCAGTATGGAGAAGTAGAGATGGTCGCTATAGTACTTCTCCTCCAGCTTCCATCATTTCCGCTCATCATTGGTGCCAAATTCGGCCAGGCGTACAATCATCGAGATCTGGGGACATCGAAAAGCTTGTGAAAAGGATGAATCCTACCACATCTACGTTCCAAACAATGCCAAGTTAGGTCGACCACGCAAGTGGCTGGAAGGCATTCGGAGATGAGCGCCCATAGATAACGCGTGGGTGGTAGGAAGCTGTCAACTCCGGAACGAACCCGGCGCGCCGCACGTATGCTCAATGTAGATGTATATCGGATTAAGGGAACACTCTCCAGGAACACAGCTGACAGCCGGATGACAGACGGCTTATTTACCAGGCTCCACATTTCACTGCGATCTCAGGAGATCAGCGGCATTGGTCGTTATCGTTGATTTGACATGACGTTCCGAAACACGGGCATATGGTACTGTGGGAGGAATTCGGAATACTCGACACCTCCGGTGTGACTATTTTTGGGCAATGGCAGGCCGCTTTGAAGGAAAGTGTCCTCACACTGTGTCTTCAACGGCTATTTCCATATCTTTCAACACCAGTATATCGAGCCTGAGGCCTCCAGAATGGTTTCCTGGGGATGACCACAACTATCCTCCATTCGCTCGATTCATCACAAGACCTAGTAATCAAATGGATATGCCATCGATTCAGCCAAGATTCAATGCCTACCTAAGTCTCTAGGTAGTCTTCGCGTCGACCGCGTTACTGTTGGAGACATTGTGTCAGGTTACACTTCACGCAATCCACGAGGTGTAGATCTTCTGACTTGCAAGCATCCTCTGTCATGGTACAACCATCAACGGTATCCCGCGGTCGTTTGGGTACTTCATTACGAGAGCTATCTTCTCTCCCATCTCCGACCTCGTCATTTGTGTCTAGATGGGTGGCTCACCAAATTATATGTCGTTGTTCAACGATCGTCCATTCCACCCTTTATTGCGAAGTAGACTTCCGAAGGCGCATCTACGGCACCTGCTAACATCACAATGTTATCATGCATACTCTCAGCCGAAGGCACTTGAACGATGAGTTGACACCATGCGGACTTTGCGGGTCACTCCAGTTATGTGATGCAGAGCATCCCTTCTGCCAACGTCGTCGTCATTTAATATTGCTGATCTTCATAGGACATTCACATTCAGGAGATGCACAGGAGTCAAACCTGACGAGTAAGAATAATAATTATAGGCAAAGCAGATAGGACGGCTGGCAGATCAGCAGTTCATGCAGGGATAGAGCATTTCATGACAACAACACAGCACCGTCGCTGCCAAACCCACCGTGTTCAAGTGGCTTTCCTCGCACGTTATATCAGGGAATATTTTCATCGTTTGCCGTTGAGCGGAGTGTACTATCAGCGTTCATTTCGCCTGACATCATCATACCTAGGCTTTCGACTGCTCGACTACGCGGCCGGCGGTCGTCCAAAGCTTGCGGTCCAAAATACCGCGCGGTCGTTCATGAGACTCGTCTTGACACAGGGCGCCTCGACGTTGATTTCTCATGCGGAGCTTGCTCCTGCATGCCCTGGCGTTTTATGATTCCAACGCCAAGTGGACCGCAGTGCTTTCAGGCGCAGCCGCTGCAGTCCATGAGCAGCTCTCATGCTTCGAGGTTGATACTTCGACCAAATCGACCATACAACGCAGTCTTCAGAGTTGTCATCTCCTCGCGTAGTTCGCCCAGCTTTTCTTCTGTAGCTGTGACCTCACTTTCGATCTGAGTAACCGACGCTGCGAGGAGCTCTTGTACTTCCTCCAGGGGAAGGTTGAAGAATGAATCCCCAATTTTGTACCTATATCATTATTGTCAGTAGTGTTCCCCTGTGTTTGATTCAATAAAAGCTCACATACGGGACTTTCACATCTTCATCGGCAAGCTCAAGTTCGCTTGAGATTTCTTCGAGGTCTTCCTTGTCCTTCTGCATGAGGAGAATTTGGGATTAGACTTCCATACAGCAATCGAGACTGCCATTTCACAGCTTAGTTCGGGGGTCTCAATGTGGTCCACCTACTTGCTTCAACTTCAGGTCCTCTTCGAGGCCTTTCTCACGTGAGTGCAAACGGCTGAATCGATTGATTTTCTCTTGATCTTCCCGTCGAACTTCTTTCTCCTCGCCTATGGCAGCTTCCTCGTCGCGAGAAAGCTACATTGCTGTCAGGGACATGATAACAAACTCACATCTCAATAATTTGTAACTTACCATACGACGGGACAACATCTTGAGTATATTGTGGTTGTCAAGATAATGTCTCACGTTCGACGATGATATTCCAATTGCGCCCGACGTTTCTCCGAACCCTAGCAACCCCAGGGTCAAGATGTGCTTCAAGGGTGGCCAGACGACGTCTTCTATGTGTGAAGACAACGTTGGATTTAGCATTCACTGAGTGAATGTTACTGAAATTAGCTGATGGCGGGACATCGAGGGAGCAGCGTGAGACGTTTGCATATCGTTGCATCATGATGGGCGAATTGTCGACATCGCACATGTTCATTGCAATCAAGCCCTTGATGACAATGAATAGCTTTCCTACACTCTAGTATTTCCATACATTTCTCACATCCATGTCTCCATCCAGCGGAGATGCGCCACGCCTAACGCGTTAGATAGAGCCGATGCTTACATGTAAATCTTAAAGGATCATGAACAGGAGAATAAAGCTGGTCGGAAACATTTACAGACATCCACGTGCTGAGTTGACCGCAAGCACCAAGGGATCATGATCAAGACGTTGCACAGCGACAGCCAAACCACCATGTTTCAGTCGCTCCATTGACTGCAATTATCAATATCGTTGTTCGTAAGAAATCGACTAGGCTTATCTTGTGTCTGAATACCCGGCGTAAGAAGAGATCTTATCCTGCGAGACGGCTACCAACGCTCGAATGGCGCCTCAGCACATATACTTGGCTTCAGTGCTGACCTCTCTGTAACACACATCGCGATTATGATCGATGCGAACACTTTCGAGGGCTACTGTATGACAATGAAATTCCTCTTCCAGTCACCAAGCACTGACGGATGGCCATCTTCCACGCGGCTTGAGTCAAAGTGAGTCTCTCAGATTGTCCCATACTCATCTCGATCTCGCGCGGACATTGCTGGAGTATACTGCTCGCAGCCATGTCACCTACACGCTCGAGTGTCACAAATCTCAAGATCTGGCATGTGCTCACGCTCGCTGCCGTCGAAACGCCGACACATCGTCGATCGGCAGCGCGATAGCGATGTGAAAACCACAAAGTGGGATGAAGGCAACCGTCCCTGTCTTCGAGCTTCTCGCTTGGCAACCTTGTAAGCTTTCAACCCATCTAGTGACTTGTCACAGTCTTTCCGACGCGAGCTCGACCGTCACGACCATCTTCATATCCGCCTTCAACTTCAATCAAGGTCAGATCTTCTTCTGAGTGTGGTCATCACAGTCACGTCTACCTACGCCACTGAGGCGGTGAAAAAGGACCGTCATGATCTGCCAACTCTGCTTCGGTCGCGGAGACCACACTACGTTCTGTCCCCGCCTCCAAGAGCAATATACAATGGTGGCACTCTCAGTATTTGCCTTAGGAGCCAGCATCGCCGGTCAAATCCATGCAAACCCATTTGCGACAACTCCATTCTCTGCTCCGACCGTATTGCCATTCGCTCCTGCAATTACCTATACCACACCACCACATACTCGGCAGCACATCGCTGCTTCGACGTTTCCTGCCGGGAGTTTTCGTAGCCCACGCTCGAAAAGCAAAGGCCGAAGAGCCAGAGGAGCAAGAGCCAAAGCCAGAAAGGTCGAAGCCCAGAATGCCCCAAAGCAGAAGCAGTTCCCTGAAACTCTGCAAGGGGTGACGAAAGAGATTGGTACAGCTACATCAGCCTCAAACACAGTGAACTATAGCCCTGTTTCCGGTGTGCTACCAACTACGACGAGCATGGCTCTACGCGATACGTCCTCGAAAGTCGGAAATGAACCTTCGATGGTTGAAGCAGAGTGTCATATCAGTCATGCTCCAGGTTCAGATACGGATTGTCATATGAATAAGGTCCTCTGAGCCAGAAGTCTTCTTCCTGAGCTCAGAGACTTGCTGCGGTTTTGTTGGCTGAAATTGACGCGGATGATGTACGACGAATGCGTCAATCTCGCGCATACTTGTCGCGTGAACATCGTGGCAATCGTCACAAGTACTTAGCGGAAAGAAACGATGAGGCATCCAAGTATGCTTCCGTTGAGCTTCATATGCTTGGAGATCTTCACCAAAGGGCTTTCCCGATCTGTGACACCACGATCTCGCCCCTTGTCTCTCGTGATGAATGTTTCATTCTCATTCTATAAATGTCATCATTGATCTATCGGGAAATCATCTAGTGAAAATGTCATGGTCCTCATTCGTAACTTCATGGTCCTTTCAATCTCATCCAATTCCAGGTCGACGCTTTGTTCTCTGTACTGTTTCTCTTTGTACTTGGTCCACATTACCCATGCAATATAGACTATGAGGGTCACGGGAATGGTGACCACGAAATAGACGTAGAGGTACGGTGATGCCAGCGGCTCATCGTCTGAAGGTGTCCAATTGAACATGCCATTCATGCTGAAGATGGACTAAATACACCGAGTCAGTATGGAACTTGGTGTATACGGCAAATGTGTTGGATGGGAGGGACTCACAGCGACAGCCGTTGCTGGGAGGAAGGTTAGCGTGACGAGCGCGAGGGTCTTCATCGCTGAGCTATCCTGTCGCGTCTCCTCTGCCACGCGCGCAGTCGCTTTGGCAAGTCTCAAGTTGAGCATGTTGTCGGTGCGTGCCTGTTCCGCAATCTTCTGCGAGCTCTTGGCGATTTCGATGTTGAGCCTGTTATCCTCACGAATGATGTAATTCGACATCTAGCAGCAAAGTCAGCATGAGAAAACATTTCCGGGACTGACGGGAGATCGTACCGCTTTGGACTGATTGTCGATTCTTCTCGGCATCATTTCCAGATCTTTTCGGACCTGATCCGAGTACCGCAATTGCTGCTCGACTTTGTCTTTCATGTCGTCGATGAAATCGGTAGCACCTTCCCAGAGTGACTGCCATAACGCTTGATAGGAGTCCAGGTATTTCAGAAGATTGGTACCGAGCTCAATCTCAAATTGTGATCGCCTTTGAAGTCGGCCGTGTTCCAGGTTGAGTCTGTTCAGCAATTTGAAGTCATGATTATCCTCCAGTTTGATGCGACCCTCGCTGATTCTCTTCTCTGTCGAGATGATCGTTCGTGAGAGTTCCTGCGTATGCGCCAGAGTTTGGGATATGTGCTTCTTCAGGATGTTGAAAGGCAGGATCGAAAAGTCCCGGGGGGCCCTGAGCTGTCGGTTGTCATAGCTTTGAGAAGCGAGAAGGGAGTTCACACTGTATGTGTCGTCTGCAATAAAGAGACCGGCACAATAGTATTTTTCTCGATTGACCAGTGAAAGTGAACAAAAGGCCTTTTGATCACGTGGTGTTTGGAGAATGAATGTCAGAAATGTGCCCGACTTGAGTGCAGCGGAACCGCCTTCGTCCCGATTCCATAGGTGCAGGTACTCGTCTGAAATCCATTTCTGCTGCGTGATGCTCTTCACAACCTCCGGGTCGAATGGGAGTTTGCCCGAGTCGAGTTCTGCTCGTTTGATGTTCGCCCCAATGGCGCTGCCGACCCTAAAAACGGGTTTAGCCTTGTGTTGTGCCGCTCGTATGCAAATGCATGTGCGTACAGTAATTTTAGCTTGGTAGTGCTGTCATCGTAACTGCGATCAATCTGTTTGGAGTGTCAGCAATGGAGGGTGCTAGGGGTGATATAGTGCTCACCTTGTGGTTGACCAAGAATTCTTCGTCAGCCAGAGGCCTCAATGGTCTGGTCTTGACATTATCCGGGAATTTCCAATCGTTGTGCTGGCCCGTTAGCCATGCATGCAACGTAATGTCGGGTCTCGTAAGGAATCTACCTCGATAGTCGAATCGGTAATCTCATATTTGCGCAACTCCTCCATCGGCGCATCCAGAGCGAGGCGCAGCGGCCTCCGGGTCTTTCACGACGGCCGCAATTCTACCAAAGATCCCTCTCCCGACGCAGGTGACCACACAGCCGCTGTCACTGTCTCGGGCTGTCACTACTACAGCAATTCTGACCTGAACGGACCGACCGGCGGCGGGAATTTGCACTAGACTTGGCGACCAGTCCGTTCCGAAACGCGCGCCTGCATACGATTGCCCAATTCGAGATCGTTGGGAGGCGTTAGGTATGATTGATTGTTGTGTTATTAAGAGGGCAAACATTCACCGATTACTTTGCACGGGAAACCATATCATACTTGTTCGTGGCTCATCATGCCTGTTATGCTGGCGGCCTGCAAACCCAAGCGTGCATTTCCCCCTCCTGCACCTGCATGCAACAGTTCCCATCACCGCACAAGCTAGTCATCACACGACTGCAAGTCTCGCGCCCGTAGAGCCTGGAGGTAGATAGCCCCGGAGATAATACAGAAAGCAGGGTGACGGGAGAGTCCTGTGGCCTACGGGCTTCCATATCGTGTTTGAACCGTTTTCCGGTTAGAGATCCCGCCTCTTCGCGTCTACGAGAAACATGGGGTAAAATTGTTGTTGCTCCACCAAGAATCAAGATTCCTCGTCAGTACAAGTACATTGCTCAGGTAGGTCATTATTCTCAGAATGACATTTCTCATCGGCCTGGCGGCCTCAATGTTCAAGCCGCCTGCAGACGAAATCTCGGCTGCATGGGCAGTGGATCACGTTGGCTGATGCTTCGTGGCCAGTATTTGTCTGCTACAGCACCAACAGCCAGGATAGAGCCCTGGAGTGTGGCGGAGCACTGAGACTCCACCTCATTGGACCTCGTCAGGAGGATCGCAAACCTTTCGGTGTCCTACCCGATCTGCATTCCAAGTCATTCCAAGTAGCACTTGCACAAACAACGAAGCTGATCATCACTTCATGTGCGACTCGATTGCGTGTCAAGAATTCCACAGGACGATCAGATGACCTCACAGGCCAATCACGCCCTGCTCGTGGCCGGCGCCGTTTCTTACGATTATCTCATATATCCGACATCGGTTCGGAAAGGATCGTCTAAGCCACTCGTAAATGATGCGGAGCAGGACTCGCAGCTGACAGTGTGTGCTGGAGGCGCATATCTGGTGGCTGAGTTGCTCACCGCTGCCAGTCCGCAATGGGACTACGAAGTCTTTCCACCCAAGATCGAGCCATCCGCATCTGATAGCCACCATGTCCCTTCCTCTGTTATAGATCTGCACAGTCCGGTACCTTCATCTGCAGCCTTTCAATCGCTCCGCGTTGCCAGAAGGCGAAATATCGATCAACCGCAGGTCTGGCACGCTCCGGGCATACCCAGTCTTGGCTCACGAGGAAGTACCGCCATCATCTGCGGCTCGGGTGATGCACTTGCGAACGTGCAACCAGCTCTAGATTTCTTGCAGAAGGTCAAACCGCAATATATTATACATCATATGACCCGACCACTCGCCAAGGGACCACTTTGGGATATCATTCGCAACGGGCCTCCCAATCACGACGGTGTTCCACAGCTGGATAACCTCGCTGTCATTGTTGACGCGGACGATTTACGCGCCGAGGGAATCTCCTTAAGCCGGGCGCTTTCTTGGGAGAAGGTAGCTGAAGACTTTGTCCGTAATCTGGGATCGAATGGCCGCCTGGACACATTAGTGACTTGTCCAAACTTGATTGTACGCTTCGGAAACGAGGGCGTGATTCATCATCGCGGACGCGACGCAACCAACCCTAAGCTGTACTTCGAGCCCAGAGGTGTAGAAATGGACGACGGTGCCACAGCCGCTGGCGGTTGTATGGTATGTACATGCTTGCCTTCACAAGGGGCATATCACACGAGCAAATGCTGACGAGGTCTCTAGGTCGGACTTGCTTCTGCCTTTACTGCTGGGTTTGCTATGGGCTTTCCAGCTTCCTCACCCCCGAACATCGACAAGAGTATTCGACTAGGCTTATCTGCCGCCCGCGAAATGGAGAAGACTGGGTTTGTTTCAAAGCCTGACGACTCCGCCCCAAGATATCCTATCGATGAGACAGTATCCGCTCATAAGGTTGGGAACGTCATCTCTGTCGCGACCATCCCTTCGGCGCAGATCAGTTCCCGTGATGGCGAAAGTTGGAATATTTTCAATGTGCTTACCGGAGATCCAGCCGAGACAGCCCGGCGAATCGTCACAGAGGGCCCAGATAATCCCTTGGCAAAATGCCCTGTTCAGCAATTCGGGGACTTGCTTAGCGTCGAGCGAAATGAACAGGAAAGTCTTCGCGGCGTAATTGACGCGGTACAAGCAAGGATGCAACTTGACATCAAAACGCCAACTTCCATCGGCGTCATGGGCCCACCTGGGGCGGGCAAGAAGTTTGTTGCTTCTAATATTGCAAAGCATCTCGCAAAGCATCTTCCCGACTCTTCCAACGTGAAGATATTACGCTTCAATTCTCAACTCGTGCGCCTGGAGGACATTACAGCTCTATGTCATGAGGTCCGTGACCACACTGTTCAAGGTTTCACTACCGTGGTCATTTTCGAGAATTCCGAGGCCCTCATGGATTCCAACGATCGGAAGTCGAAAGAGCTCCTCGTCATGATGCAGGATGGTCAATACATCGACCAAGGACACACTCATGCGATTGGACGCCCTTTACTTCTTTTCCTGGTCAACACAGATAGTCCCACACTGGATAATCTGCAAACGCCTGTCGTAAGAGAGATTAAAGAACGTCGATCCGATGATGTCAACCTTCTCGAAAATCTTCACTGCGCCATACAAATTGCCGGGCCCAACCAGACCAACCTCCAGGACAAATGGTTTCCCGTGCGCAGAGCTATGATGCTACGAAATATGCTTGTTAGCGACTTCCCCCACTTGAAAAACCACGATGGTTCTATCAAGGTCGACGACGCGGTCCTCCATGCGTTGCTCCATGTACCGACTTACAAGCATGGCCTGAGGTCGCTGAGCAAGATGTTGAGTACAAGTCGATTGACGGACCGCAAACGCACCAAGTTCGACATATCTGCACTCCCACCAGAGGAGCAGATCCAAAACCACGTTGACGGTCGAATTTTCATGAGCTACTTGCGCTCGCCCAAGCTACCTGCGTCACTCCGAGAAAAGCTCGCTCAAGAGCTTTTCGCCACGTACAAGAAGAAAAGAGTTGCCATGGCACAGACTGAAGAAAAGCGCAGGGAGCTAGAGACTGATCCCTCCATGTACGACTGGCCCGAGCTTGCTGCGCACTTGAAGGAATCTACCCGAGCCCAAGCAGATGACATCCCTCGCAAGCTACGAGCTGTGAATTGCTTCATGGTGGACACAGATCGAGACGAAGTCTTCACCCGCGTTCATGAATTCACATCATCAGAGCTGGATATGCTCTCTGAAATGGAACACGAGCGTTTCAACGCGGAGCGTTTACAGCGTCAATGGAAGATGGGCGCGCGTGACTCGGACCAGAAGCGTACGCCTTTCTTAGTGCCATGGGAGGAGTTGTCGGCAGAATGGCGGGATGTCGACAGGGTCATGGTGGAGTGCGTGCCGCGAGCACTGGCTCGGAATGATTGGAAGATCTATAGGAACTCCTGAAAAATGAGACTCTAATCTTATCGACAATGTATCGATGTGCGCGACAGAAGCACGATAGATATGCTATTAGATGATGATCAGACAATGGAAAACAACGACTTTTGAGGCTCTGAATTCGTGAGATCGCTTTGCGCAGGCGCTCTGAATTGAAGGAGCGGCACTCAAAACGAGACGCTGGTTGATGAAGGATGGATGAGAGATGTCGAGAATGTCTCTATTCCGAGATTGCACGTGCGATGGCATGGTGGAGAAAGGCAGGCGGTAGGGTACAGATCACAACATGATGGACCCCTTTTTGTAATGTTCCGACCCGCTAGCGGGCGATCAGCTCAGAGCGCGTTCGGTGGAACTCAAAGATCAAGTTATGTAAAGTTAATCAAGCGGCTCACCGCAATCGAGCTCCAATGGCTCCAACACCAAGATGAATCGCTGTCGGACGCCATGTTGGAATTCATGGACTACGTCCAGAGCGCGTTCTACTCGACCTCGCGATGGAACGTCGACAACAGCTACGCCTCTCTGACTACGACCGCACATAACCTGCTGGACTTTCGCATACCACTAGGTGCGCGCCTTCATATCTCGTCGCTTTCGGCACCCAACTTCGCGACCAGCTATACGCTTGGTAGCCGTGGAGTGGTTGATGGCTCCCTTAGCTTCCTCTACTCCAGTCTGGGACTGCATGTTCCTGTTCAGAGCAGTCATGTTCCGTTGAGTAACCTGGTTAGAGGCTACAGACATCTGAAAGAGCTAGTCGGGTCGGACAAACCGAAAGCGAAAGGGAGATGGTTCCGCGATGTGTTCACAGGTCCTGCGGATACACTTCTGTATGGACGTCTGTACTTACCAGCTAGCACGCTGGAAGCATCGTTTCTGCGCCGCCTCTCTCCGACTCAACTATTGCGAGTGAACTGTGTTTCAGATAGCAGCCTGCCGGGGGGTGGATCAGTGCTGGCAATACTCCAAAATGACAATGGCAAATACAGCACAGAATACCTCTATTCAACCGATTCATCGCTCCTCGGCGTTCGAGGTCTCTACAACTTCGGCCTCGATCCGAGAAATCCTGATCATCAGTCGTCAAATCGCCCTCCGGCACATCCATGGGACCACCAAAATGGTCGCCTCAGTGCAGGAGCTGAGGCATACTTGAGCCCGATCAATAAAAGCTTCGGAATCAGCACTGGCTTCAGATTTACCACCCTCCCAGTGCACAGCGGCTTCCCCTACACGATGACTTTGACCGTCAACCCGCTGATGGGTAACCTGAGCTCTACATACGCAGTCAAGGCGGGTCCGAACCTGGCGTTTTGTTCCAGATTCGACTTCAACGTCTACAGCTACGAGAGCGAGGTGGTTCTAGGCTTGGAACTCTGGTCGCGGAAACAGCCCAATGCCAGCGTTGAGTGGGCCACGCGTATGATCAGGGATGAATGGAGGAAACCGGAGGACAATGTCAATGGAGTTCTCAAGGCGCGCGTGGATAATAATGGCCGCGTGGGATTATCATGGGAGACCAAGGCAAAGGAATTATTGTTGAGTTTGGGTGCTGGGATTGATCTGAAGAAACCCGAGCATCTGATTGGAAATGTCGGAGTGGAGGTTAGCTATTCCAGTTGAAGGCTGCATTGATGATGATATGTATATGTACAGCATGTTAAGCACTGTATCAATAACAAAACTTTCGATTGTTTTGTCCAGCGTTGTTGTGGAGGTGACACACGCTGTGAGTCGTTTCTCACGTGTCACAGTGGCGGCGATTGATGCCCGTCGATCTTTATCAGAAATACCGACATTTATTTGCTGTCCTTGTGGGCATTTCTTCGTGCGATATACACTATTCTTAGGGCGATCCATCTCCAAATGCGTTGCTGTGTCCAGCGAAGCGAGCTTTGATTATGCGGCATCTGCAGCTCTCCCGATACAGAAGCAAGGCTTTACTGGGCGATGTTCAAACATGTGAAATGTGTACTGTGGCCGTTGATTGCCAGACCAGCAAAGTATGCAATGATTTGTGCCGATGACAATCTGAAGAGACACCGTAATGGATAGAGTACAGTAATAGTAATACACAATTATGGATGAAGCGTGCTGTAGGCGGCAAAGGGCGACGCGTTCTTGAGCGTTCGACAGCTTTCCACGCCTCTCTCTCTCTCCGCAATTCATATCGCAGCCAGCCGCCCGCTCGTCTTCCCGCCGAGACAAGTCTCTCCACGCAGGTACATACTTTATCGCGTGCCTGCAGCCGCATCAGACAATCACGATTTTATATAAATGTTTGGTAATACAGATCGAATCACATCGACTGGTAGAGAATGATCGGCGAGGCCAATCGTACCCAGAATTCGAATATGTGTGCATATGTCCTAGGTAAACAGTGGAAAGACGTGCTGGTCATCGCCATCCTCAGAGAGAGCTCGAAGTGAAAGCCAGTCCGATTTGGTCACGTCACTATCAAGAGGTCCGTGCTAGGGGTTCAACCGCTGAGAGTCTGGAGTGAGAGCATCACACTGACTCTCACACTGTTCTGTAGAGCATCCGCCTGTGCAAGCTTGTCGTATACAGTACACCTTTACGACACCTACACGATTTGCCTCGTTGCTCATCTCACCTTTCTTCACTTGCCACTCGTGTGACTCTGCATCTCATTGCACTCTTCTTGCAGCACTGTCACTTTCCCTTCCACAACCACATCAACACCCAGCAGTTGCATCGTCGACTTGCTGAGACCTCACTTGCTGCACACGACATCTCACATCCGCTGCAATCATGTCAGCAGAACCGGATCACGCCCAGAGCAAGGGCAAGGCCAAGCTCGACAATGACCCGAGCGGTGCTGAAAAGCGCACCGACGACGAGACCGCCACCGCCATCCTCAAGAAGAAGAAGAAGCCCAACAGCTTGATTGTCACCGACGCCACAACCGATGACAACTCGATTTTGGCCCTCTCCAACAACACCATGGAGCTTCTGCAGCTCTTCCGTGGCGACACCGTCCTCGTCAAGGGCAAGAAGAGAAAGGACACCGTGCTCATCGTTCTGGCTGATGACGATCTCGATGATGGCTCAGTAAGAATGAACCGAGTTGTCCGACACAATCTGCGGGTCAAGCTTGGAGATGTTGTCACAGTCAACCCATGCCCCGATATCAAATACGCGAAGCGAATTGCCGTTCTTCCCATGGCCGACACCGTCGAGGGTCTCACAGGCTCGCTGTTCGACGTCTTTCTCGCTCCATACTTCCGTGAGGCTTACCGCCCACTTCGCCAAGGCGATCTCTTCACTTGCCGCGCCGCCATGCGAACAGTCGAGTTCAAGGTCGTCGAGGTGGACCCACCAGAGTACGGTATCGTAGCTCAAGATACCGTCATTCACTGCGAAGGTGACCCAATCCAGCGTGAAGACGAGGAGGGCAACCTCAATGAGGTCGGGTACGACGACATTGGTGGCTGCCGCAAGCAGATGGCACAGGTTCGTGAGCTTGTCGAACTTCCGTTAAGACATCCTCAGCTTTTCAAGTCTATCGGTATCAAGCCGCCGCGTGGTATCCTCATGTACGGTCCTCCGGGTACTGGTAAGACGCTCATGGCGCGTGCTGTTGCCAACGAGACTGGCGCTTTCTTTTTCCTCATCAACGGTCCCGAAATCATGTCAAAAATGGCTGGTGAATCAGAAAGCAACCTTCGCAAGGCCTTCGAGGAGGCAGAGAAGAACAGCCCGGCCATCATCTTCATCGACGAAATCGACTCGATCGCGCCTAAGCGTGACAAGACCAACGGAGAGGTTGAGCGACGTGTCGTATCACAATTGCTCACACTCATGGACGGTATGAAGGCGCGCTCAAACATTGTGGTGATGGCTGCCACCAACCGACCTAACTCTATCGACCCGGCTCTCCGTCGATTCGGTCGATTCGATCGTGAGGTTGACATTGGTATTCCCGACCCAACCGGACGTCTCGAGATCTTGCAAATTCACACCAAGAACATGAAGCTTGGTGACGATGTTGATCTCGAGTCGATCGCAGCTGAGACTCACGGTTACGTCGGTTCCGATATCGCCTCTCTCTGCTCAGAAGCTGCCATGCAGCAGATTCGTGAAAAGATGGACTTGATCGACTTGGACGAGGACACCATCGATGCGGAGGTTTTGGACAGCCTGGGAGTCACACAAGAAAACTTCCGCTTCGCGCTCGGCGTCAGCAACCCCAGCGCGCTCCGCGAAGTCGCTGTGGTCGAGGTTCCCAACGTTCGGTGGGAGGATATTGGTGGTCTCGAAGAGGTCAAGCGCGAACTCATCGAGAGTGTACAATACCCGGTCGACCACCCGGAAAAGTTCCTGAAGTTTGGTATGAGCCCGTCTCGCGGTGTCCTCTTCTACGGGCCACCTGGTACCGGTAAGACTCTTCTTGCCAAGGCCGTCGCAAATGAGTGTTCCGCAAATTTCATCTCCGTCAAGGGACCCGAACTGCTTTCCATGTGGTTCGGTGAGTCTGAGAGCAACATTCGTGACATTTTCGACAAGGCTCGTGCTGCTGCACCTTGCGTTGTCTTCCTGGACGAGCTGGACTCGATCGCCAAATCTCGAGGTGGTTCGCAAGGTGACGCTGGAGGTGCCTCCGATCGGGTTGTCAACCAACTTTTGACAGAAATGGACGGCATGACCAGCAAGAAGAACGTCTTCGTCATTGGTGCTACCAACCGACCGGAGCAACTCGACAATGCGTTGTGCCGACCTGGCCGTCTCGACACCCTCGTCTATGTGCCTCTTCCTGACCAGGCTGGCCGTGAGAGCATCTTGAAGGCTCAGCTCCGCAAGACACCTGTCGCTTCGGACGTCGATCTTGCATACATTGCTTCAAAGACAAATGGCATGTCAGGAGCGGATTTGGGCTTTATTACGCAACGCGCTGTGAAACTCGCGATCAAAGAGAGCATCGGGTTGGCCATTGAGAAGGAAAAAGCCCGCGAGGCCGCTCAGGGTGACGACACTAAAATGGACGAGGACCTTGACGAGGAGGATCCCGTACCCGAGCTCACTCGTAGGCACTTCGAGGAGGCCATGAGCATGGCTCGTCGCTCCGTCACCGACACCGAGATTCGTCGCTACGAGGCATTTGCCCAGAGCATGAAGAACAGCGCTGGTGGAAGCGCTTTCTTCCGCTTCCCTGAGGCTGGTGCTGACAGCAGTGCCGCGGCTGAGCAACAGACTGGTACGTTCAACTCAGAATATTTTGACTGACATGATACTGACTTCACCACAGGCGCCGGCGAAGAGGATCTCTACGATTAGACGCAAGGTTAGGGACTACAATAAGGGACTATCTTGGCCAATTCTGTGCCAAATTACCTAGGTACTTGTAACATGAGCGAGGAACGAATGAGAAGTAATTGTGCTTCATGAAATCATCACGATTCCATCAGTAACGTAGCTATAGAGTGTCTCATCAAGTATTTTCCTCTCTTGAAGACTGACAACATGTTATGCAATTTCACCTAGTGTGTGTTCATCTCACTGTGTCAAAATACCACCTCGATGGTGCCATTACACACGCTGCCTGAGAATCCTGGTATGTGTAATGATCACAACTTTCCACCTTGTGGCTTCCATGCCTTCTTCACATATTCCTCCACATCGGCCAAAAGTTCACTTGGTTTCTCCAGAGCCTGGTGAAAACATGTATCAGCTTTCGTCCGTGGGGGTATGTCACTACCCTGTATGTACACAACTTACCGCGAAATGACCACCACTCTGGTGCACGCTTTGATGGACGAGGTTGCAGTTGGTTCCCACCCAGCTGCACGGCATGGGCATCAGCTCTTTGGGGAAGAAGGAGTAGCCCGAAGGTTTCTCGATGAAAGGTTGCTCGCGGCCGCCCTGTGAGCACATCATGTCAGCATATGGAGTATCCGCCGCGGTGGAAGAATGGAACGAGACTTACCGCTCCGCTGATCTTGGCGATCTTGGGCGAATCGCTGTCGCCGGAGTTCTGAAATCCAGGTCAGCTACGTTCGGCGGTCTTTGGCAGCCAATTCTCGCGGGCCAGACTTACTCCACGGTAGGGGTAGATGCATCGCGGGAATGTCTCGGTGAGCCAGTACAGGCTCACGCTCGAGAGAATCGTGTCGAGCGATGGATCCTCGTCACTCCAGTCGAGGAATTTCTCGCCGATCCTGAAGATATGTCAGCTTTGTTTATGTGCCGATTCGGTTTTCACTGCAGCTCATACCAGCTCAGCAGTGCCAATGGGCTTGCGCCCAGAGCGAATCCAATCGTCGAGGTGCGAGTGCCATGTTCGAGGGCATACGCCATGCCGACCTCGCGGAACCACTGCGAACGAGGGAGAGCCTCCTGCTCGGTTTTGCTCATGGCCAGCTCGTGCATGTTGTCCGGAGGTCGCATGGGGCTGAAGTTGAGATGCATGCCCTTGCATGACGTCGCGGTCGCCGCTAAATGTCTGGAAACGAAGGAGCCGAGATCACCTCCCTGGGCGAGGTAACCGGACTCGAATCCGAGGCCGACAAGGAGGCGGTCGAGAGCATTCGATGCCTCCTGGACGTCGTAATCACGGTCGAGCGGCGGGTTGCCGGAGAATGCGTAGCCCGGTAGGCTGGGTACGATAATGTGGTATGGGAGGTCTTGCGGGGTGTATTTCTTCTTGAGGATGTCGAGGATCGGGAGGAATTCGAGGATTGATCCCGGCCATCCGTGGAAGAAGGCGAGTGGGATGGCATCGGCCTTCTGCGAGAACAGAGCGATGAAGTGAATGTCCAACTCGTGCCCGCTCTGGTCCTTGACGCTAGCCGTGAAGTTGGGAAAGGAGTTGATGTGTGACTCGGTATGTCTCCAGTCGAATCCGTTCAACCAGTAATCTTTGGCCGTGATGAGCCACTCTCGCTCGATACCATAACGGCGTCCATTGCTGGAGTTTTCGAAGTTGGCAGCAGCAATAGGAGATAGCTTGAGCAATTGCTTGAGATCTTGAATCCTTTGCTCTTCAATGTTGACGTTAAAGGGCTTCACGTTGAGTGTTGCTCCCTTTGGAAGTTGTGCAAAGTCGGCCATTTTGAGATGCAGTCTAATAGTCCGCGAAATAATGAAGTTGACGAGATGGTTCCGTCACAGTACAGCTTGGAAAGGACGTCGAAACTATGGTTATGTATCACTGAATGTGCCATCGGTAGGCTACAGCTCCACGGAGCTCTTTTACCCGATTGATAATCATCACGTCGATGGCCAAGTGAAGCAACGTCATACAGCAGTACCGCCTGTCAGCTCCAGCTGCCTGAAGTTATGCAACTTGACGTATCGATACTGATTGCCACTTGTGATTGGCAGAGCGTTGCACAATTCCGTCCACAATTCATAACTCATATTTCACAAACCATAATAACTACACGGGAAGCATGCCATCATACTGTCCACGAAAGATGAAACAGGACCTTGAGATATCGAGGATAGTGCAGTCAGTGATCAACAAGGTGTGCACGATAGGTACAGGTCTCGGTCAACTCGGCCAATGACTAATCTCGCACTTGTTTACATCGTGTAGGTGCTTCGAAACCAACCTTTCTACCTTTCCAAAGCGAGCCTCATCTGAAGAGAACCCAGGTCGAACTGCGGACACCGGGCCGAGAAAGTAGAGTACTTAGAATGACAGGTCGGTTTAATTAAGCTGTCAGACTGCCCCCGTCCGGTTTGATACCTGTGCCCCGCCCCGCCTTCAACCAGATGATGTGCCAATGGAGGAAGTGCGCCACTATAGAGCATGACCTACGTACGTAGACTCGCAACGATCTGACCCGTATTTACGAGTCTCGCCAAGAGAGTCGGAGTTTGGCCGGACAAAACAATGTAGTCGAAGCGGGAGATGCCAAGTATTGCACCTTGACACAGTACTAGATTACATCGTCAGCACAGATTTTGTGTCCACAAGGACAATGTTTCTAGGGGAATCGTGATATTCTGACATCAATTGGCAAATCAAGATGAATATCAGGATTGATCCGCTATCGTCCCTTCTGAAGCTGTGCAATCATTCGATCAATGTCGAGCATTCCCTGACCACTGGCCTTCAAGCGCAGCTCCTCCAGCGCAGCACGATCTTTCGCCTTGAGCGCTTCCTCTCCAGCCTTGACCACCATGCCACATTTGACCCACATTTCGATCCTCTCCGCCACAGTCAAGGTCGTGCATTTCGGAATAAAAGCTGACGCTACTTTGGGATTGCCGGCACCAAGGATCTCGTTAAAATATGACTCCCAGGCGATGGGGTTCTTCCGCGCTTTGGCCGTCTCCTCGAGCTCTCTCCAGTCACGTCGGCTGACGAGAGCTTTTAACCGAATCCAAGCAAACGTTTTGTCGTTGACTTTGAACTCCGTCTGGACTCGTTGAGAGCGCTTCATGTTTCCAGTCTTCATCAGCTTGCTGATGGTTTGGTCGACGGAGAGGCCGATGTAGCTTTCGTTGAGGTCTCTCTCAAACGTCTCCTGTATGCGCAGCAATTTCTGGGCGTCCTCGATGGCTGTAGCTTGCTGTGTGAATTCTTTGCTATCACGCAGCAATTTGACTGCACTTTTCATCTTGTCGATGGCCGGGCTAATTTCACTGGCAGACAAGGCTTCGGACATGAGCAGATTGGCACCATCTAGTCTTCGATCATCCTGATAGTAGAGATCTTTCAGCATCTCCTGGTCTTGGTCGACTGCTGAGGCCTCGATGATAGCGGTGGCGACCGGGCGACTGTTGATAGCCCGGAAGAAACTGGAGAGGGGCAATTTCTTCTTCAGGTGAAGTAGAACATAGAAAATGAGGTCTGTATCGCCGCTTTCAATGGCCCGGTCGAGTGCCAGTGACCCCTCGCCCACGTTCAAGAGTAGTGGAACCTGTTTTCCAGCTCTAGGTTCATGAGCCAAGAGCTCTGTCGCAAGTGTGCCTCTGCCTTCATCAAATGCTGTACGGGCAATTTCTTCAAATGAGATGCCACGCGTGCCTTTGAGCTTGTTGACGATCTCTTCGCACATGGCGCTTTCATCGCCTGATGAACTACGCACTTTCTGTCGTGCCCAGTGAACGTATATGCGATCGACTGGAAGATGAAGGTACTCAGAGATCTTGAGTGCAAGCAGATACTCTTGTCTGTTCACCAGCCTCTGAACGAGCCGTTCTGGAGTCAGACGGACGTACTGTTCGTATGTCAGAGGCAGTCCGACCTTGAAGAATCTGACCGCATTCAGCACTCGGAGAACTTCGGTCATCTCGACGAAATCATCGCTGTTGTACAAATCGAGTATGGACTTGCCAAAGGAGGCAGCTTTGAGTAGCTGCTTCTGCCAATGAATGCTGTACTCTTGTCCTGCAGCTTTGACGCACACGTCGACAGCTTCGTCGAGGTTGGGACGAATCATTTGGATGTTGTCGTCAGCCTTCGGTGACTTTTCCTCTAATTGCGCGATTGCATCGAGGAGCACCGCTGCAGGCGATCTAGACCCGAACCGAAAGACTTCGCCAGTGGAATCTGGCACCTTTTGAACAAACTCGCATGCCTCACTGGTGAGGATTCGAATTCCGTCAATATCCGGGACCAGGTGCACAAAAGAGCGGTAGTCGTCAAACTTGTTGGCTGCTCCATCCGGACCTACCAGGTGGACCTCGTCTTCCCAAGCGAGCGCCACAGCATTGTTGCCGCACCACTGTAAATCTCGAGGCGGTGTCTTGACTCGGGATTGATATTCGCTATATCTTTCCTGAAAGTCACTTCCGATCACCCAAACTTTGCCATCATCGGTGTACAGCGCAACAAATCGACCGTTTGGAGAAACGCTGATATGTCGGAATGGCCCGGCCTGGAGACCTCGATCCTCGCACTCAGCTGCATCGACAACGTAGACTGTGTCGCCGATCGCCAGCAACACTTCCACAGATCGAGACGATGTGTACTCCGGAGGAATGACAGCCCACGAAATCACGGCTCCTTTGGGTGCTGATGCCAGTAATTGCGGTCGTGGTTCTTCATAATTCGTGACGGCAATCAACTCGTTGTTTCCCAATAGCGCGACGAAGCCCGTCGACCAGAACTTGCATGCTTTCACGCCGTGCTCTTCGGCGCCGTGTCCCAAGCTGAAGGGACGGAAATCCGATTGCAAGTCCGCATATTGTCGGACACCGCCGTTGTTCGTTACCACCAAGAGTGTTTCGTCTTCCGACCAACCCAGTCCAGCAAGAACATCTTTGTCGCAATTGATTTGGCGTATCAGCTTACCGGCGCAGCTGTAGATATCGATGGTCGGTTTGGAAGCCTGAGGGTTGCGAACGGCGTAGAGTTTCGTTTCATCGCGGCGCAAGGCTTTATAGATCGTTAGACCAAGTATATGCAGATGTCATGACAGAGCGCTCACCTACAGCACCACTGTACGGAGCGCCTGCGATTGCATAATCCTCAAGCTCGAGTTCTGCGTCGAAAACGTCGGTATATATTGGCAATCGTCGATAGAATTTATCGCCAACTCTTTCCCAGTTAGCAGTCGGTGGCTTCGACATGCTTGCCGACGGTGCATCACATGTCGCGTAACGATAGAGATGTAGCTATCGCAGGCCATACGATGAGTCTAGTCGCGGATAAAGCTCGTGAGGTTGGCTGGGAAGGCACGTGCGGCAACCTCCTCCGCCCCAGAGCGTCATATTGCACATCTCAACATTCGATCGCGTTGACATCGGATTGTCATTATAACATCATTGGCGATTCTGGCACAGGGAGCAAGCTTTGACTTTCAATGATACAGTTCCTTGAGATTTACCGTTTAATAAGCTTGGAAATGTACAACACTTGATCTCCAGCTCGATCATGTCAAGAACAAGACCGTCTACGAATGACAACGGCTGCGAGCTTTGGAACGATAGGCTTCACAAACCTGACGGATGAATCATTTAAGCATGTCCGACTCGATTCAACGACGAATTCAGCAGCTAGGTAATCTTGAGCTAGCTTTGCTCTTATCATTTGTGGCAGAGGAGCACTGCATATTTACGACCGAGCCTCATAACACACCTGTGCTGCAAGAGGAATTGAGCCGTTCATGCAAAGCTACGTTCAACGTGCGATCAGCAGTCGTGCATTGCTCATCTGACACGACCATTGACGACTTCAATGATTCCATCTTGATTGATGCGGACGTTGACATTTCGTCGCCCTCACGGCGGCCAAGAGACCTGGGCCAGCACAGATCTGTACTTGACCAACGATCAGATCAGCCGAGAGAACCTGGCAGGCTGGGGAGCATCGTCGATCCTCTTGTGCAGCGACAGATTGCAGACGTTATCATCGTCACTCAACTCGATCGTGCTTCAGAGGTGGTGCAAGTACAAGCGCTGGAATTGATTCGAAGCAAGCGCATCTTCACGCGCTCGTCAATGCAAGTCGCACCAAAGGGGCTACTTGTTGTGGCAATACTATCAGAGCCTACCGTGCGGCTAACTTACCACCTTCAAGATATGTTCTGCATGTCACATTTCCACTCCGAGGACGAGAAAACACACCAATTTGACAACAGTGCTACACGATATGAGCTTCCCAAGTTCGGAAAGGAGGAAATTGAATCCCTCCGAGAAAATATGGCCGAGATCGAGATCAATGCAGAGATTGCACAGTATCTGCACAACATTGAGGTGTTTCTGCGCAACAGCCGCTTCGTGAAGCGTGGCGTAACTGGTGCAGCGACTCGCCATCTACGTAAACTGTCCCGCGCGCTGGTTCCCTTACACAATCTCGATTATATACCACCTTCACTGGTGGCTCTCGCTGCGCGGAAAGTCTATGCTCACCGTCTGGTGCTTGCGACGGCAGATAATGAGAAGACGCTTCTGTGGGGAAGCGATCCTGAAGCGGTTGCAGAGCTGCTTCGTGATGTGACCGTTGAAGATGTCATCGAAGACGTTCTCGCGAGTGTTGAGGCTCCTCTCTGATGTCAAGCGCAGATCCTTTCCGGATCATGCTTTGATGCCTAGACAGGCAGCGAAACTCAAATATACCAACCTGTATGGCAACATCACCTTCCGTGATACTGAGACTGCTACATACCTGCTCTCGAGTTAGATACAAATATGCTTAGATCAAATCACGTCGGAACTGGCGGCCATAGAGTGCTAGAGTCGAAGGTCTCAACACGACAAGCATACAAACTGCAAAAGTCGAAATGTGCAGATACGTGGGAACATAAACCTCGATGTGATGAGTACATCAACATGACAAGGAACACTGTAAATCAGAATTTCTTTTTTTCGATCTCGACAGAAGCCCACTCGTCACCTCAGTCCAGCTTCCGTGCTTGATTAGCACTCCCGCTACTACTACTTTGCCGCATCTCCACAGGCCTTTTATGAATTAAGCTCTCGGCCGACCTATCACTCTCGGAAGCATCGCTAGTACTAATGATATGGTATGAGAAATCCAACTCGCCGACCAGATCCTTTACGCCTGCCATGACTCTCTTCATGTCATCAATAATACATCGTGACCCGACCTGCATGACTGCAAAGCTCGCATAGCCCGGCTCTGCGATGTGTCGGACGCTCAAGAGGTCTCTATCGAGGGTATCCAGCTTCTGCTCGAGAAGGTATGCCTCAGGAATACGCAGGTAGGGCGGTAGGGGGTGCCCAGCAGAGACAGCGGCGGACATGAGGGAGAGTGTGGTGGTTATTTCCTGAGAGGTCATCTCGGCTTCGCCCACGACTTTGCGGAGGCTGCGGAGCCAGCGTTGGCCGCCTGCATCGGGATAGTCGTTTCGGACATTTTCGAAAGTCGAAGAAGCGAGTGATACGAGTGACATGAAATTGAGCATGGACTGCATTTCATCGACCAGCTTTTGATACTTCTCACCAGGGAATCTGCCTCCTATTGGGATGTCGAATTTAAGGAATTGGCTCTGCGCGCGAAGATTCTGAATTGTAAGACTTGCTTTCGAGTAGAGTTTCAATCGCATCTTCTCCAATTGATGTGCCGGGCTATCCTTGCGGGTACAGTCAATATCGCGGAGTCGAATAAATACTGTTTCGTGCATCACGGAGTAATAATTGGCTAGGAGGTATAGAGCCTGGCTCAATCCGTTGCGCATTTGATTGTGCTCCGTGATCGGGTATGGAAATATTGTCCAGAACCAGGCAATTAGTAGACCAGCACAAACGGTCGCAAGTCTGATGGGGCCAAGTTCATAGATCGGATAGTATCTCTGGCCATTCGAGGTTGCAGTCTCGATCCCAAGCTTCTCAACCTGCAACTCATAGCCAATGATAAGAATCAGTGTGATTTGCCCAATCATTCCGACCGGAGTGTACTGCGGATATTTGATCAGAACATACGACCCGAGATGGAGAAATATGAATAAGAAGACCAGGACTCCTGCGACTTTCCCATCAACGATGTACCATGTGATCAAGCTAAGAAGCATGGCAACGATGGTGCCAAGGATTCGCAATAGGAAGTTGCGCAGGCTCTGACCAGCTGAGGGGCTCATGCTAATGGCAATCATGATCTGCGCCCAAAAGAATCTTTCCGTCGTTGCGAATGTCTGGGTTTGGTAGAGAAAGCTGATGACAGCAACAGACATGGTTGCACAGGCACACCGGAAGCCAAATGACGAGGCAGGGGAGCTGAGAAGATGTGAAATCCTTCTGAATTGATTGGTGAACTTCTCCCACGCATTCGCAGGCTGTAGGTGCTCGGGATCCTTTCTCGCCTTATACGCCTCTCCTAGATAGATCGTTGTGGTCATGCCGTCTGTATCCCGCTCATCATCGCCGTGGGTATCCTGTCGTGTGATCCAGAAACTCAAAGCCCATTTGCGAAGGCGTTTGTATCCTGGGACCACGAGACGTGTTCTGCTGAGCTTCCCATTGTCACGCATCGTATCAATTGCAATCATCAAGGTGTGGGTCCGTCGAGCCAAATTGAAGAGTAAGAACTCAAGATAGAGGCACAAGAACAATTGCTTTCGCAATGCTTGATGCGTGGGAGACATGGTGCCCTCATTCATCCATGATGGAGCCTGGAAGTCTTCCCGATCCGGATGCTCAAAGAAGTCTGATGGCAGGTCGATGTCATGTAGCCTACACCAGCTCCTCAGCATCATTTCTTTGGTCTTCAGGAACATCTCCGCTTGTGCCCGGAAGAAGGTCGAAAAGGTTTTATCTGGATAATGTTTGTCAGCAGATAGAAGGGCCGCAACGAACAATGCGAGATCATACCGCCTGGCTTCGGGTCTGATCCTTCAGATTCCAAATCTTCGGCCTTCGACTTCGTTCGAGCTTTCGGCCCGAGTCGTGATACGATGAGGATGTGTTCGAGCCCCTGACTGATGACATTGGTCATAAGTTGAAATGGCTCTTTCAATGCCTTCATCAATTCGTGCCATTCGTTGACAATCTCAATCCGAATCTTCTGGTCTTCATCCTCTGCAGCGTCCATGGTCAGCCCAGCCACACTGTAACTTCTGTTCCAACCTCTTCTCTCGGCGGTCAATTCAAAAACATCAGACATGCAGCTGAGCCCAACGACCGGGACCATGATAGCCCTCAGCAAGCGAAAAATGGTTTGAATGTCGTCTGGTCCAAGTTTACCCACGGCGATTTCTCTCTTGGCAAATGGAAGGTCGCCCTGTAGTTTACTGCTGAGCACTGCTAAGTTTTGCACCTTGAGTTTGAATGCTTCAACTTCAGGACTTCTCTCTGGCTTTGCGCCTTTGGAGTTGGTCCGTTGCGCTGCAAACATATCTGTCTCTTCCAGACTTTGCATGTAAACCATGTTAGCCTCGATCGCTTCTCTCAAGGATATGATGTAAGCACCCAATGTCTTGAACACGACCTGGCGGCTGGTCAGCGGGAAAATCAATAGCGAAACTATCGTGGCAATGGCAAATCCCGTGTAAAAGGCGCTCAGTAGCCTCCAAGCGAAGTTAGAAGCAGCCTCCATGGTGTTGAATTGGGGTCCGTACGTAGAAGAGACTACTGCAAAGATGGCGACTTGTATTCCTGGTACTGTGTACTGGGGGCCCTGGGCACGAATTACACTGATGATGTATATCTCCACGAACAACCAAACCCCAGCAACCGCCGATGCCGAGGAATTGTAATTGGCCGTCTCTGCACCAGTGGCCGCCAGTCCACTCGTCCCAGGCCCACCTCGACCAGGCATCTCAGGGCCGGTGCTGTTCAACCTGGCCTTCACCGTACAGAACATGGCCAAGAGTGACACGGCGTATGCGATGCCAGAGAATACTATGTTGATGATCATAGTCTGTAGGAATTTCGTACGTGGGGCGATCACTATGGAGATGACGGCCATTATGCCAACGATGTAACCGATCGTTGTATAAGCTTGCGCATAAGCAGACCATTGGAACAGAGCAATTGCTATCGTTGGAGCCAGAGCTCCTTTGAACATGCTCTGATAGGTCCGCCAATCAATGCCCGTCTTCGCCCAAATCGCTCTTAGCTTGTCCATGATCGATTTCTTGTTTGTTGAAATCTTTGTAGCATTGTCTTCGGCACGAGATGTTTGGAGCTCCACCGTAGCGCCATCATAAACAGGGGTCCCATTCGCGTGATTCCTTGCCGAGCGCATGTCTTGTTGGGTCGTTTGCGTGGTCATTGTTATGTGAGTAAGGCTAGAGGGAGCTCTGCCGCGTGATGACATTGGCTTTCACATGTGGCGCGTGATTGATGAACCGTCAGTAAAGAATTGGGTGAGATGCATTCCTCTCTGTTCATACGAGATGGAAAGCCGACATGGGTTCACAGACAAGACCGTTGAACCTCACAATACGAGTCATGTTATCCGGCTGACACCGACTGTGCAGCACTCGTGTTCAAATGTCCCCATGCATCGTGAGTGATGTAGCAGCCCGCGGCGCACTAACGACCGTCCCTGCACCCGTTCACAAAGCGCGGAAAACCTGTACAGCTAGATATCTGTATGTTATCAACACTATTTTCACTGTTGATTTCTCTTCAGTCTTGTTATCGTGACGAGTCTGTCCAATGCAAATTGCCTCGTTTTGAATGGTTTCATTTCCTAGAATATGATGGAATATTATGTGGTCCGGCCCAGACAACTAACAGCCGCCTATGGATATTCATCGTGTTGCAACAATCCACCTGGATTCCACCACCAACCTCCGTCGCAGCGGCATTTGGCGGACTGATGATACAGTACCTTAAAAACCCTACCCTACCCACGGGCTGGGGCACTCTAGGGACTTTGATAGATGAAAATCTCGGTTTCTGAATCGTCCCCTGGCTCGTCTACAGTCACATTCTCGGGGAGCACACGTAAAAGATCGCCACAAATTATGCTTTAGCATCCAGTGAAGCATCGAGAACAGTAATAACAAGCATTCACCTTGTTCCTCACCGTAATAAGATACAGTATCTGAAATGTTCCATTCGCGTATGTGAACCTGAGGCATGAAGCTCGAATGCCGCCAAGATTTCAGATCAATGTCCGTGCAAGTAGCGTCCATGTGAATTTTAGCCTATCGATAGCCCTCAGAAATTTGAGCGGGTCTCTTCAAGTTGTGAAGCAGAACAAGAAAAAAAGACCCTTCAACAGCACTCGCCCTACCCTTCACGGATCAAATACCTCTCAAACCTTCTCCCCAGACGAGCAGTGCGATCGACAATAAGATCCATAAAACACCGCCGTCATGCCCAAATCCAAGCGCGCCCGCATCGTGCACACTTCGCAAGTCCAGAAAAAGCCCGGCAAGGAGCGCACCACCGCGCTCTTCGAAGCCGTCCAGGAGGCGACGGACAACTATGCGCACGCCTTCGTCTTCGGCGTGGAGAACATGCGCAACACCTACTTGAAGGACGTCCGCCAGCAATTCAGCGACAGCCGGATTTTTTACGGCAAGACTAAGGTCATGGCCAAGGCGCTGGGCGTGGACAATCAGTCGGAACATGCGCCAGGCCTGGCGAAGTTGACGCGGTATCTCAAGGGCAATGTCGGCTTGCTGTATACCAATCGCGAGCCGCAGGAGGTTCTGGACTTCTTCCAGGAGTTTGTGGAGATTGATTTCGCGCGAGCCGGGGTCACAGCTTCAAGAACGTTTATCGTGCCGGAAGGCGTTGTGCACAGTCGCGGTGGAGAGGAGAAGGCGGAGGATGATGTGCCGTTGCCACACTCATTGGAGGTCACAGTCAGGAAATGGGGTATGCCGACTCGGCTAGACAAGGGCAAGGTCACGCTCGATCAACCGTACACTGTCTGTGAAGAAGGCAGAGAACTCAACAGCAACCAGACGGCACTCCTCAAACTGTTTGGAGTGGCACTTGCCGAGTTCAAAGTCGAGGTCAAGGCGTATTGGAGCGCGGCGACCAAGGAGGTTACGGAGGTAGACGGTTCTGCAGACACAATGGCAGAAGGATGAAGATTGGCATGACTTTTGAGAATTTGTTTTGTTTTGTGCTTCCCACGACTTTGATGCGCTATGTACTATGTACTCTAGCAAGGCGTTGGCGGCGTTGTTGCAGATATTTCGGCCTAATGAAAATGGCCTTCCTGATTGAAACGATAAACCATGCACCGTGAAACAGACGCCAGTACCACCATTCGCAGTCCCATCATCATCAATTCCATTCACAATGCTGAAACGTACACCCTCTATGATTCGGTGGTGATCTTGGCCTTGCCGTTGGTGACCTTGACACCGAGCTGCTTGGCGCGTGCGACGATTTCTATCCGCTTCTTCGATGAGACGGCGCTGGCGATCCTGGTGAAATTTGTCAGTGTTGTATTCCAAGATGTGGGCGACAAGGATTGAGACTTACTCTGCGGCGTAGGTCCTGTTGTGCATGAGGAGGAGTTCGAGCTCGCGGGTGTTGTTGACAAGGAAAGCCTTGTGTCCGGAAGGCATCAAGTGACGGGTCTTCTTGTTGCTACCGTAACCGATCTGAAGGCACAAGATGCGTCAGTTGCAATTCGAAAATTTTGTTGTCTCCCAGCGTCAATCCCATTTGCTTCCAGATCCGTCCTTGGCATAGCCTTTCCATCTCTTCTCCCTTTTTCCAACCATATTTTCTCGCCCGAACGCACCTTTGGCATAGCAGCCTGGCCCTTGAAACGTCTTCGGACACGGTTGTCGATACCCTTTGGCTTCCTCCAGCTGGGGTCCACGCGCATGAACCGGTCGCTCTGGTGGCGGTTGAAGCGCGCAGTGCGCTTCTTCACGATCGGGACGTGCTTCTTTGCGGCGACCATCTTGAATGAAATGTTAGACGGAATCGAATATGGTGTTGAAAGACGGTACTCGTCGTACCTTGACTGCTGTTGTGTGTTAGTTGATCTTGTCGACACTATACTTCGACATGCAGTGCTGTCGGGGTTGTGGGCTTCGATTTTCGCTAGTGTGCTCGGACCACTTCATTGCCAAGATTCGCCGAAATCATTGATGCCTCAGGCTTTAAACCACACTTTGTTTGCACGGCCTGCATCGAGGCTTACAATTTCTAGAGAAAAGTGTCGTGGCAGCTTTGCATGTCTTCCCACGGCGCGTTTCTGCAGAAGCATCCACATATTTTTCGTTTGTTGCACAGCAAAGCAGCCCCAGCTACGGAAACAAACTTGATGCCTTGCATATGGTCACAGGAGTATCGAAGGCATTATTATTGATTTTTGTAATCTTTTTGCGAAGTTGATTGAAGAACACTTTCCAATATGACTAGGTGGTAGAGTTACTCGACTATATCAATGATCGCCAAAGAACAACATTGCAGCTAGTGCCCAGGCTTCAATGCCAGCTTGCAGTGACGGTACGATCTCTGGCGCAAACATAGGACTGTGATTGATCGGTAGATCATTCAGTGTGCCTTCACGTTCAGCTCTGTCATATAAAACCCTCGGCGTGACGCCAAAGTTCCAATAGACGTATGGTATCTGAGGCTTCCCCGGCGGATGCGCTAGTAGGACAAAATCATCCGATGTCACATCGAGATCCATAGAAATGATCTTCTCCCGAGCTTCGGAGCCGTAAAAGCTGCGCAGCGCCGCTTCGAATCTCCGCGTACAATCCTCGTCGTTGTCGACAGGCGGACAGCTCGCAGTCGTGGTGATACGGGGCTCCCTAGGAGCATTGGATGTTTGGCACTCCTTGATGATGATCCGCTTGACGGCTTTGACGGCAGTAAGCTGCACATGCATGTCGAGAGAGCGAACGTCAACTTTGAAATCGGCATACTCCGGGATGATACTGGCATCGGTGCCGGCGTGGAATGTGCCGCAGGTGACGACACAAGGTTGCTTGGGACCGATTTCTCGGGTCACTACCATTTGCAAACGTGAGATGATACAGCTAGCCATCAGGATAGGGTCGACTCCTGACTCGGGTGTTGACGAATGGGTGCCTTTTCCATACACACGAACATTGAGCGAGTCGAGAAATCCCAAGACACGACCAGCACGAATGCCAATCGTGCCTGCTCTTGTAGGTACTGCATGCTGTCCTAGCAAAATGTCCGGAAGTGGAATCTTATCGAAAAGTCCATCATCAATCATGGCCTGTGCACCCAAGAAACGTTCTTCATTCGGTTGGAAGATGCACATCAAAGTTCCGGTCCAGTGTTGCTTGATCCTCTGCAATAACTCCGCAGCAGCCAGAAGGCTTGCCATATGCATGTCGTGCCCGCACCCATGCATGACCGGTTTCATATATCCATCTACGTCGACCTGCTTTACCTCACTAGCATAGGGAAGTCCAGTCTTTTCTTTCATTGGAAGAGCGTCCAATTCGGACCGTAACATGATTTTCCGGCCATTACCATTGGCCCATGTACCAACAAGTCCATAGCCGCCAATGTTTTTCTGGACGTGAAACCCCAGAGCTGCCAGGTGATTTGCCACAGTAGCGGCGGTACGCGCTTCTTGACAAGGAAGCTCAGGGTGTTCATGGAGATCTTTGTAGATCGATGAGTACTTTCCTAGGTCGGGGAAAGACGCTTCAATAATGCTTCTCCAACGCTCGAAAGGCTCCTGCAGCCGCATGGTCTACACTCCGCAAACCAGGCGGGGTCAGAAGCTTCGCCCTTGAAGTCTGTCGGATTTTAGATAAACTTGCCGCGCCGTCTCCTGTTGACATGAGCAGATGTGACCTTTGACGTGATATCACATTCAATGCGACAAGTCATACGCGAATGCGTGGGCGCATGAGGTACCTTGACATGCATGAATACATGCGATGACATCAGTGTCGTTTCTTGGCGCCGTTTTGATTTATACTTTGCATCGATTATTGCTGATGCAGCTGATTGGATGCGCAGATTGCTCGATGTTGACATCGGTACCAATTAGTGGCCCTGCCCACACGTGATGCTTTGGATCGCCCACCAGATTTGTAGCATTGCTCAGACACTCATCGCAGTGTAAGTGTTGTTTCGGACTTTATCTTTTCGCACTGCGTCCTTGGGTGTTGCTACCGTTCGCGGCAACTGATGAAGGCCGATCGCAGGCGCGAGATGTAGACTGTCATCCCGTTCGCTCATAGCGTCCAGATAGTCGTAGTCCGTGATCTCAGTGTCGGTCTCGGAGATCACTGAAGGTGGCACGGTTGGCGGCTCAGACTCGCTTGGAGTAGTTTCTCGATCCAATACATCTATTACCTCGACATATTCCTTCTCGACTTCTTTCTGCGAGACGGCTGCCTCCGTAAATTCTTCTTCCAGAATTGTGTGGTCAGGCTCAAGATTCATCTTGATGCGCTCGTAGAACAGCATGAAAACCCCACCAGCACTTGGATTCAGGGCTTCAGACTGCGAGGCATTGTAGACGTCCGCGTCACTCAATCGGAACCATTTCTCATCTGAAGGCTCGTCTGCCTCTGGGTTACGAATCTCGTCCCTGGCACAAGCTGAGGGGTGTTGACGGTAGCAGATGTAATGCCCATTCTCGTGCGCACCTTTGTGCACAACCACAGCACTGAGTCGGTACTCCACAGCCGGGCCGTCTCTGTAGAGCGTCCATGGGCGAAGATCGAGCTGGAGGGGATATTTCACGTGGGCGTAATTCTTGCTCAACATGCCTGTCGTTTCGCTGAATACGCTGCGATTGACGTGAACGACAAGCGATTGTGGCGGCCTACCAATTATGGCTTCCTTCGACTTTGTACTGCTGACAAAGGCTTTTTGAGCAATCTGACAAGCTCCCTTGATAGTTTTGTCGGAATAATCGTCCCTGCCCAATGCTTCTTGAATGGCTTGGAGACGCTTTGCAACTTGCGCTTGGAGATCTTGTGGCAGCGCAGGCGCGAGTTTCGCGGATTGGTTGGCATTCTGAGCGGGCTCGGTCATGATCGTTTTGAAAGGAACAATTTTCCGCAGCTTCTCTTCCGCATGAAGCAAAGTGCATCGTCGACATTCCACTCCTTCAATGTCCTCTCGCCTGGTATATTCGTCCAAGCAGTTTTCGAGGGTGTAAGAGAGACCCGTACCAAGCGACACTGTCAAACAGTTGAATGGGATCATGGAGTAGCCGTCGGATGCACCACAACGGATGCACATGACCCTCTGCGCGAGCCAGCCCTCGAGTGGGTTGTGCGCGAGTCTACGATTTTTCGAGGCTCGCGAATGCTCCTCATCATGGTCCCGCATGTGGTAATCGATTTCCGGTGCATTCAGAGACTCTAGCCCAACCTTGACACCCATCGCTGCGTTGACCTTTTTCGCTTCTTTGTCCATCTCGTCCAAGATCTTACTGAAATACTCCTGCGCATCCTGTTGCTGCCAACTGCTCATGTTCTTGAGCTTGCTCGGTGTCCAGATATGTTTTCCATTGTTTCCTGCATCTCGTAGCTGTGCCACTAAGCGTTGCAAGTTGCCCGTGGTCGAAGATCCTGCATTTGTACCAATATTCAGCACGGCGCCTTCCAGCCATCTCTGCAGCGTGGGCAGCGAAGCCAGAGCTTGCAGAATACTATTCTGGTAGCAAGAATTGTCCCAATTGCCCAATCCTGAAGGCAGCTCGGATGTGACCGCCCTTGGAGCAGAAATGCTTTTGCGCCGAGCGATTGTGTTCACACCTGTGCCAATAACCTCCCGCGCAGCAGGAAGACTCTTGAGTAATTTCCCATTGCCTCTCAATCCAAGCATCTCGCGTATTGCCTCGCTTTTTGCTGCATACAGCTGAGAGCGCGTGCTGTCCTTGCTCAATTCGATCCGCTGGTTCGACTCCAGAACAAGAGTGGCCGGAATCACTGAGACAAGTCCGTGCCAGAGTAGTTCAGGTGGCGATAAGACTGCGATGTTGAAGACTTGGTCGAGCACAAAGTACAGTGCATAAACGGCGATGATCCCATAAGCCAACAGTGTTGGGATGCTCTGTTGTTGGAGTTGCTCCATACCCATTATGCTAATCCGAGAGCGCGCATATGGTCGGTCGATGGAGCATGAGCTCACTCAGACGGAGGGTTTAAGCAGTGTGCTCTCTGTATATTCCAGATAATTGCTGACGCAGGTATATGACGAAGCCTCGCCTGCGAACACGAACGCGCGTGACAAGTACCATCAGCGAAGTAGCGCTTCGAACATCTAGGCGTATTAATTGTTTAAGCAGCACAACGCTATCGTGACGCTACCGGAGATACTGCAGGGTCCGAAGCACTTCGCGCGAAATTTTGGTCGAGCGTGCACAGTTGAAACTTGAAGTTCCATCAGACAGTGAAACCGCATACCGCCCTGCTTAACGTTCCAACATGGTCAAAGTCGCCAAAGTGAAGACAAGAGGTTTGTGACGGGACGAATCTCACATGTAGACGTTTTAGAGCATAGTTGACATTGTGTAAAAGATGTATCTCTGCATTCTCGGGCAGCTCGCCGCGCAGCTTCACCGCCGCCCGTGAAAAGCGGCAGCGGCGCAGGGCGCGCTGTCGTCGAGAAAGATTACAAGCCATGGCTCCACAGCCCACAAAACGCAGGCGTGGGCAAGAAAAAGACGAAGCAGCTCACGCGGCAGCAGAAGGTTCGCCAGCAACGAGGCATGGAGAAAGCTGATATGACTGAGGCGAAGCTGGAGAAGAAGGTGGAGGATAGCAAGAGCCGGGCGAGAAGAGTGCAGGCGCGACGGGCGGACTGGGAGGATTTGAACGGAGATCTGGGGGTTATTGTGCCAGACGCTGTCGTCGACACACAGAAGAGCAATTTGAAGACAAAGACGATATCCGATCGACCCGAAGTTGAGCTGGATTCCAACATGCATGAACCACCCGTAGCAGCGGACGCGGAAGCTGAACAGGTTCTCTCGCCAGGACAGGAAGCGACCACAAAGGTGGCCGAATTGTCCATTTCTGGTACCGCTGCAGCTGTTGCTTCGAATGCGGCAGACGAAGTAGATGAGATCAGCTGAACGACGAGGGCCGAACGTCACGGATACGAAGGTCGAGGCAATGGCGATTGGGTGTCACAGATCAGCTGCGACGCTCCTGACATTTCATGACAAACACCGTGAGAACAAGGAACATACAGCGTGGGGACACAAAAGGTGATCAGACTGAAGCTTCGAGCGCAGGTCTCCAACGACAGTACAGGACAAACGCTGTTTGCTGCAGGGTCGCCCTGTGCAACGGATCAAGACGTTGTCTCGTTTGGCTGCGCCGACAAGCACGTGACAGGACAGGCAGAGGTTCCAGATCTTGCGAAGGGAGCGTTTGGTCGTGTTCGCTCTCACATAGATGAACCGCCAATGCTTGGGTGGGAGATTTGCGGCTCAAGTGATGAGGGGAGGCAGGAAAGGGAGCGCACCGTCGACCGTTGGGCTAGCGGATCTTCGGTCTTCATTACGGTTGCGGACCATCGGCAGCAGATCCTCCGTATTTTATGAATAAGAGCTTTGGATGCCTGTCAACGATCAACCTCGACCGAGCAGCATCGAGATCGTGGTCGCTCGTTGATGGAGTTTCAATCGATATCAGTAGATTATGAAATAGAACCAATTTTGAAGTCAAGGTACGGCTTATGTAGCTTGAGCAAGACTGTTCGCGAGGACAGGGGCTACTTTAGTACTGGGTTTTCTTGTATGAATACAGGGTTGCCATGTGCGGCAGTATGCTGTTTGTGCGCGGTGGAGAACAAGCAAAGAATCCGATTCTTCGTATGTAGTATGCCCAGGTGTAGACACATGAAGGCTCGGCAACTCACAGATACAGCCCAACGAGGGCGGAACAATCCATAGTTAAGTTCAGGAGAGGGCTCGTTCACGACATTGGGAAATTGCCGTGGATCCAAGCGCGCGTGGTCCGGCGGTGGCGAGCATCCCTCACGGCCGATACGCACACACGATCAATATTTGCAACCGAAGTCGATCGAGGAGTATCTTCAAAGGTCAACGTATCCTGAAGGCAATTCTCACATTCGTCTCAATCCTGTTCTCTTATCGCAACGACGTGACCAAACAGGTTTCCGGCTTGAACCACAGTTGCGAGGCGCACATCGATTGAATCGCGTGGAACGAATTATTACTTCGACAACGAATTTCCCACGGTTCGGGAGGAGGGCTCCGCAAGTCCAGCACCAATCAATCGGGACATCGAACCGCAGCGGTATCACAGATCGCCCAAAGTGCGCCGCCGCAGAGGACGTCCAACTGCACATATTGTACATACGGATACAATATACAGCGGAAAGTGAGAGTCAACGAAGGTGCGAAAGTTGTCGTTCGTCAGCCTCAGTGGAGGAATGCGCGCATAGGTGAGTCTCGTCGTGGTTTTCCTCACGCATTTCCATTTCCTCTTCACCCCGGTTTTCTTTTTCTTCCTTTTGCCGGTGGTCGGCGCATCAGGAATATGACGGGAGTGGCTTCGCGATCCGGATGATGGCGGAGATCGTCTGCAGGCACATGCTGCTGCCGCCATTGCTGCGGCAAAGCCCAAAGTCCAGACGCGATGCTGGTGGAGCAGAGGGAGGATGACGACAATGACGAGCGACGACATATGCACGCGAGACTTTCTTGGGAGCCTCGAGACATTTCACACGTGCTTAATTGCACGCATGCAACAAGACGCACGCGGTCTCGGAGAAAATGCATGATGCTGGTCCGGCATTGTCCGCGATGAGTGACTCGAAGTCTCAACGAAACCAAGTGAACGTCATACATTCTCCTCGAGTCGATGGAAATTGACGGCCAGAAGAGATCGTGGAGCATCTGCGCACGATTCAAGCGGACGAAGCCGATCTCCATGTGACACGCGAAGAAGCTAATCACACTGGAATTAAGCGTGTCGCTTCTATCTATGCCCGGGGCATTTCTGCAACATGGCTAGATTTTATGCATGCACTTTGCGCCCAGAAATCGGCATGTGGATCTGCAGTCGCGCCTATGTTCTACGACAACCGGACGACACGGAATTGGTTGCATTGCGCACAGCTGAGTCGTGCTATGCAGTGCATAGTGGGGTCTAGAATACATAAATCACCGAGCAAACTCCAGCAGAGAAGACATCACCGATCCACCGGCTGATGAGACCTGACTTCACATTGAAGGATGTCCAGGTGTGAGGGACGGATAAGGCGAAAAAGGGTAAATTGTGGAGAAGACCGGAGCAGCAGTTGATGAGAGACAACTGGATGCGAACGAGAAGGGGTGAGGGACGGGGAAAGCTCAGACTCTCCCTCATCAAACGGCCGGGTCACTTCCCGCGTCACCACTTTTTCTCTCTCTTTTCCCTCTGCCCTAGGGGGGAAAAAGCGGCACACCACACCACCACCCATTACTACCTTCTGCCCTCCACCACCAACAGAAGTGCAATTTCAGGCACGCACACGCTTCCCATACACAGCCGCATCGGCCATTTCGGCGTCGCGCTACTCCCTGGCGCGTCGTCTCTCTCTCTCTCCTCCGGCTTCGACCGCACACATGCTCACCCGCACTGTCTCCCTGTCCGGCTCCTACCCATTGTCGACCGCCGCATCATCATCTCGACCACCACCACCACCAACCACCATCGGTGATTCACCTCGTCCTCGTCCCTCTACTGCTCCTCCTCCTTCTCTTACACCTGCATACTGGATCGCTGCGACCATAATCACTCCCAATTCCGGCCGCGCACGGTTGGCATCATTGTCCTTTCCGACCTAAAGCCTGACATCACCATTGTGGTCTCTTCTACAATCCGCTCTCTCCATTATACTCCGTGTTACCGCTCTCTCCTTCCACCGCACTCGATCAATTCGGACCATTGAAGACGTCGCTCTACACGGCTTCGTTGACAGCTTGACCAACGTGACAGCTGCACGCCTAGAGATTGCCAGCTCGATAACATCACGCGTCTGGTCATCCGTCACCGTCCATCCTCTGCTGCTCCAAATTCATCGGTCACAAGCCGTCAGAATTCCGCCAGTCGCTCTGGTGGCATTGTCGTCTTGTGGCCGCATCTCGTCTGGATTGTTGCAACATCTATCCCTCACCGATTCGCATTGCTCGACATAATACTAATCAACTAATTCTAATCCGTTCATCTCAGACGCCATGCCTGCTATTCGCGCGTTCAACCCCTTTGCTGCTGCTATCGCCGCCGACGAAGCGACCTTGGTCCTGTCCGACAAAGGTTCTGCTCGCATCGAAGTGGCCGAGAGCGAGCCTCTCAAGTCCTCACCTCGTGCTCAGCGCTCAATCTTCTCGCTCTCCTTCTCCAATAAAACCAGCAAGCCTGCAGGAAAACCACTCGAGGCGCAGACGTCGGCCCTCAGCCTACCCACCATCAATCTCACCACAGCTACTGCAGAAAAGATGAAGATGGATGAGACACCAAAGCCACTCACATTGTTCCAGCCGCCCTCGCCGGCCGAGGCAAAGCGCATTGCGAGACAGCATGCGGCTTTTGGTCCACTCGGCTCAAAACAACACCTCTACTCATCACGCTTTGTTGGCACTGAGTTTCCGGAGCCTATCGAAGATGAGCCGCCGTATTATTACTTGATCACGACCTACATCTCATACCTCATCCTCATCATTTTCGGTCACGTCCGCGACTTCTTCGGCAAGAAGTTCAAGCCCGAGCAATACAAGCAATTACGAGAATACGACGGATATGCTCCTTTGAACTCTGATTTCGACAACTTTTACATTCGTCGACTGCAGCTGAGAATCAACGACTGTTTCAGGCGACCGGTCACTGGCGTTCCAGGCCGTTTCATCACACTGCTCGACCGCACCAGTGACGACTTCAACCTCTCCTTCAAGCTCACTGGCACAACGACCCAGACGCTTAACCTGTCCTCGTACAACTATCTGGGATTCGCACAGGCAGAGGGCGAGTGTGCCGACACTGCCGAGTTGGCTGTCAAGAAATACGGTATTTCATACTGCTCCCCTCGTGGAGACGTCGGCACTAGCGACTTGCACAACGAGGTCGAAACCCTTGTTGCCAGCTTCATCGGCAAAGAAGCAGCTACCATTTACTCCATGGGCTTCGTGACCAACGCCACCATCTTCCCTGCTCTGGTCGGTAAAGGCTGTCTTTTGATCTCAGATCAGCTCAACCACGCGTCGATTCGTTACGGTGCACGCTTGTGCGGTGCTGTTATCGACATGTTCAAGCACAACGACATGCAAGACCTGGAACGTCTTCTGCGTGAACGGATCTCTCAAGGTCAACCGCGGACACACCGTCCCTGGAGAAAGATCCTGGTCGCCGTCGAAGGTCTGTACAGCATGGAGGGTAACATGTGCAACCTTCCCGGCCTCGTCGCATTGAAGAAGAAGTACAAGTTCGCTCTCTACGTCGACGAAGCCCACTCCATTGGCGCTCTTGGTCCTCGTGGACGTGGTGTTTGCGACTACTTTGGCATTGACCCGTCTGAGATTGATATCCTCATGGGTACCTTTACCAAGTCCTTCGGTGCCAACGGTGGTTATATTGCTAGCAGCAAGGCTCTCATCGACAAAATTCGTGTTACCAACGCAGGAACAATCTTCGGTGAAACTCCTACACCCGCCGTGCTTGCTCAAATCAGCTCCAGTCTGCGCATCATCGCTGGCGAAATCGTCCCGGATCAAGGTGAAGAGCGTCTGCAACGTCTCGCCTTTAACAGCCGTTACCTCCGCCTTGGATTGAAGCGACTCGGTTTCATCGTCTACGGTCATGACGACAGCCCGATCGTTCCTGTCTTGCTCTACCACCCCGCCAAGATTCCCGCCTTCTCCCACGAGATGCTGAAGCGCAAGATTGCTGTTGTAGTCGTGGGCTACCCGGCAACACCTCTCATCTCCTCGCGTGCCCGCTTCTGTGTCAGCGCTGCTCACACTAAAGATGATCTCGACCGTGTCCTCGCCGCCTGTGACGAGGCTGGTGACGTTCTTCAGCTCAAATTCAGCTCTGGCATTGCAGGAGGTCAAGTACCAAAGCCCGACGGATCGGACAATGACAAGGAGGTCGAGGTTCGCTCTTGCCTCGAGGGCAATGGCGAGCCCGCTCTCATCGCCCCTCGATGGAAGCTCGATGAGGTCCTCCGTCGCGGTGTCAAGGACGTCAAACAACCTCTCTGTTAGATTCCCAACCTTCTCTGGCAGTAGTTCGGCGTTTGACAGCAACACATCAGCTCATCCATCCCCCTGATGAGAATTTATTCCCGCGGAAATAGACTGTCAAGAAAACTTCAACGCAATACCGCCTGCAAAGGCAAGCTCCGGCACAAACATGATGAACATTGCAAGGCGAGGCGCAAGGTTTCGCAGCCAATCGTGCCCCCACCGAAACATTACGGCCAATCCAACACATTCTCTTCTCTCCGCATTGCGCGACGGACCTCTTTTACAAAGAATATACCTTTCTTGCTCCGGCTCTTTTTCGTCCCACACGCTCCGTGGGTACCTTTCCCCACTTCCCGAGATATCATCTCTGGAAGCGGCACACAAACACCTCATACCTTCTGAGGAAAGAAAGAGCGATCATCGTGCACATTTTCGCACATCCGATCCGCGTCGAGTCTTTGTTTGCTCGGGTCTCCCCATATTGCAAGGCGTTTCGCGGCGAGAGGGCGGTGATCACGGCGAAGGAACCCCTATTTTTCTCATATTTTCATCCTGCCGAAGTCTTCGGACTTCTTTTTAATGGCGAGGCTCGGGTTTTTTTGTTCCAGGCCTGTGGCGAAGGTTGCTATCTTGGGAAGGGGATGAGGAAATGTGTTTGAAAGAGCGTGCGTCTACATGTTTTTGTGTAGCGCGTGGACATGGGTGCCCATGGGAATTTGTCGTAGGATCATACATGGATCTGACGTTGAGGGATGATGGTGGTCCGTGATAAGGAATGGAAAGGGATAGGAGGAAGAAGACCTTTTTAGATAGTGAAGAGATAGAACAATATCAACAATGATATCACAAAAACAAACAAGAAAATGGTCATCAACGTCCTGTGTCATTCCGTTGTCGCGATCATCGTCACCTCGTCCCAAGTAATCGTGTCAAGTAGAAATACGAAGTCCCTTCCAATTGGCTAGCTAAGAATATCAATGCTTGTCATGATACATCCTGTCCCCTGAAGCTTCATACGTGTACATTCTATCCTCGTCGTCCAACTCCCCTTCACCTTCGCCTCGTCGCCGCCGAGGACGACCTTCTTCAAAGTGATACATCATCGGTCTCCCACGTCCTCCTACCCGCCGAGTCGGCGATGACCATTCGGGATAACCTCCCTCGGGGCCATCGACCATTGGCCTCCGAGCCTCGTATGACGCGGGTGGAAAGGAAGAGGCAGGAGCGGAGTAGCGTTGGTGCACACGAGGTCGTGATGGCCCGCTAGAGAAACCCGGACGGAATCCTCCGTCATCATCCGCAGTGACGATGCGTCTTGGAGACGACCTCGGCTCGTTCTCTGACGCTCTGAGCGATGCTCCTCGCGAGGGATCTCTTCGAGAGGTCAAAGGCGATGGTGATGGTGATGATGATGGGATGCTGGGCAGAAGGACCTCCTCGTAGTCGTGATAGCGCGGTTGGCCCCAGCGGACGTGCTTCGTACCTCTCATGGGGCTGCTGTCGGCGCGGCGGAGCGGACGGCGCGAGGTTGCTAGTGAAGAGGAATTGCGGCGATTCACGTGGGTTGTACTGATGTGGTGGAGGGATGGGCGGCCACGATGGTCAGACTGCTCGGAGGTAGGATCACGGTGATGACGGACATGGCGTGGCTGAGAGTCCTGGCCTTGAGTCGATATCCTCTCCAGGTTCCGTGTTGCAGAGTAGTCTTTGGCCATGCCGTCGTCAGATGAATTTCTCTCGTCTTCAAAGGTGGCTGGTCTATAACGACCTCTGCGGAGAAGAGGCAGTTCTCTTTCGAGATCGTTGCTAGAAGACCGGTCGGCAGCATTTTGACGATTTTGCAGTGGCTGTGTACGTGTTCCAGCACTTTTGACATGTCCTTGTGCCCGAGAGTGATATATCGAGTCATCGATGTTTGGAAACGGACTCCGCCTTCTGACGCAGCGTCTCAGGATCACGTGTATCTCCAACGCATTGGGCTTGTCTTGAGATGGGAGGAGCCCGATGCATTGTAGGCACCATATGGCGCTGCTGTCCTTTTCGTAAGCTTCGCACCCTTTGATGAGAGCAGTGATTCGGTGCTGTTCTGTGGGCAGGAGAGCTCGAAACGAATTCGATGTCGACTCTTCTGTCGTCCCGAGCAGATTTCTGTTGAGGTTTCGAATCTCTCCTTCTGTCAAGATCCGGCACCGTTTCCAGTCCCAGGGCCAATCGGCAGCGATTTCAGCACACGTCGCGAGGATTGACAATGAGAACGCGTGATACTCGTCAAATATAACACGCGGACGTTCATTCGTGTTTACCTCCTGCGGCAAGGAAGCACCAAGTTCAGTTCGTGCTCGTGTTTGTCCGTCCGAACCCGACGTGTGTGCTGTGGGGTATTGATGTCTCATTATGATGTTGTAAATTGTCAATTTGGAACGTGGTCTTATGATTCAAAGTCGATGGCTGTGGGAGGCATTAGTCAGGGGTGGTACTGAGGATTGTGGAGCACAAGTCAAGTACACGATCGATGCTGACTTGATATGAACATTGAGGGTATTGCCTCACTTTCGTTTGAAGTATCGATTTGTGAAAGGCTTGATTGGTGATCTACAGCACTGGAATATTGCCAAAGCAGGAGGCTTGGATGCTGCTATTTATCATAGTATTGTGACAACTTGGGCAATTTAATGTCGTCGTGACATTCGGCAATTGCGTCGGCCATGGCCGGAGGCCACCCTCATAGCAGTTGCGTGCTCTCAAAATTGACAGCAAGCCTACAGGGAAGTGATGATGAAATGCATGCACCATCGTGAGAGAATCATGGTTTCCGCCAGCCTTGTGTTACAATAAGCATTGCCACGCGAAGTGAGCTGGGCATCAACGTCCGAGCAACGAATCGCCATTTGACCGGAGGGGAAAAGTTTGATATCATTGAACCTAGCTTATTCCGCTCGTGAGGTTCGTGATGTGAAAGCCAAAAGCGGTTCGGAGCAGTGAGGTTGGAGAGTGCTCCCACGCCACAGCATGCCGCGGATCAAACGACCCCACGCCTTGCTGCCATTGTGATACCTGCACTTCAAGTCAATTCTCCGCACATTTCCCTTGCCCATGTACGAGGGAACAATGCTGAGCTGGAGGTGCAAGTTTGGTTGCAACTTGAAGCCACACGCATCTTCGTGGGGGATGACGGAACAGTCTTCAAATTGATCTCCGACAGGGACTTCTAAACCCATTGCGTGACGGGGCAAGAAGACCATGCATCCGGTGGTAGGATCAGGTACAAGCCTGATGTCGTTTAAGGCAAAACGAAAGCGGTACAGTGTACTACCACGGGGTGTACTATATTCCGACCAACCTTGGAAGGAATCAGGAGCGCAGTCCGATATCTTCGGCAGTTGAAGAACCAGCCATACTGCCGTCGATAGCACGTGCATCATTGTCGTATCGTGGAGTCGGGTTCAACCGGAAGACAGCAGGCTTGACGATGGAGGGTCCCAGTCACTTGCATGCCGCGAACAGTGCGCTGTCATTCGATGCGCGTCTGGCCGCAACACGATACGCCGAGATATGCAGCCAGGCATAGATCCTTCAGATGACCCTGTGACCACTTCAAGGCACGATTGTTACCATGTGACTCTGCAATCGGTGAGATCATCTTGCAACCGGACATCCGACCGAGCTTGTCGCGCCGTGCATACAAGTACCGACCGTGGAATCATGCATGGTCGGTCGGTCCGGGAGTTCCGCGATGAAGTACCGAGGCTATCGCCACGTCACTCGTCACTCGTCACTCCGCCATGGACATGTGAGGCCAATCTTTGGTGGTGTAACTTTCGCGGACGAGTAGCAGGTCGGCACTTGTTGCTTATTATACGGGAAACAGACGCAATGCAGATTGTCAGACTGCGTCATTACGAGTCGACTGTGTACAAGGATGTAAAGCCGTCTAGGGCAGAATTTGGCGACGTGCCTTTATTGCCACGAAATACGCAGGCGGAAGTGCATTTGGGATCGTGGTGTTTGTACGACGTGAGGTTGTCTGTTGGTCATGTGATGATGATGTGATGTGAGGGCCTGGTTCGCCTTAGGGTTGGGGTCGGGTTTAGCTGAACATGTACTCACAGTCAGAGCCAACAATGCACGAACAACCGTTCCCGGGGCTGGGCCGCCTGCACCGAGCTGGATGAACATGGGACATTTGGAATGTTAAGAAGGTGAGTGACTATCGACATATACAAGTGTACAATCTACATCAGCCCAATATTTGTGACAACAGAGGGCCTTACATCATTGAACAGTCACTTGAACAAAAACGCACTTGCGCAATCCAACCCTGCCTGCTGATCAGAGATTCACGCACTGACCAGGTCATTGTACAAACAAACTAAAGGATATTCAAAAATGTGTTGCGAGGTGCAGCACTGCCTTCTTCGTCCAAGGCTTGTGCCACGTCCATAGGGACGAAGAGATCACTCGACTGACCAGCATGGGTGCCCACGCCAGCGCTGAATCCATTCATGGCTTTGGTGAAGAGAGACACATCCCGGGTGACCGGACCTACCACCTGGTCCATACAAGGACCGCCAGCAGTCCATCGGACACGCTGCATTTTGCATTTCCTCCCGCTTGCTCCGTCGTTCTCGTTGTCGGTGGTGTGAAAGAAGGCGACGGTCGAGTCTTTGAAGTTCAGGAAACAGCCAAGCCCAGGCCCATACGGCCCGTGAGTTCCACTTTGCAGCAGTGGCACATCACTCTTCTGCCAGGAGCGGGGTTCGAGAGGACTACCTCCGAGAAATCGAAGTGTGTTTATCTTGGACTCCTTTGTCCAGTTGGCACTGCAGCTGTAGGCGATTCCTTGCCAAAAGGAATCTGGTGACTCAAGCCACTGCGGGCCTTCGACGAATCCGCGATCCCGATACCTCTCGAAAGGGCGATCTGGCCGACAAATCATCACCGGAGTAGATGCGACTGTGACTGGGTCAAACAGCGGCGCTATAAAGAGCTGTTGGTCCGGCTCCGACTCCTTGTGCTCGATCTGATCAAGAGATTGAGCCGAGTACACCAAATAGTGCCTCCCGTCGATCATGATGACGGTACTGTCGATTGCGAATTGACGTTGATCCAATCCTCTGACGGGCCCCATGAATTCCCAAGAGTTTCCATGAGGATCCATTTCCGCTGGAGGCCCTCTCAGCACGTAAATTCGATGCGACTTGTCGCCCAATTTAGTGTCCGCCGCGGAGAAATATATGTACCAGAGTCCTCGCATGCAATGTAGTTCCGGTGCCCATAGTTGTGCAGAGCAAGCGGTGCCTGAAGGAGGTACCCTGTAGTACCATAGTCAATAAGGCATACACGCTACGCTGTCGGGCTTCATACCAAACCTGACCAGTGTGTGGCTTGTCCTACAAGTCATTCAGGCATCGGGCATCCCACATGGGGATTCGATTGTCGGCGGTGAACATGAAATAGAATTTGCCGTTGACATAGCGGATATGAGGATCGGGCGTAGGTCTGTCGGTGACGTTGTAGCAGATATTGTTGTAGGACATGATTGAGATTTTGAGCAAAGTAGTTTCAGGAATGGTTTCAAGAGGGGTTTGTTTGATATAGGAAATGATGCACGATTGATGGTTGAATATCAAATGAAGGTCTCTGACATCTTCAGCGTTCAGAGGCTGCTGAGGCAGGTGTTACTGCAGCGCGAAACGCGGACATGTCGTTGCCCTATGTGCGTGCTTCAACTCTCCGATGATTATGCAGCAGCGACGGGCCATGCCATGGCAATTGTCGATTTGGAATATACCTGGGTACCTAGGTAGGTAGCATTCGCTGCATGTTCTCTGTCTGTGAGTGGAGATTTTGTCAATTCCACCTGCATAGAATCACTTCAGAAGCCACGGCGATCCACACTGAAGCACGGAGCTGTCGCTCCGGTGTTTCGAAACGTGCTCGGAAGAGAATATGCGTTTCAACAGATCTCAGATTGGAGTTTGTCGTCATTGATAGATCCGGACTTTTGGATTACGGTACCTGGGTGATTACAATGACACAGATTTCGGTCGTGGCGGATGAAGTGCTCCGAAGATATGGTAGGTACCAGGTTCAAGGCCCAGACCCGCGAGGTTCCAGTGCCTAATTTACAAGGTTTTGTCTCTGGTGGGTGATGTCCGCGTCGGATGAATTGTATCCTACCAAAGCCTTTCAGGATATCCTGTAACATGTCGTCAGAATAACGGTGCAGATGCAGATGTCTTGGTGTTCACTGCGCAGATGCTATCAAATTCACAACAATTACGTAGAGACGATAGAACTTCCTGCATGGAGTATGCACGAAATGAAGATCATCAAACGGGTGTGCCCGCTGCGTCGCCAAGGTGATGAGGACCCATGATTGGCCGGTTTGTATTTACCCCAGAGATTCGAGAACGCCCAATTGCAAGAGCCGCGTCAGGGAGACAAAGAAAGAGAGAGAGGAGAAAGCCGTGGGCGAAGTTTATTATTACTGCAAACGCCGCGCGTGCTCGACTACTAGCACTGTAATTAATTAACACTCGGCTCAAATCACCTTAGCGCTTTGAACACATCCTCCTTTCATGAAACAGATCGTCCTTCCTCCTCACCACATTGTATTCGTGTACACTACGACTTGAATCGCCACAGCGCACAGCAGTCGCAAAATCGACCGTCTTTTCCTTCCGACCAGGCAACACATTCATTACATTTCGAATCTACCAAAACCGCGCGACTCTCGGCCGCAACAAACATTCGCTTCACTTGCTTCGGGAGAGCGAAAGTCGCCCCCGTATCGATCGCATTTCGAGCACGAGAACACCGCACAATTAATACCACGACCACAACACATCATCACATCGCAATGCGCTTCTCAACGTCAATATCTTGCCTACTGGCATATTCAGCATCCTACGCGCTCGCCTTCGACTCCACAAACTCCACCAGCGAGGACCCGTCACCCGCACAAGACGTCGAGTGAGTCCGCCTCTTTCCCCCTTCCCAGATCGCACAAGCGCAATGGAGAGAGACTCCTAACCGATCCTTCTCCATCGCGAAACGAAAAAGCACAAAGACTGACCACTCCGTCAACCGAACAGACCGCGACAAGTCACAGGCGTAAACCTCGGCCTCGTCCAAAACCCCCTCCAAGTACCGCCCGTCACCACAATCTTCCTCCCAACATCCTCCGGCCTGTCAGCGACCTGGCTACCCAACATCTACACCCAGACGTTCCCGCCCGTGCCCGAACAATGGCCCTCACCGGTCGCCGGCGAAATCGGATATGGCACGTTGACGAAAGGGAAGCGAGCGGCGCAAATCACGCCGCCGCCGACGGTGCTTGAAACGGGGATTGCGGGGCGGATTCGGCAGTGAACTAAAGGACAGGGGGAGAAGAAAAATGAGGAGATAGGTAGGGTGAGGCGGGGTTGCATGTCCCTCGAGAGGGTGGATGGAGGAGGAAGGGGTGGCAGTGCTGGTCATGGGTGTGATCGGCGATTCCTTGGGGGAGAAATCCCTGGAGAATCCGTCATCAACCTCGAACTCCCTGGCCTGGCTACGCACGGCGTTTCTCGGTCGGAAAGCGGCTGCAATGCGACTTTGTCGCCGTGTGTTTGGATCACGGACCCCACTGGTTGGGATCCCACCAAATTGGAGGCATGGCGAAGGGCGGGCAAGAGGAGCACGGATTGGGTAGTCCTTCGAGGGTGTCGGGCGAGAGACATCGGTCAGGCGAGAGAGCCAGGGGGCGGGGCTTCCTTTGACCTTTATTCTGTGTAGCGTTTTTGGCGTGGTTTTGTTTGGGGCATGGCGTGGGCAAATGGCATAGGGACGGCGTGTGGCAATTATCCTGGAGTCTCATTTGAGGGGAAGGGAACATTCTGATGTTGGGAAACCCTTTGGCGGGTTTTCCTTGTGGCGAAACGCCTCCTTTTCTTCCTTCGATTTTCTATCTCTCTTCTTCCCAGATGGATTTACTGACCTCTTCGAATATTCAGAGACTTCTACTCTCAAAACAATTGAAAGAACTTGTTTACAAGTGAAAGCATGACTCGAATTTCTTATGTTTTCCGTGATGATTGGATACTAGTGTTGCAAGCTCTTGTACAGGCGCTGATTCTACAGTGATGATTTCTAGAAAAGCCAAACAAGGAGTGTCCCGAGAACGACCGCATGCATGACGACCACGAGGGCACATGCCTTCTTCTGCATTGCCAACGAAGGCAAATTTCCATCCGTGGAATTCGTCAAGAATGGCGTCTGGCCGTTGCCGTTCCCGTCCGGGCCTGCAGGACTTGACGATAGATCGACTTCAGGAATATCACAAGTCGTGGCAGTCGCCGTGTTGAGCTGACACGCCTTCATCGACGCCGCTGAGATATTCGCATCGGAGGAGTTGAAGTACGCCTTCACATAGCTGACGGTGAGCGCTGCATCGGACGACGGTGGTCCAGCACTCCAGCCTGGATTGCCATTCGACCAATGCGAAATGTGCAGGCGTCCCGGCGCAGTTGGGATGTTGTCTGTCATGGAATTGACCAGCTTGTTGTCTGCAAAGAAGTCCACTCGACCTGGCAGCCAATCGAAGCGATACTCGATGAACCCCGATGATGGCTCACGCGGCAAGGCCACATGAGCGAAGTTGGGCGAACCTGGTGCGGTATACCCTAGTCCACCGTTCTCTGGAGACTGGATGACGAGGTTCACTGAGGCGTTATTGGGCAGCTGCTGTTTGGACAGAAACTCCATGTCGATTTCCGAGGTGTCGTCGCGGTAGAAGAAGAATGCGCCACAGGTGCCATTAACCGTTGTTGTCTTCAATCCGATGCGAAAACTGCCGTATAAGATGTCGCCGCGCTGCATCACGATTTCCGCGCAATGCACCATGGAGCCGCCGCTGTCACCTGGTGTGAGGGTTCTGTTCACCCAGAGTTGCAGGCCAGGATCGCCGCCGCGCACGCTGGAGCCAGCCCAGCTGTGAGGGTCCCGGAGAGGATTTGCAGCGACATTCTTGACGTCGAAACTGCGGCCTAGAGGACCATTCGCGGCTTGTGCAGTTTGTCTGTACTCCTGTGGGAGCCAGAGATCAAGCTTGGCGGCGTTGCCGATGTGTAGGAAGTCGGTCTCGACCGCTTCGGTGAGTAGGATGGAACCGGATGATGGTGAATCGAGCTTGTAACCGCATGGGCAGTTGGCCGCCGACACAAGGCCAAGTAGCGAGAGGAGGCCGGCGATAGCGAAGTTTGAGATTGGAGAGATAGTCATGTTGCCGTAAGATGTACGGCGATATGGATTTGGAAATGAAGATGCTCGTCCATACTAGGTACTCTGCTACTGCCACAAGTCGTCAGAATGGGGAAGAAGAAAGCAAGAGGGTGGAACAAAGGAAGGTGCGGTGAAAATAGATGAGGAGGAGGAGGAGGAGGAGGAGGAGGAGGAGGAGGAGGAGGAGGAGGAGCAGGAGAAAGAAGTAGTCACATGTGGCTCTCATGAGCATTTCCGTGACTGCCCAGGTGCCGCGTCAACCCCGTATCCTTGTGTGAAAGGCCACTACCTACTACCTAGATACCTAGGGTATTTCATATCTGCAGGTGGGCAATCTCCACGCGAGAGAATCTTGGAATGCTCCGGTAGCACAAGGCTGAAACGAGCCGGCCATACTACCTAGGTACCTAGGTATCCTTAAGTCGTGTCCGTGTTTCTTTCATGACCACGGGAACTTGGAATGAAACGGATCATCATCACTGCAGGCGTTCTTCATCATCCAGCCGCAACCCTTGTGTGACCACGGGAGAAAAGGAGAAGCCCTGGAGTGCAAATACAGAAATATGATGGATTGGTATCTCTCGGTCTGTACGCGGCTATCGCGCAAGGTCGTCAACACATTGATGGGACACGTAAAATTCTCAAGCTCGCGCCAAATACGCCAGAACTCCTATGCCGCCCGTGAGAAAGCAAAAAACATCCAAAAATGTATGATCAGATGAATCATCAGCATACCTCCTCCGCCCCGCTTCCGTGAAAAGTACCAGCCCCAGCCGTTTCATCCTCGCAGTCGGCTGCCCAGGTTGTATTCTCGAAAAAAATTGCAAATTCGTAAATCGCGCCGCTGTTCGGCCAGGATGAAGTTTTGTTTTGAGAGACGGGGCTTCCGACTCGTTTTTCAATGTGGAGGGCCTCCGCGTGAAACTCCTCACAATTTCATGCTCATGTTGAGGACTCGAATCTGATCATGGCTACGCCTATCTCCTTGATCAATAGAGGGCGTGGCTTGTCGTTGTAGAGTATTTTAGATGCATGCCTGCCTTGGGCATGTTGCATGTTGCATGTCGCATCGGCGGCCGGCAGGATATGATCATGAAGGGCATGAAGCCATGGGAGATACCGTGATCACTTTGTCGTGCTCACAGGAATCCTGATTCGGAGAGCAGTCTAGACACAATGTCAGCTCTCGGTCCGGCTTTCCAAAAACCATGTTCTTTACTTACCTTGCGATCTTCTCGTCCTCGCGTTCACGAGGCTCGACTGCCAAACTACGCTCATACATCTCGTGCACATCACTGGCGGTGTCCATATTCTTCTGGAGGTAGTCCTGCAACTCCGGCACGGGCTGCAGCCCGTACGGTACGTTCTGGTATTGTTGAATGTCGCGGATGATCTCGGCCGTCTTGATGCGTTTTCCGAAATTGATCAACGTCGTCTTCTTGAGGATGCTCGGGATTCCGTCCTCGATGAACACCAAGTCGGTGAGGTAAATACCGAAGAAGGGAATGCAAGGCGGATTGGCCTTGTTTAAAGTCTCGCGATACTCGCTGAAGTTCTTGGACGAGCCCATCAGCTTACGCAGGACTTCGAGAGTTGCACTGGTGCGCTGGTGAACCTGGCCCCAGGTGCGAGATAATCGGTGGATTGGTGCAGAGCCCATGGCCGAGATGATGGAAGTCAGGCATGAAAAGTTGTTGAGTTGGCGGCACCTGTCGGCGATGTTGACAAAGTGCTTGATCACGGCGGCACGGCGCTTGACATCGTTTTGCGTCAAAATCATCTGCGCCACCCAGTTCGTGAGCTGGTTGGAGTTGAAAATGAGTGCTTTCAAATTCTCGGCCGGATCGGGCTCGCCCTCTTCGAGTTTCTTCTGCCACGCTTGACCTAGACATTCGGTAGCTTTGATCTTAGTGTACAGCTTGAACTCGAGAATCGTCAGTTGGCGCGCAAATTCCAGTGGGTCGATGTCGAGGAACCTGAGCTTCTTGAGGTTCTTGGGAACAATCGGCGCCGGCGCGTTATTGCTCATGGTCAAGATCAGGCGTTTGCTGGAGGCATCCTGGCTTCGCATTCTTTGTTCGATGGCTGTCATCAGCGGGCCTGCTCCTGGAGTGCTGGTCGACTGTACAGTATCCTTGGCGAATTTATAAATCTCCTGCATAGTCTGCTTGCTGGCCTCATCGTCAGGCTCCATCCAGTAGGTGTCAAACCATGATTTGAGGATGTTGACAACCCGGAATCGAATGGGCTTTTGTTTCTTGTCCGTCCAAATTTGCATATCTTCACCGGAAAGCCCGAAAGGTGGTTGAATGGTCCAACGACGCACCAGCATCGCAAACAGCTCTGCTGCAGTTGTGAAAGATCTATATGTCAACAGGAAGGCGTTGTTGAATTTGTGGTCATGGCGATCGTGTCGAGTCAGCTGCTCTACGAGTCCTACTAATGTTCCACCACGTAATGCTGTCACGCCGTTCTTAGTCTCGTATGTAAGCTCGCCATCGTGATCCAGTCTCAAGTATGAGGGCATCTCGTCGGAATCGCGTGTAGGCTCCGTCGATGCTGGGCTCTCTCCGAAGAACCTCGGGACTTTGTTACTCTCAAGTGACGATGCTGCCGTCGATGCGCTACCTTCGCTGAAGGAATGTGACTGACCGCTGCCGGCCAAACTCGGCCTTGAAGCTGTCGATACGTTTCTCGAATGCTGATCGAAAGTGATGGTGCTGACAGTCCGGCGATGGTCTTCCTTTTCTTTTCCTTTCTCGACTGCAGGCATCGATTCCGCCAGGACTGAAAGACAGAGAAGAACCTGAGCGCAGGTCATATCGAGATCTCTACTGGCGCCTCTTACGCGGTTCAGTCTATCTTCCATCGATTGCCCTCGAACTTCAGCCCATTCGTCGGCCAATGGCATGGATGTATCTTGACAAGCAACAACAAGATCCGAGGTCGCATCGTACATCTTTTGCTTCTGTTCCGCAAATTCGTGCAGTTGCATCGTTTTAAGATGCGCACTGAGCGGAGCGAGATCGATTGACTCTATCGCAGACAAAAACGGCTGACATGTCTCAACGACTTGACTTGCCGATTTGCAAATGGTCGTAGATATTTGTCGATGTCTCTGCGGTGTGACGAGCTTCTCGCGGATTGACAGGTGCTCGTCTAGACGCCTCGTCCGCGCCATGATCATCTGCTTTAGCTCCTCCATTCGTTGAAGAAGTGCCTTGTCAAGCATCGCCGTTGGCTCCGGCGCCAATTCTGGCTCGTCGTCTATAAATGAGATATTGGCCAGAGGGTTGTGTGTCGCGAGACCGTTAGTCTGCCAATTCCCTGCTGTCGTGCTACCTGTCACGAAACCTGGTGTCAGGCGAGGAATCTCCTCTCCTCGCTGCTGTCGTGCAACATCGACAAATGCCATGACGCCATTCTTGAAGAGTTCTGCTTCTTGGAGGCACTTCTGATGCGAATCTACTGCGGGGAAATCTGCCGCTGCGATGTGTGAGGAAAGAACAAGTTTGGAAAACCGAGACATCATTTCTCTGAAGTGCGGGTATAGTGCTTTGTTGTTCGAAATGATTGAAGGATTGCCGGAGTGATTGTCTGTCGTGCCTGAGGCGGCCGCCAATAGCAAGCGCACATAATCTGAGATGTCCTCCGCTCGGCGGACGTACTCGGATCGTTCCCCATTTCGAATAGTCTCGCAATAGCGAGAAACATATTGCGTCGTATGTCGAAGTAAGGCATCCCACGTCAAAGGCGTAGCTTGGGAATCATCGAAGAAGCGGCGCGGTAGAACTGTGTTGCTGAGCATCCCCACAGATGCGTTGGCGAAGGAAGTCATAGTAGTCCCGACTGGCGGAATTCCTTGTTGCAGGGCCGAGAAAGATTCATTGACGCCCGATCTGCTCAAATTCAGTGCATTGGCATCGCTCAAAGAGTCCGTTGAAGCGGCGGGCGACACTCCGTTTTGGAGATTTGACCTGCCAGGGCGCTGCTAAAACGGAAAAGGATGTCAGTGATCGCAGATCGCGCGCACGACACGAACATCGCGAAACTTACATTGGATGACGTTGAGAAAGGTATTTCCTCAGCCTCCGACGCCGAGGTATAATCAGTATCATCGTCACGGTCATGACTGCCCGACATGATGTCGGCAGGTGGTCGCGTTTGGTCAGGAATGAAGACATTGGTGCGATCGCGAGGCCCAGTCTCCGTTGCGGACGATGGAGATTCTAGCGGGAGCTCCATAGTGCTGGCACCAGTCAATGTATTGAAGTAGAAAAGCCTTCCATCTGGTGTGGCCTGTGGTATCCAAAATGCTGCTTCTTCCTGAGTCCTGATCGCCGGCGCTCCATTTCTGCTGCCCACGCCGTTGGCTGCGTGATTTGCTCCACGATTGTGATATTCCTCCTCCAACTCGTCCGCCTCTGATTCAGCCGCGCCCGTAGCGATATGACTTCCAACTTCTTCATCGTACGGAGGTGAAATGACCGTGCAGTAGTTGCTGGGAAACCAACCGCGCACGCCGTGTATTACACCATCCCACCAGCCGCTCTCCAACTGAGTAATGACCTGGATGATGTCGTTTGCTCGGAAACTCAAGCTGATGCGGTCGTCGGCATCGTAATCGTACAGTGCCCGTACATAAAGTTGACCAGGAGGGGCAACGCTGCCTGAGAGCCCATTCATAATGTGCGTCAATCGAGCTGGAAGTGCCACCGGATGAGGGCCCGCCAACAGAAGATCAAAGACAAGTTCAGTCGCGCCAGCACGTAAGAATATCGAGAAGTCCAATTAGCTATTGCCTGCGCCGGAGAACCAGTTCCCGCTGGCGAGGCGCAGATGTTGACGAGGTGCAAGAAGAGAATTCAGGCAGAAAACCGTCCAAGATTGCGATACAGGAGAGCGACAGTGAGAATAGATTGATGTAGTCGCACCGGGAGTCGTAGTCAAACAACACGGATGCCGATGTTGAGCGTTGGGTGTAATTCTCCACCGATCCGTACGCAGAGGGTATGGCACCTTTGTCTACCTCCGCGTTGTGTTGCCGCAGTCGCCGCGCCTCGTCGCCTCTCCGCGTTGTGTGTAAGCGTACGTGCGTGTGTGCGGGCGCGCGTGTGTATTGTGGTCGTCTGTCGCAGGGCCTTTCGATCTGTCGATCTACCCATACGATGGGGATCTTACTTCAGTAGTATGCGAACAGATGCAAGTTGATACGTTGTGATTCCCACTGGCATGTGCAGTTGTGCAGGTACCCTGACTCCTCACTTGCGCTCTCCTCCACAACCCACCTTGCGCTCTCCTAATATAAAGCACAACCCTGTCTCAGAATGGCGGGATGGCCCACACGCTTGCGGCAGCAATATCTACAAGTGCCCAAACATATGCTACCCGTCTGTATACAGTACACTCGCTCCCTACCATACGAACAGGATTGATCCCCGAATGTCGTTCTATCGGATGTGAAATATGGACAGCCTTCAATCTTTTTCCTGCTGGTCGAGGCTAGCGAAATGATCGTGGAGCAGCGTGGCATCAATCGACAATGACAACGATGATGACGAGGGCCACATGCGCTGGTTCTCGTCGTGACGAAAATACGCTTTTGCGAGACGGTGATGGATAGCGCCGCTACGATGGATACCCACTGACCAGTCGCTGGATCTCGGCCTTAGGACCTAAATTGTCACTCATCTTTCTGCTCCCCGAGGGCTTCCAGAGAGCGGACCAGGCGCGATGCAAGTTGTCTTTACCGAGGCACAACACGCAACTTCATCCAACATTTCAATTTATTTTAGCGAGCGACAGCCACCTTTTGCTGAAGTACATCGCCAGTGACATGAATACTTGATTGCAAGGCTGTCTGAGCATACGTACGAGAGCGAGAGCCACGGCGACAATCGGATCGATCTGCTGTGGTGAAATTGCTCTCCGATGGGTTGCGACTATGCTGTATGTATAATTTCTGTGTTCGCGAAGCACATCTGCAGCCCTGCAGAACAGTCCTAGGACACGATGCTACAGGACAAACGTGACAGAATTATCCGATTGCAAGCGAAATTTTTGGTTGCACTTGTTCTGGACACATCCGCCCAGGCGTTGAAGAGAAATCATGGGTGATGTGGTGAAGCGAAACTTGGATCCTGATAGCACGACGTTTGATGCGCGTCGGTGGATGGAGTGAATACCTACCCAGGTAGGTATCTTGCAAATGATCGTGAAATACGCGAAAGCAAGGCATGGCTTCCCCATATCCAACCGAACGATTTCCTGTAGGCCCGGGGATTCTGGGTGCATAAGGTTGTTCAACGGCAGCGCGATTCTCCCGAATTATGATTGATGCTCAGTCAGCAGTGAAATCGCGTGAAGCTCAATTAAGAGCACGCGTTCTCGAGACATGCTTGTAATTCGAAGCATTCGGGAAGACCAATAACGCCAATAAACTGCAAAAAGATGTTGGGAAACAGTCGATATAATCGACCGTCTCAATCATAGTGAGAATGCCTCATAATGCGCGCAACACGATCGGAGACAACCGTCGATGGTCCGTCTTACCCAAAATGTCAGGCCATCATGTGATTTCCGTCACTACATTACGATGACAGCCACCTGCGCAAGGATGAAGGGCTAACCAATTTACATTTCGTAGCAACTCGTATACAGGAAACAAGAAGCCGATCATCACGAGCTTGATCGGGAAAAGTATCCCAGCGGTCCGGCACCGCTTCCAAGGCCCATTCGATCCGGCCACAAGCGTCGCGGCGCCGACGGGGAGTGACGGGGAAGCCCTCTCCCGCCCATCAGGTGTACACTTATAGTGGTCCGCTGCCAATTGAAACGCGCGCCGCACTTCCCGAGGTTGTAGTAGTGACGACGGATCGTGGCAGCCGTTCAGCGCCACAAAATTCCCCAAGCCTTGCTGGAGTCAAGCAAGCGTGGCCTTGACGGGACGATGGAGTGCCGTGGCTCGCTGGAAACACACAATGATGGATGATGATGACGATTTATGGTGATGATGGACACTGATGGTGAGGAAAGCGTTGCGGGGAGATGAAATTGCCAAGCCCTATGGTTTTATTATTCATCTCGCATGTGCAATGATGGTAATGATGATGGGGATGGGTGAGCCTCCGATCATCAACGAAGAGGGTGTGTCACGAAGAGAAACAAATGCACACGATATGATGCTTTACGAATGTCCCCTGCAAAGGCTGCCGAATAGGAACCTGCGGGCGCTGGCAATTTTCTCGAATCAGTGGACAATTGCCGATTCCCCATGCAGTCGCGACAACTCCGGCGCATCTCACGATGTTTCTGGAAGTCTGTGCTGGCTGGTCGGTACTGGTTGACTTTATTCGTTGTGATAATGTGCCAGGATACCGTCCCGCAACCCCTCCAGCCCACTAGAGGATCACCAGAAATTTACCTCAGAGGGGTTGAGATGGGGTTTGAAGGAGCGCAACATGAAGTGTCCTTTTGCGCAGGAGAGGACACGACGGAAACCATAGGTGAAGCAGAAGGATTTCAAATACGCACCGAAATCCATCACCGCCTCGGACGCGCGACGCTATGTGTCCCTGTCCATTGTCCAGGATCCGTGAAGGAGTGCCAGTGGGTTGAGAACGGTTATAGAATGTTATTACTATATTTTCTATGGAGGATTTTGAGCGAAATGTCACATCCGCCATTCCACTAGGCTGTCGGCTTGTGGGATCCTGCTCATCACAGCGGATCGTCGCCTTTACGACGACAGGCGGGCGGTGGTAAAGTGGGGCTCGAGGACAATTTCATGTGATGGACGGTCTGGCCGAGATTGGCTGATCCGCTGTTTAAAATTACCGTCGGTGTCTCTGATGGTTGGCCATGTGTTTCTTTTTATCCCCGGACTGGCGCGCCCATTGAAGTCATCGTTGACATCCATCGTCTTCGTCCCTACGTCAATGCGATGCATAGAAGATGTGTGCATTGCTCGCTTATAAAACCCCGGACTGTACCGAGATGTCCTGTTCAAGTCTGATCAACGATGTTTTCTTCGGTCCATGTTCGAGAAATACGAACGTCAAGCAGCTACAACCGTCAACCCTGATTTCCTCCTGGCACATAATTTCTGACATCTGCAAACATATCCCCTCGTGCCCCTCTCGTTTTGGTCCTTCTGCCGGCATTGCTCCCGCGCCTCCCCCCCAATGCGGACGCGAGGTTGGTCAGACCAGCCGGTGAGAATCATTTAGTGGGAGACTTTCTGAAGGAATGCTTCCCCGGCCGCCGGTGTCCGGGTAGCTCAACGGCCACGACCCGTAACCGTGCCTACGGTCCTGGCGATCGCGGACGAAGTGGGATGCGAGTGGGCTGCTTGAATCATTCCACATCGATTGAGGGCACTATCGTTCCCCCGCCAAAATTTTCCAAACACCTGCAGTCGTTTTGAGAAATAAAAGTTGCGATGAGAGCAGACAGTATCATGCGGTAAATAGCCATCATGCAAGCAGAATCTGGGCCGGCCGCGAGCGAGGAATGTCGCGGTGAGATGATGCAGCCTACGTGCATCACGCGAAAGGTCGCCGACAAGTTATTAGCCGTCCACTACTGTAAGGCCAAACCTTGGACGTGAACTTGTCAGAGTAATCCTGACTTAACTATGTTATTGTACATTGCTCAAGCCGCAGTGTCATGGTCGCAACCTTTGAAAGTGAGGAATGTCCGGCTTTCGCTCATGAATCGTCATCACGTCATCGGCAGCTCTAGAGTCACTCATGCTTCGCTCATGATGCCCCTCTTGCTAATGCTTCATGTCGCGATGTAGTACTGCGCATTTAACCTAGAGTTGAGCAAGCGAGGTTGACACATGAGAGGGCTGGCCTGCATGTGCGGTTGAAGACGCCTGCATTGCGATTAACTTGATGCATTTCTAGTAGCAGGAAAAGCCAGAGCTAATGTAGGTTCTCTACTTCATCATCAGGGCATATATGGCCTGCAGGAAGCGAGGCTGGTGAGTGCAGAATCACATCCCACAAGAAAGTGGCGGTGACGACTGCGTGCTGGATGTCCCGGGGTGGACGAGTGATATCGCAGAGCCGCGTTCTCCGTGAGGATGCACGACCGCCGCCTCCGGAATCCATGTGCTTTCACGATCGATCCTGTCAGAAGTGCTGATGGGAAACGTGCGCGGGATGAACGCGTATTGGACACGGGGTTCACGATCTCAACGAAACTTCATAGGGTCACAATTCATCGCAGTGTTCCAAGGTTGTCAGCCACACCCGGGCCAAGATTGTATTCATCAAACACATCTGGATCGATCCTATGCCATCAAGAATTCTGTGGTTGGCCCTACGAAAGCCAGCAAAGTAGAAGCCGAATCGGGCGAGCAGCGTCCTGTGGAGGCGGTGGGAACGACGCGATTTGTCGCGATCCCACAGCGTGTTGTCCGAAGTGTCAGTGGAGGTCTTCTTGTATACCTAGAGGTGAGTGAGCGCGTATCGCATCGAGCACGCCGATGGCGCATATGTGTATCCCTTTTATGCAGTCCCTTACGACAGTGTTTGGGAATCACTATAGAAAACATACACAGCGTCCATGTGGGATCGCAACATGGAAGGTCAGGAAGCGAACTGCCTGTCCAAAGGAGCACTCTGAAGTTGATTCGTCATATGATATGCTCACGTATCACACACATATCTGTGTCGGTCGGCCGCAGCGCAGCCTTCTACTCTGGGCCGGCAGCAGAAGGAGGAACCGCCTCCACGCAGTATGATTATCCTTTACTGGTGTTTCCGTTCCACACACAAATGTCCAAACAGGGATGTTTTACTCTAGCCAAGAACCTGTAGGCAGGTTTGTTGACGAAGGGATCTTGGAAGCCTGGATCTCACGAGCAAGATCTCGCGAGCAAACTATCACTATAAAGGCTGATATGTCTGTCTATCAGATACTCAGACTCTAATCACCTGGATCCGCAGCTGATCATCCTCTTCAGAGATGAAGGCAAGCGCCATCTTGACAAGGGCTCATCAGGAATGCATACCCTCGGCGGACGATACGTGTCGAAACGCAGATACAATCGCATTGTACTGTCCACACGTAAGATGCATACAAGGACGCGTGCATGGAGGTGTGTGTGACGAGCGTGATGAGATGCCAGAGCCCGCCCTTGCGGATTCCATTACTAGACAATCCACCGCATCTACGTATAGTATAGTACACATCTATTACAGGGCACCACCGCCACTACCAAGAAGACAACAAGATGCAGCAGTAATGTAATGTACCGCACCACCCTCAGCGAACAGCATCACCACCACCACCACCACCACCACCACCACAACAAGTGCCATGTCTCCCGGCCGGTGCTCTGTGCGCGGTGCATCATCTTAGCCGCACCGGATCCATCAGTCTGCACACGATTGCCTTGGACGTTGGACAACCGACGCTACACATCCACGCCAGTATCGCCTGGCTTTTCTGTTTCCCCCCTCTCCCTCCACCCCCCGCCAGCCTACTACTGTATGTGCCCTCCTCTTTGTGGTCTTGGTCTCGTAGAGTTATAGTACGGTATAGCACAGTACAGTGCAGTGCAGCCCGAGTGCTCGTTCCTGCAGTCCTTCTCCCTGTTGGTTGTTACATCACACAGTACAGTACACAGCGAGCAGAACCTCCGTAGAGTTTCCTCGCGGCCTGGTGATTCATCGGAAATCTGTCAGAAAGAGCCCGCTCGCCGCCCGCCGCCCGCCTTCCTTCCCGCCGCCTATTCAACTTTCCCAGTCCAGCCCCTCCTCACCTCTGCCCATTTCTCACTTGCCCACTTGGACGCCCACCACTTTCTCCGCAACGAACGCCGCGTACACTGTCGCATCATCATCACCATCAACACTGCAACTACCATCAACATCGCCATCATCACGACCTCGTGTCCATTCTCCTATTTCGTCGTTGTTCGCGCACGACGGTATCCATCGGCTTCACCTCACGAAGCCTGCTCATCGTCGTTGCTCGCCCGCTTTCTGGGGAGCTTCGGAGCTTTCGCGGCGCACATGTTCTCGCAGACCGTAATGCAACATCCTTCGCAACAACAATTCATCAAACATTGACACATCGGATCTGCTGGCCGCACAACGAGGAGCCTCTTTTGAAATTCAACATCATCGGCCACTTGTCGTTCACCCCAGCGGACCTTCGTCGCAATGTCAGCCGTCGCTACCACTGTTCCGCCGGCCGCCGCCGCCGCTGCTCCAGAGTCACCTACAACGACCCGGAAAGCCTCAACGAGCGGGGAGACCAAAGAGAAAGAGAAGAGATATAAATGTCAATTTTGTAATCGAGCCTTTTCACGCTCGGAGCATCGATCGCGTCACGAACGTTCACGTAAGTCATCCCGTACATTCGGAGTGTTTCTCACTCCAACAAGGCTAGCGGGGTTGCCCTCGACTTGGTCTTGGAAGAATCCATCATTGCATCGTGTCGCGTCATCGCTTGTGTCAGAGCAGACAGTGCATCGTCTTTCAGTACATCGAGGAACTAACAGTACCATCACAGACACAAAGGAGCGACCGTTCAAATGCCAAAAATGCCGTAGCACGTTCGTCCGACGAGATCTATTACTCCGCCACGACCGCACCGTCCACGCCAAAGATGGCGGAGTTCCACTGCAGAGCGAAGCGAAGCGACGGAACACGGGCAACCAGAGCAAAGCAACAGCAACAGCGGCATCAACAACGACAACAGCACCCGAAACGCCTGCAGCAGTGCCAAAGCCTCAGCCTGAGATCGAGGAGGCAACTCTTGATCCTTTCGCCGATGGCGCAAACCCCTTTGACGTGGAGCAAGCTGCTATGTTGATGACAAATTTCCAGCAAAAGGCAGCCATGTCAGGTCACGACACCAGCACAATTCAAGCGGATACACTGATGTCGCCCGTCGGTCCGTCTTTGCTCGAGCCTCCCATGCCCACCTACCCAGGTTCCATGACCTTGCCGCAAATGCACGGCTGGGATCAGATGCTCCCTCAAAGCATTTCGCAACCTAAGCCAGCGTCGATATCCAGTGGAGAGCCACAACATGACCTTCCTTTGCCATATGCTACGAGCAATACCTCCAATACATTGCCTCCACTCATGGAACGCGGTCAAAGCCAGCAAGATGGCCTGCCGTCGTTTGGAACATCGTCAGTCTTGGGCGGCCTTGGAACGCCGAGTGCACTGTCACCTTTTCCGTCCATGCTCGGCCCGGTCTCACCAGTGGACTACCGCCGATCACCTGGCCCGCCGCAGCAATGCACCATGGCCAGAGCGCCTCAAGTAGAGACGGAAGATCAGATCAATCGCATCATGGACAACATCCGTCGCTGTGATAGTGAACTGGCTCTGATGGAGACCTTCCGCTTGCCACAGACCTCGGTCATCAACCGATACCTGAACACCTACTTCAACTTTTTCCACCACCATCTGCCCTTCCTGCATCCGGCATCGTTTGATCCAGCTCAAGTGGCTGCGCCGCTGTTGCTGTCCGTGCTGTCGATCGGTGCGCTGTACACTTTCGAACAAGATTCTGCGTACATGCTACACATCGGTTCAAAGGTCTTAGTTACGCAATTCTTGCAGAACAAGGACGACTTCAGTTCTCGAAAGTCTCCACTCTGGATGATGCAATGCTCTCTTCTAAACATGAGCTTCGCAAGCTGGAGTGGCGACCCGAAGGGATTGGAGTGGGCATGCTCCATCAAGTCTACCTTGGGACAATTAGTGTCGGGCAATAAATACGAGCTGAACGTTCGAAAAGAGGCACGAGAAGGCCGACAGCCGAGTCACGCCGAATGGATCGAGGACGAGAGCTGCAGACGTACCTACTATGCCGTCTACATCTTTTTTGGTCTCCTGACCTTGACCTACAATCACACGCCGGCCATCAATTTCAACGAGATCAGCGAGTTGGATCTGCCATCATCGGAGACACTGTGGAATATGGATCTCGTCGACAGTGAAACTTGGAACGAAGCTTTGTCGACCAACACAATCATGAGCTGTCGCGATGCTCATGATGCATTATTCCAAGGTGAGGCAACACGGTATAGTGCCTTTGCAACCCGTGTTGTAATCAACGCTCTGTTCTTGGAGGTCTGGTACCACACTCGCAGTCCTGGCGCGCTTCAAGATGTCGTCACCGAGTACAAATTGCGCCTGGCTCTTGAGACTTGGGAGAAGTCTCTCGAGCTCTGTCAACCGGAGACAGTTGTTGTGCAGCTGAGCGCACCTCAAAAGGGACACCCGCTCATCTTCAATGCAATGGCTATGTACAGGAACACTCGAGCCCGACTGCTCGTGGACCTGAAGAAAGTCCAAGAAGCTCTTCGTTACCACGATTCGTTCGAAGTTGCTGCGGCTATGACCAACTCCCACGTGGAGAGGAGCAAGGAAATGCTGAACGTCATCCAAGCTTGCTTTGACTGCATTGAAGTTGCGGCGCTGCAAGGTATCCGATGGGTCGCCCGAACCTCAGCCACCAATTGGAGTATTGAACACCCTCTATGCGGAATGGATTTGATTGTCATCCTTAGTCTATGGTTGTGGCGAATTGAACACGACGATGAGCCAGCCGACGAGGACGAGAAGATCATGTACCAAAAGCTCCGTGGTCTATTCGACGAGGATACCGTCGAAGGCTATGGACAAAAGCTTAGCGCTACTGTGGCTAAGCTGTGGGGTAGCATGATTGATGAGGTCGTGGTTTGGGGGTAAGTTCTGCGCTGTTTATTTTGCACTCTCGTCGCAGCGAACTAACATGCTTCACAGAATCACCAAGCTCATGGGAGAATCCTTCAAGCTTCACTCACAATCCCTCAAGGGTTACGAGGACGCCCTCTTGGCTGCACAAAACAACGGCACAGCCGTGCCCGTCATAGCTCCGCACGCCACCGAGGTGGCGGCGTATTGAGCTCCGTCTATCACCTGACGACTTTTCACGATTTTGCTTTGTTTTAGTCGTGCGTTTCCACTCGCGGCCTCTAATATGCCGATGTATCCCCGGTGCTACATCGGGGCAGCTTCAGCTTGACTTCCTGGCCCTGTGCTTTCCCGTCAGGGCTCAAGTCGCCTACATTCTTCGCGAAGACGGCTACGTTGAGAACCTGGCTTGTTTTCTTTATGCCAATCGCTTTCGGTTTACGCACATACGCGGATTCGTCCACCGCGTTCGACTCGTCGAGGCCGCGCATCGGATGAGACATTCGAATCGCGAGCATCACGCAGCGCTTGCTACGGTTCACTTCTCAAGTCCCCGGCGAACGAAAGTCAGCCTGGTCCTTACTATTTCTTGCAAAACTCGCTAATTTGCTTTGCTGGTTTTTTCGCTGCTGCTAATGTTTCCGGATCATCCCACCTCTGGTATGGACTGGACTAGACCGGATCGAAAATCGATTGCACAGGTTCTTTTTAATGGGGAGCAAGAGGTTTTCCTTTATCCTGATCGGGTCGGGCACCCCGTATCTCATAGATTGGTCGAGCCTCTAATCACTCCCTCTTCTTTATTACCTGGAGTTTCTTCTTCTTTTCCTCATGGAGAAAATGGATTGCTTTGCGCGTCCATCATTCGCTTTGGTCGGCGCTTGGTGGGGAAAAGGCTTTACCGATTGTTCTCCCCGAGACGGGAAGGAAACAAGATCGCCCGGCTGGTCCGTTGATGCGTTGTTTCTATCTGCGACTGGATTTTTGCGCTTGCCTGTTTCGTCTCTTTTCTCTCTCCTTATCGAAAATTTGTACTCTTCTTGCTTGGGAATTTTCGGGTTTCGGTGCTGGGTCACAGACAAACAAGACGCCGGGCTTCCTGTTTACTCTCGCCTTTTTGTTGCCGTTTGTCTCTCTCGGAGCTTGCTTGTTTTCTACTCTCGGGCGTCCGCGCGTGAGATTTACTGCATCGCTTTGTTTGTTTCGATTTCTCTCTGCCATTTCCTTTTTCTGTTCATATATACCATGTTCGCCTAAAATGTATTCGTGTATCTGGAAAATTTCATCGAAATCTCTCCTGAAGACCTTCTTTCCTACTTTCGTCTCATTTCGCTCATGCTGGACTTTCAACTTCAATGGGCGTCGATATGGGTGACTCGTTCTCTCGAAATATCCGAGCATTATCAAACGTATGGGGTGGACCACAATGATTATATGGACCACACAACAAATAGAGCATGATGCTCTCCGTGAAACGTATCCGCGCGGCGGAGGTCATTGCGGGAATACTCATCCTGCGTCAAACTTTTCTCGCTACTCAGTGTCGGACACACCGATCATGTTTGCTCCCTTTGTCAACGATACACCATCAGTGCAGACAAGTTCGATGCCATGGAGAGTTCTGTTGAGAGCTCGAGCACGCCCTATCATAGTCGTATCCGTTCGTCATGCGCCACGCAGAGATGTGAACAGACGAATCCTTCCAGACGAGTCGTCGCCCTGTCATTGTCGACCTGACTACCTACGATTGAAGTGAATCGCACCTCAGCCTGCGATTTCTCAAGTCACCTTAGTTTTACTTTCATTCGATGAATGATTCTGCCTACAGTGGCTGGAGACGAGTCTCGTGAGGAGTTTCCGTACAGGGACAACGCCTTCGTAGTCGCGCTAAGAGTGCTGCAGGGTTGTATGTGTGTCAATGATCCTGGACGAACGCCGGAGGAAGCCAAGCTATAGCTTCCGACCTTGAACCGCATCACCCTACATCATCCCGACTTTGTTGGTGTCAGATCGAGACTTTGCTGCCGACAACCTTTTCCGAGGTCGAAGAGCGTTTCCAACATTCACTTCTAAAGTCACGGACTGGCGGGATCTCTCCCTCACTGAAGTGCGGCATTTGACTTCTGGCTCAAACATACCGATTTGAAAAAGCGAAACCTTTGTGGATATATATAATCATGAAGATCGTTACGATTGAATATTTCCGCCTCCCGCCTCGATGGCTCTTCGTCAAAATCACCGATGAGGCCGGCAACGCAGGGTAAGTAAATTATTGAACAATTTAATTTTTCCATTCCATGCCTATTCTAACACCTTCCTTGTCCTCGACGGAGAGATGGGGCGAAGCCTCCCTAGAAGGCCACACCGAAGCCGTCGAAGGCTGCCTGGCGGCTTTCCGCGCGCGCTTCGTCGGTCTCGACGCCGACGACATCGAACACATCTGGCAACTCGGCTACCGCGGGGGGTTCTACCGCGGAGGGCCCGTTCTGATGAGCGCCCTCAGCGGCATCGATATCGCCCTCTGGGACTTGAAGGCCCGGCGTCTCCATCTTCCGATTTACGAACTGCTCGGCGGGAAAGTCCGTGATCGCCTCCAGGTTTACGCGTGGATCGGGGGCGATCGGCCGGCGGATGTCCTCGCGCAAGCCACCGCCCGTCAAGCGCAGGGTTTCGGCGCCGTGAAAATGAACGCCACCGAAGACCTCGGCTGGCTGACCTCTCCCACGCAGCTCGATGCCTGCGTGGCGCGGGTGCGCACCGTGCGCGCGCTGGGCATGGACGTGGCGGTGGACTTCCACGGCCGCGTGCACAAGCCCATGGCCAAGCAACTCGCGAAACTCCTGGAGCCCGAACGGCCGCTCTTCCTCGAGGAGCCGCTCCTCAGCGAGAACATCGAGGGCATCGCGGAGGTCTCCCGCCACGTCAGCACGCCGATCGCGCTGGGCGAACGGCTGCACAGCCGCTGGGACGTGAAACCTTTCCTGGAGGCGCGTTGCGTGGATGTGCTGCAGCCGGACATTGCGCACTGCGGGGGAATCTCGGAGGTGTTCCGCATCGCGAAGATGGCGGAGGCGTACGATGTCGCGCTCGCGCCGCATTGCCCCCTGGGCCCGATCGCGCTCGCGGCGAGCGTGCAGGTGGATGCCGTGTGTGCGAATTTCGCCATCCAGGAGATGAGTCTGGGCATCCACTACAACGTTGGCGGCGCGGACCTGAAGAGTTACACCAAGAATCCGGAGATATGGGATGTGCTCCCTGGAGGGGTCATTCGACTCATGGATGGTCCTGGGTTGGGCATTAAGATTGATGAGGAGCAGGTGCGCGCTGTGGCGGCGAGTGGCACGGTCGAGGCGTGGAGGAGTCCAATATTCTTCGGGGCGAACAGGGAGATTCGCGAGTGGTAGTTGGAGTAGGCATGGAAGTTGCGGAGACGCTAACTGGAAAACGGTCCGCGGAAATTTTTGTTCCTTCACCAGATCTAAAATTTACCTTCTTGTTGTACATGTTTTGTCAGATATCGTCGTAAACTTCGTGGCCCTGTGTCTCGTTCGTGCAAAGGTGAGCTCCTCCGCGAATTCTTCGTGAACTGGCGTGTAGCTGCAGGTAGGGGCGATGCGGTACGTTTTCGCCAGTCATGCTGGTGTGAGACGTTGTCTCCATCGAGCAAGAGAGTTTTCTGTTGCCAAATGCCAAAAGTGCCCTCGGTCTCGACCATCAGGAGCTGCTCATGAGCACTCGCTCGTCTTCCGGAGAAGTCGTGGTGTATCTGTAGAGACATGCGCAGTGGACTGGTACGGGCTGTCGCCTTTCCATATGGGACTGCCTCGCTCAGTCGTGCGAGGCAGACAATCGAGTCATTTATTATTGACCGCTCTGATCGAGCTCTTCTGCAGTTCGTGTGCTGCATGCTCCGATGCAGCATCCGGGGGACAAGCATCTCGTGAAGCCATGAGTAGAAATTTGAATGTCGGTTCGTGCAGGATACCGTCCTCAAGGCACGCGATCTTGACTCTTATGACTGCTCCAAGTCGAGCTCGATCCCATCTCGAGATCTTCGTGCTCTACTTCGCGCACGCGTGCATTAACAGCCTTGGTCATGTTGAAAGTGCTGAAGCCGACCTCATTCCGTAGGGGTTCCATGTGGTCGTCGTCAGCATCGATGATGGCCATGGCGTTGGCGCGGGCCTGACGCAGACTGCCGAATTGAGGATTCGTCGGGGGACCGTCGGCGGAGGTGTAGGGAGAGAAGGATTGGGAACGGTGCTTGCAGCCGGAGTAGGAGCTGGAGAGGCCGAAAGCCTTGTTGACCAGTGGGCGAAGAGTGGCAACGCACATCATGGTGATGGCGACCCCGGATTCGACGGTGGTCCACATGGCGACGTCGGTGGTTTCATCTGGATCAGGGAGAGTCAGATCGATTGCATGATTCGTGGGAAGCATGTACTCATCCGAGCCATGTTCAAAGCATCGCTTACAAAGAAAGTCACCATCCCAGCCCTTGTAGGTTTCTGCTAGGGTCGGAATGTAAAACATCCTGACCAGACACGCGGTCGAGGCGAGCGCACCGACCGCAAGGATAGTGGCTACCAAGGCTTTCTGATGGAACGGAATCGCCAGGTCCTTGACGATGAAGAACGGGAAGATGCCCAAAGTCCAATCGCAGGCCACATTGAGCGCCGAGACGAAGTAAGTCAGAGATGTGATGACGTGCTCGGTGAGGCAGCGTTTATGTGCAGGGTTGAGGTCCCACCAGTCACTGGTTGGAATGCATTGGAAGATGACGCCGAGGAGGAAAGCCAGTCCGATACAAATGGACCAGGTGATCAAGCCGTACAAGATCCACAGGTGGATTTTCTTGGTCGTGACGCGGATGAGGGACAGGCAGATGGAAATTCGGACGGCGGTTCCGGCGAGTGAGTACCAGACTTCGCAAAAGAACCAGAACTGTTATACAAGATGAGCCGAGAGGGCATGATTGATTAGCCGACAGATCTTCTCAATGACCGGACGATAAAATGGCTCGTCGTGATTTCGGGTTTCAGATAGATTAAACGAAAAAGCCCGAGGGATTGAAAGCGAGACATACCTTCAGCGCCGTCTCGGCATGTTCATAGGTTAAATTCCGCAGCCGACGGCCAGTCCCATAGTACACTCCGCCGATCTGACAGATCAAATAACCCGTGAAGAGAACCTGCGCAAGAATGGTGACCTTGTCGTCGAGCCCGAATTTCCGAATCGCGAAGGCCCGAACATAGACGCGCAGACCGACCACCAGCCAGGTGATGACGAGAAAGGTGAGACCGACGGCCCAGATGCTGCCGCTGCGGTCGTCGGTCGTCATTGGAGTCGTTCGTGGTCCGGGATAGACATGTGCTCGGTCCTGTCGCTCGCCAGATGATTCTGTATTTCCCACGCACGCGAGCAGCCCGGTCGGATCTGGAAATGGCAGGCGAGTCGTCTCAAGCGTCGGACATCAGAAGCAGTCTCTCACGCGTGCGCTGGTCGTGGTCGTTTCGTTCCGGAGAGCGTGGTGGGAATTTCGCACTCGATAGGAACATCGATCAAGAACAACACAGGTTGGGATAGAGAAGAGCCTTCAATAACGAAAAGTCACGACGATAGAGGTCAAACGGTCTTACATACGCTCTACTCTACTCTACTCTGCTCTCCTCTAGCATATGAATGACTGCCCAGGTGCCCACCATTGCATGCGTGTGCATGCCCGCACCGAGGGACCCGCGACCGCAAACAACAACCCTCTGCACTAAAATCACCACGGCAGAATAATAGGCGTGGCAGAGCATCCCGAGCGCGCCACCGCCGTAACGGCCGGTGGGCCAGCATGAGAGAGAGAGAGGAAAATTGAGATGTGTGCCGTGCCGTGAGGTGTGCGCGCAACCTTCTCTCCCCCTTGTCATTATTAGTGAGATCGGCGCGGCATGTGCGAGTGAATCGTCGACGCGGTGACTACACCACCCGGTCGGTCCCTGTCGCTTGGCCTTTCTCTCCACCTGTAGCATTGGGATTTGTAAAACGACCCCTGTCGATGCCCACTGTTCACCACCACCACCACCACCCTCGTACAGTAGCAATAAGTACCCTTGCACTGTCCCCACTGCATGGTCAACAAGCAGACTTCTCTGCGCCCACGATAGGGCTGGAGTCGAACATCGAGGCAAAGGCGCGCCATGGGGAAACATGTGCACCCTTGTCGGAAATAATCACAGAGTGGCCTGATTGATGATGACGAGATCTCTCGGAGACTTCAGGAAGCATTGATCATGAGCAAAGCAGAGCACACAGACATTTGGCACGCCATCCACACGCCATCTCCCCATGCAGGGGAAGGAAGGAAAAAATCCATTTGTAATGAGGATGAGAATACTGTACTGTGCCTGACCAAGCGTCGCGAGAGACATGTGAACGACAATGATGCTGTAAATGTCACCTGCGGGCAATGTCAAACACGCAGAACCTCCAACGAAACTCTCTTGCTGTCTCCTGCAGTAGATCGCGTTCGAAGCACCCCTTCAATGACGAATCCGCCTAGCAATTTGCGCTTTCTCGCCTCACGCTCGCCGCCAACGCATGAAACCTACAGATCGTGCGACGGGTCATCTTCGTTATCACGGCCATGTCCAGCCCATGTCGCCCAAGTGCTCCACAGTACCGAAGTATTTGTTCGACGCTGCGTCGGTGAGAAACGACCCGTCGCCGGCGATACACCGAGTCGAGTCGAATCGGAGCGGGAAATTCTGCCCTTTTCGGGCGAGAGAAAGGATTGATTGCCCTGCTCGACTATCAGCCCGTCTTGGTGGCTGGCTGCTGGATCAAGCCCTGGAGCCCTGGTCCGAAAGCCAGTGTTTCTGGATCCCGGGACCGTGCAAGATATGTCACTCCTCTCGGATCGTGGAACGAGACTACACGAGGATAATGATTGACATGAGGAGGATAGACTCGGCACCAAGCAGCAAAGCATGGGTTTTGTGGATCTTCGAATATCTGATAACGACAAGGTGAATGATGATCGTGACGATGATGCGCGGAGAGATAGAACGGTAGAGGGGAGCACCTTTTGTCGCACCATCACACGCCGGCGTCGACGCTGGCGTGCAGACCATCGGCAGTTTGTGTGGTTGTTTCTTTTTGTCGTTCTCGTACAGTAAGGGACGACTGCCTTTTTCTTTCGTTCACGCTACATTTTCTTCCTGCACGGGACAATTTCAATGTCCAACAGATTTCAGTGTCAGCTGCAGATACTGTTTTCTACTACTGTACCCGGGTACTGTACTACTTTTGACGTTGTTGAAGCGTCTCTCTCTGTGCGCATTCGTATGGAAGGTGACATCGCAGAGGTACGGTACGTATTACAAGGAATTCATAGAGCCTCGGCAGACGATGAGAGAGAGAGAGAGAGAGAGCGCGCGCCCGAACGAGTACAAACGTTCTAAACATGTTGTGTTGTACTGCATCGTACTGTATATTGAACATACAAGCCATTAAAGTGCTGCGCCGTAACGATGTAATATTTCCAATGATGACGAACGGGCCATCTTCAATGCTCGTGTCCCGAATCACCGTGGGCCGGATGGCTGAGTTTCCAGTCCGCCATGATGATTCCCCGCCCACAAAATGCTGGGCATTACCTGGGCACACACGCGCTGTTCGTATGGGAGTAAAATCCAACGTTGCCCAGAGGCGCATCATCCTGGCAGTCACAGTGTAGATGTCATCGTATGTGTGCCGAGAAGGAAGAGCCGGGAAGCACACTCTCCCGGCCGTCCCTGAAGCTACTCAGCTGAACGGTGTGATGAGTTTCCTTCAGCCGATCGGGGAGCGCGCCCCGTCGGATTTAGCTCCAACGGGGGTGGGTGGGAGGTGTGAAGGTACGTAATGAAGACGGTCTGGAGGATGGGACGGCGGTGATCAGAGGAATGGCTTCGCGGGATTGTCGGCATTCCATCATCATCATCATCATCATCATCATCATCATCGAGGGCTGGCGAACATGAGGGTGGACAGCAAGTTATCTGATGAGAGATGAGCTCACTCCCATCAGATCTTCTCTGGTGATCACGTTGTGATGTTTTGGGGCTGCTCTTTCTCTCACGTCAGGATTGTCCTATGCGATCTCACGATGAGAGATGAATTGGACGTTGTAAGCAGAGAAGAACCCGTGCCGCCGCCGCCGCCCCCGTCATCATCACCACCACCAACCACCATCACCACACCAGGCAACTACCAATTGCATCTTTCGAGCCTCGGCTGGTTTTGATATGCTTTTGAGAGAGAACCGCTGTGATCGAACAACACGACAAAGCTCGACCTTGCGGTATGGCCAATGTCGTTGTGAGAATATCGTGATGATGAACCCACCTGCAGACTGAGACCTGTGCGTTGAGTAGGATTCGGGGATTATTGTTATTGTGTGGTGGTGAGATGACACCCGTTGACCGCCGTGCCGTGATGCAGATGGTGATCCAAGCTCCGAATGTCGCACATAAAGTCTCCTTGCTCGGGCGTTCTTTCTCCTGTCGTGGTGGGAACGCTAAATCCCGGGCTTCCGTAGTTCAGACATCTGTGGCAACGGCATGCTGTACCGTAGTCGTGTTACTGGACACTACATGTGCTCGCTCTTCTGTCTCTGTACGCATCTCTATGGTCACAGTACCAACAGCTTGGCCGGATCGTGTACTCCAGGACTGCTGACCAGACTGACTCGTAATACAACACTGCAGGATGATGAGATTCGGTGACAATTTCTGGATCGCTGCCGTGGCATACGCTACAATGTGAGCACGTACTATAGCACACCCATACACACATCCTGCATGATGACCATCTGCGGTCAGCGCAAATCATTCCATCCACAGCCAGCCAGCGTGAGACGGTAATATCCGCCTCACTACACTTGGTCCCTTCTCCTGCATGATGTTGCGCGGTTCCAATGTTCACGACCATGATGCAGGCTGGGAATTGCAATACAGTATCTCTCCAAAGGGATGGTTTCGAACCACTCGTGATAGAGCCATCTAGGCCAATCTTCGGACTGTGGTTCAGCCGATGCAGCTGATCAGATCGACAGCTTGACAATACGTGACGGAATGAGAGACAAAAGTGACCGAGAGTGACAGCGATCACTCTGCCCCTCATTCGCACCGCATGCATCGCATGACCGCCGATCGTCCAGCATTCTTGAGGTTCCATACTTGGGTACACTCGGACGGAATAGAGTGCAGTAACTACATATTGTTCGCTCATCGTAGTGGTACTGATGATGCTAAATGCTGACATCCTAAGCTGAGCACATTCGGACGAGCGCGTCGTCGACTCATTGTCTCGGATGGCGTAACGATGTAACTTCCATTCCGGACACGAGACCATGAATCGCTCGTGATGGGCAAGAACAGACGGGTTTGATATATGGTGATATTCAGCAAATGATCAGTTGTTTCTTTCAGGTCCTCCCATTCATCGTCTTCCTCGCGATTGTGCAGTCGAACTGATAGGTCTTCACGTCCCAATCACTGGGAATCCATCACCGAAGGAACAACAAGCCAAAGACCCCCAAAAATGCACATCGGCAATCTTCTCGGAATCGGAGCGGCCTGCGCGCACGTAGCTTCCGCTGCATACGCCGTCAAAAAGCCGCCGCTCGACACACCTTGGACATCCCAGGTCGGCACCAATCCCTGGCCGCAGTATCCTCGTCCGAAGCTCCAGCGTTCGCAATGGCAGAACCTAAACGGCGTCTGGAGCTACCGCGCCGCGACTGGCCTTCAAGAGTTACAAGCTCCGCCCTTCAACCAGACCTTTTCCACTGACGTACTCGTCCCGTCATGCTTGGAGAGTGGTCTCAGCGGCGTGCAGGCGGACTCTGCGATATACTCCTGGTTGAAGACGTCTTTCTCTGTTCCGGCAAATTGGACAACAGAGGAGCGAGTCTTGTTGAACTTCGGTGCTGTCGACTACGAAGCGACCGTATTCGTGAATGGCCGCAATGCGACTTTCAATCGTGGAGGCTATAGTGCTTTCTCGGTGGACGTGACCTCGTTTCTCACGGCGGGAACGAATGAATTGTAAAACATCTCGCCTTGTAATCCTACGATCGATGAAGTCTAATCGTGTTCTAGACTTGTCTTCGTTCATGATCCGACCGACAGTGGCGACTACGTGATTCCGATCGGCAAGCAGACCTTGAACCCGTCACATATCTTCTACACGCCTTGTAGTGGTATATGGCAGAGCGTGTGGATCGAGTCGGCGCCCGTCCAGCACGTCACCGGTTTGGAGATTGACGGCGACAAAGATGGCAATCGTAAGCAGCATCACTTCGGGCCCACGTTCATAAGACATATCTGATACCGTATTCATGCAGTGAACATCCTCGTCAACGCTTCCGCCAATTCCACCACACCTGTGATTATTACAGTGTACGAGAATGGAACCATGAATATCGTTGCTACGTCTAGTGGGAATGCCAACGCCGCGATCAAATTGACAGTATCGTCTCCCAAGCTCTGGTCACCGAACACTCCCAACCTGTATGATGTCACGATCAAGCTTGGGAGCGATGTTGTGAACAGCTATACCGGATTCCGAAGCATCTCTCGAGGAGCGGTCAATGGTATTCAGCGCATCTTACTCAATGGTGAAGTGGTTCTCCCGTTCGGCACACTGGATCAAGGGTACTGGCCGGATGGCATCTATACCCCTCCAACCTATGAGGCCATGGTATTCGACCTACGAACGTTGAAGAAAGTCGGCATGAACATGGTCCGCAAGCATGTGAGTCCTCATTCCTCCCTGTTCGTAGTTGTGCCCAATCTCACATATTGAAACAGGTAAAAGTGGAGACCGATCTCTTTTACCAGGCCTGCGATCAACTTGGGCTGCTGGTGATTCAGGATATGCCTTCTCTTCGACCAAGCCAATCGCGAACATTGGCCAATTGCACAACGCAGACGATCCTACCTGATGCAAGTCAACAAGTCGAATTTCAACGTCAGCTCGAAATCATGGTCAAGCAGCACCGGAGCTACACCTGCATCTTCACCTGGGTAAGCCTTTCAAAGCCCAAAATATTCATTTCACTCTTCCTCTCCCCAATACTGATCGTCCACCACCAAACAGGTCATCTACAACGAAGGTTGGGGCCAAATCGAGACCCCTCCCTACCCCGAGATCTCTCTCACCTCCCTCGTCCGCCAACTGGACCCCACCCGCCTCATCGACGCAACATCCGGCTGGTTCGATCACGGCGCCGGCGACTACAGCGACAACCACCACTACGCGAACCCGCAATGCGGCACCCCCTTCCACTCGCGTCTCTCCAGCCCCTTCGACCCCCGACGCATCGGCTTCCAGGGCGAATTCGGCGGCGTAGGCCACAACGTCTCGATCGAACACCTCTGGGACGTGCCCGCGGCCATCGCCACCATCGAGGAGACCTACGAGCTCGACGACACCCTCCCCATCTGGAACTACCGCTCCCATGCCCTCCTCGCCGAACTCCTCCAGCATATCCAACTCTTCTCCTGCAGCGGCGCCGTCTGGACGCAGACCACCGACGTCGAGGGCGAAGTCAACGGCTTGTTGACGTACGATCGTCGCATCTTCAGGCCGGACATCGCGCAGTGGAAGAGCGATGTCGAGGCTTTGTATGCGGCTGTCGCCGCGAGGAGTAATTCTTCTTCTTCCGCTCCTGCGGCGGTCCCGGCTTACTCGGCTCTGGAGACTCCCTGGCCGACGCAGTATTGGGCGACGTATATGTGGACGCCGGCCGCGCAGCCGAAGACGACGAGGCAGGTCGCCTTGTAGTTTTCTCGACTTCATGGGGTCGGAGATGATGCTCAGCCTCTGCGACCTGGTTTTGTGGGCTGTGCTCGCATCGTCAGTCACGTCATGGCGCCCGTAGCCTTTGAAGCAGCCAGGCGTTTCTCCTCCGTGGTCGGTCCCTTGACCTTGTTGTGATGCCATATTTTGGTCATGATGATGATTGTGTGATGCAAGATGAATTCGAGTGCAAAGAAAATGTACATGAAATTCATGCTCCCTCCCCGATGAGAAAAACGTCACGGGCGGAGAAAAGCTCTATGTCACCCCTCTAGCCATCGAGGTGACCTGCTGCTGCTGCTTCGAGTAGACTGTCCGTCTGCTATAATTGTACATTGGATCACAAGGACAAACCCCTCAGTTTCTCCCCTGTGTGAAATCTCCAAATCCCGATTCCTCCTCGTGATAGTAATGCAACAGCTAGAAAAACATCTCCTCCTCTTTCCCACAATACAATACATCCCTCCAAACGTCCCTCCCAAGTCTTATCCTTTCTTCAGACCAATCCCCGCCAATGCCATCTCAAATCTTGAACTGCGCTCCGTGATACGCATCCCAAACACCCCTGACACTCTCATTCTGACTGATGACCTTGTCCTTGATCTTCTTGACCTTGTCACCGCTCGCGTTCCTCAGGATGAGCGCTTTCTCATGGACCTCGTGGGTGGTCATTTTCCTCGCGCAGATGGTCCTCTCGCGGCCGTTGACGTAGTGCGCTCGGAGCATGGGGTGCTTGTTCGGTCGGGGCGAGACGGTGATCTGCACGCTCGGGTTCTCGCGCGCGAAGGTCGCCAGTTTCGTTTTGAGGAATTCGCTATCGAGGGCATCATTAGATATCGTTGCGGCTCGGGGGGAATCGATACGGGGAGAGGCAAGCAGAAAACCTACTTCATGCCCCGACTGCTGCCGGCCCAGTCGCAGTAGTGGAAGTCGATGCGTTTGCATTGGAGGATGAAGGCGCCGACGCCATTCTGTACGTTGAGATATTTGGTCAGCATCAGGGTTCTTGCTGAAGCGTTTTCCGAGGCGAATTGTCTTCAACGAACCTGGGCCTTCGTTACCGTTCGTAGCGCTTGCAGAGGCATCTTCGCATGATCCTCTGTTGAATGATGACAGGCGGGAAACTCTCTCTGTCCCGTGCTTGGACAGCCTCGAGGTGCAACTTCGAGATTGATGAATTGAAATGATTAGTCATCAGGACTTGCACGCTGGGTTTCGTCACGTGCTTATTTCTATCGGGACACTCGCGTCTTGTTATTATACGTCTCTGTCCATCACGACTGCGAGATAATGTACAGTACGCTTACGAGATTGCTACCAGAATCATGATCACAATGTCTCATTGAGAGTTTGGCGTGGCGTTGCACCCATGAATTTTGGCGGTACCAACTTTGAGCATGATCACAGTGCATTTCCGGAACTCGCCTCGCTACTTATGAATGAGACGACTTCACAAGATCAACAAGTGATATCCTTGCTCTCACGACATATGCGATTTTCCACATAGACACATGATCTTAGGAGGATGGGCAGGCTATGCTCCGCCAGCCGCGCCATTGCTTGGACGGTACAGCTGTCGCTTGTCCTTCAACCAGAGATCCGCGCTTAGAAACATGTTCTTTGTGTCAGAGTTGATGATTCCGCTGTCTGCTGCTTGGACGCCGGCGTAGATCTGTGTATCCTATGAGTCAGCTTGTGGTTCCAAAATAATACCCGTTGGGAGGAAGATACGTACCGCATCCCAGATTTTCCATGCCTTCTGAAGATCACTCTCCACGTCCACCGCAATACCGAACCACTTTGAGATATCGGCCTTCTCTCCCGAGTTCAGCTGCTCCTCGAGGTGAGTCTTGACGATGATTGCCAAGCCGGCATTCGGTTCACTACGGAAAGGAAGCTGCGCCCCGAGGTTGGTGTATTCTACGTAGTCTCGCACTCTGACCACAGACCCACTCGTCATGAGATAACACGCGTGCATCTCGACAAGATCGCGAAGGCTATGACGGACTGTCGCAGCCATCTGGTGGAAGCCTAGTGCCATTCTCGAGAGCGGGCCGGTGTATCCTACTGCCTCGCTGCGGAAGTTGACCAAACTGGCAACTCGACTGATGAGGTTGACATTGGCGCGGTCGGAGTCGGACCCTCTTGAGACACTCTCGTTGTATGGCGGGTTGGGGAATATCGCGCGGTTGTTAAGCACGTCCAGGCGTAGGAGCTCAAACGCAACCAGTATCGCCTCCTCGCCTTCGTTGGCTGGACTGGTCTTGCCCAAAAGTTTGTCGTGGTCCGCTCGTTCAAATGACGTCCGTAACGCCTTGCCCCATGCCGAGAGTGTGTGATCGTTATTGATATAGCCTCGATCTTGCAGGAATCGCCAGACGGTGTTGGAGAGTAACTCTGCAGGCTTTGTCAGGAGCGAATGTTCATTGTCTTTTCTCGGCGTGACCGTTTTCTTGGCCAATGCGTCGTCTGACAAGAGGCTGATGGCGAATTGTAGCGGTGTCTTTGAGATGTCAATGCCTTGCACTTCAGTGGCCTGCCCCTGCAGGTCAGCCTTGACATGCCATGTCTCGGCATCTCTCAGCGAAGCCTCTGTCAATTCTGGAATGCCAAGCAATTGCTTCTCATCTTCTCGGAACCAGGTCATCAATTCGACATCTTTCTTTTGCCAGTATCTGTGAAGTGGTTTTGTGATCAATGCCAAAGCTCGCGCCCGCAAAGGCGTTAACTTCTTTTGCACAAGATCCTTGTATGCCGCTGATTCACCGCCATCGAGTGGTGGTGTTTCAAAGATCTCACAGCGAGTGCGCCAGTCGAGGACTCTGAGGCCTAGAAGACCTCGCGATGTGTAGTTGAAGATTTCATCAGGGATCCTCCGGCCAACAAACTCGTGCGAATCACTCGGGCAGGTCTCAAAGTTCATTTGTTTCACATCGCCTCCGTCATGGATGACGACCATGTGCTTTGTAGCAGTCTTGGCCTTGCGGAAGAGACCCAGATAATGCTCATCGCCGGCCTGAGAGCAAAGCGTGTGACCGTCGCGTCCAAACGCAGCCAACGTACTCCGTGTTGCGGCGATGCGTTTGGGCGCAGCCTCGCCTGCAACCTCATGGAAGGCAGGCAGAATGCTACAACCGGCGAGGAGACATAGATCCACAAACTGATCTTGGCTGATTCCTAGTTTCCTCAAGATCTGCTCGCGGGAGATCCATGAAAAGGTAGCTTTGGTCCAATTAAAGTCGACGATGACTCGCTCGGCACCGAAGAGCAAGCATGACGCGGAACCAACGATTGATTTGATCATGTTGCCTTTTAGCATGTATGCGAGTTGAGCAGAAGCTTCATAAGGCGCAACCATGACTTCGACACCCTTTTCATGTAGGTAGAAGAACAGGTGACGCAGGATGTGACCGGCTCGGTACGTGCCTGAAGAACGTCAGTGTCAACCCCGATCATCTTTGATAGAAATAAACCATACAAGCTTTGCCAAACTCCTTCACGGCTTCCTCTCCACGTCCACTGTTGTAAATGTTCCAGGCTTGGTTCAGGATGGAGACCGCATGTTGGCTGTACCGGGAAGTGGTAATTCGATCACGACTCATCGCACGACCTCCCGGAAATATGAAGAGTGGTTTGATGCCCGCATTTTGGAGCTCGCTGAGCAAAGTGTCAATGTGCGAGTTCAGCGTGAATGGGATGCCTCCCAGAGCGGGCACGAGTGGCTCGTATGTTGCATGGCCTCCGGTCAGGAACGAGTTGAGATAGTCCTCGGCGTCAAAGGCTACCTTGGCATCGGTCACCTGCGAGAAGGCCGAGATGCTGTCTTCGATCCAGTACCCCTCGTCCTTGGCCCAGATGTTGAACGCCGAGGAATCGTTGTTCATGATTGCTCGAATTGATGTTCACTGTGAGATGTCGAGATGCGATTTCACTATGCGAGAAGACTGGACGCTAGTTTTAGGGATGTACGCAAGCACACGTGAGTATCGGGATGACCGTGCCAATCGGCCAGGGACACTCGTTGAACCAACAGGCGATAGTGATATTTGTGCAGAATATTTTTTGTGATGACGAGAGAATGAATGTGTGAATCACAGACACAGTGAAAGATTGTTGGTGCAAAGGGCTGTTGAAGTCGTTCAGGAACGACCTTGGACAACTAGAACACTGGAGACGGAAGCTTCAATTTCGGCCAGAGCTCCTGCGTTTGTCTTGTTGTCGTGAAAGGGTACTCCGGGCGGCGTTCAATTATCAGCACTATTATCACTGTACCACTTCCAGGGCTGGATTGCACATGCAGGGCAGAGGGACAAAATACCCACCAAGCGCGTCCAAGCGTCCCATTGAATGCGTTCAGGGCTCTCCTCTCGACCATACTAGGTATTTTCAAAAAAAAAGTCTGAACAGCCGCTGTCCCAGTATCCTCCTGTGTTGTACTGAACTGTATTGTGTAAATACATTCCAAGGCATGCACGTGGTAAACGAACAAATTCTGTACAACTTATAGATATTTTGAATCTTCACATCCTACTGCACATAAAAATTACGCCTTGCACTTCCACCCAGAGTTCTTGCTCAGGAGCGGTAGACTGGCACCTAAACACCATCCAAGCTCATTACCCTTGATCTTCTTCGCGATTTTGACCTCTCGGTCGATCGGCATCTCATAACCCGTATGAAGCAGTGCAAACATGAAGTTCAGATCCAAACATGTCTCCGGCCGGTCGTTCAGCTCCTCCATGGCGCCAGGCACCGCCTCGAAGACCTTCCACGACTCCGGTCCGGAGCACACGCGTGCGGCCAGGTCCTTCAGCTCGCGGAGCGTAAATGATTCGGGCATGCCCAATGGCTGGGTACGATCATAGAAGTATGAGAAAAGGTAGACGTCTTCGCGCGCAAAGGTCTTGTCAAGGCGTGGCTGGTGTACGCCATTGAAGGCGCAGGGCGCAAGCTTGCAGGCTGCCTCTTTGTTCAGTGTCTTCTCGGCCAATGCGCGGCATTGAGCCGGGCTTCCGATGTCTGGGCCGGTCATGTTCACGGTCACGGTAGCACCCAATGGATGGCCAGCGCTGAGGGAGACTTTGACTTCGCGACTAGAGCCAGGCGCGAGACAAGGGTTCGCGACGCTCGACTGGAGCCATTCCGTGGCGGGCTTCATGTTCTCGTATGTGCCCTCCACCACGACCCGGTGGAGGTTGTTGCGCGCCTCCATCAACCCATAGCCTAGGTAGGAGTGTTGGTAAAGTGAGAAGTCGCGGCCGCCGAAGTTCAAAGCGTACTTGTGGTCACCTTCGCTGAGCTGCTCAGGCATGCCACCACCGGCGAGCTGAGGGAAGGTCGGCTGGAACACAATCTGAGTGCTACCTCCACCGAGATCGAATACAGCAGCCGTGGGCGATTTGTCCGGACCACCAATCTTGCCAAGTAGGTAGTTGGTAGTGATCCACGCGTAAACACCTTCATATTTGCCGTCCATGACCTCGACACCGCCGGCCTCCTCGCTGACAACAGGGAAAGGGTAAACGGTCTCGAGGCGCTCTCGCACAGCTCGCAGAATGTTGTTGCTGAGCTCCGGACCGAGCTTGCGCAGGCCGGCCGTGGCCTTTACAGCCACCGGCGTGCAGCTCTTGAGGTTGTCAGGCACATTCTTTACAGCAACGTCCATCAAAACATCCAAGCTCTTCGCAGCGCCCTCGGCGTCGCTCTTGTAGCTGCTCAAACCTGATCCTCCCTCTTTCTTCGCGGTCATCTCAAAAATCTCATCTTCTAGCTCTGGAATAGGTCCACAGTTGTTGAAACGGTAAACATGGATTCTGCTACCGGTGCTTCCGGCATCGACCATGAGTGCATATTGGATCAAGGGTTTGTCCTTGGAGTAGCTCCGTGTGCATTTTGTCGGGCCTGTTGATTGATCTCCACCAGCGACTGGTTGACTAGAAAAGCTCGCCGTCGAAGTCGAGGTGCCCGGAATGATGTAGTATAGCACCAGCAGGACAAAGGTGACTAGGCAGCCAGCCCTGATAAAACGTGCTCTTGAATTCGGATTCATCCAGGCGGTGTGTAGTCGTCCTTGGAGAGACTGTGAGTGGCCCCGGTGGTGGCCAGTGAGACGTTCGGGCTTTTCGTAAGGGTCACCGCGAGTCTCGCGCTTGGGTAAGGTGATGGATGAGGAGCGATGGCGCGGAGTAAAGCTCCAACCTTTTCCGCTGGACATCAATGGCGGCTGTTCGAGGCTAAATTAAGGGCGCATTCGAGAGACGTTTTCAGTAAAGAAATGTCGCAGCGATGAGCGGAAATTAAGTGTCACGGAGCTTGTCGCCGACACTAGAATTGAGAATTTGAGTTGTTGGTGAGATGAGGATCGACTTCTGCCCTCAGGGATCTTCGAAAGAGGAGATATACTGTACGGGCAGATTTCGACAACGAAGAAGGAGTGTAATAATTAATTGCTTGAAACTTCTCAATCCCTAATTCAGGGCCTACCTGTACAGACGGCAGGCCTACGGAGGTTGACCTCCACATACGTATCCCAGACCGGCCAACCAAACGAGGTACCGGCCCGAATACGCAATACGCAGGGGTAACTCGGACCGCGCTGGTGGAGATTATGTAATCCCACGGCTACAGTTCTACACCTACCTAGTAGGGCAGGTGTCTTAACGATCCATGGATTCCTTCGAGTGGTGCTCCTCGTAACGATATTTAGGTGCAGTTTTCGAATTACTCTAGTTGCCGTAATATGCTGCAAAAGTGGTCGCGGACAACGATTACGATATGTACATGTTGAGGAGGATAAAAGGAGAACGGGCGCTGCGGAATATGTCCACGTCAACCCGTGGTCGCCTGGAGCGATGAGTGGCCAAGTGAGAGCATCATCGCTCGCCTTCCACGACCATCTATCTACTGGAATGGCCTACAACCAGCAGAAGCACTGCTCTCCGAACCTTGCACATAAACACACGATATCTCGACGCTCCCTCCACCTCTTTGCCCGCATCGTGATTTGACATACAAAAGTGCAATAATTCGTCCGCAGTAAAAGCCATCAAGCACTAGAGCAGAGTGGTCGCCAAAATGGAGGTCGAACTCTATGTATACGACCTATCTCGCGGGATGGCTCGCGCCATGAGCCAGCAGTTTCTGGGTATCCAACTCGATGCCGTGTATCATACAGCCATCGTTTTCGATCATATCGAGTATTTCTTCGGCGCCGGAGTCCAGACTTGCTATGCCGGACAGACACATCATGGCCGGCCGATGGAGATCATCAAGCTCGGCCAGACGCATTTACCTATGGAGACGATACTGGAATATCTTGAAAGTCTGAAACAAGTCTACACGCCAGAGAGCTATGATTTATTCGCTCATAACTGCAACAACTTTTCTCACGACTTTAGCATGTTCTTGGTTGGCAAAGGGTAAGCTTCAATGAGTATCTCTGATTTGCACGAGAAGGGATGACCTATAGCACTGACCCTGTACGAAGTATTCCTTCTCACATAACTTCGCTTCCACAACGTGTTCTGGATACGCCTTTTGGTCAAATGCTCAGGCCGCAAATCGATGCTAGCATGCGTTCAATCACACAGGCGCCAGTAGCGCCACCGGCGCCTTATCAGCCAAGATCTAGTACACAGGAGAGCAACAAATCAAAGAACGAGATTACTGGTGCTTATGGCAAAGTGCTTTTGCCGTCCAGCCTGTCATTGCTTCAGACGGAGCTCAACAAGGCAAAGGAGACATGCGCCGTCATCTTCTTCACATCCTCGACGTGTGCTCCTTGCCGGCTAGCATACCCCATGTTCGACGCTCTCGCCGAAGAGCATAGTCGAGCCTTGTTTTTCAAAATCGATATCAACTTTGCTCGAGACGCCGCTGCCCAATTTAGAATATCTGCAACGCCAACCTTCATCACCTTCTTTCGTGGCGTTCAAGAAGACCAGTGGTCCGGCGCTGACCCATCACTCCTCAAGACAAATGTTGAACGCCTAATTCATCGAGCATTCCCACCTCATCCTCACTCGCAAGTCAAGATTCCGAGCCTCCAGGTGGGTTCCATGAAGCCATTCACATACAGCAAAGTCCCTCCTCTCGACAAGCTCGTTGGCAAACTCGGTCCCGCCGCACACCAGAAGCACTTCGCCGCACTACACTCCTTCGTCGCAAAACGCAACCAACAGGACGCGAAAGAAGCCCTTCTCCCGGATCTGCAAGATCTCTCCCGATCCTACGCAGACGAAGTCACCGCGCTACCGCTCGAAACCCGCTTCGCAGCTGTGGACCTCCTCCGCCTCGCGATGATCGACCCACGTGTGAGCGGCTTCCTCGCCGAGGAGGACGGCCCTTCGACCATCCTCGCACTGATCCATCACGCGAATTCTCTCGAAGAGAAATGTCCGCATAACCTTCGTCTCGTGACATTACATCTCGCTTGCAACGTTTTCACTTCGCCGCTCTACAGCAAGGAGTTGTTGGCTGCGGAGAACAAGAAGCATGATTTGGTCGTACAGATGGTGCAATTCATCGCGTCATCGTTGATTGATGTTTCGCATCCGACCGCGCGCGTGGCGTCGGCGTCGCTGGCGTTCAACCTGGCTGCCGCGAATTATCGCATTCGGAGGGAACAGGCGCGGGAGGGACTCGAGGAGGCGGAGCAGGTTGCGTTAGCGGCGTCGTTGCTGGAGGTTCTCCCGACGGAAGAAAACGAGGATGCGCTGAAGACGATGCTGCTGGCGTTGGGATTCCTGGCATTTTTCTCGTCGCAGGATGGCGAATTGCATGATTTGTGTCAGGCACTGGATGCCAAAGCTACACTGGGAATTTGCAAAGCGCAGCAGGCACTAGCGAAGGAGATCGGCGTTCTTTTCTCATGATAACCATAGACAAAGAATGAATGTACGAAGCGATGGCAGCTGTTTCCCGGTGATCAAGTGATTGAGGGGTGTCAAGCAAATGGAGCCATATGAGATGGTATTGAAGACCTATACTTCACCTGTCCAATCCATCCAACTCAATCATCCTTCTGACCGCCTTTACAACATCGCTCTCCCCAATCGCCAACCCGGGGTCCTCTAACTTTCTCGCCAAAAGCTCATCCAACATCATCCTCATCCTCGACACCAACACTCCAATCCTAGCCCAACCCCTCAATCTGGCCCATCCATCCACCAGGAGACCCCTGCCCTGCGGATCAATGGTGATCGGACCCGAGAACATCAGAAGACTGTAAACATTAAACGGGGTGAGATCGCGGACAAAGACTTTGCTGGTGGCCATTTTGGTGAAATAGCTCATATAGACGCTATTGCCGGGGAAATTCTGCGCGTCGAAGAGGGTGGAGCTCGGGTGGACGAAGACCCGGCCGTTCTCCTCGTTGAAGAATTTGATCATGCGCGCTTCTGGGTCCAGGGCGACAGTGCCCGAGGATGATGCGGCGTATTTCTTGTCCGGGAAGTCGATGCGGGCGACTTGAGGTTGAAAGGCGCCTGCGATTAAAGCGCGTAGAAGCGTGTTGCTGGCGTTGTTACGGTTCAAAGGTGAGTCCGAAGAGGGGTCGTATCGGTGGGAGGAAGAGTCAAGGAAGCCGATTTCTTGGAGCGAGCTGAGGTATTGGTTGCGATTGGTGCTGATGTCCATGAGTGTCTGGTGGTTGAGAAAGTTCTCGTCGCACCATCTCCGCAGGGACGATGTTGGTTCGTGGGCAGCTCGTCTTGAAGACCATTCATCATATGCACGGAGGTCGGAGATCAAATCACCATGGCCCTGGCCGAACGCTGCTCGAGCTGATTTGGATTCTTCGCGTTTGGTCTGAGGGCTGACGAAGGGGCTTTTCACGGTCAGAATAGCAGCAATGATCAAGCAGGCTTCTAAGCAGGAGAATGTTGCTCCATAAACAAGCAACTTGCCGCATCTCAAGTCTGCGGGGATCAGGGATAGATGTCTACCCAGTGCCGTTAATTCCCGGTTGTCCAATGCGCCCATACGTCCCAACAAATTGAGTGCACCTTCCACTGCGAGGCTCTCCGGTGGGGTCAAAGCCGATGCAAGGAATGCTGGAACATCACTGACGCCCATCGCCTTGACCGAAAGGCACAGTTGTTCCAATGGAACTCGTCTGATCTCAGGATCTGGCCGCTCCGCCATCTTTGCTTCGGCGGAGCGAGTGAAAAGCTTGTAACAGTCACCTGCTCTGACACGACCCGCTCGACCTCTTCGTTGTTTGCAGGCTGCCCGAGAAGCCCATACTTCGGCGAGCTTCACCATGTTGTTGATTGGATCAAAGCTAGTTTCCTTGACTCTCCCTGTATCGATGACTGCCACAATGTCTTCGATTGTAATGGAGGTCTCGGCTACATTCGTCGCAGCGATCACTTTACGCAGTCCTTTTGGGGCTCGCGGGAACACACGTTTCTGCTCCGAACTCTGGAGTGAGGCATGAAGGGGAAGAGCATGTAGACCAGGGAGGTTGCGCAATGCACGTAGTGTTTGATCGATTTCTCCAACACCCGGGAGAAAGATGAGGATGCCGCCTTCAATGACACCAAGCTTTTGATCAATGTAGTCCACGGTCCGAGCTATCAGGTCGTAATTAATCCTAGTGCCGACCGTTTTCAGCAAAGTGCCAATAGTTGCTGGTTTGGCACCGGTAGGCAAGTTCTGCGCGTGGCCACGCCTGTCATCGTCTTCGTCCTCTTCGGGCTCGCCAAACCCGGTCATGCGACAGATCTCGTCCAGATAAATATCCTGCACTGGATATGTCCGACCTTGGATCTCAATCTTTCCGACACTTGAAGAAGCCTTGAAATAATTTTCGAACGTGTTAGCATCCAATGTCGCACTCATCAGTATCAACTTGAGATCCTTTCGCCTTTTGAGCACGTCTCGCAGCAGAACGAGCAGGAAGTCGGTATCGAGACTGCGTTCGTGGACCTCATCGATCACAACGTGACTGACATCTGCTAGGCTCCGGATCACGTCCTCGGTACGTCCACCAGATGTCTGAAGTCGCCGTAGTAGAACACCTGTAGTGACAAATGTGATTTTGGTAACCCCTTGTTTCTGTTTCGATTCGCCACGAATAGCGAATCCGACCTCATCACCCACCTTTCCACAACGCTCATCAGCGACTCGATCCGCTAAGCCAAGGGCAGAAATCCTACGGGGCTGTGTGCAAATAATGTTTGCTTGACTGCCAAAGCCACGGGCAATCATATCGTCGAGCACGAATTGCACTGACTGTGTAGATTTTCCAGAACCTGTCTCACCCGAAATGATCGTCACCTGGTTTGCGTTAACCGCGGAGACAATGGCTTCTGCAAGTTTCCAGGCAGGAAGACCCTGTCGAGCTTGCAACATACGTTGTTGCTCTGACGTCGTCTGTTTCGCAGTCCATGCATCCAGTATTTGCCGGCTTTCAGGGGAGTTTTGATTCCAAGAGATGGGCACAGGTTGTCGGCGGTTTGTTCGCCGTCGTACAGCTGGAGCAGCTGGCTCTTTTGTAGAGGCAATCGCAGACGCCACTTCACCCAATTTGCCCGGACTTTCCAAGACCAGGGGTATGTTACTTTCCAGCCAATCGATGATATTGAACAACATTTGCTCGCCCAGGTATTCTTGCTTCGCGACGCTCAAGACTTTCTTCAAAACGCTCAGCCTGACATATGCAGGTAATTCAGCTTCGACAGAGAGAATCGGAGGCTTCGCAGGATATTCCATTGATGGTGGCCGAGCACGCAGAGTGATGGGCCTCTTTGCAGGAGTTTGTAATTCCAAGTCTATGGAGCATAATCTATCTTTGATGGATATTCTATCGCCAAAGATTGCGGTCAAAGTGGCGAGCTCTTCGTCCCAGACTTCAAATTGAGGCACTTGCGTCCAATCTGGCTTCGCTTCGCCGAGGAGTGTGCTCTGCAGCGATTCTGCGGCCTGTGCCTCATCGCCGTTGCATGCGTCTAGCACATCTCCGCACAGTTCTGACGAGTATCCTGATGCCGAGAGACGTTTCACTTTGGCATCTCGCTTCATGTCGCCGCTTGCTAGACTCACGCCAGCCAAGTAATTCTCTGGTAGAGTCCAGCTGGGTAGGTCGTCCTCGGGAACATGAATTAACAGCCACTCCAGACATTCCTCGCGGTCCTTACAGAGCTCTGACGCTTCTTCAACATGACTCCGGCGAAATCCGAGTCTTGAAAGGTCATCGACGATCTCAGATCGCATAGCAGTAGTGAGTAGCACGTCGTGCGGGTTCCATGCTCCGTCCTTGCGGATGAGTCTTTCAACCTCCCGCCGTGTCTTTGCGCCCATCTCAACTTTCGGCACACGCATCCAACCCTTGAGCACGTGGCGACTCTGAACCTGACCATCCAAGCTCACAACCTCAAGTTTCTTGTCCTCGACCTGCTGCTTGGCCTTGTCTAGCCTGGCTTTTTCTTTGGCGACTTTGCTGTCCTCGTGTTGTTTCTTAGCCAAGAAGGGATCAGCCTCGTAAAGATATGCATTCCCTTGAGCGATCGCCTCGCTCTTCAGATCTGCAAAGTCGCCTTTCCAGAGGTCGCGGTATTGAGGCGGAAGCATCATGTGTATATTCTTCATGTTACCGACGCGGTAGAGAGCATAGGCGGCAGCGAAATGACGAGCCTCGACCGCCGAGTCCTGAGTCCCACGCTCTTTGTTGTAGTCATTCGGCGGATGAATGGCTGGCAGTTCCGTAATCTCGCGAGTCTTTGGATTCTTCTGCCGTAAAATGACCGCTCCTGTGAATCCTTTGCCATTGCGATGCACTGTGTATTCCGGCTTTTCAAACTTTTGTTTCTGACAATGCTCGTTGAACAGCGTCATGGGCAGCTTCCCCGTCCATGACGATCCGGCGATCAAGGTTCGAGTGTCCGGTTTCTTTTCAGCCTCAGGGACAGTGGCATTGCCGGTCGCTGCGGCGGGAGCCTTCGCCTTCGCGGGAGCTGCATTACCACCACTGGCTGAAGCTTGCGACTTCTTCCCAGGCTTGTCGTCGTTTCCGAACACTATGAAGCTTGTGTCCTCGCCATTGAGGTTGGCAGCGACAGGCTTCTTGCCTGCGCCCTTCGCCTGCCGCGGCGCATGAGGCTTGTTGACCATCAAGGCTTGCTGTACCGCACTCCCAGAGACCCGACGTAGAAGTTTGCCATGGATCCTGGTACGAAATTTCGTGGAGGAGGCAACCTGGGAAGTCTAGAGGACGACTCGCCGTGTTACTAAGCGGTCATATGCTTCCGGTCATTCTGCATTTTCCCCCGGCACGTTCTTTACGCGTCGTGTCAAAAAATATCAATGCGGGGTGGGAATTTCAAGTCATTCTCAGGGCCGCGAATGACGTGCCTGCGTTCCGCATTACTTAGGGTTGACATTGGGGGCAGTCACCAATCTTGTCCTGTTGCTGCGATCGACGAAGACATAGAAACCATCATTCCGGTGCTGTTCTGGTCCCTCCGAGGATGGCGAGCTATGCGCATGTAGCATCAGATCCATCGGGAGTTTGAGCCTCCAGTTCGGCTGTCCAATGTTGTCTCATCGCCCATTGATTCGGTAATGATGTACCTAGATAGGTAGCTATAGCTCACCTGGGCAGGTAGCGGTCATACATTCCATCCATGGATTACAAATGTAACATACATGTGTGAGATTGAACGTTGCAAGTGTCCACCGTGTATGCCAATCTCATACTTCACCTTTATTATAAGATACATTGTCCACTTGCCGACCGTATCAATGATACGGCGATTTTTCATTCTTGGTCAGAAACGGTAAGAGCTAAATCAACTTGCAAAATACCATCTTCTCGGCACTTCGCAAGCGAAGAATTACATATCCTTACAAGCATCCGCGATCCCAGCCACAATGGCACCAAGCGAGGAATCAAAGGCGCTCGCCAAGCTCTTCGCCCTGATCAAAGAGAAAGTGCCTGAAGACCCCTATCTGGCCCGAGTCCTTTACGATCAAGTCCACACAGTAGCCACCGAAGCTCCAGGAGTAAGCTATGAGAGTGTGACCGTAGCAGGTCGACCGGGCATCTGGATTCTCCCCAAAGACGCCTCGCCCAAGCACGCAATCCTGTTCATGCACGGCGGCGGTTACACCATGGGCTCGCCCTGGGGCCACCGAAAGCTTGCGGCTCACTTGGCCAAGGAAGCCAACTGCCGTGCACTCAGCATTGACTACCGCAAGACGCCAGAGCACCCGTACCCGGCACCGCTGGATGATTGTGTATCGGCGTATGGATATCTGTTGTCCCAGGGCATTCCGGCAAGCAACATCGTGACGGCGGGTGACTCGTGTGGAGGTGGCTTGGCCACGACCGTGATCCTGGCGGCGGTCAAAAAGGGTCTGCCAATGCCTGCCGCTGCCGTTGCTCTTTCTCCTTGGTACGACAAGGGATTGTCCGGAGAGTCCATGAAGACTAATGCAGAAGTTGACGTGCTGGCTTCGCCTGGCGCCATGGAAATGTTGGTCTCGCGCTATACTGCAGGGAAAGCTGATATCAAGGATCCGCTCATCAGCCCGATCTATGCCGATCTGAAAGGTTTGCCGCCACACTGGATCTCCTGCGGTGGTCACGACACATTACGAGACCAAGGCGTTGAGCTCGCCGAGAAGGCGAAACAGGCGGGTGTAGAAGTTGTGCTCAAGGTGGCGGAGGGACAGCAGCACGTCTTCGAATTCATGGTCGGCAACGCTCCTGAATCGACAGAGTCTGTCGCAAACATTGGTAAATGGATACAGGAAAAGACAGGCAGTGGCGCGTGAACACCGATGTTGGAACCCATTATGGTGTCTCATTTCTCACTTATGATCATACAGAGGATGAAAAGCTCCACTCATACGTGAGCTCATTATCTCAACATATCCTGGATGCTTTGGCCTGTGACGTCTTCCATCTGCTTCATCCATCGTAACGTCTCGCGTTCCACTTGACCATCATCGTCCTCCTGGAGCTCGTTGATTACTGGTAGCATCTCAGGCAGCATGGTCAGCCAGTCGATGTTGAGCTTCTCAGTGATGGCTCGCTCGGTCTTCACTGCTGCGAGTCGTACTTCGCTATCCTCGTGACGCATGTAAGACATGATCACAGTGTTCATTGCCTTGTAGTGATCCGGAGAACCAGCAGCTGCAGCTAGATCTCGAATTGCTGGAATGGCATATTCATCGGCAGTATGTGTCTGCGAGCGCGCCAATTGTGCAAGAAGTGGCTTGGCGATGGCATCGAAATGCGCCGGTGATTGCCAGTACCCATCCTCGTCGTGTCGGAAACTGCTCGCGAGTGCCTGCACCACTAGATCGACCAGTCCTGCTTCGATTGGCTCTGACACGTCCAGGGATTCCAGAAGCTCTCGTGCATTGGACAGCAGACTCCCTGCATAGCTTGTGACAAGCGATCTGAGCTGCTCAAAGAGTGTCAAGGTGAAACTATACACGCTGGTGCAGCGACCGATCGTTCGCGCTCTTTGAGCCCGAAGAGTTGGGGTCATGGCCCATTCGGTCAAATTGCTGAAGAAGGGTCTGAAGGTTGCGTCGTTCAGTTTCAAAACAACGTCCATCGCTGTAGCATTGACAAGAGTCTCCAGCTCCTCAAGTTCATCGTCATCTTCGGAGTCTGGGTCTGAAGCGATATGATCTGATCGAATGTCGAGTGCAGACTGTAGCAAAGTGAAAATAGGCTCGACATTTTCAGTGACTGTGGATTTGCTGTGATGCTTTACCAACCGTTGAAGCATTCCGACAAGCAATTGCACAGCTTCGAAGCCCAGCTCTGAGGCCGTTGACCAGGTCTTGATCATTGCGGCCAGACAATATGAAGGTGCAAGCTTCTTGGCAGCTCGATCGCAGAATTGTTGCACAACTGCGGTTTGTGCTTCCCCGAGCGCGAGTGAACGACAGCTGAGATCCAGGACAATGTCTAGATATTTACCAGACAGGACCAGCTCGGTATGATCCAAGAGATTCTCCAGTAGAGCAAAAATCGCATTGAAAAGCGATAGGTCTGTTTCGCGCTTTGCAGTCATTTGTCGAAGGAAATCCAAGACCTGATCGAGGGTGGCGGGGGCAAGAGGCAAGAATTCCTCTTCGAGAACCTCAATCATTGTAGCCAGGCAGAGGGTCGAAATCACCCTTAGGCTACTGCTATCGCTGCTGAGAGCAGCTTTGCCAGAGATGTGCTGTGCAGCTTCTAGTACGGCTTCCTTGTCCTTTTTGCCAAACTTTTCCGCGATCTGGTCAACACAAGCGATGGCCGCGTGTCGGGTCAGTTCAGTTTGAGTTTCCGTGATAAACCAGATGCAATTCGGCAGAACGTCAATGAAAACCTGCTGCATGGAAGCATCACCGCGTTTGGCGAGACTGGCGCGCTTTTCGAGTGATCGGAATACTTGTTGACGAATCTCATCAGTCCCTCCTTGCATGAGTCGTGCACTGGAATCGATGAAGTCGTTCGTAGGCATGAGCGAAAGTAGAGCTGATAACAGCTGATCCGAAGAAGGTCGGAGCACATTGTCATTCTTCAGCTGCAACGTCAAATGCATGACCTTCTCGAGCAGCTCAGAATAGAGCACACGGAGCCTTTCCGCTTGAGGTCCACCGCTCTTAAGCTCTTTGGCGAGACTCTTCTTGAGCGTGTTGACAGAGGTAACTTCAGCAAAGCCACTCAACAGCACACTTGTTGCAAGCTTTGCTTCGTCTTTGGTCTTCTCGTTGAATGTGAGAATCTGGTCGGACAGGACACGTTTCGACCGCAATGAATCGAAGACCAGGTCGAGATACTGTTTCGCGGCTTGAAGCTGAATCGCGTTGGAGAAGGCATTCATCAGTTCGCTGAGGAAAGTCGGCACACTTGGTTCATCTGTGTACCGATCAACCAACATTGCAACGATTGCAAATAATGACTCTTCTGCACCAAGCTTTTCGACCAGATGCTTGAACAGACCAAACCTGCGATGGATTGGAATGTGTTCAAATGCGGCAGTGAAGCTCAATAGTAGGTCAGCCGCTCCACTGATGAGGTCTTTCCCGGATTTCTTCAACGACGCAGCAAGTGGAGGAATGATGCGAGCGACTGTCTGGTCGGTGACGTGTGCGCTATAGTCGTCACTTTGCTTGAGGATCGTTGAGCTCATGAAGGTGAAAAGTGGCATGACGCTGTGAAGGACAAGATCAGGGGCCCATGAAGCCAAAGAGGACATGAGAAGCAAAGCAGCGTGGTGCACTTGGGTGCTCGATGTCGTGCGGACGCACTCCACGATGAGGTCTGCACGGACGATTGAGCGGTCGACGTTGGTATCAGAAGACTGTCGGATACTATCAACAACAGATAGCAAGCTGCTCATCAAAGATCCTTGAAGGAACGCCAGCTCAGAGCCGACCAATGCCTTGTAATGGTGAAGCTCACTCAGCATATAGAATAGTCCCCTCAGAAGCTTCGGATGATTGCCTGGCGTCGAATTCTCGACGATCTGCAGTACAAGCGTCATCTTTCGAATGGCGACATTGAGCTTGTCCGTAGCAGCGGTATTCGATTTTGCAAGCTCGGAACTCCGGCTAAGCCGTAACTTTTTGGCTGAGGAGGGCTGGTCCTGTATGTCAGAGGCAGCAGGTATGTTCTCCGTGAGATGTACTAAGACAGCGTCTGACAATGGCACATCTTGGATAGTGGCAAGGGCATCCGTATGGACTTCCTCGTTCAAGTCGTCCCGCAAACATAAGTCGAGGAGCCAGTCAGCGAGATCTATTTGCGCAGCGTCCTTCAAGGACGACCACAACTCGCGGATGCGGCTAAAACCCATTCCAGAGGTCTCGACGATCTCTGGTTGTTCCAGCGCCAATGACTTCAGGAAGCTGATTTCTTCATTGCTTCGAGCGGTGATGTTGCTTAACAGTCCACGAAGCAAAGCTACTTTCTCGGCACGGGTCGCGGTGGCGTCAGGACGTTTGAGTACATCTTTGGTGTACGGGAGAACGACTTCAGTCCGCGCGGAGCCGGCAATCTTCCCAATCTGCTGCAAGATGTCCAAAATTCTGAGCTTTGGCTGGATCACGGAGCTCTCACAAGCATGGCGAGCAAGGAACATGACGATGTTTGCCCTCGAAGTTGACTTGAATGTACTGCTATCGGCTCGCACGTGATTGGATACGTTCAACACGTCAGCCAGGCCGCGGCTCAAATACGATCCGTCAGTGATGCAGTCGTCCAGCACAGGAAGCAAAGCAGAGCTGAGGAATGCTTGGTGATCCGGAGTGCTCAGCCGTGTCAGATTAGAGCTGGATGCCCCATAGATTGAATCACTTGCCCACACATTGTGAGTTTGACCAGTCTTGGCCCGCGTTGAAGATTTCTCGATTAGTTCGCCCAAGCGCAAACAAAGAGACGCAGCTGCGACACGAATAGATTTTTCGGAATCAGAAAGTGCACTGATGCAGTAAGGGAGCAACATCTGCAGATCTATGTTCGACTTGTCCTGTGAGATTCGAGCGATCTCAACTGCAGCACTCTCTAGCGCACTGACTCGCGGAGGAACTGCACCGTCGCTGCACCAAGCATAGGCCAAAAATGAAAAGTATGTTGGTGAAGTTGAAGAATTCTCGCGATCGAGTTGTTGCGCTGAGAGGAAGTTCTCCAAGTCGGATGACGAACCGGTGACCTGTTTGAAGTGCGAAAGATATTCTGCGGAGACTTCCGATGATTGATACGCCAGGAACGAGTACTTCTCCGAAGGCAGTTTTGGCAAGGCGGCCGGATCGAAAGGAGCAGTAAACTCTGCTCGTGCAGCCTTTCCGCGCACTTCAGTCTGTGATGGCTTCTTGTCCGGCAGCGCTTTTGATTTTGAGCCAGCTCGGTCTTTTGCCGCGCGGACAATGGACATCAACGCACGGCTGTCGTTAGAACGATCGATTCTGTGACTAACGTCTGCACCCTGAATGGCGCTCTCGAGTCGCCCCACGATAAGAGCATGTTGTGTCTCTGTGAGGATATCGGAGGCTAGTATGTTTGTCAGAAAGGGAGATGCATTGTCGTTCTTTTGATGACGGATCATCGACGTGGCGCCCAGACATAATCCAATCAAAAGCTTCTCTGCGCGACAAAGCGCCGAAACTCGGGCGAGTATGGCTGGTGATTCTTGCGCTTTAAGCACCGCCCTCGTGACAGGGTCCGTGAGACTAGAGTTCTGCTTCTCCTCTGCAACGACTGCCAGGCAGGTAATTCCATCCTCAATGGTCTGATCTGTCCAGCCTCCTGAAATCGCCTCCAACATGGCGTTCAAAACCTTCTCTTCCAAGGGCAATCGGGTAGCTAGAATCGTGATGACCATACAGGTTGCCAGATATAACTCTGCCACGCCTTTGATGCTCAAAGACATTTGCAGTACGGGTAGAACCCGCAGGAGGAGGTCCTCTTCTCTTTGTCGTCGGATGGCATCGCGACCAGATCTGGTTGAGTCGACCATTCCGTTGACGGCCTGAGCAGTGATACTGGCCCAGAATCCGATCAAAAGAGCTGATTGATATCTGAGCTTTGCGACTTCGAGCACTCGGTTGCTAAATGTGGTGAAGAAAGCAGGGTGATTGCTTGCAGCAGCGACAATGACATGTCGTGGCGGATTTTGGCGCGACGCGACATATGGGTGGAGAAAGCGAAAGTTGGAAGGGAGCTCCTCCGGAAGGATTGAGAGCAGCACTGGGAAGATTGGCGATGCATGGTATGGTAAGAATGTGTAGAGCATGGCCTCCGTATTGTATTCATGCGCCCGAAAACGTCGAACGAGCCATTCTGCTGCCTTTACAGCAGGTTTGAGTAGCAATCGTCCTCCAAGCAGGCCGAGAAATCGATCAATGACAGCGTCCAAATCTCGGTTTTCAGCAGCGGTCATCTGTGTCCGATCCTCATTCTTGCTCTGCTCACTGAAGAGCGTTTTGGCGAATGTGAGAAAGCGTGCATCGAGCTGGCAGAGTTCTTCGAATCCTTCTATGCAGAGCTGATAGATTGAATCAAAATTTTGTGAGGCAGCTATGCGAGGCTCAAAGAGAAGCGATTTGCTGTGGCGCGCCTTTTGCGCTTTCAGGTCAAGCTGATGCGTGCTATTGGCGGCGATTGCAGCCAATTGCTGTTGGAGAGCGGTCGCCATCCTGTTGTGCTCCTGCAGCGGCAATGTGTTTTTCTATCACGCGAATGGCAAAGAAAGATTATCCAGAGCCTAAAGTTCTAAATTTTGAAGCCGAGATTTTACTAGCGCCTCAAATGATGCATCAATGAAATCTGCCTGCCCTCGAAACCAGCCCTGACGAGGGTTCAGCTCAGCGCAGTCACCTGCATGATTAGGAATTGGTGGGATCGGTTCTTTCCCGAGCGCCGCACCGAGCGTCTCCCCGTTGGTTGGTCGCCCAATTATGGAATATGCCACAGCGCGCCGGACTCACGACCATGACGGACCTTGGGTTGATCAATCATCACTGCATCCGTCTCCATTCTCAGTGCCTGTCAATCAACCTTGACTGAACGTAGATTCGAGCCACTGTTGATGTAGACATTGCCATTGTTGCACTCCGTTCGGAGTCATCGTCTTGCGACAAAAATGTAATGGACAAGCCTGCTGTCCCCAAATTCACATCGTTTCGCCCACTGAAGCGGCAGAAGAGCACAGGTAAGGACGACGAGAAGCCTGCGCAACATGATTCGTCGACAACGGCGAGGAGCGATGTAGCTACTGATCGCCGGCGAGGATCGAATGTCCATCCTGTGCTGAATCCCATCGAACGTCATGATGCGAAGAAACCACCGGCTACCAAAGTTGACCCGCTTGATGACCATGACAATGTGAGCGACTATTTTGTCGACCGGCGCGGCGACTCGAAAAACGTGCAATTCGGCAGTATTCATCGTTACGATGTGCCGCGTTATCGGCGAGGTGGGCGAGGATTTGTTATTGGCTCGCCGAGTGCTAGGTTCGGTCGCGGTGAAGACAGCAAAGGAATCTTCACAATCACGAACGTGCAAGAACGCGATGACAGGAGAGGAATAAAAGTGCTCTCTTCGAAAAACACGCGCCTCAAAGATGACGGACTTCAACTTATCACAACGCCAGGGAGCCACAATAATGCAGATCCAATGACCGAGTTCATCGCGTTATCGACGTCTCGCCGAGACAAAGAAGGAGGACTCAATGAATCTGACAAACTCGACGAAATTGATTATCGCTACGAAGCAAATGAGGCGAGGACTGCCAATCCCACCAATGACCACCCATCGTCAGAGGACGAACCACTAGCTCCCCCAATCGACAAGCAGCAAGAGCGAAACGCATCATTATCTGCAAAGACTGCATCAGATCCACAGGACGTAGAGGCTTGGCTTGCACTTGTATCACATCAGCGCGACGTAGTCAAGCCGAGCGATCCTGCATTGACCAAACCCGAAAGACGCGTGGTGGCCGATCTTCGAATAGCGATTCTGAAGAAGGCCCTCAAGAAAGTACCCGTGACCACTCAAGGGAGGGATCGCATTTGGATGGCTCTGCTCGAAGAAGGAAATCACATTTGGCCATCTTCTACGACGGCGAGCAAGTGGGAAGAGGCTTTGCGAGACTGCTCCTTAAGCAGTAATTTATGGGTCAAGCATTTGGAATTTGTCCAGCGCGATCCTGTAGCATTTCAGTTCGAGCGATGTAGACAGGCATATATTGACTGCCTCACGGTGCTGCATCGCAATGTACTGAATTCGAAGGAAATCGAAAGGACCACTACTGCACATCTGCAGCTCAATGTTCTTCTTCGTTTCACGCTACTACTGAAGGATGCCGACTTCACCGAGCTTGCCTTCGCAATTTGGCAAGTCTTACTAGAGTTCCACTTTTTCATCCCACCAGCCTTGGTCCAAGCAAGGAGTGAAGACCGCATTGCCGCGATAGAAGACTTTTGGGAAAGCGAAGTCCCACGAATCGGAGAGCTGGGGGCTACGGGTTGGTGTAATCAAGGGGAGCATGTTGAGCGACAAAACATACCAGATTCAGAGAGCGCGCCGGTTGTCCATAAAATCCAGTCGTGTGTGACAGCAGCTAAAAGCGATCTCTGGCGCAGAAGCCACCAATGTCTTCCTGCTTCGGCCGATGAGGAGGATACAAATGATCCTTTCCGATTCATCATGTTCTCAGATCTTCGGGAAATCCTCGAGCTTCTGACAAACGACTTGTCTAAGCATGAACTTTTCAATGCTTGTATGTCGTTCTTCGGTTTGCCCGTTCTTGCGGTCGAAGACGACGCACTACAACCTGTCAACCATCTCAGTTTGACGGGGCATCAAACCTCCATGGGCCACGACGATACAGAGCACGCACTGGCGACGGAGTCCAAGACCCAACCAGAGGCGAAAGTAAGAAGTCAACAGGAGTCCGTCGAATCTTTGTTCGAGAAAGATGCTTTCATGATGGCGCCGCATACCACTCTGCAGTCGAATGCGTTGAAAAGGCAGTCGATGCAATTTGCCGACAGGATCATTGAAATGCTTGTGGCTCGTGAATCCTCTCCAGACTCGATTGCCGCTTACCATATCGCATTTCGGGCACAGCTGTACCCCGAAAGCGCTCCTAAGACTGCCAAACACTACTTGTACAGTAGACCATCTGGTTTTCAGCTACTCAACGCCTATGCATTGGCTGAGGCACACCTCGAGCACATCGGCAAAGCAGATAGGCTTTGGCTTTCTGCGCTGCAAAACCGTTTCAAAGTTCCGATGGGCGTGGAAGATGCGATTCTAGTCTGGCACGCAGCCATTTGCTTTCATCTACGAAACGGCGACGAGTCAAAAGCGCTGGGCTTTCTCGCAACAGTTGCATCAAGTACTCCGGACGATCAACTATCTGTCGAATGTACGAGCATGTCCGAAACTGCTCTTCACGAAATCCGACAAGAGCTCATTGCAGGCTTTGACAAGATGTATACGTCCCAGAAGCTCACACGAGCCATTCTGTATGCCGACTGTCTTGCTCTGTTGTGTTATATCATCACTTCACACGATCTAGCCGAGGCTCTTGATGTGTACGAAATGTATGATACGAGGCTTCTCGAGCCAGACTGTCGACCAGCTGCCGAGCTTCTCGCCCAGTACAAAGCAGATCTGATACGGCTTCATCTTGATCGGCGGAGGGCCTTTCGGATAAAAGACGTCGAAAAAAGCTTAATTTCAAGCCTAGCAGCATTCCCAGAGAATTCCAGTCTCCTTGCTGCACATCATCACGTTACGGCTCAAGATAGAGTCCGACAATTGCTCAAGCAACCGCAGATGCGACAAGGTCAGACTATCTCACCCATACAAGCGATATTCAGGATTGAGTGCGAGATTGAGAACGAAGAAAAGCGCACATCCGGTTCCAATCAACACACAGTCCGAGCCGCCTTCTCGAATGCTCTTCTCGGAGTTGATAGTACAGTCAGCCATGTTCCCTCGTTATGGTTCCGATGGTTACACTTTGAAAAGACGCAAGCGCAGACTGCCACAGATCGCAAGCAAATTGGAGACGCCATAGCTAACATGAAGATGGTCTTCATGGAAGGGTTGAAACATCTGCCATGGGTGAAATCATGGATCACAGTGGGAATTGTCCTTCTCGGGGACGTCATGCCTGACGCAGAACTGCTGCAGATTTACTCATTGGTTGAAGAGCGCGGACTGCGAGTCAGGACTGGGTGTGATGCCCCTTAAAGGCTACTGTTCGGGTTTAGGGACGATGTACATTGACCACTTCGCTACATGACTGAAGCTGTTCCAGACACATATGTAGCCAAATCTGCTCAGCCGTATGTTTGGGAGAAGAGCGGCAGACAATCTCGACTTCCGTTCTACGTGTCCGATCATAAAGTTTCACGTGCGGATGGTCATTGAAGCGCGCACAAGTAGACTCAACTGAAAGCACCGAAAGGAGAGCTTGAAATCGATGGCCGTGGCATGATAAATTGTATTGTACAGTCCCTGGAAACAAACCAGCATGATACACTTGCTACAACCCGTGGCTGCCGCAAGAAGAGGGAGTTTCGAGTTTTTGATCCACTATAACGCGGGCTTCGCTTGTCCAGACCCAGCAGGGGCTGTCAGGAGCTGCGATATGTCAGCAGGTATCACAAAGTCCGCGACAAACGGTGATATCATACCTCGTTGGCGCTCTGCTGTGCGCGCATCTCACGCTCCATCTCTTGTACTTGTTGCTCCTCGGAGAAGGCCATGGCCCATGGAACTCCGAGCAACAAAACACTTGTGCTCACAATCCAGGCGGTCTTTCCACTAATGCTCAATCCTTTTGATGCCCATGAGTATGCTGTCGATGTGGCGTTTGAGAGGCTTTTGCGGTAGTTCGGTGGTACAATATCTACCAATGCGGATAGTCGCTCGGCAAGGGTCTCGTCGAGCGCATCGTCGTCGTCAACATCTGAGATCTCCGAAGCTAACAATGTGGAGTATTAGTATTTGATGGAATGATGCTGAGAATGGTGATTATCCAAGCGTACCATCGTCAGTGTCCCAATCATCTTCATCCTCCTTTGGACCGGGCTGGGTTGCGAAGAAATCCTCGTCGGCGACTTCCTCGAGCTGCACCATGATTGCGAGGTATGCGATTCGATTAAGATGAACTTTGGTCAGCACTGTTCGGATGGAATGGCGATGTTGTCCGTCGATGGAGTGCACGTGAGATGTCCTGACGCTGGAAATTCTGACCGCAACAAGTTCCGACGGGGGTTCCCGAAACCAAGCGCGCGCATGTTTGTCGGCGAAATGCCCGCCTTGCCCGATTAGGTAAATTTGAATCTCCATGACACAGAGAAGACATTGCTGCCCAGTAGGGTTACTTCATTTATCCAAGGGTTGTTTCGAACCCCAAGTCTCGAATGGAGTTTCCCAAGAACCGTTCACCTTTCGAGTAGATATGCGTTTAAGCGACCGAATTGTGATAATGACTGGAAATAGCGATCGCTGCATTGTAACAGCTGGGTGCTGTTATCTAATGCATCCCGAGCCTCATTGATAACAGACACAGGGAGTTTTGTTCCATATGGCACAATCTGCCCAGGCAACGGTCGTGAATGTGAACATGTGCCTTCTGAAAGTATGAAGTCACCGGAAGATCTCCGGCGGCGTTCGTCGATGATTCGAGCATGACCCGAAAGGTCCAATAATCCATTCACAATGATTGTGTTCGTAGATCTGAAAGGCGCGACTTGTTGCATCTCACCTCGTTCAAACAGTGGCGGTTCATCCATCTCCATCGGGAGGCGGCCACTGAGCGTGAATCGAACATGACATGCTGCGCATTTGTTGCCTCGTGCTGACATGTAAACAATGATATCCGTAAGGCTTTAACGTTCGACTTTCGCCGAGAAAGGGTATTGTGCATGTCAAGGTCCGTTGACAACCAAAAGACAGAAGATTGTTCCGAACGGTTTTGTGTATAATCTTCAGTACCATAATTTGGACGACAACACAAGTCGACGCCGATGTTCACCGACCGAACAATCAATTTGGCCCACGGGAAAAGCGCAGGATTAGCGGTAGAGCACGCAACGCGCCCGTTGTCAATGGAGCCCGGGCTTCATGTAGCCGCGCCTACACCAAACGCGTGGTGCGAAGTATGAGTTTTTTGCATCAGCGCTCAAAGAGCATCAGCACCACTCCTTGTGTGTGAAAACTTCCGAGTTCTCGCCATATCTAGATTGAAGTCAGTCCTCGAATAAAACAAATACTCACTTGCTTGATCACATCGATAGTCACGATTGAAATACATCACGCGGTTATTCTCGCAAGCCAGCAGCGTGCAGCGTTTGAATTCAGCCTCGCTTGGTTCGTGTTGAGCGTCGGACGCGCATCGGAGGATTCATCTCTGCCCACAGATCTTGGTGCCTGTGAGTTCCATGTGCCGTGCAAGATCGACGGAGATCGTACTGTGGCAGCCAACGGCTACGAGTGCTCCCACCAAATTGTCTGTGAGTGCGTCGGTCAATCCTTGAAACCGGCACCGACATGGTCCTGGTGTGATACCGCGCATGGAGAGAAGCAGTCCTCCTCACAGGCGCGAACATGCGGATAAACGGATGTCGTTGCTATCGTCTCTTCAGGTCAGCATGGGCGACTTGATTACCTCTTGACGGAACGTCTTCGATGGACCACCAAGCCACCGAGCTCAGCGATATGACCATTGCTCTCGCGGCCGGGCTTTGTCCTCAACGCAGGGTTCTCATTACACTCCAACGATGTGTCTGTATGACCGGTAAGAAGTCGCAATGTGAAGTGAAATTAGAATAACAACCTGCTCTGTGGGAATAGCTCTCACGGCTGGAGTGCTTGTACTTAAATCAAGTCTTCCTCCAGCCCAGTCAATCATTTCCTACAGCATCCAACACATTCTTTCAAGATCTCAAGACTCCTCTCGACAAAGTCGCACGCTGACAGCTTTTCTCGACCTGATCCCTCGCAGTGCGAACATCAGTCGTTGCTGTACGCCCAAAGCATAGCCTCTGATCTCAAGCAAGTGCCTCCTAGACCCGAATCGCAGAATCACCGAGGATCATTTCTCAAGCGTTCATAATGGTCAACCATCTGGCCCTCCTAGGCTTTGCAGGCCTCGCCTCGGCTGTTGGGAGCAACAATGGGTACTACGGTCTGCCGGCTGTTGGGAGCAACAATGGGTACTACGGTCTGCCGCCTGTTGGGAGCAACAATGGGTACTACGGTCTGCCGCCTGTTTATGAGGCCGGTGGCGTAAAGGGCAGCACCTCTGTGGTGGAAGGAGGGGCCACTGGTCATCCCACCAGTGATGCTACTCCTCACTCGAGTACAACTGTAGCAGGAGAAGTTGGTACTCCCAAGGCGTTCGCGACCCCGGAAAGATTCACGGTCAAATACCCTTTGGAAGCAACTGCGACTACAACGGCACACGAGTCCGCTATCACAGCCGTTACTTCGTACAAGACGTCTCATGAAGAGCCATTGTACGGCATCCTCACTGTGATCCCATACCACCAATCGAGCAAGACTGGCCCGACTTACCAGGTGGGCAAGTCTTCTTCCTTGTATGGTACCACCAAATCTGGGCCACACTCCGAGATTTCGTCTAGCACATCGGAAGAAACGCACCATACCGCGACCTCAACCTACGAGTGGTTTCACAAGACAATCGTCCACGAGACGACTACATCGACTCTTCACGCAGGAACCCCGAGTGTGCCTGTCCATGAGTCTACTAAGTCGCCAGCCAGCTACGCTCCTCACCTTCTTCCTCCAATCTACAAGCCTGGCCATGTCTCTGCTCCACCCAAGCCTGCTCATTCTGCCCCGACTTACGACCTGCTGCACTCCAACCCAATCTACGAGATTCCCAAGTACTTGGCAACCCATGGATCTCACTCCGCTTCGGAGAACAAGCCTACCCATGCTGCATCCATTTACAAGCCGACCCATGCTGCGTCCATTTACAAGCCTACCCATGCTGCGTCTATTTACAAGCCGACTCTTGTAACCCCTATCTACCATATCGGATCTGAAGTGCCCGCCATTTCGTCGGCCCTGTACTCAATCTATTCTGTTGTGACTCATGCAATTCACCCACCTACGCATGCTGCTTCTGCCAGCCACAGCCACCCGGAGTCGTCGAAGCCTGCTACGAACTATCCCCTCACGTCAGTCTCCACCTATGCATCATCCCTGACTCCTGGCCAATCTTCCCACCCGGCTCCCACCGGACCGATCAAGTCAAGTGCGACTCATGTGTCCCATTACCCTGCGCCCTACCCCACCGGCCCGGCCCCGTTTCACTCGGTTCAACTTCCATCGATTTATTTGCACCCCTCGGCCTTCACGAATATCTACCGCACTCAGTCGGCATCTCACACCATCGCATCGCCTGTCCATTCTACAACCGTGTACCATGGAAGCACCGCTTCCTACAAACATGAGTCCTCGGCGAGCGCCACTACTCCAGCTACTTACAAACCTGATTCCTCAGGGACCTCCGCTGCCTCTGCTACTTACGAGTCTAAGACAACCACTGCCGGCCACGCGACCACCGTGTACACAACGACCTGCCCGGTCAGCACTACGATCACCGTCGGCGGCAGTGCCTACGTCTCCAAATACGTCACAGTGTCCACCGTGACCGAGGTGTACCATGCGCCCGAGACCCACGCCCAGAGCTACCTTCAGTCCGGCCCTACAGATGTTGCTGCTCCATCAAAGAAGACATCTCCCGTGTACCGCTCCGAGCATGAGCCTTATGAGCAACCTAGCGCACCGGTCTACCCAACCGAGATTATCTACTCCACTAAGCAGACCACCGTCATTGGCTGCTCCCCTGGCTCCGAGGGCTGCGATGCCACCACCACCACCATCGTCGTGCCGACCATCGCTGTTTCCACCTACACCATCACCGTCAAATCTGCTTCGCCATCCGCTCCTGCTGGGTCCGCAAGTGCTCCTCCGGCCTCCGACCTGCCCTCAACCAGCTGCTCCACTGAGACTACCCCCTCGACGTACGCGGCTCCTCCTCCCTACCAAACATCTCCTGCCAGTGCCACCATCACCAGCGCTCCTCCAGCCAAGACCGCCCCCGCCCCTGCTCCGTACCCACCAGCCGCCTACAGCAGCGACAGCGTCGGCAGTGCGATCCGCTACGAGTCCGTCCTGGTGGTGCCTCGTCCGGCTTCGAGCGCACTCGCGTCCATCACCGTCGTGCCCCGCCCGGTCCCCACCGACGCACCCAAGCAGTACGGCGGTGCGTCGTCCACTCGGCCCAGCATCGCGGTACAGTCCGGCAACAGCGGTGTGGCGAACAAGCCCGCTGCGGCCTTCCTCGCTGGTGCTTTCGCGCTCGCGGCGCTGCTCTAAGCGAACGTTATCGCTTCACAGTCGCGGCCCTGGCGAACATGCTCTCCTGCTCTACCCGAGCTGCTCTTCGGCCCAGGCTCTCCGCGTATTTCCGGATATATCTGCCTTCCTCTCATAATTTTCGTACAGTCTAAGAGACCTTTTCCGACTCGCTGGCTGAGGATTCCGACTTTGCTCCGATTCTTCTCCGCTTATCTCAACAAACAAAACAGCACAGTGGGGGGCGTTGCATCCGCTTGCCATCCGGAATGGCTAGACGTATCAACAATTCCTGGCCTGGAAAGGTAATGTATATCACTCCTGGACGAGAGGCACAAATTTCTTCTCTTTCTTCTTACAATTTTCTCTCTTCGATCTTATTTCGCCAATGGTCAATGATAATGTACTTAATTTTTATTTCTTATTATCTAGTCAAGGCAATGCTATGACCTTCCTTACTTCTTACATCTGATCAGTGTCCGCAAGTGACACCGATATTTATCCTTCCCCGGTCGATGTAGAGGCGTCACACCCTTGCGTAAACGCAGCTTTTGGAAAGATGCCTTTGAGAGGCACATCTCGCGATCGCCACAATGGTGATCAGAGTCGTTCAAGTCGAAGTCTGTAAGGGGAATACGGGCATGTGCGAGAACTAAGCGACAAAGAACGTTTGGGCCGAATGCGAAATTTCGGGAGACGTCATGCGACTGAAATCACAAGATTTGTCGACTGATAAGGAAGTCGCTGGGGTATTGGTACACATGAGGAGTGATACAGAAATGAATCTTCTTCTACATCTATGATGGACATATTGTCCCATCGGCACGAAATTACCACATTCCATCATCGCCCTTCATGCTGGCTAGCAGCGGGCTAGGTCTCGGTCCACCTCGGGGCAACAACTCGTCCGGCCGGAAGATGGTCTCGGGGACCTCAATGCCGGTAGCAATGATGAACTGCCAGAATTCCCGTTGACCCATGCGTTGTGTACCGCCAAATGCCCGGTCGAGACGCTTTCGGACGTTGTACACCACGTCGCGGAGCTTGTCCCATTCGTCTCGCTCGGCTAGGGCGCGCGCGACGAGCTCCAATGCACGCCAGCCAGGGTAGCGGCCTTCCCGTTCTGCGCGGTACAGGATATCGAGGCAGGGCCGGATACCGATTTCCCGGTGGAAGCGGGCGTAGCCTTCTATCAGACGGTCGTAAAAGACTGTGTCAACAAAGATGGCGCTGCCTTCGCGAAGATCGCCGTCTTTGATTCGTTCCCAGAAATTGTCTATGGCTGCGAAGTTGGGTGGGTCCTGTTCAAACCAGTGCGTCAGGAGCATGGTGGCGATGTGGACGTTGAGCGGAATCTTGTTCTTCAACATGTATGACAGCATCTGGGACACAGCTTCGGGATTATCATGGTGCTTGAGGAGTCGGTTGACGATGAGCGCGAAGCCTTTTTCGTCGATAGTGTTGCTGCCGTCGGCGGCCTTGGTGGAATCGACAAAGGCGATAATCTTGTCCACCTGGGCATCTTTCTCAACCCCAGCAAGGAAGCCACCTTGGAACATTGCGGTAAGAATGACCACCCACGTGTTACCATCAGGAGCTATATTACGTTCTTTCATACGAGCGACCAGCGCTGTAGCGTTTTCTGTCTGTCCGTGACGCATGGCAATATTGATGAGGACATTGTACGTGATAACATCGAGCTCGATACCGAATGCCCGGGCCCACTTGACCACATGTGGGATTTTGTCATCTTGCGTGTCTGCGAGAGCTGTCAAAGCGGCATTCAGAATGGTGACATCTGGGCGCGGGACGCCGCGGACAGCGCCTGGATAGGTCGCCAAAAGCGAAGCGACAGACGGCGGGGGTTCAGATTTGCTGGATTTGCTAGATTTGCCGGCAGCACGTCGATCGAGTGCCGCCTGCTTTCGCGCGGCGTCGAGCCACTCTTTGCCCATCTCTGTCATCACTCGAATTCCGTCGTCGGGTTTCCGAAGCTTGATCAAACCATAAATCCAAGCGGTCCAGGCCGGAATGTCGGGCTGGATGCCTGCGTTTCGCATCCTCTGCCAAAATGCTGCCATGCCCGTGAGGTCACGGGAAGTGCGAGCGCCACGCAAGATGACCGTGTATGTCCTCACTGTGGGCTGGTGGCCAGTTTCGATCATTCTCTGCCACATTTCCATGGCCTTTTCAGGACGTCTGAGCAGGAGAAAGGTCAGAATTAGGTGTTCAAAGAGCTCTAATGGGGGCGGTTGGAGTTCAGCATTTGCGCAAGCATTGGCTCTTTCCAGAACTTCATTTTTAATTTGCTCCGCAAAGGAGAACTTCTCTTGCTCTCGCGCCTTTGCTAAGCGTTTGATACAGGATCGAGCGAAATGAGCCATCTCAGGCGTCAGCGGAACGCTGAACTCGACATCTTTCTCGCTCGCCTCCGCGATGCTGTTGAAGGCGGACAAAGCAGGGGCTTGCGCGTCCTCGTGTGATCGGGAGCGGTGCTCGACCGAAGTAGCCTTCATAGCTGCAACATCCACAGCGATATCCAGGCGTTGCAGCATTGGACCGTACAACCCAATATCGTTTCTGGGCGGACCCATACGTTTTAGCAAGCTGGGCGGCGCCGAAACCGGCCTTGATAGTCGCAGGCATTCCTCTAGAAAATCTATGAAGGGCTGTATCCTGAGCAGCTCTAGCCCGGGTGCATTAACACCGTTTTGGGAGTAGCTCGAAAACACGCGGAGCAGATAGATTGTAGCGAGAGCTGGACTCGCATAGTCGAAAGTATTGCTTTTACCAGTTGTCGAATCGTCTTTGGTGATTTTTCGACGTGGGAAAACAGACGAAAGCAATCCGTTGAGTGTGTCGTCACCTTCGAGACCACGCGCTGTATTCGCCAGTGCTTCGGCCGATGGGAGACGATCCCATGGCGCTTCGATCGTGGTAGCCCGTGCAGGATCATTGCCCTGCTTGGTATTGCGATTCAATTCAGGCTTCCTTTTAACAGAGATCGAGTTTTCCAAGCACATTTGCCACAAGCCTACAGCCTCGCGTATGCCTACGAGTAGCAGTTGCGGTCCACCGTCAGCAGATCGCGCATGATGCCGAACCACGTCTGACGTGACGTGCCACAGCATGGCCGACCAGGAAGAATCCGTAGTCAAGCCCAGGGCTGTCACTAGCTGTTTGAGCTCTGTTGGCCCAGGAAGCGTATGGGTGACAGACTCGGGTTTTTGGGGCTTGAGGCTGATTGTCCAGTCCTGGATACAGTGCATGGTGAACGTAATCATCGCATCAGCGGTACGCTTGTGGTACGTTGATCGCCGTGGAGCCTTGACTGTAGACAGAAGGCCGTGTACCTCACGTAGGCAGTCCCAGGCCGATTGCCACTCCGTTGCCTCGACGTAGTTGGTGAAGTTATCCATCCCAGCCATCCATTCCCCAAGCATCGACGGCGCCTCTTCGGTCTCGTTCTGACTCCTTCCATTAACCCGCGACTGATATTGCCTAGAGGTCGGCGAAGCTGCAGCAGGCATTCGGGTTTCGGGGTACTGACTTAACTCGTCCAGCACTTCAGCTGGCCGCAGTGGTTCTCTTGCATATTGTCCGAGAAGAGGTGATTCACCAAATTCCCTATCCTGCCGTACTGGCTGTCTGGAATAGCGCCCGACTCTAGGTGCTTTGCTATACTCCCCATCCTGCCGTGCAGATCCATTTGTAAACGATCGAGTGCCAGAAAAGTTTGATAAACTGCGCGAAGATGGACATGACGTAGCATTGAAGAAGTCCGATCTTGATTCATCCCGTTTTCCAATGATGCTCGAGATACGGCGACTCTGCGAATGAGAACGTATTTGCGTTGACCATAACCTGCCGGCCCGACAGGCTGAACATACATGTGGGCGTGACATGATGGCTGATGTGAAGCTCAAGGATGACTGCCAGCCGCAAACCACCAGGGCAACTTTCCATTGAAAGCTCCAATGTCGGGAGACGCGTTGTAACACGTGCGGTCATCCGATACGGCTCGGGCCTTGCGCCGAACCTCCGGCTGCTGACTGTACCTTTCGGCGAACCCAGTGCCTTGAAACTCAGGCATCATGGGAAATTGTTATTACATTGAACTAATAATCAGGATCCTGAGAGAAGAATTGTTCAGGAATTTATCAATGTCTTCCGCGACAACAGTGTGATGTTGACGTAGCTTGGAAGTTGCATGACGACGTATACGAGCAGGTATTTCCATCATACGTTAAGCTTACCATTGGTACTTGAGCGCTCACAATCATCAAAATCCCGTCGTGAACCATGGCATATATAGACGGACATAGTGACAGGCTGAGAATTGGGGTCACGCTGCTTTGCAGCGCAGTTCAAACCATTGACCTAATTCGACGTTGATTACTGAGATCGAATGGCGACGACGTGACGAGAGAGACACGCGATCACACTCCTGTTTCGATCAGGCGCGCGTTGTTCCATCCCTTGCCGAAATCTCAAGCGGAAGCGCTCGTGCGGAGACACAAGACCATTGTGGGCTACCTGACCGAGGATTGGGGAAGGTGATTTCGAATGAAACCTCCGTCCTGGAAGACCAAATGTCCGATTAGCTAATTAGTATTGTTCATCTTGTCGACCGGTCCTTCTGGCGCTGCGAAAACGTTCCACTTGATCTGCGCTAGATGGACCCTGGCCCAGATTTCTTGGTAAGCAAAACGGGGCGCGTCTTCACTTGCTCTTGAAACGCCGTCTGTCTCTCGAACGACTCTGCTATGCCCAGGTGGTATCTGCTCACGCTCAGACTAAAGTCTACAGCAAATGACAAGCCGATGGAATGTCAAACGGCTCTTCCCAAGGCCAAGGCGCCAAAATGAGGAGGGAGGTAAGAATGCGGGCCCAAAAGACGGGTTGAAGTTGATGTGAATGGTTGTAAATCTCCAGACACACGGCGGCTGGGAAGTTTGGCCGGCATCGCTCCTGTTATCACGGCAGCTAGTGCTCCTACGTGGATGTGTTGTACGTACGAGAATCGAAGTCGTCCGCCGGTTCAGGACCCTCAAGTAGTTCTTCATTTCTGCTGACCGTTCGAGCTTGCGGCGCCATCCTTGGTGTATGAACACCGCATCACCACAGTGGATCCACCTCGGTCAAGCGATAAATGATGATGCGCATTGGCGCTTCGACGATGTCGTGCTTAGGACTATGGCACAATGTACCCCATCATTGCTCCCCGCGAATGGGTACGGCAGCATACACAGATTGATGTCAAATGTCTTTGCCCCTGAAGTTCTCGATAATGAGGCGCGTGAGGATTTCTTCCAACAGCCGAACGCACAGGTCAATGGTGCAGATCTCGATACGATCACCGTCCGAACTCGCATGAAAATCTAGAGTTTGGAAACTCGAAGGACGAGACCTCCTCAACGTTGCATTCGCCGCGGCGGGCGTTTTGCTTTTTGGCAGTAAAACCAACCCAGCCGATTTGGTAATCAGGACATTGCGCGACGAGTTGATTGGCGAGCGACATCGCAAGTGCGCAATGTCAACGCCATTGGTTTCCTGTTTGAGGCTGCAGCTAGCTTGATGCGGGTGGACTAGTCTCGACGAAAAAGCTGCTGCCAGGTCACGGCTTGGCAGCTGCAGGTGCCGGGGTGCTTCGGAGAGCAGGGCTCAAGTCTAGAAAGTCGCGGGACCACCGCCTCTGCTGAACTGGACCGGGTCGTGCTGCACATCGTGTTCTGGCGGACAACATGCACGCCTCGCCACTACGCCGACGCTCGAGGTAGAGACTGCGCAACAGGTCGGAACTACAGTGCAGATGCATAAAATCAATACATGAAGGACATTGACCATGTAGCCTAGAGTATGCGCTGATAAACAAAGATTTGCTACTGGGAGTTCGTCCCCGGCCGATGATGCTTCGGACTCATTCTCGTATACACATACCCGCCGTATCATCTGCTTCGTGTCGGCATATGAGCGACCATGCAAGCCATGGGCATGGTTGGCTGGCACGGAGAGTGTCGCGCGAGCGCCTTCTGCAACAGGATCTAGTCTGGGTGGTGGTGGTGGTGGTCCAAGCGGGACAGACGTGTGCAAGCTGGGACAGGCGGCGCCGGCGTCGATTTTAGATCCCCACATGAATAGGAAGAAGCAAGCAAAGAACACGAGAATGCGCGAGTCTGACGTTGTAGGCATCACAATAACCCATCCAGTGGCTAGGAGAGTGCAGTTGAAAATCATGGAAATGCAAGACGCAAGTGGACTGTCCGCCGTAAATTGGTTGGCAGGCCCACAAGACTACCTAGGTATCCAGTGTTTCTATTGTTGATGGAGGAGATTCCAGTATGCAGCCGCTCAGTCTTAGGCACAGTAGTCCAAGAATGAGGCATCGTGGAGTGGTTGGCAGTGCATTCGTAGTGTCGCATGCTCTCGCTAGACAGTCTGGCATGTCGACGCGAGTGCCCCTGGGAAGATGATTGATGATTAGCCGAAGGAGATTCAAATTTGCGACGGCAGTGATGTTGATGATGACGATGGCGATGACGGTGCTGGAGTTCCGTGATGACGATGGAATACGGGCCGGGAGAGAGAGATGATGATGATCATACATGCACGGCATCGACGTCCCCAGGAAATGGAGATAGCTGGAGAGTGACTTACAAGGTTCTCAGCAATTGCACGCTTCTGATTCGACAGTAATCGGCCCTTATCTCTGACCCGATCAAGCGGTGGATAGACTTTCTGGTTGACTCGAAGTAGCCGCGTGCGCCCGGCCTGTCCCTTGTCTTGTCGAGTGCCCCCGACCGGTACCAACATCTGCGACACTCATCCTGCACTGGATCATCATCATGAGTCAGTTTGTTTGTCCCGGTGCGGTTGGAATGGTTCAGTATGGTCCAGTGTTGAACTGCACGTATACGCAGCAGTCTATCTCCTTCTTCTCATACGGCCATGTTACGCACACAGCTTTGCAGATGCAGCGCTGTCTCACCTTGGAGTCTGTAGGTGCAGCACCAGATGCGGGCAAGCCTATAACCTATGCTTTGCATCGCAGCATCAAATTCCGAGGCATGAATAACCGCCACCAGAAAGCATGAGAAACACCGTGACATCTCCGTGAGCTCCTTGGGAGTCTAGAGGCCCCTCATAATGATTCCCTAGGTACACAAAGGAAGACTATAGAGTCGAGGTGCAAGGGACTCGGCCGCTGCACCAGAGACACGTAACGAATGCACAAGATTAATCCTACGTGATATTACAGCACATCACAAGCGGTAGCGCTGGTGGTATCAGTACACGTCGACGGTGGTAATGGTGCTGTCAAGGTTGGTGGTGAAGAAAGCTGAGGAATCGCGGTAATAATCTTAACAGCAACAATCATGAAGAAAGAGAGTTGTGGTAGTCGATCTCTAGCCACCGTAGCGGAGCATCGCTAGTAGAGTAGTGTTGCATAGTCAGATCCTCTTCCCTGCGCTCTAGTCTTTTTGTCCTTCTCGCCCCACCACCATTACATTCATCAGTCGCATGCTTCCAAAGGTCACCAACACCACCACCACCACCACCCATCTCAACCACCATCAAACGGCGCTGTGCATCGGCCAATCGCGCCGCGCCCAATTCGAGAGTGGAACTAAGAAAGAGAGTCCCTAGCATGTGCGCTTCGCTCTGCCCTGCCCTGCCCTGCTGCTGCTGCTGTGCCCATAACGAACCTATCGGTACCCCGTCATGTCCCCCAGTCGCATGCGACACACTCGGCTGCTGCGTTCAGACCGCCTCCGATAACAAACCACTTCCCTCCATCTGCTCTCGCCTCATGCTTGATTGATCGACATTCTCTTAATTGTCATAAATTATCGATCTTCTCTCTCTACGACAATCCCGACCCGGACTCGTGCAAGTTCATCTTACGCTCAGAATCTTTGCACGCCTGCAATCGCCAATTGTGCGACTTCGAGACTTGTCAGCAACCAACGAACGCGATATCAATCGCTCATGCAACCTGACATCCCCAGTGGTGAACAATAATGGCCGCGACTGCAGCTACAGTAGCACCAACATCGACTCTCTACACGCAAAATACCAGTCCCTCCGCCATATACACATCACGAGTCTCAAACTCGACCAGTCCGACGTTATCAGACCCGAACTACCCATACGTCAATCGAGTCGGCTACAACCACGGACCTGCAATGGCGCAGACTCCTCCTTCAGCCAACGTCTCGCCCACCGAGCAGGCGACATATCAGACACACCAACACATCGCACCGCCTCGGCAACTGCGCCAACCTCGTCAACCTCTGTACACCCCCGCTGCCCTGCGACCTACCGATCACAAACATCATGCTCGACCTACCGATATTCCTCCGCGACCACGCGCACCCGACACTCCGCCGGCGAGCAAGGAGAACAGCTTCGATAGCGGCCACAGCAAGCACCGAAGGAAGTCTCCACCTACGCTGGAGCTTCCCGGAGCATCCACCAGCGCTGAATCGTTCCCATCCTCCCTCTCTTCCAGCGAAACACTCATCAGCCCGTCTGCACCTCGACGGAGCCTGACCTCTCCTTCACAATCCTTCTCTAACGCACCGCCGCTTCCCACATCGCGCTCGTCCTCTGCGGTCACCGGTCCTCCTACGACCGCGCACTGGAAGCCCGATGTCTCCGCCACTGGCTGCAACATCTGTCAGCAGCCCTTCCATTGGTACCTCCGCCGACGTCACCACTGCCGACGCTGTGGCCATGTCGTCTGTGCCGCAGACAGCGCCTACCAAGTCCCACTAGACCAACACGCACGCTTCCACGTCCGTGGCGCACCGAGCCGCGCCTGCAACGGATGCTGGGACGAGTGGCGGACGCTCAACGTGCGACGAGCGGACGTCAGCCCGAGCGCCGGCGAGCAGGAGGAAGAGGAGGAATACGACGATGAGGAGGACGACTCCGAAGGCGAGGATGGCGTGCCGAGCAGGCGACGAAGCAATGGCAAGGCACTCTCCATCCCGACCGGCTCGCCGAACAAGACGCGTGACATGCGCGTCGGCAGCCTGGCACGTTCCGAGGGCGGCATGGTGTGGAGCACCTTCTGAAACAAGACAACCTCTCCTTCTGCCCCACTCCCTATCGGACGACCAGTCTCACCTCAGCTATCGGTCTGGCAAGACAAGATCGTCGCTCGCTCACGCCGCCTCACGCCTCGTACCTCTCCGATTCCCAACGCACGCGATCAAACTCATCGCCTCGTCATGATCGCTGGTATCTGTCCATGACAACCTGGCCCCGACCTCTCTACCTCTCTACCTCTCGGCCTGGTGCACCCTCATCATACCAACTACGACCTCTCTGCATCAGACATGGGATTCATGTCATCATCACCCCTTCTCCCTCGTGCTTTTTTTGATGACATTTTAGCGAATCGCGCAGCATGTTCTGGTCATTAGTCTTTGTTCATCCTCTCATCACGCCGAGCCTGCTCCGCTCGTACGCGTCTTCGCTTCGGCACACGATGTTATTGTTTTGATTTCACAAGCGTTTTGGGATTCTGCTTTTGCCTTTGCTTTTCGCTTTAGATGAAAGCTGTCAGTCGCAGCTGTCAGTCGCAGCTGCTTTTTGGAGTTTTTTTCTTCTCTCCAGTTTTCGTTATTTGTTTTTGCGATGTTCGACGACGAGCGCTGCTTTCTTGTTAGGATAGATCGGGATGTTCTTTCCCTCCATCGGTCTGCTTCGGACGCAGTCGAGACAATTGCGTCGACATATAGAGAAGAGACATGGGATGGAGATGGTGGCATTCGTCAATTTTTTTCTCCGTTGCGAGGAACGGCGATGGTTTTCTGTACACAAAAATTTATGACTTGGTTTCTCTATTGGCATTCACCGCTCTGCTGAATAACTCGAACGATGCATGGCTTTTATATGTCAAAAGAGCCGTTTTCCTGCCTTCATGTGTGACGACGAGAGAACTTCAATAAAGTTGGATGATCATGTGAAAGTCAATGGTTGTGGAAATTGTGTGCTGCGAAGACCGCGTTGCAACACGTATGGGAACGAAAATGACTGCCCCATCAGACAACGTCTGTATGTTACACTTGCGATGATGAGTCCATCATCGAGCGGTGCCCAGCATCATCATCATCTTCACCATCGCTATCGTCTAATCATAACCATCCTCGTCAACATCTATTCCAAGTTTACCTGTCTCTCCATTGTCCTCGTTCTCGTCATCCTTAGGCTAGTCTTCGTGAATCAGTCACTCAGCTGTCTCACGAGCATTTCACTCAGTCTCTGGGAGGTGCGCGAATGCCTACGTAGCGACGAGAAGCTGTGAATTGCGACTCTGCCGCTACGATCGGCTCAGCGTCTTCGAGTCGAGGCCAAAGGAAGTCTGGCCAAGGGCCCGGAATACGGGTTGCGTTGACTGCCGCTATGTGAGCGGCCTGGCGTGGCCCGCGGCCGAAATCGAATTTCCTCGACTGGAGTAGGTCCTCGACTTTCTCGCGACGGTCGTTTTCGTAGCGACGGAGGCCTTCCCGGACACGCTGAGCAACTTGCAGAGTGCGTACCGGCAAGTCGTTCGCGTCGATGATCATGCTTTGCAGCTCGGTCGGCAGACGGTCCATGCGTGGGTATTTCGCAACGAGGTCTGCCCACCATGCGTGTTGCTGCGGCGGAACGTTGGCGGTCGAGAAGATCCGCGCGTTCGGGTCGACCAACGACACCACAAGAAATTTGACATGGCCTGCCCGCGACCGATCCTTCAATTCGACCTCTGTCAGCCGATGATATATGGTGTTTGGAAACGTGACCAAGCGACCTGGAGACAGCTTCACTTGGCCGAGCTCTTGCAGTGCTGGGCCTTTGTTCTGAACTTGATGGAGGAACGACGCATAATTGTAGTTCATGCCCGTGTCTTGAAGGTTGCTCAGTCTTGTAGTGTCTACTGCGTCTCTGAAAGCAAGGTGGCACTGTGTGACGTTATCTGAAGCGTAGCAGTAGTACGTGCACGCGCAGATGTGCTCGTTATACAACCCTTCCATATGCCACGGCTCGTGAGCGAAGACTGGTTGCTCGGGCGTCAGATGAATATTGAAAAGCCTGACAAAAACCTGAAGACCTTTGTCTGCATATTGACGGCGGAGGTCCGAGATCCCAAAGATCTCCGGGATTGACGGATCCAAACCCCAATTTGCGGCGTGGCCTCTGTACGGTTCACATGATGGCAATTTGCAACGAATGTTCCATTCAAACCAAGTCTTGTCACCGTCATGCCTTTCGATCTTATCGGAACCCGCCTCGTTCTGATGTCTTGAATGGTCACCTTCTGAGAAGGCATACATTGGCTGATAATCCCCGAAACGGAGCGGTCGCTCCTGGCTGGTTGTCAGGAGCTCCAGAGTCTTGTCCCACATTGGCAGAATTTTAGCGATGATTAACTCTACGCTGTGGTAGAGATCTCTGTGATGATCGGGGTGGGCGTTGTTGATGTAGGTCATCACTCGGACCCTATCCGGCTCGTCGATCGCGACTTCACAGGGTAGCCACTGGTAATAATTTGAGGCACGAGCGTTGTGCAACGCTTTGTAATGGACAGCACTCTCGCTGTTGGCCCCTCTCAGAGCCGAGACTTTGACTTCCTCAAGCGGATCAGGTGGCAGTATGAAGCCCCTGCCGACGTAGGCCACACAATCAGCACACGGGATCGTGTGACCCACGATCAATTGAGATAGTGTCGCATCGAAGCAATACATCCACGGATCGATGAGATCGAGGATTGTTGTCTGTGTTTCCGTCGAAGCTTCCAAAACAGCAGCCGCATCGACCAGTGTGCTTCTGATCGCTTCAGAAATGAGGGTGTCAGATTTCAGAATTGTACTTCTGCCAGCATCGAGCGCGGGTAGGAACCCATGACGCTGTTGAAGCACGGCGTAGTCTTGCAACTCCAGGGTACACTGAGCGACCAATGTTGTCAGCATCGTAATGACTGTGGTCAACACACTGTTCATGAACAATACGTACATGCTTCACCATTTCTGATGTAAACAGAATGTGTGGGGTCCCACTAGGCTGGGTGAAGCCGTACTTCGGTCCACCATAGTCTGAGAATGGGAGCATGCGCGCGCACTGAAGAAGCTTCTCGGAAAGGTCTTCGTCCTCGTGGACAGCCGCTTGCCATCCAGAGTCATCAGTCAAGGAGTTCATGGAGCTGATCATCAACTTCTCAAGAAACACGATTGGATCGTTCCGATGCTCTCTGATTGTCCATGTCGAGACCCTCCCATCTCGCATGATCACACCAGAGCGAAGGTTTTTGAATTGCTGGAAAAATGCATCCATGATTGCCGCAATTCAACTTTGTCAAGAAAGGGGAAGAAGGTGGGTTTTTTGGCTGAAGCATTTGCGGAGCAGACTCGCATATATTTTGTCAATCCGACGGAGGTACACGACTGTGACCTGGCAGCTGAGATGAAGCTCTTGAGCAAGTACATATTCTCGCATGGAGCTTGAGCGGTACGAAGTATAGTATCACGAGCAATTAAAGCGTGATAGTTTGCGGCCTCTCATGTTGTATTCGAGCGGGAGTCAGTGAAAGATCGTCGACGTACGAATGTCTTACGAAGGAGGGGATATATGCGCGATTCTCCCTGGAATGGTAAATCTTGTTAACATCCGCCACGCTTTACGCTGTGCTGTTGCTACACGATGAGGAGTACTCCATGTCAGATTGCCAGTCGGTGATGACTACTTTGACGGATAACGGCCTGTGTATCCCTAGGACGCGTCTGACAGCGAACCTGGGAGGAACTGCGTGCGATTCGAATCATCGTGTCGAGCAAATCTTTGACGTGGCGCTGTGTCGTATAGTATCACAGCATCCCTGGCACAGTTATGAGAGGCCGTTCCGTCTAGGTATTGACCGAATCGGGGCATTCCAAGTACATCAATTTCCAACCAGCTGCCTGACGGCTGCTTCTAGCTCAACGGAAACTTGCTTTCACGCGAAGTGCTTTTGCTAACTGATTCTTGTCGGCATGTTGTACCAGCCCAACATCGATGTATCGTTGCAGATGGTGTTGCCCTTGCATGAAAATGATAGACACCTTCCTCCGAAGGAGGGACGGGAGGATCCGCTCACAGGCTCTCACGCTCCAAGATTGTCAAGGCGCTTGCCGGTGTGATTGATGCAACATTTCAGGCTTGTGCACAGGGCGCGATCATTGTATGGCTCGAGAGCAAACTCATCTGACTCAACTCATCGAGGTGGACAGTTTAGACTGCATCGAGTTTTCGAAACGAAGTGTCTGTCGCCCCTGGAAGTCCATCGGAGAGTGGCTGACCGCGTCCGTATTGCCCTCTTAAGACAGTATTCACCCTTGATATGCGGATGGTCTGGCGTGTACGACCTCAACACAACTTTACGGGTTGTTTCAAGCGAGAGTGTCATGCCGGTGGAGCACAGTGGAGGCCGGCTCTGACATGGGTGACTCTGTGACACGCCCAGAATTGTTGGATCACCTACACCACTACTTTCGTCGCTTTTGCCTTGCAATCCCAGGCATCAATCTGAGAAGTACTGCCTGTATTCTATCAGCGTCTTGTTTGTGTTGGCTGTATGTCCTCATGCTGACCATCTTAGCGTGCCCCAAAGAGGGCTTCACCGGGAGACTTCTCCCTCCAAGATGACATGGTCCAAGCGACATATGCAACCCATTGCACTAGACATCATATCGTAACACTTTGGTGTCAAGATACATGATCATTCATATCCCATCACTGATTCAGGGGCGATCGTACGAGACAGCCTCCAAGACTCACGCGACGATGGTGAGGGTCAGTTATCCCAGAGCATCAAAACTGCCCGCATGCTGCAGTCCGACCCGACGGCCTTTCGACCCAGACAGGTTCGATGCCGCCAAACAAGTTTTGACCCATGAAACTGTCATCGAGTACACCAGACGGCCATGAATATGCAATTGTCCACCTCCATCTCAATGTCGTCGTGCTACGCGACGGCGCGACCACGGCCCGCGCCGGGTGAACCATATCCACCTGGGCAAGGAGAAATGTCCACGAGCACATGAACAGAGTTTCTAGAGACCCATCCAGTAAGGGATTTCTCAGGCGCGAGTGTTCGATGGATCCGAGCAGGTGGATCACCGGGCTCGGAAGTGCGCTGAAGCGCAATGCGTGCGGTGTCGAAATGTCGATGGGAGACGACGGCTGTGAAGCCTATCCCCCTCCAGGTAATCGAACACCGTTTACAGTTGGATTGAGATGCCAGCAAGCTCTGCCGATGCTACAGGCAAGGCGAAGATTGACCGGTGCTCATGAGAGTGCATTACATCATGCCTGTCCTTGCCTGGCTCCTAGTATGTGCGAGAGAAGCCTCAATACGGAATATCGGACTCGGCCCGTGTACGTCCTGCCTCACGATTTTCGACCACGAACCACATACTCGGAGCACGTCTGCCGACGCGAAAGGTAAGGCGGAGCGAAGCAGTGCTTCGATAGACCACAGCGTAGACACGGAAATCCGAGGCGTATACTTTAGTGTTGAGGGTGTCAACTCTGACTTTCTCCTCCGGGCGGCACCGGATCGTGTTTCGAGCTGCCCGGCTCGGTAGCAAGGTGTTTCTAGCTTTCATTCACGTTCAAACAGGGACAGAGACTCGTTCTTGGACGACCGAAATGTAGTGTGCACATAATGTGAGATTGGCTGGACCGCTGGGCAGATTTCCAGGTCCGTCTTCAAACGGTGTTGCTAATGAAGAAACCTCCATATCGATTGCCACCATAGGCTACACTATACGGTAACCAATGCGGGTATATATCGCTGAACATCTTAGGATCCAATTTCCCGGAATTTCATCGTGATATGGTCGTCTATCCTGTTGCATTGCCGAGTCGGAACAGGAATGGTCAAATCGGCGCGCGGCTCTCATGGGTCGGAGCGGACATTACATTATAATCGTACTGTACGGACAAAACAGGGTATCTATGTACGAGTGCCAAAATACAAAAGCCGCAGCATATGAATGTCGCGGAAATTCACACCATGTACTTTTTCTTCCACTCCCTCATCCTGGATGAGCATGGTCATCGCCTTTCATCAGTCGACTGAATTCGCTTCAGCGTTCTCCTTCATCAACTTGTCTTTCCCTCCCATTATGATAGACGGAAAGTCCTCATCATCGTGCTGCGGTCTGACCGTTCTGGGGTGGGACGACAGTGTTGGGCTTGGGAGCCCGGGAATCATACGGGACCGCTGTTCCGGTCTTCGCAGGGGTAGCGGCGGTCGCGCCTGGTGCAGCGGCAGCGGGAGGTGCGGCATGAGGGTGGAGCTCTTCCTCGTCGCTGTCATCGAAGACGGTGGCTGGCGGAGGGTCGCTGGCAAGGTAGATTCCCGACTTGCGGTTCTTCTTCCGTTCGCTGGCACTCATACCGGCGAAATCGCGCTCGTCAGTGCGTTGGCTGCCCGGCTTGTATTTGTTGTCCAAGGCCTGCTCCAGCAATCGGACATTCTTCGTGTTGCATTTGAACGCGGCGTCGGCCAAGTCGCCGATGAAAGGCACGAGGCCGACGAGGAAGTCGAGGAGGATGTTGAGGATCATGCGCATGCGAATGTTGTTGTCGAGACCACCTTCAACCCCATTGGCTTTCTTGAAGAGCATTATGGCCATGCCCACGCCGAACACGTCTCCTGCAAAGGGAATGATGCCGATGACGGATTCCCATCCGAAGCGCATTCCGAAAAGGTTAAAGAGGGACATGTCCAATCGATAGGCCATCTTTCGGCATGATGCGAGGATCATGGCGTCTTTCTCGGAGATGTAGGCGGGAATCTGCTTCTTGACCTTCTTGAATTTGCCGGGGCGTTTTGGGTCGGGGATCATGGCGAAGTAGGGATCCTAGCGGAATCGACCGATTAGCTGGCGATACCAAAGGCTCCCAGAACGGGCAGCACTCACGTAATCGCTCTCGACATCCTTGTGTTTGTACTGGGCCATCTGCTTCTTCAGGAACTTGTTGGCGGCATATTTGCCGACTGCAGCAGCCATTGTGTCGGTAGTCGATTGACAACTGCGAGTATAGAAGATGCTGGCGATGAGTGTTCTATGGTGTAATGCTGATAGAGAGTCGAACGGAAAAATGAATCGACAGTGGAGGGCGGCAGGTAGCTGTGGTGACGATGTATATATGGATTACCACGACGATAAAGTTGGAATGAAAGCGCCGGCGCGCAAGCTTTGGCCGGAACAGTCCAATACCAGAGTATAGACGCGGAACGTTTGTGCCAATGATCTGGAATTTGATGTGAGGGTGTCGCGTGCAAGTCGCCGGTCAAGTTCGCGCCCGCCCGATGATGATGAAACGCGGAGACGCCCGTGCACGCGCCCCGGAATACCAATCCCTCCTCGAGCTTCTGTGGAATGCGTAAATGAATGAGATTTTTGGGCGGATCTACATTCTTCAAAATAGCAACAATGGGAAGCAGCGCTTAGTGATCTATTCGCTGACAATCATTTTCTAAACATCTTGTGTTCGTCTGAGCGATCGACGTGGATGCAAGAACACATCGCATGGCTTTCATGGCGGCCGGCACTGCGATACATACTGCGGCCTTCGATGCGCCGGGACACGACGATGCCCGATTTACATGGAGGCTTGAAATTTAGCGTCGCCCATTTCCTGCTTTGTGTGTTTGTAGACGCGAACGTGGGACGTCATCGTCGCCCAGACAATCATCAATCATGATCCCGGCGCTCGATGTCACCAGATAGACATATAGCCTCTGTACCCGTTCGTAAAATTTTAGCGAGATTCGTAGCCGGCCAGTGTCCCATGTTTCTAGGTTCGACCATCGATGCGCCACAAGCATCATGCCAATATGCTGCGCCATCTTGGCTGCGATTGCTCCATCATTGTGCATCTTATACCGAGCTGACTCCACAGACTGCTACCGGTACCAGCAATCGGTCAAATCGGACGGGCGGCTGGCGAAAAGCTACACAATGCACACGACGCAATCGTGACAATCATTGCAACAAGTGAGCTTTTCGCGGCATGTGTAAGGATACTTTGATTACTTCTCATCATCCTTCGGTCTCGAGGTTCCGTGTACTGCTTGATTTACTTTCGTCATTGAGCTCGCCGGACTCGAGCTTTCCGTTCCGTCTGGTGCGATCGCAACACATACGACCGGGCGCGAGGCGACTGTCAAGCTCGAAAAAACAATTATTCCAGCTCGACGTTCCGTACGTCAATTTAGAAGACATGTTCTGCAAAGTGAAACGATGGTTCGCCTTGTACTGCCCTGCGAATTACACAATCGCAAGCGAGGACACTCCGATGACTAATCCCGTGATCTGTTGATGACTAACACAGTGTCTGTTCGCTTTGCAACTTTCGACCTCAAATGTAGAGTTGAACGTCGACTCGATTTCCTTCAAATGCTGAAGTGCCCCGTCAGGTCCGGCCTCCGTATGACGGTGGAAAAGTAAAAATGCCTGAGGACAAAGATGTCGCACCAGTGGACGAAATAATTTTGCATGGGTCAGATGCTGAAATTCAGATATTAATCTCGCAGTTTTCGAGGCTTACACAAGATTGAATCGTCCTTCTGTCACGGCGATTTCTGGCTAAAGCTTACACGCCAGACTGCCTCAGCGATGTCATGAAAACAACAGAACTTGCTCGAAGCCTCGAAATACGAACTCTTCGAACGATACGGTCGGTTCAGTGTCAACGCAGGGATTACCTTGTTATGGAACGAGTCGAGGGGAGCACCTTGTAAGATGCTTGGTCTCGCTTAGGCTGGTACTCATCCATTCGCCTGGCCTTTCAGCTCCGCCGTTTTATTTCCTTGTTGCGGTCGAAGACTTCGGACAGTGCCGGATCTCTAGTCACAGGAAATTGTAGGTCATTCTGGTTGGAAGACCATTTTGGGCTACCGGCAAGAGCGACCGTCAGATATGTTGTGAATTTTCTGGCCTTCTGGACGGATTTCCGATCCATCAGGCAGGAGTACAAAAAAAGTTTTCAGGATTAAGCAAACTTACAAGGCTCATCGGATATTGAAGTGGAAACTTTTGTACTGACACATCATGACCTTGCACCTCGTAACATTATGGTTGACGCATCGGGGAATGCATGGCTTATCGACTGGGATTACGCCGGTTACTATCCAATCTACTTCGAATATGCGTCTATGTGGAATTTTAATGAGCCCGAGAGTTGGGGGTTTGGAGGGCGGCTACGATGGTGGATCCTCACAAGGCTTGCAGCCGGCCGATATCACAAGCAGAGCAAACAGCTTGATGCGATCAGATCGAGTTTCAGCGGTCTCCGGCTGGACGGCGGCTCAACATAGAAGCAGAAGTCACCAAATCGAGGCTGGTGTTAAAGCCTGCTGGGAAAGCATAGTGTCGCGTTTGTTGCTCCCTGCCTTGTGTAAGACGTAAAGTCGACAACCTATGGGCACGAAGTTGGATGATTACTAGGTGTTCACATATTGAAGGGACATCTCCCAGCCAATGAGCCACTGAACCACTCATGCTACTAGACTGTCTCAGCTACGCCTTGGTATAGTCTTTGCTTCATCAGTATCTTACAACGGCCTGAGTCTTCGGATCTTCAGTGCCTACAAGACTCGGTCGAATCAATGCACTCCAATTACCTATAAGCTCTTTCATCACCTTGATGACTAACCTGGTAGACTCCTCCTCCGATGACTAATCCGATACTGAATTCCAACATTGGAGGTTTCAAGTTGGAGGATCCTCCGAAGAATCGCATTGTGGTCAAGCTGGGTGGTCATCTGGGGATGTACCGAGATTCACACGATGACAGCTTGATTTTTCAAACGGCCGTCCAACCCTTCTCCGTCAAGACTTGCATGTCATCGATAACACAAAACGCGCCAGGCTCAATGTTTGTCTCTGGCGCTTTTCGCCGCCAGGCTGCAAGTCGCTTATTGACGACTCGATCTCTGAACCACTGAGTTGTGGTCCAGCGGAGCAAGCGATTCTTCCACGCTCCATGGACAATCCCCCAGGACGACATCCATAGCGCTCCCCTGTAAGGATTGACCGCTTCGTAGGCGGGCCCAGTGTATCCCACACGGACGGCAGGATTGAGCCAGACGCCCTTTGATTCCGTAAGAGGGTTGTCCGCATGGATGAGGCAGCACTCGGAAGCTTCGAGGTGAGATTTCGCGAGACTGGCAGGTAGCCCGCGAAATGTCAGGGCCGCGCCGTTTTCATCGGGATAAAAAGGCGTGGCATCCATAGCTACGATGCCGTTCCAGCAGCTCTTCATGGGCACGGCGTGGCTAGCCTTGACTGCTTGCCGAGAGGCGCGGGCGCGGAAGAATGGCCATTTCTTCATGAGCTTGTTGCCGCTCTCGGCGTCTCGAAAGGCGAAGGTATCGTAGAACGAAGGTGGTTTCGAGAAGTCGAGGGAACATGCGGCAGCGAAATTTCCATCGCGGGTACCGAGAAGATTGGCGACGTCCAAGGCGTTGAAGACGACGTCGTTAAGGAAGACGATCTTGTCGAAGGTCATGTCGGTCATGGATTCATTATACAGAGGCTGTAGGGCGATGTTGCGTAATCTGGCCAGGTAGGGTATCCTGCGATGCTCTAGTTTGCCTCGCTTCGTCATGATCCAGTCCCCGCCCTCTTGAGGAGTTTTGCTGATTTCATCGAGATGAGTGGTCTCGTCGAAGGTGATCAAGTGAGGAACGTTCCGTTCAGTGAGCTTCTCTCGCAGCTGTTCCAAGGCCGCTTCTGTGCCGTCTGAACTTCCACTTCCCAGTACACTGACAAATACATCACCACCACCGCGTGAGATGGCATTGGCCGTATCTACTACAGCCTGATTCCAATGGCTCCGCAAAATCTTCTCACTGTTCCAATGGATGCCCACGAGGAGGATCGTCTCCGTGCCGAGGTCGTACTCGTAGCCACTTGGTTCCGGTTGCCGCGATAATGCACGTCGGACAAACAGAACCTCCAAGAACGTCCAAATGATCGCAATCAGGCCGACCACGCGCCCAGCACGCCTGAGGAAGAGGGCGATGTTTTGCTGAGTAGATTGTCTCCTGGCATTTGTCGCACGGGGGCGATATTTTGGGCTATAGGCCATGTCAGACCGCTCACATCTTATGACGTATCGGCCTTGATAATACTGTGACACATGTCGCGATGATGGATATGATCTTTTCGCGGGCTGGAGACATTAAGAATGGATGCCGCGCGGTGGAGCGAACGAACGTTGGACGCGGCGCGCAAGCCGGAGGTGGATGCTTTGCGCCACGACCACATCCGCAACTTGTCATCACATCAAAGTGAACAGTTGATACATCACACATCAAAACTGACATGAGTTGTTCATGTTTCAGTAGCGAGCTTACGTTGGTTTGGAAGAGGTGGTTCACATTTATTCACAGTCGTGATCGGAACCACTGAAGTGGCAAGTCATACACGACTGCTCGAGGTCGGAGCATGACAGTCACATCTGAAGAGAAGCATGACCATTTCATAATTGATGAGACTGTGGTATTCACCACTATTACCACTGCGGCTGGCCGCCCTCGCACATGTACCATCCTGGACATCAAATTCAAACGTGAAACTTTTACCGACCATAGAAATATATCAATATAGCGTACAACCATGAAAACAAAAACCTCTAGTAAGGAGGCCCTTTCTACCTCTGATCCAAGGGGTCATCGCCTTCGCTCAAAGAGGAGGCAGCGTCTCGCGGCAAATCGGACATTGCAAGCGGTACTTCATCCACCCTTCCAAACACGCGCTGTGGAAGATGTGCCGACATGGCGTGACCATGTACATTCTCCTCGCGAGCAGCCCGGCGCTGCCGCCGAGAGAGGCATCGGCTGCGCTGCCGCCAGCCTCCACGATCGGCACTTCCAAATCTTGCATGCAGATCGCACAGTCGAAGATCCGCTTGCCGCTCCCCTTGGAATCCTTCGTGATTGAGAAAGACGATTGCCTTCTCTCCAGACTTGGGGTCGAGGGCACCGAAGATACGCCCGGGGCACCCGCAGCTGCGGCCTGTGAGAAGCCGATGGGCATCGTGGCGCCTTCTTCGTCTTCTCGTAGAATCGGATGGTAATCGAAAGCGGGTGGAGCGGATCCGAGCCAGAACCAACGAGGTCCGAACAGGTTCTGAGAGACCAGCAGGACAACTTGAACCCATACCCACAGGACCATGAGTGCTAAGCTAAACCAGTTCGGGTCGGCAAATAGCACATTTCCTCTGTAGCCAAAGAAATATGCAAAGGGCACCAGTCGCAAAATGCTTTGGCCGGCGACAAACTCCCAAGTCAACGCGGGAACGCGGCAATTGCGATTGATATTTCGGAAGATTTGTGGGACCCAGAAGCTAAGGTAGGCGAGAGATTGCAGAGTGAAGTAGGTTCGACTGACAGGCGACGGCCATGCTGACGCGTTGAGACTGAGGAACAGAATTGCAAGGAGCAACAGGTAGAATCGAGTATAGAGGGAGCCGAAGCTCGGCGAACGTGGCTCGCCAGTGTCAGGAGCTGCCGTGCCAGCTCCGTTTACATCAGCCGTATCAGTTGCCATGTCGGGAGTCGTGTCGCCATCGGCAGGAACGAAGATAGGTAAAGCTCCAGTGTCGATAAGTCGACCTGGACGATTTGTTGTGACTGGTAATGGCAGAGATCCGGTAGTAGGCAAAGCATCTGAAGGTGCCGACGTCGCACTCGGATCGGACGGGTTTGCAGCAGCGGTGACATCGTTGTGTGCTACAGACTCGGACAACGCAGGCGGTGAAGATCTACCGTTCTCTTCTCTGCGTCGCCGTGCAGCTTCGGCCTGCTCACGGGCGCGTCGAGCACGTTCCGGCGCTTGCACAGCCCACAGATCCATCAGAAAGCGCATGTCGAACAAGAAAACATTGCTGAAAGCAAGAAACGATGTTGCGACGAGATTGATCCATAAGCCTGGCACAAACATGCTGAGTAGAAGAAAAGTCATGGTTGTGAAGCCGTCACCGAGAGCCAACATCGCGATTGTGTAGAAGCTGACTCGGCTGCGCGTGGAGGGCGTGTTTGCTTCGTGCATCTGCCGCATCAACAACCAAACCTGTAGCGCCAAGGTCACGGTAAATAGCAAAAGATGTTGTCGACCATGATGATATTCTACCTCCATCTTGGGTCCGACCAGATGATTATTGTCCTGTCGGGCATCATCGGGCGGTCCTTTCGATTCCAGAACGAACCCACAATCGGGGGACAAGGCAATCATGGAAAATCGCAGGTCGGGCGCCCTGGGCAATATAGCACCAGTCGGGAAGCGCATTTCGCGCTCGAGGAATGAGACGACACTTGAGGAGAGTTGTTCGTTCGTCACGGGGCTCAGTTGTTGCAAATAAACGATCAAGTCACACGCGGGCTGAGAGAACGATTCGTGTGTCGCTTCGCTGGTCGCAGCCCAAGGTTTCAGGGCATCCAACTTGCCGTTGATCTGTCGTTCGATCACGCGAGGTATAGTACGGTTGAGGACAGCTTTTGCGCCTGCGAATGTCTTTTCCGACAATGTTAGATGCGGTAGCAGAAAGATCCCAGCCCACTTGTCGCTCGTCGTTGTCAGAATCGCCTGCCCGACATCGACGAAGTGTACCCCATAGAGTTTCATATCCCACTGTTCATGCGTTGCGGTGTCTGTGATTTCCATCTGCATGCTGATATCGGCTAATCTGCCCAACGCACTCCCTGGCTGCTCAGGAATGTCTGAGCGTTCATCGTTGAGCCGGATGGCGATATCTCCGCCTTGGCCTGTAATGTTGCGATGGAACAATGGAGGGGTTGTGGTCTGACCGAATGGATTCGGGGTCGCGTATTCCGAGAAATTGAGCTGCGGGATCATGAGCTCCTCTTGGAGTTTGGACCTTTGCCATCTTCCGCGCACATGGCCGGTGATGTTGGCATACAAAGGTATCGCATTCGGTTTCCCGGGAACCGCTCCCAGCGAGTGTAGACCCCATTCCCCCAAAGCGTACTTCAAATGCTCCTGAACCCGCGTTTGTACTTTTGACAAAGATTTCCAGGCATACCCTCGGTCCGGCTCGAGTCCGGTCAAGTTCAAGTGTGAATGTTCAAGATCGAGTGTTGTGTTCCATGTCGAATTGCGCAAGACAGCCAATGAGACCTGCTCACTGGCGATTGCGTCCTCGATGCGCCGCCCTTCGTATGGACCGATCGGCGTGCGATTGGCATTAGGAGCCAAGATGATCCAGCAGAGGATGATGAGCGGAATGAGAATTCCGCGGCGGTCGGCCATGCAGGTCCATGAAACAAGAGAATATTGTCGACGGTCGATATCTCATCGGGGAATTCGTGCTTGAGTCTTTGATAGCCGATTCATCACGCACCTGGCATAGGTATCATCTTCATCACCATCATCATCATCATCATCATCATCATCATCATCATCATCAGTAAGCAAAATCCGAGACACGCGCACGCGCCAGCTCTGCCCTGGCCGGCCCTGAAAGTTGATTGCACCTGCAGATGGCACGATGATGAGGTCAGCCCCGCGACAGTCACGTGCCCTGCATATTGATGGATTCATTCACGGAAGCTCACCTGCACGATCCAGAATCCAGAGACGCCCACCCGGGCACCTGGGCAGGTGTTAATAATCCATGGATTGTGATCATAATTGCCCCAAACGCGTCCGAAAGAGGCCGAGGAATCGCGACGCGTTACGCTGGCTGGCTGCCCTTATCGCGCGCACTCTATCGACGAGGGGCATCTCTTGATCCCGGGCACTCTGTACATTACTATCTATATAACTACCTAGTATCAAGTAAGCTGCAGTATGTAGTATGTAGGCACAGAGGTGGTTATGTTGTTCATCACTGGAGGCATGCATATCACCTCCGCCCTCCCATTCCAACATCCAAAAACACCCGTGGGACGACCACTGTGATTCCCACCAGGCAGCAGTTCTGTACATCTGAGATCTGCGGCACACGACAAGCACATACGCAACAAAGCCCTGGAGGGAAAGGGACGTGACGTGACCTATTCGCTGCCGTTTGCTTCCTGTAATCCAGTTCCTGTCTGTTTGGGTTTCGTTATATACATGCTGGTGAATTTCTACACTTATTGCCTAGGTTCAGAGGGTGATTCTCCACTCTCCGATTCCTCCGTCGTACGCGCGTGATCTCTGAAGCTCTCCAGCTTCCGTGGTTGGCATCACAAGCTCCACCTCCAGGCGCTGCTTGGGCTCTAATCAGCTCGAGCTGTATTGTATTGTATGTAGCAGGAGCTGATTGATGACTCGACTCATCCCGTCTGTTGCGCGACACGCTTCCCATCATTAGCCCATCGCACTCCAGACCACGACATTCATCACCTCTGCCGCTTTCTCAGCCTCACAATCGCGGTGGCAGTCATCCCTCTTCAAGTCTGACAGTGTTCAGTCTTTCCGTGCTCTTGATTCCACGAGACCCTGCGGACCAAAGGTGAGGCCGTCTCAATCTAGGCAGCACTTGCCTGTACTCTTGCTCGCGTGTCTGGCCGAACACCAAATCAATCTACGAGTTGGGCAATACCCGGCCTTCTCTTCAACTGATCACAGCGCTGTTCTTATTCAACCTGTGCACCATTTCGTCGCTTGCTACAGCTGATCTGCTTGCCTCTCTGTCCGCAACGTCCAAGTCATGGATAGTTCGGACTCGCACGAGTCGAAACGAAAGCCACTGACCGGTCGAGTGCAAAGGTCCCCACCAAATACCACCAAGAACGCTGAGCCGTCATCGGATTATATCCCCAACGTTCGTCTGTCGTTTCCACTTCTCGACACCGACGGCTCCACGGCACACCTGAAGTCGCCTGATCTATGCACTCAGTCTCAATCCCGACTCACCACATCCGCACATGATCCCCCAGGAGCACGTGCGGTCATGGTTGAAACACAGAGGAGTCCCACGTCGGACGAGCAGTATGACATGATTGATGACTTGTCGGAAATTTCGAACGATGATCACGACACCGCGAGTATTGGTTCGAACGATCAAGAGCACATTTCCTTCAGCCCACGGATAGGTTCAGATGTCGACGAGTCCGTTGCTTCCTCGATCCTTGGATCATTCGCCGATTTGACAGATCCTCAACAGTCAGACGATATATCATCAACGCACTTACCTCATCCAGAGGTCATCCAACCGCTCCCGAAGTCAACGCCCAGCGAGTCCCAGACAGCGAACGATCTGATCGATAGCTACAGTTCAGAAGACTTGGAGACACCACGTCAGTCGTCCTCAGAAACCACCTTCAAGAGCACATGGAGGCAAGCGTTGCATCAGTCCGCGAGCCGTCCAAAGCCATCGTCTATGACACCCAGGGCGGAGGGGTCGCAACGCGCAAAGCAGATGCTATTCGTATCAGACATATCGACATCTGCAGAAGAGCTCGAGTCTATTTGCGTACAGGTTGCCGCAGGTTTGGATGACAATACAAACCAGCCTTCGGACTGGACAGTCGCTCGGCTTCCGGAGACCCCTTCAGGAATTAGCCTATCCACTTCCATGGTAGTGTACAACGGGGAGAGAGTCTCGGCTACGATTCAACACTGTGTGGGTGCTGAGGAGCGCCGCGATCACTCTTTCCAGTTGCGCGTGCAGGATACTGAAGGCACTCTGTCCACACTGTTCACCATTGGCAGCGATGGCAAAGTCGACCTCGAGATGCCCGACATTGTTGTATTCTACATAGAACAGGGATTCAGGACACTTGACTCCTGGTTCGGAATCGCCTCAGATGCTGTCAAGCAATGCAGTCTTCCAATGCTTGTCGTGCTCGGCTCAAATTTCACAACTGGTTCGTTCTCCAACATGGCAGTGCTAGCCCGGGAGGTCGATCAAGGTCGCGCGGTTCATGTTCACGACTTCACAAATGCCGCGGAACTTGGAGAGATTCAGAAGCGCACTCGCAAGATCACAGCCACTCGAAAGATGCGTGAAAGTCGCAAAACGAGTTTGTTTAACAGCATGCTAAAACCAAGCTACTTGACTTTTGCTCTCCTCTTCCTGGCCTGCTTAACGTGGCCATTGACACTTCGACCCATCGATGCCACTGTTGCAAATGTCGCTCGACGTAATGCACTCGGGACAGCTTTGGCCCGAGAACCCTTCGTCTCGCAGGTCGCTAAGACTTTCAACATTGACCATCTGCTCCCTGAACCACCACAGGGATGCACATCTATGGTCGTGCTCGGTCATGAGCTGACCCAGCCGGCATGCGCGACCGACGTGCGATATCAGGGACTCCCGCCCAACTACATCCTGCTTTCTCTCCCTGGGCAAACTCGCTTTCCACAAATCCAGACTGTGATAGTAAATCGCAGTGGTGAGAATTCCCTTCAATTTAACATAACGGAGCTGATCGATGGGGTACATTGCGTGACCCTGGACCCAAAAGAGGCTCATGGCACCATCAATTTGAGAATGACCACTGCGAGACCACATCTACACATTGATCTCTCACACAACTTCGGCAACCGAATGCTTCAACTTCACACATATCAAGAAGTTGGAACAGACGTGAGCAAAGCTGTCGGCAAAGACTTAGCCGTCATAAGACACACGGCGCAGAGCATCAGCGAGAAATTCGTCGTCGAGCTCGGGCGAAGCATTGCTGCTACCCACAACGTCACCACACATGTGGCCCGATATGTAACTCGTGACCTGCAAGTCATTGCAGACACAGCGATCGCTGTCTGCGACCAGGTGTTGGCAACCAGCAACATGACTATTGCGACAATCACCAAAGACTGTGTTCTCGTGCAGCAGGGATTCATGCGCTTCGTCAGTGTAGTTTCTGAAGTCGTCAAGGCCAAGGTGGATGCTCTCAAGGTCCGCACAGCAGCACGTAAATCGCTGAGAAAGTCTCGAAAGACACTCAAGAGACTCGAGAACGTCCTCCGCCATCAAGCCGCGAGCAAGGATGCTGGAGACGACGCTGAAGAATCAAGTTCGACGACAGGTATGGTTGCGAACGGCGATGATGCCATCAAACTTTCTGGAAAAACCACCTCGCCGCACATCGAAACTGCCGTTCGCGCCGTCGATCGTGCTCAAGGCCTGCTGAAAGCTCTCCGGAAGCGTCTGAAGATCGCCGAACGAGATGGCGCGCCTTCCAAACAGCACCGCAAGGACATGCGCGAATTGCGAAAGAAGATTCGTACCCAGGAGAAGGACGTGTTGAAGCTGGAGAGGGAGTTATCCAAGGAGAAGAAGCATATGGGTACGGCCTGAAGTGAAGCAAAGACCTACCACACATCTTGGTATCACTTCCAGCGTTTCCCAGGAACGGTCAGATTTTGTGCGACACGATCAAATCATCGCGGTCGCCGAGGTCAACGTTGCAGTATCCCTCTCCCTGCATCTCCTGGAGAGCACCTGCAACGACCATTTCAACGAGGGTACTTTGGTCCAGGTTTTGCGCGATTGGCTTTGTAAAGGGGAATTTTGGGGTGGACTTTTGTTGTATGCATTGCCACAGCGAGCATGTCATTTTCGCCAGGCCGAGGTCATCTAGCCATGATCCTCGTGAACATGTCATCACGACTGTAGCGCGCGCGAATGAATGGATCTCTTTTTTCCGAAGTCAAGCCCTTTGTCCAAAACCGATTCATACGTAACATGCAAGAGAAAAGAACCCTCAAACAACCCCTCCCCCTTTGGAAACCCCCAGAAAGAATGGTAAATTTTTTTCGAGTATCACAGCATGCCCTCCCTATCCGGCAGTTGCCCACGTCAGTTCGAGAGAGAAAGTGAGTAATAATCCATTCCGTTCGAAGTCACACACACAAGTCGGGACAGATGAATTCGAGTGCGCCATGCGCCGAAGTACCGTTATCTCATCCCCCGGGGCAAAAAAAAAATGAAATTCAATCAGACTAGAACCGCCTCCGTCAACTTCCCGAAGGACAAAATCACCATCGCACCAGGCGTCTTCTCGAGGGGGGGCGTTGCTTGCTGCGCGGCGGCGGCGGCGGCTTCACGGCAGCGCGCACAGCCCTCTGTGACTCGGGTCACCACGCGATTCCCCGGTGGACCCGTGATGTGTAGGAGCGTGATCGGCGTCGTCTTCGTCGTCGGGGGCCGCCCCGGCGATGATGATGATGATGATGACAGTGATGATGGTGGTGGTGGTGGTCCCGTCAAAGTATGCTCTTGATCGCCTGCGCCGGAACAGCTGGCGTCCTTCTCCACCTTGATGCGGGTCGCGGACTATGCGAGCGAGGACATCTCGACGCGCTTCTCGGTGAAATCCCAGAGCATCTTGATCAATTGGTCGGGTAAGGTGTAGAGATCGACATGGAATTCCCCGTCTGCGGAGAGGGAAAGAGAACGTCGGTCAGCGCTGAGCTAAAGCATGTGTTTGTTGAAGAAAAGGTTGCCACAGGAGACTGCTGAAGCAGATCTGCAGATTGGGGGGGAAAAGAGCGAGCGAACCGGCACTTACTTTCGACATCGTTCTTAGTGTATGTTTCGTCCGTCTTATTGTCGTGGACCATCTGCACGACTTGTAGCAGATCGTCGTCGGCCAGTTGTGGCAATGCCTCGGCGAGCTTCTCCATATCGACATTGCGGTTGGCCTTCTGGCGCTTCTTCTCCGGCTTGCTCGAACCTGGGCCATTGGCTTCGCCGACGGATCCGGATTCTTTCAGGCGCTCGAGGAGCTCGCCTTTGGGGTTGCGAAAGGTCTGATACGAACGGGGTCAGCTCTTCGGCCCGTGTGCCGAGAATGCCTGCTGCGAACTTGCACATACCACATTGTGAGTGCTCTCGTATCTGCCCTGTTGGAAGTTGAGATCGTGCTGGATGGTCTGCTCGCCACCCTTGGGAGCACCAATAGGTGTGAGGACGATGTTCATATCGAATTCTCCCCATCCTTTCTCCGAGATTGTGAATGGCGCCTCCTTGAAAACTGTATGACCATCACGTCAGATTTCCACGGGTTCATCAAAATGTCCCACATTCCCCGGCGAAGTGGATGTTGTATCGTCCCCTGGTCACATACCCTGCTTAGCTCTTTTCCCGAAACTCTCGTGCAATAGGTATGTGGCTTTCTCGAAGCAATTGGCTGGCAGTTCGTCGCCGTCTGGGCCCACGATGTGGATATTGATGTCCCATTGGCGCATGGGGAAACCCTCAACCTCCGGCGGGTCATCGCTTTTCTCATTGATCAGTCTCGTGCTTGGCTGTCCGTTGCGCGCATTCTGAGGCGAGGCGGTTCTTACATGATGCGCTGGCGGGTGACCAGCTTGACCGTTCGTTTGTGCTATTGCCTGGTCAGCTTCGACTTCGACAGACTTGCGCGACGTTGACCTCTCCGCTGCCAACATGGCAAGCAGTTTTCATAAGGGCGAATCTTCCAATGTACTTACGTCCGGCATGGTAGCGGTCGAGACCTTTCACGACCGCGAACCAGTCGCAAATATTGTAGCGGTTGGGCGACGGATCTGATCGTGACAAAAAGGCCAAGTCGAGTCTTGCAGGATATCCTCCTTCCAACAGACACGCGACAGCAGTTTTATCGAAGCAGTGTAGACTGTGGTCAATGTGAATGGTGTCTGATACAGTCGTCGCGTGAAGTCATGCGCTGTAGAGATGACGTCCGAGCTTCGCGGCGCATGCAAATGGCGACGCCGTGTCAATGGGCAACCCTTCCAGGTGCAACTTCCTCCGCATTAAATCCAGAACTCACATTCACTTTTCGGGCAAGGACATCTGAGACACCTGCTGCAGGCCACTACAAGCATAGTGCAAGTCTAACTGTATCACGTGTCCTGATCACGCAGGACAATCGTTTTGATTCTTCGGATGCTGCCATGCGCGCACTGCTCGTGGAAGCAAATCCACACGCTCTTGACACGTGAAATTTGACCAAATCTCTGAAGCATCGCTTTTTGTCTGAGGATAATAAAGATTGATTCTATCTACCGGATCGCTGGGAACGAATGTTTTGCTATGACACGTTGACCATGTCAATTTATGCCGCTCATGAATTCGTCGAAGCGGAACTTGTCCTGCATGCGGCGGTTCATGGCTGACTCGGGTGGGATATTGGGCAGGACGCAAGCGATTGTGCCAGACGTCAATGGGAATTGGGGGCAGTACTCGAGTTCTCATGCATAGGCGCATAAGGCATTCGACCTTGCATGCGACACATCTGAATCATTGGTTCGGGTGTCATTGGGCTGTTCGAGCAGGTTCCTTGAAGCTGCATTGCCAGCGCGCGGCGGCCATGGTCGGATCACTGGCCATGTAAGCATTTACTCGGCGGCCGGCTTGACCTCCTCGGTCGCTGCCTTGGAGGATGAGTCTTTGTTGAAGAGGACCTCGTTCTCCTGCTGTGCCTTGATGAAGGCCTCCTTGAACAAGTTGGCGTCTGCGAGTTGTCAGTCACTATGCAAGGGCAAAGACTTTCGATGAATGACTTACTCTCTGAGTTTCCGAATCGGATAGCAAGAGTTTGTGCCTCGGGCTCGCCCTCGGACACATCTGCCGCGGCGTTCCAGACCCAGCTGCGGTCGCTACCGACGTTGGGTGAAAGCTTCATGTCAGGGACAACTGTGAAGACGTTAGTCGCTTCGTCTTTCACGGACAAACTGTCTCCGGTGGGACACAAATTCGACGTACTGTAGTGGTTCGCGCAGACCTTCAAGGTCTTGTCTCGCCTCATCACGAGACGGGTCTTGCCGTTCTCACGGTGCTTGAGCAGACGGACATCACCAGTTCCTCGCTCCTTCCATTCCCGGCTCTCGCGGTCGAACTTGAAAAGCTTGGCGCGCATCTTGAAAGTTTGCTCCTCGGCCTCCTCGTTGGTCTTGGTCTCGACCTTCTCGGTGAGGTGCACGACGGGGTCGAAGTGGACATCGGCTTCCTCCTCCTCGACACGGTCTTCCTCGTCCGCCTCGGCGGCCTCCTTGTCCTTCAGAGCCTTTGCGCTGCCCGATCGGTCATTCTCCTCATCAGCTTCTTCCTTCTTCTCCTTCTTGGCTCCTCCACCGAACATGCTGAAGATGTTGTCCTTGGCGACAGCGGCAGTCTCGGCGGCCTTTTCGGTCACGGTCTTGTTCTCCTCGGCGGGCGCCGCGGCGACGGGCTTGGTCTCCTGGTCAGCCATGTTGTAAAGGGTCTATGTGGGAAGTCGAAGTAGTGGATTGAGGATGGAAAGCAGAGTGATAATGGTAGATCGGAGGGAAGTGAAGCAAGTGTACAGGGCCTGTAGATGAGCTTGTAACGTATTGGTAGATCACAGACAGTAGCGGCGCTATGAATTGTGTGACAGGCACAAGACCTGCGGCGACTGTTTACTCGCCCTCCCCCCCATCATCTTGCTTGGTGGGGCACAAATGTGAATTTCTATAGTGTAGTGCAACCCGATAATTTCATTCCGGACCCTTTCTCTGATGAGGTGGCGGCCCGCACCGTCAGCCGTCAACACATCTTGTCCTCAGGCTCTCAGGTTATCGTTGTCCACCTGAGCACCACTTGTTACAAGATTGTCACCAACCAACGGTCAAGTGTCGGATCAGTGAGGATCTTGGGAGGCATCGCGGGAGCGTGAAAGTGTATTATCACTATGGCGAGGCATCAACAGCATGCTGTAATTACATATCTACCAACAGTCGGCTTCCCAGGCATTAGCTACTCACAAAGATCTGTCTCTCACTCACACCTTCGATAATCTGGTCCACGTCCGCGGCTTCATGATATCCCCTGATTATCCATTTGACTGGCTTCTCCTCCTTCTTGCCGTTGCACTTGCGTGATCCTACGCAAGTCGTCAGCTCTTACTCTTGGACAGGCTCTGCCAGCAACTCGTCTGCCATCGAACGGTGTCCGGCCGTCAGGTCGTACTTGAACACCGACAAAGGCTCATGCACGTGCCCGATGAAACTCTCATATATCACCCAATTTCATCACTTACAATCAGGTCCTTGCACGCGACTCTTGGTTCGCTTGGCTTCTCCGTTTCTTCAGAATTATTCAACATCGTGTCATCTGCTTCCAAGAGACATCATGCACGGCCTCACGCTCGATCGAAAGCAGATGGAGCAGGAACGATTGGCGAGAGTTGCTGCCCGCAATAATAAACGAGAACGCTCCATCTCACCGCCAGCAATACGAAGTCCAAGAAAAGCGCCAAAGCTACAACAAGATACCATAACATTACCAAGTGGCGCAAGACTCAATTCAATTTACACAAGCTCGATCGAACCAGCATCACAAGCAAGTGGTACTGCAGTGAAATCCGAACACACTCCTGAGCCAGCAAAGCCCTCGCTCGTGACGTCTTCCTCCTCAGTAGCTCAGCAGAAGCCAATCAACGACGATCCGGCCTTGAAATATCCTAACGGCGTGGTAAGAAAGACTTGGGCATTTGGCCACGACCGTGTCAACGATATAAAGATTGAGGAAGTACTCGAGCCGCTCACGCTCAAAATTGCTGTGTTGTCCGCTTTCAAATGGGACACAGAATGGGTTCTGTCGAAACTCAAGACCCCTCCAAAGGGAGGGAACACGAAGTGCGTGTTCGTGATGGAAGCCAAGGAGCGCGAGCTTCGTCAGCAGATATTGAGCGACATTGAGGAGCAGTCCTCGTGGCTTCGAGTCTGCTTCCCGCCGATGAATGGCGCATTTTGCATGCATTCTAAGCTTATGCTGTTGTTTCATCCCACAAAATTGCGCATCGCTATTCCCACCGCCAATTTGCTCAATTTTGACTGGGGCGAGACGGGACAAATGGAGAATAGCGTGTTCATGATTGATCTTCCTCGCCTGTCACAACCAGAGGGACAAGATCTCGCTGATGTGACCTCATTCGCTAAGGAACTGCTGCATTTCGTCAAGAAGCAAGGCATCAGCGACGATGTACAGAAGGGATTATTGAAGTTCGACTTTAGCGCCACTGCCAACATTGCTTTTGTACACAGCATCGGAGGGTCATCTCTGGGCGAAGACGCGGCGCGCACTGGTCTGGCAGGACTGTCTCAGGCTGTTCGCTCCCTGCGACTCACAACATCTAAAGACTTGGAGCTTGACTTCGCTGCGTCTTCGATCGGCTCCCTCAAGGAAGATTATCTTCGGACTTTCCACGCCGCCGCGCGAGGGGAGGATCTGATTTTGGCGCAATCCACTGCATCAAGCAAAGCAAAGGCAAGCTTCTTCAAAAAGACCACCGACAAGTCTCGGGTAGATGACAATGTCCGGATCAAGGACAAACTGCGGATCTATTTCCCTACCAAAAACACCGTCGAGTCTTCTCGAGCAGGCGCGGCCGGCACGATCTGTTTGCAGCGGGCGTGGTTCGAAGCAGCCACTTTTCCAAGTGAGATCTTCCGGGACTATGTATCTACACGGTCCGGCATACTCAGCCACAGCAAAATCATGTGCGCGCGTGGCGTTTCCGACAATCCCACCACAAACAAAATCAATTCTGGTGTGGCTTGGGTGTACGTGGGATCGGCGAACATGTCAATGTCTGCGTGGGGCACCGTAGCTAAGGATAGCAAAGGTAAAGTGTCATGCCGGAATTGGGAGTGTGGTATTCTATTGCCCGCAATGGTGCCGAGGACCATGGATTCGACGACCACAGAACCGACGGAGGAGCGTAGCAAACCCAAGGAAAGCAAGACAAAAGATGTTGCGGACAGATCGTCGAGCGTCACAGCGGTGAAACACGAAGCCGCTGAACATGACGACGATGCAACAGAAAGCGAACCGTCTGAAAATGAGGGCGGTCAGGCTTCTAAGAATGCGGAACAAGCAGCGAGGAAAAGCCAGCACGACGTGGAATCAGGGTCTGAGACCGAAAGTGAGGAAGAGAGCGACAAGAAGCAGATCCTGCAATCGAGCGCAAAGCTTCCCGCAGATGTCGCAGTGGCCGCTAGTATACCGGACATGGATGTCTTCAAAGGCGTCATCGATTTACCTTTTGTCGTGCCTGGCAGCCCGTACAATGGTAGAGAACCGTGGTACTTCATGGAGACGAGGTGAGTGTATGATTACGGCGACAGAGGCGAACCTGGGTACGTTTTAGCCTCCATTTTTGTATTCTAAATGGATCGTGCACACACAAAGCCACAGGGCTGGCTTTGCCCGAGGCAGTTTGCATATCGTAATTGTAGATTATCGTGGATTTTCAGCGTCCTGATCGTCCTAGTTTGTGTCCTAGTTTGTGCACGTCAAGCGGCTATGTAAAGGCTCCGGCGATTTGATCCAAGAAGTATATGCGAATCCTCCAATGACAACGACACTTGATTTGGCAACTACCGACTGATCATTGACTCTCATCAACGCCGAAGAAACAACCATGCCTGAATGCATCTTTCATGAAACACCCCTCGCCTTCGGCTTTCCACCGCCCTCCTTCTGCACAACGCCGTTGAGATAATCCAACAGGAAGTTCTTGGCTTCCGTCGGCGTCGCCGAGGTGGGCGTTTGCTGGCCGCTGATCAGACCGCCGCTCAAGCTCGCTGATGACGGCTGCAAACTTCCCACGCGAGACCTGACCGGTGGAGGGGCGATCAAATCCGGGAGGGACATGTGAAGGGGTTGTGGCTGCTGTTGTTGTTTGGAGGACGGGTTGCCTAGTGCAGGCAGGGCACGGGAGACGATCGGCGTGCCTAGCGCAAAGGGCGAGATGGGTGTTCCTGGGCTGAGGACGGAATGGGCTGGGTTGTTGGTGTTGTTGAATAGGTTCATCAAAAGCTGTTGACTGGTGCTGGTGGTGGTCTGCTGGCTTTGGCGCGAGGACGACCGCGGCTCGGAGAGAAGTTGTGGAGCCGTCGGAGGTGACATAGTCTTCGTAGATGAGGGTGGCGGGGCAAAGGAGCTTCCCGAAGGAGTGGGAGATTTGGCGCCGAAGAGGTTCAGTAATTTGTCCTTCTGGTTGATAGGTTGCATGGCTTCCTTCTCAGCAGTTGGAGGCGGTGGGGGCGGAGAAGCCTTGGTCGGGTGGCTTAGAGGAGACGAAGTTTTGCCGAACAAGGCCAAGAGATTGTCCCGTTTATCATTCGATGTCTCCAATTGAGCCTCAGAACTCTTCCCTTGAGGTACAGGTGCGATCGTAGTCGACTCGTTCTCACCCACAGGCCGCTTCAAAAGCTGAGGTTGGAATGTTCCCGTCTTGGATGACTCGTTCCTTAGAGGACTTGGTGGTACTGACGCCTTTCCAGCAGATGATCCTGGTCGCTGCAATATACTAAATTGTGGCGTCGGCTGGACGTTAGATGCTGGTCGCGGACGCGCTGGGTTCCCGGCGGCTCGAGGTGTACCCTTGGAATTTGGCCGTGCATCGTTGTTGCTGACGGATGGAGGTGCTTCGGCTTTGGCAGGAGCTGCACTGGAAGCTCCTGATTTGTTCGGTTTCGAAGGATCGAACAATTGTCCTCTGGATTTGGGTCTTTCAGCTGATGTGGAAAGCTCCACGACCTTTGCAGAAGCAGAACGATTGGTGTTTGGCGGTGCAGTCCGTTTGTTCTGGTCCTTGCGGGCAGCAACACGTGGCGGAGCAGCTGGTTGCTGCTCTTGTGCAATGGGTATAGTTTTTGATTCTACAGCAGGTTTCGCAGCTGGGCTTGAAGTGACTTTGGGTTGAACAGCAGGTTTACGGTCCCGAGCCTTTCTTGGAAGAGGAGTTTCAGTTTTGTCCGTCAATGCCGGTGATGTAGACCGTTCTGGTTGAGGTGCGATGGCGGCTGATGCAACGGACGGAACTGATGGACTTTTGGCGGTTTGGAATAAGCCCAACAAAGCACTCTGATGCTGTTTTCCGGCACTTGGGACATTGGAGTCTTGTGCCTTTGTAGACGAGGTCACACGTGCTGTATCTGTAAATTTACCTGCATTCGCACTTTTAAATGCGCCCAGGAGCTTGGCAGCGTGCATGTTAAGTGTTTTGGTCGGCATGCTGGATGCATCGGGTATTGCTGGACCAACAGAGAGAGGACCCTTTTGACCTTGTGTGGGTTGCGCATGTGGTACCCCATTGTCATAAATTTGTTGAGCGCTTGGAGGAAAATGCCCGGCTGAAGGCTGTGACGATGGGTCATTGGATGTGGGTCGAGCATGAGTAGGATCGAATGTGCGAGTGTCTTGGAGCTGGTGCTCGCTGTTGTTACTCTGGCCTGCTTGTAGTTGCGGAGCCTTCGGCTGCTTCAGTAGATCCAGCAAAGTATTACTTTGAGTCTGACCCTGTGCGAAGAGCTGACCAATTGGAATAGTGCGTTGTTGCGGATGCGTGGCAGCAGGCTGAGAAATCGCACTCTGCTGTGGTTGTGGATTAGGTGGCAGGTTTTGAAAGTTGTTTGAAGTCCATTCATGGCCTTGAGGCCTCGAGGACATGGCTGACTGAGAGTGGAACGATTGTTGCATTTGGCTCTCGCGAGCATACGAATCATGCTGGTTGAATGATTGCTGTGCTGGACCTGCGTGCGGGGAGGCTCCCGAGAAATCATAAAGCCCCTGTGGGAGTGCTCCCTGTCGACCAGAGAACTGCATGGAGCCTGGCTGGACGGATTGCTGTCCGTGAAGCTCCCGTGGAGGGTTATGGGGCAGCTGGGCAGAGTCGGCCTCGTAAATCTGTCTGTTCTGTTCGCCATGTTGGCTGTAGGGCTCGATCTGTCCGTGGACCGACTGTCCCCACGTAGAAGCCCCAGTGGCCGCAGATCCATTGCCCTTCAACATGGCAAGCAAGTCGCTACCAGCATGCAGGGATGGCTGATGCGTGTGAACAGTGTTGAATCGAGATTCGGTAAATGTCGTATTTCCTGGTCCGAAAGCGGCAAGCCCATGAGCATAAGCCGCTGCACCTGACAGATTTCCTGCAAGGGCTTCATCCTCAGTCGTGGTCGCGTTGGCGTCATAGTCAGATGCGGAAAGGTTGTGCCCATGTTGTGGCATGGTGGGATTTGCGCCACGTTTGAGTTGTTGACCGATCCACTTCTTCAGGTGAGGAAGAAATGGTGCGACCATATAGAACTTGGTCGTCAACGCATCGTTCAAGCCATGCCCTGCCTGACCTTTGTGTCGTTTGAAACCCGGGAGATCTCGCACGTTATACCATTCAATTTTGCCAATCTCTCGACGTGTTCGCGGCTCAAAATGAGTGTCCAGTGGTACTCCACGGAAGACGAATAGCCGCATGTGTTGTTCGCGCATAGTGATGTCTATTGCCTTGACTTCACCATCTTGAGCATTATGCGAGACAAGACCAGCGGCTCTCAGATCATAACCGGTCTCCTCATAGACTTCTCGGATAGCACAATCCAAATCTTTCTCGTCCCTGTTGATCTTTCCGCGTGGGAAGCTCCAACTTGCACCCTTCTTCCAACCTCGTACGAGCAGGACTTTCTCCATGCTTTCATCCATCAAGATCGCACCTCGAACCGGTACGCGGACTTTGTAGGCGAGGAACTCCTCGTAGGCAGCCGAATGCTGGGCCTCGCTGAAACCGCTGAGCAGCGGAGAGTGACGGAATAAAGTGAGGCAGAATTGTCGCAGGTTCAGACTAGGTAGCTGCGGATTGGCAGGCCGAACGAAATCCTCGTAGAACCATTGTGCTTCTTCAACCTGAAAACATAATCGTGGCATACTGCTCATCTCGGCCGGCGGCAGGTTGAGCAAAAAGCGAACTGTCAGGTCATCCAGCCAGTCTTGTAGCGTCATGGAGGCGATTCGGTTCGCCATTAGAGTGGACATGTTGTCCGGTATCACCTGTGTCGTATGAAAGCAAAGCGATTGTGCGACAAATGTGCATCTCGAAGTATTGTTCGACCAGACGTGTTGAGGTGGCTACTGCAAGCTATGCAGCAACACCGAAAGAGAGAAGCAAACGCGGCGCAATGAGATCGTGTTCTTCGAATGAAGCTGCGGTGCGAGCGGCGAAGGCGCTTCTGAGCGAGTCGGTCAAGAATGGTGGAAAAATACGTGAACGAAGGCGGATGATGTTGTAGTTCTGGTTAATGATGATATTTGACTAGCGATGCATGTTGTCCTCATCAGCTGCACGCGCGTGGGAATGCAGCGGTAAATCGGCGACGACTGGCTGGAGGAGTGCGGTCCGCCCGTCCATCGGGTGCGGCGGCGGCAGACAAGATTGGGATTTGGGCTGCGACAGTACAATCTGTGTAGCTGTAGGCGCATTTGAAGGCGGGTGTCATTGTCACGCCGGGCGGGCGTTCAGGGTTAGTCATCACCCTCAATCTTTCCAAGGTTCCATCCGATAACTACTACAATTCCGGTTGTGGTGAGATGTAAGACTGTGGTAGAAGTTACCATATCAAATATCTGGTGATGCTTCGTGACCGTGCAAAATTGACGACATGTTCACCCGATTGAGCGTACTGTATGAGGTTCTTCCAACTGGTTGATCTGCACCGGGATACGCTAGTACCAGGGTAAAGATAAGCCGAAGCGACTGATGATGTTGTTGTCGATATATAGTAGAATAATTTGCAATCTGCTCTGAAATTGCAGATTTCATGCGCAGTCGGTCCGCTCGATTCTACCACAAATCATCGACGCCGCTGCGCAAAGAACATATCTGCAATCATGGCCTCAAGCGACGACGCCATGGAGCATGCTCTCAATAGTGCTCATGACTTTTACGAACTGCTCGGCGTCCTACCCGTAGCGAACGAGTCAGAGATCCGACGTGCATACCGTCAGACAGCTCTCAAATACCACCCTGACAAAGTCGGTGCTGACACTGAGAAGCTTGAGAAGTTCCATCTCCTACAGATTGCCTACGATGTCCTTTCAGATTCGACCAAACGTCAAGTCTACGACAACGCGCATCGCGCTCGGAAGGAGAAGGCCATTCGCGAGGAACAGCTTGACGGCCGCCGCCGCCATCTCAAGGAGGAGCTCGAACGACGGGAGCGCGAGGGCGCGAACGAACTCAAGAGGAAGCGCGGAGAAGCGGCTGAGGAAGATGAATACCACAGAGAACTCAAACGATTGGCCGCGGATGGAGCAAGACGGAGGAAAGAGTATGCTGAGAAACTGAGAAGAGAAGCCCAGGAGAATTTGGATCGCGAGCAGGAAGAGCGTTCGCGTGAGGAACCGGAATCCGCAGCCACACCTGCGACTCCGAACCCTGTTGGTGTGGATGAGCTAGATCGCACCGTCAAGGCACGATGGCCTACTGAGATGGGAGATAATACGCGGCACAGTCAAGGGTCAATAGCGAAGCAATTTGGACGCTTTGGCAAGATCGAGCATACGATGTTCAAGACCAAGAAGGTGAAAGAGGAAAGCTCTAAACATCGACGCGAGTACACGACCGCATACATCGTCTTTGCAAGCATTGTCGGCGCTCATGCTGCTGTAACAGACTTTCCAGACATGGTCGCGGCAGAAGAAAAGTCACAGAGCAGTGAGAGGATGTGGAGATTAATATCTGATGTGACTTGGGCGCATGGAAAAGAACCCGATTGTATACCCAAGCGAGCGCCACCGGTTGAAAGTCAGGATACGCCTCCAGCAACGCCGAAGGTGCAAAAGTCGGGTGACCCTCTCAGACGGGTTCCGTCATTTGGAAGCTTTAAAGGCACGCCAAAGGCTGTCAGTAGCCCGAGCTCCGACGAACTACTCATGATCCGACTGAAGAATGCGGAACGGAAGAGATTGGCCGAGAAATTACGGCAGCAGGACGAAGAGGACGATCGGGCTGCAACGCAAGGTCTAGGCGAGGTTTCCTCCACGATATGAGAGTGGGGAGTCTGGCGTCAGGGCTTTCGGGTAGCAAGTAATTATGAAGTTGAATGTGAACACGAAAGGACGCGGATCTATCCCAAGATCGTCACCACTGTGGGAAATTTGTACCATGACTAGGGTGAGTTTATCCGTGTGTGAGTAAGTTAATTGATTCCGCAAGGCCACCGTCATAGAGGGACAAAGTGTCTGCGCTTCGTCAGGTTGTGCTATCTGTAATACTCGCGTCGAGTTGATGAATTAGAATCGGGGCACTCTCCGATGACGTCGATCAAGACAGCGGGCGGAGATCACTCCCGAGGGCGAGTGCATCTGGCGCCGGCTGGCAATGCAAACTTCCCTGGTCAAGCTTCCACGCTTCATTATTCGAATATCCTGCCCGACCCGTCATGACGACCCCACTGTCCAAATCGTACATCTGCGCAAGATGTCTGTCGAAGCGACATCTAAGTCGCCGTACGTTCGCGACCGCTGCGTCGACTGAGACGACCTCTGCCATTTCCACATCACAGCTACCACCAGCACCACCATCCTCCGGCGCATCGAGATTATCAAATCGCAGAGTCATCACATTACACGGGGTCGACGCCGCCAAATTTCTCCAGGGACTCATCACGAATGATGTCCTTAAGGAGTCGCGCAATGGCTATTTCGCGGCATTTCTCAACGCTCAGGGTAAAGTCCTGAATGACGCCTTCATCTACCCTATCGCAGACCGCCAGAGCATTCCCGAAGGTTTACAGACCGCAGAAGATGAGCCTGCATTCCTGATCGACGTGGACGCGACGACCACGGAGCAATTATTACAAGTCTTGAAACGGCATAAGTTACGGTCGAAGCTGAAGTTTCGTGCATTGGATGATGGCGAGCTAGATGTATGGAGCATATGGCGGGAAGAGGATAGGTGGACAGCACATGGACAACAGACGAATCTTAAATCACTCGGCGTCTCGCTACAGGACATGCGTGCACCAGGAATGGGACAGCGTCTCCTGTTGCCACGCGGCGTAGAAGCGAAAGACACGGCGATCGGGTCGACCGAGCAAGTGCCACTGTCAGTCTACACTCTCCGACGGTACCTTCGAGGGGTCGCGGAAGGCGAAGACGAGATTCCACGCGGAGAAAGTCTGCCGATGAACCACAACCTCGATCTCACGGGAGCCATCGACTTCAAGAAAGGCTGCTACAGCGGACAGGAGCTGACGATCCGCACCCACCACACCGGTGTGGTCCGGAGGAGGATTCTCCCCATCGCCTTGTATGACACAGACGGCGTCGTGCCCGACCACCTCGAATACGAGCCGGCCTCCACACTCCCCGGAGCTGCCCTCCGTGGAAACGACATCCGACGAGACGACGAGCGGAAGCGGGCCACGGGGAGCGTGATCGCCGCCATCGGCAACGTCGGATTGGGCATGTGTCGGCTGGAGCAGATGAGCGATCTGGTGGTCTCGGGGGAAGGCGCTCCGTTCGACCCCGCGAGCTCGTTCTTCGTCGAGGGCGGCGACGGGGAGCGATACGGCGTGAAAGCATTCGTGCCGGAATGGATGAAGGGCAAGATCCGGGCCCCCAAGCTACAGCGCCGGGTGGAGTAAAACGGCGAGTTCATTCATCCACGAGTCTACGAAATGACACGTCATCATCATCATCATCATCACCGTCCTAGTGACAGGGTTCCCGATGTCAACGATGGAAATCGTAATGATCCAGCCATCAAGCTGTATCAGCCACGGCCTACGCTATGTTTCTCAAAATCCATATTCATTGGTCATTTCCATGTCAATTCCGATTCCGTGACGTTTTAGTCCGTCGTAGTGTGGAATGTGACTCCTTTCTCCCAAACGGAGGCTGGCAGATCGCGAGGAATGTGACATCTGGGTATGAACTCCTTTCACAAGATCTACCGAGTGGAGAGGATGGGTCAAGGGATGGGGGGGTTCTTTGTTGTTCAAACATCTCGACGGGGAAGGAAGGATTCCGAGGTGACGCGGTGCCGCGATTCGTTCTGCGAGGTACCCAGGTAGACAGGCTTCCACTGGAATTGGAGGTGACATGAGAAGGGGCTCTATGCTCCCCCCGAAGATATTTTTTTTTCCTCCTGGAATTGATTCTTCTTTTTTTACTTCATCTGCTTTCTGACATCCCACGAGGATGGTTTTGTTCTTGAATTAATTAATTCTCTTCATTATTTTATTTCATGATACGTTATTTCCTTTTTCTACAGCTCCCCCTCTTTCTCCTTTCCGTCTTCGGAGGCTCCCTGGTATTGGATGTATGCCTCCGTCTCCATTTCATCATGGACGAAACGAGCATGCCCGAGATCAGGTCCGTGAAGCCCACTGGCCTCATGGGCTGTCCCGAATGAAGTCGAACCTCTCAGTCGACCCATACCTCGCGTCAATCCTTCAACATTACGTCTATCCTCGAACGCTATGTCCATCCTTCAACATCGTGTCCATCCCTCATCTAGACCCCGGGGTCACCTAGACGGGGACATTGGCCTGCAGGAAAGCGATCTGGTCCGCGACGTTCTGCTCGTAGTAGGGCTTGGTGGGGTAGATGTCGAAGTGGCCGGCCAGGGTGTAGTTGCGGACGGTGGCGGTCTTGAAGCGGCGGGAGAGGGCGAGGGTGGCGTTGGGCGAGACGACGTTGTCGGTCAGGCCGATGCCGATGAAGGTCGGGTGGGTGCTCTTGTAGGCGGTGGTGTCCGGGGAGAAGGTGGGCAGCTGCAGGACGAAGCGGGCGGGGAAGACGTTGCCGGGCGCCGGCGGGTTGGCCTGGATGAACTGGTAGCCCTCGTAGGCGCCGGCCTGGGTGAGCGCGCCGAACTCGCCGGTGCGGTTGGCGGTCGGGACGTAGAGCGGGGTGGAGTTGGTCAGGGCGCGCCCGGAGTCGCTGAGCCCGGCGGCGATCAGGCCCGGGAGGGAGGCCGGCGGGAGCTGGCCGACGGTCGCGAGGCCGTTGACGTGCGGCACCTGGGCGATGACGGCGGCGAGCTTGGGCAGGCGGGCGCCGAGCTCGAGGACGTGGCCGCCGGAGAGGGAGGTGCCCCAGAGGACGACGCGGGAGGGGTCGGCGCCGGTGAGGTTGCCGACGTAGTCGGCGGCGGCGCTGTAGTCCTCCTGCTGGCTCTTGACGTCGATGATGTTGCGCGGGTAGCCTTGGCTCTGGCCCCAGTAGCGGTAGTCGAAGGTGATGGCGTGGTAGCCGATGGCCGAGAAGCGCTCGGCGTAGGGCTGGAGGCGCGAGGTCTGGAGGCCGCCGAGGCCGTGGGCGATGATGACGACCGGCGCGAGGGTGCTCACGTCCGACGGGGCCCAGTGGTATCCGACGATCTCGGTGCCGCCCGAGGTGAAGGTGATGCGCTCCTGGGCGAGGGCGGCGCCGGCGGCCAGGGCCGTGGTGAGGAGGGTCTTGATGGCAGGCATCTCGGAAATGCTGTCTCTGGTTTCAGGTGTACGGACCGACGTCCGAGGGATCGATGGACTGCGGAGTGAATGTCCGATGAGAGGATCAGGTCGATGAGGCGCGAGTTGGACCGGAAGATCAACTTCGGTTACAGCACGGGTTTGTCTTGTTTATATACACAACGCGCGATGGGATATCAAGCAGTCCGCTAGTCAATTCGGTCATTCCCAACGGCCAAGCGAGACGTTGCGAAGCATGGTGGACCGTCATCGAAGGCGTGCTCCGTCGAGAGGTCGCGATCGTCGTCCATCACGATCATCGAACATTTCGGAGTTGCCAAGACATGAGTCTGACATCATATGGCGGAAGCAAACGCAAGACGGTTCACACGCTCGCCTTCTAGTCAGGTCAGAAAAGTCAAACCTAGTCGCATTTGCCGAAGTGATGTGAGAAGCTTGGGGAGAGGTTGTTGCCCGACTATTCCCAATGCAGAGTCAGTTGCGCGCTGTGGAGAGATGAAGCTTGTGAGTGAGTTCCGTCTCAAACGGTCTGCGCCGCCAATGACGCGGGAAGCTTGAGAATGACGTGGGAAGCGCATTGAGGTTCGTCTTGCATGAGGCTTACTGCCGGAGCTGGCGTCCTAGCGACACCAATCCTCTCGTTGATTGGCGCGCAAGAAAGACTCCGACCACCAATTCTGCGCTCGAATGGTTGCGAGTTCGATGTGCGCGATGGTGGTCATCGATGGTCCATGAGTCAATTTCGATCAGCGCTGGCAATCACCAGTCTGAGGTGGTTTGTTGGGAATCCCCGCTCAATCTCCCTGTCTTTCTCTGATGCACGTAAACGAACGGGAACATGAGGTTCGGATACGAAGCAGCCAATGGAAGATTCTCTCGTCAGGGAAGGTTGTCCCAGCCGAGGCCACATTGAACCACGCGGGTGGCAGGTGCTTCGACGAGAGAGGATCATCCTGCTGTGCTTCTGTATGGGATCATCCGGCACAATATGGAGTGCAATATGAAGTGAGGTCAACCTCGGAATGGACAATGCTACAATGCGAACAACGAGAGATTCTGATGCGTCTCTCTCGCGAAGATGGAAGACAGAAGACGGAGGATCGAAGTTGCGAACACACGGGCAGGTGGTGCCGGTGTACACGGGCTCGGCTCCGCTTTCTGTTCCGCCAGACCGTGTCCTGTCGGCACTTTTCTGTATCTCTTTCCTTTCAAGGTTTTCTTCCGTGTGATGCTCAAACACGGGAACACCCAACGGACTGGAGATCCGGACATGCGACCACTCATGCCTGCCTGCCTGCCTGCCTGAAGTGCTATGGAATGCTATCAAGTGCTATCAGGTGCTATCAAATGCTATGAATTGCTATGAAGCGCTATGAATTGCTATGAATTGCTGTGAAGCGCTATGAATTGCGATGAATTGCTGTGAAGCGCTATGAAGATGAATCGACAAGAACGCCACTGAGGAAAAGAACGGCGGTGTATTATTCGAGAACAGTGGGAGAGCAGAGGTGGTGCACCGCATGCGCATATCTGGCATGGGCGTCTCGCGGGTCGCCTGGAGAGCCCGATGCGATGAGGGCTGTCAGTGTCAGTGTGTACTGTTCTGTATCCTGGAATTCCACCGGGTGGAGGAGGATTTGTTGTGATGACTTACGGTATTCACGGTATTGTCATATATATGTGTGTGTGTGTGTGTGTGTGTGTGTGTGTGTGTGTGTGTGTTTATGTATATCCGTGCAGGTGATCGAATCGAGCACAACCCGCCTCTCGTCTCAGCAATTTCCATGATATACTGCATTGGTTCGACGAACACCTGACCATCCCTGACGATTTGGGGGGGAAGATTATTGACGACACGACCGTTGTTCCATTGGATAGTTGGCTATTGTGGTCGTGGTCGGGTGGCATTGTGACTAACTACTGGCGAGCGTACTTGCAAGAAAGAGGAGAAGGTTGCAACAATGGGCCAAAAGGGCACAGAGAGAGAGAGAGAACATGTGCCCATTCAGCGGTGAAAGAGGAAGACCCAGACAACACCAACAACAACACCTCCATGTGAAGCACGAGGATCATTTTCTAGGAAGACATTTCCGTACATATCTAGATACCTATGCACCTATATATTTATATATTTATATATTTATGTATTCATATACATATAGAACTACATACCCATATACCTACCTAGTTACGTTATGGAGGGATTTTCCCCTACTGTTGTCTGCGCGCGGGACATGTTGTAGACCCGTCGTACAATGATCCGTCTCTCCGTCTGTCGCGCACAACATAACACAACACAACACAGCCTTGAAACCTCGCATTCGCAGGTCACGTTCGCTGCTCTCGGCCCTCATAACGGGAACCACGCGACAGCAAAACCGTCCAGGTTGCGATTCGTTCATCGCACGGTTCTTCGCAAACCACATACACGACACAGACAGACAGACAGAGTGAGAGAGACGGGCAGACAGGCAGACAGAGAGACACACAGACAGACACACAGACAGACGGACGGACAGACAACACAAGATCACCAGCAATTGCCGGCCGCGCTCGCCCATCGACCGGGCTGACTCTCCCGCCTGTTCAGCCCTCTCGGTCCCCCGCCTGTTCAGCTTTCTCCATCAAATTTCCCCCCCTCCCCACCACGGCCGGCCGCCGCCCGCCGGGACAGCGGTTCTGATAGCAGTTCTGACGGCAGTTCTGATCTGATCAGGGTCCGTGCCATGAACGATTAGCAGAAGAGGAGGGCTCGCTCGCTTTGCTTCGGTTCAACGATACTGCCACACACGCGACCACATACCATGCCCGTCAGAAACACCTCTCAAATGTCTCTCGACGAGGATGACACCCCGACCGCCGCTGCCTCTGCCGCCGCGCATGCTCAAGACAACGACGACACTCCGCCTCTCCACTCACACTCGGCCGGCGCACCGCACCAGCGCGTCTATCAAGGTATGTGACAATGCTTGGTCCCTCGTCGACCGATGTGCACCGCCACCCAGGTCGTCACATACCAATCGTCAAATCGCGCGGAGGGGATACTGACATCACCATCGCAGCCTGTATCCCATGTCGCCAGCGCAAAGTGAAATGCGACCTGGGCTCCGTCGACAACCCACACGACCCTCCATGCGGCCGCTGCCGGCGAGAGTCGAAGCAGTGCTATTTCGCATCCGAACGGCGCAAGCGGAGAAAGACGGGTGACCCCTCGGCATCGGAGAACGGAGAAGATGGACTGGTGGAGATCCGTAACGGCACGCGCAAACGGGTCAGGGCTTCGGTGGAACACGATGATCAGCCCGACGAGGACAAGTTCGATCGGCCTCGGACCCCCGGCGGCAGCATCGGCCAGCATCGGCCTTTGCGCAGGCCGACCTCCTCGAAGCCTTTGCAATATAACGAGGAAGACGAGAAGATCAGCGATCCCACGTGAGTTGCTTGCTGACATCTCACATTCCTTGGGCGCGCGTCATGGCTGACCCGATACTCAGGACCGCTTTGCTCCAACATCTCGAACTGCATTCGGGTCACGATGCACTGAATATGTTGCATGCTGCCGCCACCACCATTCAAAATCAAGCCAACAGCGAATCGAGGGCCGCCTCGGGCGGAGTCGCTACCCATTCGACTCATCCCATCGGGTCCCCAGGCAGTCGGAGGACGACGAACGTGAAACAGTCAAACGGTTCAAATCGGTTACCTCCCCGGAACGATTCTCTGGGGAACCGTTTCGACCGCGCAAGCGTGCCACTCGCCACGATCGATCAGTCCCCCCAGAGCATTTTCGGCATCAAAGCCTGGTCCAGATTTCGCTTCGTGAAAGCAGGATGGTTCACTGCCGAAGAGGGCATTGCGTACATCACATACTTCTACAAGTACCTCAATCCACTCACTCCGATCACGTTGCCCAACTTCTGCAGCCCGGAGAAGCATCGGAAACTTCTCGAGGAGGAGCCGATGCTCGCCCTGACGATGCTCCTCATTGCTTCGCGCCATATGAAATTGAAGGGCCCCGGGAGCCACAGTCGACCCTACGCCATCCATGACACCCTCTGGACGTATCTCTCCGGTATGATCTCCCGGGTCATGTGGGGTCAAGAACAATTTGGTGGCGGACTATGCGGCGCCGGAGCCGAGGCGGCCAGTGATGTCAATCCGCTCTCACGGAAAGGCATGCGTACGTTGGGGTCAGTGGAGTCGTTGATACTGCTTACGGAGTGGCATCCGAGGGCGATGCATTTTCCACCCTCACAGGACGACAACGAACTGATGCAACCCGAACCCGCGTCCGGCCAGGCTGATGCGAGCGACGTGAACGGGACGTCCAAGGGCATCGGTGGACAACGCATGGATGCGTGAGTTCTGACGACTGCCAAAGCCTCGACATGATCATCACTAACCTACCCTCATAGATGGCTTGAGCCATGCTGGCGATCGGATCGAATGTGTTGGTAAGCCTCGCCTCGCATGTCAAGCTCCACCCGGCTCAATGCTAATCCGTATAGGTCGCTCTTGGGTATGGCTATGACACTCGCATTCGAAATCGGCATTTTCGACTCCAGTGGCTGGCAGCGTCATGTGAGACCTGCCGGCGGTCAAAACCTCTCTCCCGACCAGCTCGAAGCGTACAATATCCGTCGCGCCAACGTCCGCGATGTGCTTCTGGTTTACGTCACGCAGACCAGCGGGCGGCTTGGGCTCACGTCCATGCTTCCCTCCTCGTATAACGACCCTGGGGAGAGCGAGCTGCACAACCGGCGGATCGGCCCCAACGATAGCCCTCACGATGCTACCCTCCACTTCTGGCTTCGCATGGCTACACTCGTGAAACAAGGCAACACCAAAGTGTTCCCCAACAAAGACGCCACTCGAAACCTCATCCGTACGAAGAAATACCGCCAAGTCCTCGCAGAGCTCCAGCCTCCGCTCGAGGCGTGGCGGAGAGACTTTGACGCATGCAAACAAATCCCCAAGCTGATGCGGAGCATCCTCTTGATCGAATGGGAATATGCTCGCGCATACGTGATGTCTCTGTCGCTTCAGGCGATCGCTGAACGGTGCGCCAGGGATGATGTCCATCCCATGGACCCTCCCCTGGAAATGGCACGATCTGTGACCAAAGCCGGCGACATCCCGATGACGCCCGCCGCGTTGTCGCAACACTTCAGCGGCGAGAGGAGTTTCGTCGTCAAGGTCGCGGAGAGCGCTCGCAGTGTCCTGAAGATCGTCGTCGAGGACCTTTATCCCAACGACGCTCTGAAGCATGCTCCCGTCCGGACTTACTTCCGCATCATCTCCGTCGCCATCCTCATGTTCAAGACGTTCGTCCTCGGCGCGTTCGAAAGTGATGTGTCCGGCTCGCTCAGCCTGCTCGATCAGACCATCGATGCGCTCCGGACGTGCATCGTCGATGATGTCCACGTCGCCAGCCGCTTCGCCGAACTCCTCGAGACGCTGACCAACAACCTCAAACCTCGCCTCGTCCGTATGGCAGCCGACGGCCGCGGCGGTCGGACAGCGGCGAGTCGTCGCCACAGCAGTCGAGCCAGCCCCGTTCACTTCCACCCCGACGCGGGCACTACCGGCAACGGGGCTTCGAACAACCATCATCACGGACCGCAACAGTACAGCACACCCTTCCCCGCCGATGCCCTCGCGGCGATGACAAGCTCCCAATGGAACCAATCCTACGAAGGCCTCCCCGGCGGGCAAAACAACCATCCGCTGGTCGGCGTCTCGGCCGACACCTACGACCTCGAAGCGAACAACAACGCCTGGTCCCTGATGCCCCCACCCGGCTTCAACGACGACTCGCCCAACAACTACAACAACAACAACAACGGCACCCACAACGCCCCGCCCCACCAGCAGCAGCACCACCACCAATCCACCCTCGGCGACGGCAGCATGCTCTCCCCAAACACCTCCGCCGGCGCCCCCTCCGCCGGCTACAACGCCTTCGACGACGGCGACCACGCCAACGCCGCCTACCCCCTCTCCGCCGACGACTGGCTCGCGCTGCCCATGGACCCCCTCCTGAACCTCTCCGGCGCCGACGTCACCCAGACCCAGTTCGGCCTGAGCCTGAACGGCTTCGACGCCCTGGACGTCCTGCTCAGCGGGAACAACGGCTTCCATCAGTCGTAGATTGGGGCGAGTGGGGGGGACCGTCCGTCTCCCTCTCTCCCGCTCGATCGATCGATCGGTGTTTCTTTCCGCGTCGATGTTTCTTGTCTCCTTTCGAGGCGGAATCCTTCTTCTACTTCTTCTCCCTGGATATCGCTGCCTCTTTGGGAGATTTCCGTCTCCCCTCTCCCTCCCAAAGTCGAATTCGGTCCGTCATTTCCAACCTTTTCCCTTTCATTCTCTTTTTGTTTTCCGCTGTTTCCTGTCTTTCTCCGCTTCGGGGCTTTTGTTCCCCCCCCAATTTCCTTTTTCCTTTTTGGTTCTCTGCATTCATCGGAGTTCTTTTCGTTTCTCCATCGCCCGGTCGGGGGTCTCTTGTTTTTTCCCGGGCTGTTTGCTGCTGCTCTTTGGTTTTTTCCATTGTTTGGAACTTTCTTTCTACGCTCCCATGCGATCTGTCCGGTTATTTTTCATCGCGGGGTTTTTGCTTCCTTCTGCGCGTGCGGGTATCCTTTTCAGCGAGGGTGGTGGCGTGTTTCTACCATTACGGAGCAAGAATGGGGCGTCACGATCGAATTGCGGCTTTCTCTCTCCCTGTCTCTCTCTCCCTGTCTCTAGGATCATCGGGGATCCTGAGGTTTCGTGGTCCTTTGATCGATCGATTGCTGTCTGTCTGGTGTGCCGTTTTCTGTTTTTCGTTTTTTGTTTGTTTGTTTTTTGTACTTACTCCAGCGGTTTGTGGGGAAGAGCGAGTATTGGCATTTCCCCGTGTCTACGACAGGGTGAAGAAAAAAAGCGAAAGGAAAAGAAAGGAATGGGGGGAAAATCCACGTCCTCGAGCAATCGAGAGGGAGAAATCCCGCGCACGGGAAATATGATTTAACGACGATGGGCACGATGATTCCGATGACGATGATGATAATCACAATGACACGCGATTTCCGGTCCTCACGGCCATGAAGCTCCCCCCCCCCCTCTGATGTCTCTCCCATGTGCATGCCTCCCCTCTGATCCGCCCCGGCACACACGTATATATCTCCCCCCCCCCCGTTGGGGAACCGCTTGCTCCCGCGCCTTCGCCGCCCTCATGGTGATGCCGTCGGGATCGTGTACGTCTCCGCCAGCCGCCGCGCGAGGTGATCCTTGGCCGTGATGACGGCCCTTTTCGCTGTTGTCGTCGTTGCTGTTGTCGTCGCCGCCTCCGTCCTCGACGACGACGCGATGTGCTCCTGGACGAGCCGGCTCGGCACGGGCTCCAGCGCGGCGTCGTCCAGCGGATGGCAGAAATACGCCAGGCTGTACCTGTCGCTGCTGCTGCTGCCGCTAGCCTCGCCGGGATGGGAAGAAGAAGGAGAAGGAGCAGGAGATGGGAACACGACCCGGTGTCGAGTGGACTTGAGGAGCCCGCCCGTCCATTCCTCGAGGAGGTCCCCGATGTTCACCAAGATGGGGAGATTCCTCCTCCCGCGCGGAGCAGTCGCTGCTGCAGTCGTCGCCGTCGTAGAAGAAGGAGAAGGAGCGGCGGCGGCGGAAAGCTCCGACGGCGATGGTGATTCCGATGGCGGCGACGACGCCGACGGAGCGAGCGGGTCCGGGTCCACCGCCACCGCCGCCCACTCGCCCTCGGGCGTGAGGATCTCCAGCCCCGGCTGGCCCGGCAGTTGGAAGAGGCAGGTGATGGAGCCGAAATCGCTGTGGGCCCCCGCGCGGATGTCCCCTCTGGCTTCGTCGTCGTCGTCGTCGGCAGGGGGTCCCCTCGCGCCCGGGTAGTAGAGCATGCGGAGGACGCTGCCCGACGGGCCCCCGTCGGGGTCGTGCCGCGATGCGAACCAGTCCGCCGGGATCCCGAGCGCGGTGGCCAGGTGCTCCAGGACGGCGGAGCAGAGGGCGCGGCAGGCGGCGTGGAAGTCCAGGAGGAGCGGCAGGCGGGCGGTCAGGAGGGGGGTGAGGGGCTGTTGGGGGCGGTGGTGGATGGGTTCGGCCATGTTGAAGGCCCTGGAGGGAGTCGAGGAAGGGGTTTCTCATCAGCTCTGGGGAAATTTTCTTCTTCGATGATGATGATGATTTGGGGAGAAAGGAAGTCCTCACTCTTTGACGTCCGGTTGCTTCTGTCCTGCCGGGTCGAGTTTCTCCACGCCTTGGCTGAGCCAGCCGTGGTTCTTCCCGGCTTGGTTCGAGCGGATGGACACGCTCTCCTTGACGTCCACGGGCGACGCGAAGAACTCCCGGCTGAGGGCGAACATCGCCGCGATCAATCCGGGGTCGATCGCGCCCTTGTCGTTGGCGATGTAGATGAAGCCGAACTTGGTCGCGGCGTCGAGGAGCTGGCGAGGGGCCTCGACGTTGTCATGGCTGATGTCGATGACGGGGATCTGGGCTTGGAGACTATTCGCCATGTCGCGATGGAGTTTTCTTCTCCGTTTTTCCGCTTGTTCGCTTTATGTGTTGTGTTGTGTTGTGTTGTGTGGCTGAGGTGGTGCGATTGGCAGATGATGTCGAACTTGCTTATCTTTCGGAGCTGATTACAGACGTCACGCTGAATCCACCACATATTGTAACACCTGCCCTCTTCACCCACGGCTAAATTCATGGCGGCGGAGGATGCAAGGCAGGCGAATTGCTCCGGACTAGAAACACGGTAACGACTTCTTGATGAAAGATTTCTGGAGAACATCTAGATCCTCCCGTGCCTACCGGCCGGTCTGAGCGCATCGGGAGAGGCCAAGTCTCCGACATTTACAACCGGGATGTGAGGCACCATTTTGAACATCTCGATCTCATCACGCTGGGGAACAGGAGCGGGATCAGCGACAGAGAAAAAGAAAAACCCTCTTCTCACATTTTTCCCCGAACTGGAGCGTCATCAACCGACCAGCTCTATCGAAACTATCTATACATATGTCGAAACCCTTGCCGCCCGCGTGCGGATAAATATGAGCGACAGCGAGGCAACCAATGGGAGGGAGGGTAAAGCAGAAAGCACCCATGAATCGGAAGGGCCGAGATCGAACAGGCGACATGGCTTCGCTATGCCGCTCGCGAACATTGGGGATCCGGCGATGTGTGCGCGCCTCCCCGTCGCTCCATCTCGCAAGAATGCTCGTCATTCCACCATGATGCGTCGCGTTGGAGACGTCCCATGGCCGTCAACGGTGTTTAGTATACAGAGTGAAGACGTGATATGTGACCGGCCTTGGGGGGACGATCGGTGGCAGCGGTAGTGCTCTTCGACTAGAACGGAGGCACGGGCGCCTTGACGGTTTCTTGCTGCTCCATCAGGTCTTCGCCGCTGGCCTCGATTGAGACAGCAAGGCCGAGTTTAGCGTTGCTCTGGGAGGATATAATTAGCAATGTGATTTTCTTGGACGCAGAAATCTAGCAGGGCGCAGGCATTCTTACCTTGGCGTGATCAATCTCGCCAGCAAAGGTGACTCGGACGGCAGGAGCGACAATCTTGTCCAGCAGACAGCCAACTTTGCCTGCGCTGTCGACCTGGGCGCGGAAGACGGAGCGTGAGAATTCGTACTTGGCGCCAAAGGTCGCCGCGCCTTCTTTTTGTACTCCGCCCGTCCTCGGGTCGAAACCGGCGATTTGGAGGCTCACATCCACACCGGTCTCGACCCTTTCGGTCAATCTCCGCCAGTAGCTGGCCTGGAGACCACCTTGGGTCAGGAGCTGGGCGCTCGCGATCCAGTCGTCGCCCTTGTATCTTCCGGCGTAGCTGACAGCCGCCTCGGCGGCCGGGGCGCCTGCTGGTTTCTGCCAGACCGCCTCCATGCCCAGCGCTAACCGTTTCGTGATGCTCTGCATGTATGATCCGATGAACATTCCGGTCAGACCGCCCTCCAGCAAGCTCGGGTTCATGCTCTTGATCGAGGCCATGAAGTCGTCACCATGATAATCGATCTCGGGGGAGAACTGCGCACCGCCGGGACCGGCCGCGGAGGCGGGTTGGATCTGGGCGGAGTTTTTGAAGACGAGGCGGTCGGTGAGGCGGGCATTGAATCGGGCGCTGAATGAGGCATCGGAGTCCAGCTGCGCCTGGCAGAGGATCTGGAACGCAAGAAGAAGAGGTCAGTATGATGATGATGGATGATCCCGTATGCGCTCGCATGCGGGGATCGACGGTGGAGCCACGGGACATACATTGTTTGTGCCGTAGAGGGCCAGGAAGGTGTATGGCGATAACTGTTGCGAGCCGGTCGAGAAGGCATGGCTGATCTGGAAGAGAGGGAAGATGGAGAAGCTCTTGTTCAACTCGGCGCGCAGTCCCGAGAAGGTCTGGTTGGTGAGGAGGACATCTCGGGAGACCTCCCTGGAGATCTGGTCGACGGTGCCGGGATTGCTCAGACCGAGCGCATCCCTTCGGGCCTGCACGGAGCGGTAGACGTCGAGGATGGGATCGAGGATGCCGCCAGTCGATCGGACGGCGGGCAACGGGAGATCTGATGGCGGAACGACAATGGCCGTCTGAGGCTTTTCGGTGACGACAGGAGTCGGTAGGGTCGCGGCGGCCATGATGTGTGTGTTCGTGCGTGTGTGGTGCGAGGAGGTTGGCACGGAGGGTCAAGGGTGATATCCTATACGCCGACGAAGAGGAGGCGATGATAGAAAGGAGACAGGAACCTGACCGGCGACAGATGGAGCGAGCCCGATGATGATGGCGGCGCGCGGTGGATGGATTTTTGGTATATATGGAATGAATATTGTAGTAGGAATAAATTACATACCAGATACTGTCCGAGCGCAGAGAGCGGCCAGCCAGCCAGCGTCAGTCGCGTGTGCAGCAGCAGCAGCAGCAGCAGTACTGTATACAATAACGTACCCTACCACCGAGCCGGTCACACCACCGAGCCGGTCAAAACGCGCCCACAACGCGTCTTCGAGCTTCTTCCTCTTATTATATGACAATATTTGCCTACAATGCTCTCTCAAACTGAGGGAAGACTTTCTTTAGCCCTTCAAGCATATATTACCCACCAAGTTCCATCTCTTCGAGCTGCAGCAAATGCATACGACGTTCCATTTGAAACCCTCCGCGAAAGACACCTCGGCATCCACCCACGCGCGCAAACCCTTGCGAACTCGCGTAAACTTAACAATGATGAAGAGCAGCTCATAGTCGAGAAGATTCTCTATTTATCGAAGCAAGGATTCCCTCCTCGGCGCGCTGTTGTTGAAGATATAGCGAATACAATGCTGCGA